TGCAGGCACGCGCCGCTGTTCGCATCCCAGATCTTGACTGTTCTGTCACCCGACGCTGACGCCAGCCGTGTTGAGTCGTGAGAGAAGGCCACTGACCTGACCGAACCGCTATGGCCCTCAAGTGTCTGCAGGCAGGCACTCCATTTATCGCTTATGGCGGGCTGTATTGTGATTCCTTTCGGCTCTTCATACTTGAAATATGTCCTTATTAGGCTGCGAGCTGGACTAAACAGAAGCGCAGATACGTATACCTGAAGAGGACTATTCTCTATTGCCACCTTGTGATACATAATAAATCGGCGCGCATCTTGAACTAATTCAAGCAAGCTGCATGCGTCTGCTCTTCTCTATATTATGTTAGCATATGAGATAACTATAAGACTGGACTAAGGATTACTTGGAGAAGAGACTCGAGTTTTGCTATTGACACCAACCCGTCCGACATGCTCCTGCAAAGGCTTAAAGCCTCAAGCCAGTAAAGGTATTTCTTATTTATGAAATTCTCGATATCACCTTTGTCCTGAGAGTCAATTCCATGGTTTGGGGAGTTGGAATTCCAGTCGCAGAGGTGGTCGACCCAGTAAACGCACGAGTATCGGATTGTCGCTAGCGGATCGTGGACCGGTACTTGAACCTTATTAACTGGAAACCCTGGAGCGATTAAGCTGTACATGTCACGTTTCAGTGCACTAGACATGAGCTTGAGTGACCGGGAGAATATGTCGTGGTGAACCCTTCCCTGAGATGGGAAGACTGTGTCTCGCATCCTGTCGGTCAAGTAGTCCTTGGCTGATTGGTGGATGAAGTAGACCTGATCGTCTATAACGGTGAGAAACGAACCACACATAACCACAATCTTTCTCACGTTCCTCGCGATTGCGGAAACCTGGCCTGATAGACCGCATAAGCTGCCCATTTCAGCTAGGTAAAGTGGACGGTATGTGACGTAGGCAGTAAAAAGCAGGAGCCGGCAAACCTCCGAGTTGCTCTTCTTCAGCCGCTGTATTTGATTCATCATCCGATCGTACAGCCGATGCAAGCCTGGTGGCGCTTCTTCTACCACCTGCAAAGGGTCCCAGCTCTCTGGCCCCTCTAGCTCCTGGATCACGAGAGCGACCCACAGGAACGTGCCGTTCGCCTTCCGGCGTAGGATGTCTCGCACTTGATCTCTTAGACTGTCGTCTTCAAGCGACTCAAGACGAGACAGTTTGTCGTTGATGTACACGTCGACGGCACGGGACACCTGCTCTGCATTTTGCCTTAGCTCCAGACTCAACCTCGCCTTAGCGTCTACGCATCTTAGCTTCTGTTCAATGTGCATCTCGTTTCGACTTGACAAGAGCCACTTGACGCGGGCCGATGACGCCGAGGTGAGAATAACCAAGTCTAAGAGCTTTGGCAAGTCCACCACGCATTCATCGAGGGCGTCGACAACTAGGCAGACTGATTTCAGGTCTGGATCTTGTATCATGTTTATAAAGATGTCTGACAGAGTAACCAAAGCATTGGTGTCTTCGAATATGGATCGACCTGCTTGATCGTACTTCTTCCGCAGGTGTGGGGCTAACGACGGCTGTTGGTTGACGAGCAGGTAGATCAGGCCGCGCAGCACGGCAGTGGCGCTGTTAAGGCGCGAGTCGGTACCTTGACAAAAGAAGAACGAGAGAAGGCCGGGCGTCGATTTCTTCAACTCTTCAATAACGCCAGAGAGAAGCATCGTCTTGCCCTTGCCAGGATCACCTTTGATCCACAGCAGTCGGCTCTGCAAGTCTTTGTGCCACTGCTGGAAGCTGGCGTTATTAAAAACCCAGCAATACGAACCTTCTAGCAGGCCGCCCTTGGTGTCCTCAATGCGCTTCTTGTCGTCGCGTGGATCTGTAAGACGTATGTCTTGGATGCAATTACCCAGCTTATGGATCTCATCCAGGAGCCGTCTGAACGCTCCCTCTGCCCCTTCGCCATAGAGAGGCGCTATGTAGATATCAAAAATGCCGAGTAATGAGTATGCCCCATCTTCTTGAACTTTTGTGTGCCGGTGCTCTTTCCATGACAGTCGCTCGTCGACGGTAAACTGAGACAAAGGGGCCCCTTGCAGCGCTAAATGCGGAATGCCTGTGATGTCGTGTACTTGCTGTGCGAGTGATGTCTTGTCGCCAAGCTTCCTCCGTTCCCGAGAGAAGAATTCGACTGTGCTTGGGGCGAGGAGCTCCTGGAGCGTCCAACCGCGGGTGAACCACCTACTTTCTTGGAAGTCTGATGTCCACAGCGGCGGAGTGGCTTCTTTGTCGGTTTCAGGTAGGGGACTAGAGACATCTGACATGTAGACATAGCATCGAGCTGCGTTGTGATACCAGCGAAACATGGACTTGATAGCCTGTGATAGCTCAGCCTTGTTTGCTTTGTTGATGCAACATGTGTCTATCCAAAACCATTCCAAGCCGTCTTGTGCAGCTTGTTCTCCACAGAACCGGATCTTCTCATAGCCAAACTTATTTTTGCCAGTGCCATTTGTTAGGTCTTCAAAAGTGACCTCTTCGGTATTTGCACCCCACGTATGCGAAAGTATCGCATATGGAGGGATGGCTTCGGCGCCAAACTGGATAAGATTGAAACCGCCAGTGTCGCAGCGTCGCAAAAGACGCATTGCTTCGCATGGAGCCGGACGGGGAGAAGCGGTAGGAATGAATCTCGGTCGGGTTCAAACGCGGCAGCCTAACTGAAGGGATGAGCAAGGCAACTCGCTCGTCCGTTAAGAATATCAGTCCTAGCTATAGAGATTAGCGAGCATACAGGAAGATAGAATGTTGAGTATACCGAAGAGTTGCATCTGAAAGCGAGAGAGTACAAGAGTGCTGTGCGCTAGTTGTGCTGTGCCTTGCCATATCCTTGGTTTTGTGAGAAGGGTGCTGGAAGAAGCTCAGCTTGGAGCGGGGGTGCGGCTGACAGTATGGCGCGGTAAGGCTGACATGCAGCGGTTGGGGAGGCGAAATAGCATGCGACTACGGAGGCGTCCTTCAAAAGTTCTTGCCCACGCTAAAAACGCTAAAAACGCCACAAGCTTAGCGCACAACACGAAAATTCTTTCCCCTCAATTCCTGATAGATTTCCTGATAGATTTCTCACAATCTACAATCCCTTACAGTCCTACATGGCGCCCAATCACGATATAGCTACTCGGGCCCTAGTTGTTGCCCTAAAATCCCCATCAGGGGGTAAGACAACGCAGCAGGTGGTGTCAATTACTGCGCTCTCCAAGCGCACTGTCGATAGCATCTACGCTCGAGCAATCAAGCGTGGATTTGACCCAAATGCTGTCCCTCTTGTTATCAAAGACGAATATCTGGAAGATGCCCCCCGCTCTGGCAGGCCGAGCAAGCAGACTAGTGAGGTTCAGCAATCGATCTCTCAGAAAGTACGCCTTGATCGGTATGGCCGTGAGAAGACGTGTGCTGATCTAGCTGGCGAGCTTAGCCAGGAACTCAACATCGATATATCAGCTGCTACTGTCTATCGATGTCTCAAGAGCATGGGATTCAAGAAGACGAAGCCAACGAGGAAGCCTGGACTGACGAAGAGGATGAGAGCAGAACAACTTGCATGGTGCCTGGAGCATAAGGATTGGACTTTAGAAGACTGGAAGAATGTGATTTAGACGGACGAAACATCTGTTGTGCTTGGTCATCGACAAGGGGGGTATCGAATTTGGCGTACAGCTAATAAGGCCTTTGTTCGAAGCTGTATTCGTGAGCGCTGGGCTGGATCCTCTGAGTTTATGTTCTGGGGCTGCTTTTCATATAATTCTAAGGGGCCTTGCCATATCTGGCTGCCAGAGACAGCAAGTGAGCGAAAGGAATCAGAGAGGGTTCTTCAAGAGCTAAATCAGGCTCTTGAATCCGATGCTCAAGCGATATAGGAGCTTAAATCAGGGATACAACGACTAGGACTTCGATCAAAACCTGGCAGGAAACCTAAGTTCCAATAGAATCAGAAGACAGGAAAACTATCACGTCGAAAGGGGAATAGGATTAACTGGTATCGATACCAGACAAAGATTCTTCTCCCAAAACTAATCCCCTTTGCTCAGGATTGTGCCAAATCACGGCCAGGAACCCTAGTTCAGGAGGATAGGGCCCCTTCTCATACACATCACGCTCAACAAAGGATATTTAATATCAATCGAGTTCAACGACTACTTTGGTGTTCAAATTCCCCTGATTTAAACGCAATTGAGCCTTGCTGGTTCTAGATGAAGAGGCAAACAACAAAAAAGGGGGCCCCACAAAGCCGCTCAGTGGCAACAAAGGCCTGGGAAAGATGCTGGGATATAGATCTTGAACAGAAGCGTATCCAGGCCTGGATTGAGCGTATACCTAGACATATACAGGAGGTTATCAGGCTGGAGGGTGGCAATGAATACAAGGAGGGACGGGATCATCTCCAGAGAGAGCACTAGCTAGCGCGCCAAATTTGGAACGTGGCGTTTTTAGCGTTTTTAGCGTGGGCAAGAACTTTTGAAGGGCGCCTCCGTAGGTTGAATTTGCTTATATCTTGAGAAGCAGACAAACACCTTAGTGAAGCCAGCAGGGAGGATGGCCGACCCGCTCCGGCCCTGACCTTGTAGCCTCCAAACTCTGGTAGAAGTACTCTTTGGTACAGTGGTAAATCACGTGCTTTGGTCTGTGGCGTAATCGTGGCTGGAATGCCAAGACTCGCATTCGTACTCCTGCTTACCGGCCGGAGCAAAACGGTGTTGCAACAATGGGCAATGGTGAAACCGCATTCGCTAGCTGTACTGTAATAAAGGGATTAAATAACAAAGTGAGAACGTGTGCGATAGCCAGCTTCCCCGCATCTTGTTGTTCTGGGGTTAGATTTTTATATATTCCGAGCATTAGCAAGGGTCCGCGCAGCCACGCGCAGGCCTGACATCCACGGGCGGGCCTTGCTTGATTTCTATAAGTAAATTACACTGTAATGATTATTTTAAACATATAGAACTGTCTCGCACTAACCAGTATTAGTGATAGCTTTAGTTGGAGGTGCCGATCCGCGTGGCAACTTTAAATGAATTTGCGTGCGATAGCAGCTACAAGGCTAATAACGACTTCCAGTATGGTAATAAGGCTCTAAGGCTTGGATAAGGCCCTTTTATAAACATCAGGAGTAATAAGAGCTTGAAAGTGGTGCTGTGGCGAAGGAATTCTGTTACGCCATGAAAGAAGGCTCTCCGCAAATTAGGCGCGAAGGCGACGATTTGCGAACGTAATTTTTAGGCGGAAGAGGTTCCGAGTGTTCAGGAGTGGCCACAGCACACGACTTATACAGAACTGTGGGAAATGTTGGTGTGTGCATAGAGTTTGAGTTGCTTAAAGTCAATGTACTATTGATTTTCTCGCCACCCAGGGTTTCTCGCTACCCAGGGACGCACGTTACTAAAAACACAGCAGTGAGGTAAAAGCATCAACGATAGTCAACAGCAAAACAAAATCCTGTGCTCATAACACACGTCGTCCATCCGTACGTTTCATTCCCTCGACAATAAGTTTACTATGTGCCGTCTATCATGCCGTCCACTACCAGAACATCAAGGTACAAAACAGAACTTCGTAATCCAAAAGTAAGTCGTAGCAAATCAGGTCCACCCATTCATCAATCGTTCATCAGTTCATCCACAACAATTTAATCTATAACTTTATTAGTCATGCGATATCTACAGCTTATATCACGTGTCAAACTTACGCCTTAAGTAATATCGCACCCATCATTCCACCACTAATAACCATATGTAGCAAGATGCTGAGCGTCCTCCACGGCCTTCCTCCTCTCAAGCACCTGTTTCACAGAAAACAGTTGCTGTCTCCCACTAGCCGCCCACTCGGCCTTGGGCGTCTGGTGTACGGCTTTATCAGACACCCATACCAGTGGGCTCTTCTTCCCTGTCTGATTATCACGGCCGAGGTAAATAAGATACTGTATAGTATTACGACCTCGGTGATCACGGCGGATATTGTTCTTTTCCGAAGGCCTCTCCTTTACAATAATGATCTTGTCGTTCTTCCGCAGGCCAGGGATGTGAACAATTGGGGCGCCTGGTGGAGGCGGCGGCGGTAGCTCGTACTCATCGTGCCCTGGAGCCGTAATTTTATCGCACTCAGGAGTGCGCTGAGGAGTAAGAGCATTGCGCCTCGAGACCTGTGTAGTGCTAGATATACGCCGGGCTGCCACTCGTATGGCATCCGAGGATTGACCAATGGCAGAGTCTCGCCTTGACGCCTGCTGTTCGGGAGCAGGCGGACGAGTGCTTTGCCGCGTGTTGGCAGTACTATACGCACTCGTCTTCTGTACCTTAGCAACGGGCACTGCAGTGCTGCGTCTGTCTGAGGCCGGAACGGTGGGTTTATCCCATCCGCGTGCGCTGTTATCCGCAGCATTGCTGTTATTATCAAAGGCTTTAATATTATTGGCAACAACACTGTTCTTGCGCTGCATGGTTTTACCAGGAGCTATATCCATGGTCGCATCACTAAGCGGGTGTTCCTTTAAGTACTTAAGTTCCAAAGCAACAGGCACCGTGTGGGCAGGGACCCATGCTTCGGTGCCATTGTCGTATGCAACAAGATATTCCGAATAACTATGTACCTGCCGCGTACAGTCAAGCTGAGCATCCTTAATAGCGATGATGGACACCATGGTCGTGTTGGAGTGAGAGTGCTGAAGTGGATGGTGGTTGCCAAGCCTTGGTTTTGATTTTCCTGAGGGGCGCTGGTGTAGGAGGGAAGGAGAAAGAGGGGCCGCGACCCCTTTTATATACTGAAATTTTCCGCCAAGCCACGCTAAGCTAGATAGGCAGGTTTTAGCTAAATAGCTATTATAGAGTAATACAATAGGTTTACTCTTATCTATTTAGTTACTATTATAAATAGCACCCTATTAGTATAACTATAATTTTAAGAAAAAAATTCTTTCTACCTTTTAGGCGTCCTAGTAGCTATTTGTTACACCTTTGCACCTAAATTCTGCTACTATTATTAGCTTTCTTAACTTCGCACTTTTAGTACAAGATAGTAGCTTATAGTTATAGACTTTCCCTATTTATTAAGCTTGCTAAATAGAAAGTCTACCCTATTTTACCTGCGTGCAGCTACTGCATAGAAGATACAGGGATGGACTGGGTCGTAGAGATCAGATTCCTTTGCATCGTTCAGCACACTACAGAAACAGGCTGCACAATCAGGAAGCACAGCTACATCGTTGAGAAGGGCTTGATCTGCCTAAATCACGGATTTTTCTTAATGGATTTGATCTTTTTTTGATGGTTTGCGTCGAAACTGAAGTGTGCTGGTTACGAGACCGGTCGCAGAATCTTCCAGAGCTCGGCCGGCAGGCCGGTGGCAAATCCAGCAGCTCGGCCGGAGCTCGGCCGACATACTCATACTACTTCGCTGACAAGTGACCCTTTCGTGCTTCCACATCGCAAAGAGTTAGCACGTAGTAGTTTAGAATGTCAAGCTACATGTAAGTCGAATTGAACATGTCCACCATGCTTCAAAGTTCGCTACATCCATATGGAGAAGACGCCCACGATACACGCATCCGCCTTCTCTTTCGCCACGTCCACAGAAAAGGCTGCTCCGCTATCCTTCTGCTCTAGTGTCGCATCGCTCGAACTCGTGGTTCTTTCTTTATTATGTGGGAGGTGAGCTCAAGAACTTCAAGCGCCACCAGCGACTGCTTCCAGAGGCGGCATTGCCACTCCCCGAGGATGAACAGAAGATCGGAACTTCGTGAAACCAACTGTGGAAAGTCCGTTCTCCCAAAAGACACTACGGACGAACTTCAGCAGAAGCGGGAGACAGATGACGAGAAAGCCTGCTGTCATCTCCGGGAACGATCCTAGGGCCATGAGGAGGGTGTAGTATGTGTAATCGTGGCTCTTGAAAACTCGAGCACAGCAGTATAGACGAACAAGCGACACGATGCAAGCCCTATCCGCTGTCAGCTTCTCATCTCTCTCATCAGGTGGTCAGTAGCCAAAACTCACAAAATCCCAAACAAGAAAATGGTCGACAGTCCAACCCTCCTCCACCTTGACATGTTCAGCTTCCAGATCACCCTCTGCGGCAACAACACCATTGTTGTATCTGATATCGTATTGAAAACCCCCCGACGACAACGCGATCCCGTTCGTGTTCAAACACTTCCCGCCTTGTAGCAACGGCGTCTAGACCTTGGCGCGCGGACTGCAGGACTAGATTTCGATGAAGCTGATGTAGAAGATGACGTTTGCCCAGATGGGGGCGTGGAAGGCCCAGAACATGGGCCCCGAACATGGGCCCCAGGGAGGCGGTGGTCAGGAAGACGCGGATCCACTGGATCAGGACGGAGAGCTTGATGAAGAAAATTGTGATGCCGTACGATGTGGAGGTGCTGGGGTTGTCAGTAAGGTCAGAGGGAGTGGAAAGCGCGGAGGCACGTAGAGGTATTTGCGGATGGCTTTGACTTGGACGTCCCATCGATGGACGCCGGGGAGGTAGTCGATGATTAGGAACGCGCAGACGTAGTAGGCGCCGACATAGCAGACCTGGCTGGTTTTAGAATTAATGTAGTTTGTAATTGATAGGCACACTATATCCAGCCCAGTAAAAGCATATCTGGAAGCTGCTAGGCAAGCTGTATGGATACGATAAGCATCTTGACTGACAATCTTCGAGCGCGATACTGTTCACAATCTTTCTTTTCATATAAAGTCGCATCGATACCGCTATCGTCGGGGTAACCAAACGTACAATCACGATAATCAGAGATGTCGTATACAACGAAGGTGGGTATATGAGATTAGAAATGACGCCCGCCGGCGGTGCATGTGCGGTGCATCTAGCATCTTTTGCAAAACCTCCGGCGGGACTTCTTCGAGGGACATCTTCTCGGCGACTGATGAAGTGATAATACAAAAGAAACGTTGTGGAAATGGATGAATGTAAACGCTTAATAAAGACTGAGTAATGCGCGAGCCATTGCAGGACTTTAGGTACTCGTAAGTGACCGAGTGATATACGATGGGGTGTAGTGCGGGAATCAAAGTTCAATAGATTCGTTTCAACGCGGCTGGGTCTGCCCTAGGTTGTCTTCAGCTCGTATATGTCCGATATTCTCTATGCAGTGCGACAGCTTGAAGTCGCACGCGAATAGCTTTCAATATCAACCGAAATGCGAGGCGGTAATAGTGTGCATGATGCCTTATTTCCAGCTTACGGCTGACCGGTCTCTCGAGTTCCGATAAGGCTGTACGATGCTGCATGTCAGATGGAAAGGTCGAATGGCAGGCTGGAGAGACATTGAAGATCCCGGGGAGGTGGATCATGGTATTTAGTCTAGAGTTGCGGGTTTTAGTTTTTTGCTCCCTTCTTCCCTCCAGTTTTAGTATAGTTGAAAGAAAGGAGTGGTGTAGTACCTCGTCACAGAGCCCACTAAAATACGTTGTTGATATTATAAGTCCCAAGACATAAGTTTGGGCACCACTTGCAACTGGCTGGGGTGCCCCAACAGGCCTTGGAAACTCCAAGCACGATGTAAAGGTCAACACAGTGGAAATTAGACTACCTTTTGGCTAATTAGAGACCTGCTAGCTGGGGTACTCCTTACAGTAGTATCGAGAGAGCAAGATTGAAGCTAGAGCAGTGGTATATCCATGGGCCCAAACTTGTGACCTAGTACTGTACTGGAGTAACGAAAATGGGTTCGCGAGTCGACGAATCAGGAAACACTCACAATCCTTGTGTTATTATCAGGTCTTGACGCATACTCAATCGCCCCACGTGGTAGACCCAAACCTTTATATTTGGCTCTCAGTAGTTGCTGTGGGCCAATTGAGCGCGTGGCTGTCTCCATATCACCGGTTGATGAGTCCAACCGCAAATTGAGGCCGTGAAACGCATTGCGCAGTAGTGTCAATATTCGGGCTCCGAAGTCGTTCTTGAGAGGTACTGTACGAGATCAGCGGGGTTGGTTATATATTATTACGAGCATTCGACGGTGAAGTTGTTCCACATAAAACGCTCCGAGAGTATTGCAAAGGCGTCCGGAAAGTGGTGAAGCCGACAATAAATCCATGAAGGTAAAGTCACAAACGCAAGATCAGCAGAAGGGGAACTACAATAAAGGTCGGCAATATAATACCATTGCCATCAGCCTTGATCTGTGGAGGAACTTTTCGAATCCTACCAGTGCATCTCGTAAAGCATGCAAGCCCATGTCAATAACCCCATCGATGCCTCGCCTATGCGCGAGCAAGACTACTCTTAAACCCGAAAAGACCGCCAGGACGCCGTTCTCATGCATGATCAGGACGAAAAGCCGACGGGTAGAAGTGAAATACCACGCTCGGCATCAAGTCTTCTCGCTCAGCCCTTGAACGTCTTGCTCCGTCCCACCGTCTCCCTCTGTGTCCTGCCCATTCCCCTTGGCGCATCATTTGCCTTCGCAAATGGATTGACTGCCTTTTCTTTCTTCTTCTCTTTCCTGTTTTTCTTCCTCTCTTCCTTGCTCGGCCCCTTGATCACGCTCGGCTGCGCGGCGTAATCGAAGGCCTTCACCTCCCCGTCTTCGCCGACCGGGGGATCATCAACATGCATCGCATCGGCACCACCGTTTGCCGCCGCTTTCTGTGCTGCTTTCTTTGCAACTTTCTCCGCTTTCCGCAAGGCCTTCTTTTCCGCCTTCTTTCGAGCCTTTTCGTCCAAGATGGCCGGATCATCCAAAACTACCTCATCGTCTTGTCCATTAAGCTCTTCACCAGCTTCGCCTATTGCTGGGGACAAGGCTTCAGTCATAGGCTCCTCGAGTTCTCGGTTCTTCCGCTTCCTGCCACCTCCGAGCTGCTTGACGACGAAGACATCATCTACATCCTCTTGGGCTTTCCTGTCTTTCTTGCTCACAAATGGATGCTCAGCTCGCGCTCCCGGATCAATCTTTGCTTGTGGACTATCCACATCTTTTGCATCAGCAAAGATCTCGGCTGAGAGCGGCGGGAGTGGCAAGGCAAGGCGGATTTCTCCGGTGGAGAATGACCGTCGCTGGTCCCAAAACGTGCTCCCGACTGCCGGACCCCAGAACTGAGAGAAGCTTGTACGGAGCTTGCCGCTCGTAGGCATCGTTGGTGCGGGTGTGGGCTGAGCCGATTTTACTGCGGGAGTCGGAGCCGATTGAGGTTGCGTTTGTGACTGGCTTTGGACTTCAGCCTGCAGATATGCCAGTCTCTTCGCTTGGTGCTTTTCTTCTAGTTCTGTGAGGACCGTTGCCATGTCCGGGCCATCTTCAGCATTCATTTTTGCATCGATAATTCTTGCAACCAGCTCTTCAGCTCGCATCCGCAGTATAGGCGAGATGGGCGACGCGCTTCCCAATAAAGCGGCCTGCTCAGTAGGCATAGCTCGCGCAACGCTCAACAAGGCGTGATTCGCCAAGACGAAGTGTACACTTTCATCCTCCTGTCGTGCAACGTCATCGCGCCACTTGTGCGCCGCTTTGAATACTGCGAACTGCTCTTTGGAAAAGTTTGCGGGGGTATTGCGGAGGATCTTGTGCCATCCACTTGATCCCTGTCCAGTCTTTTCATCGTAGATAGGGTGCTCGTAGCGTTGGAGGGCTGTTTCCCGTGATTTTTCCAGAACTCGAGCAATGAGGTCGAATTCTGGATCGGAGAAATTTGACTTTTCAATAAGCTCGTTTCGCATGTTATCAAAGATATAGAGAAGGTAGTGGGTGTCGGATCGTGCATAATCAAACAGTTCCGCAGGTAAGGGCCTAGTAAAGTCTGTCAGATATGATAGCAAGGAAGACGGTGCTTATACATACCTAACTCGCCAATCGGCCATTTGATACTGCTTGTTCGCGCTGAAGTTTATGAACTTCAACAATAAGAAAGCTAAACTGCCTCCAGTGTACCCCAAGGCTCTGGCAGCATGATGAGTGTCAAACAGTCCTACAACGTAGAGACCAAGATCTCGTTGTAGCCAAATAATGTCCATGAAAGCACCATGAAGAACCTGCCTTGCATTAGAAAAAATAGAGAAGCAATTTATGCTCAGCATACCTTCAGAATGCCTGGATCGGCGAAAACCTCGTTGAGGCACTCGAGCTTCCTCCTCCAAGGTACCAGGGTGTCGACAATCCAGTCTTTGTCTCTCGTACTGATCTGCATCAAAGACACGATACCAATGTAGGACCTGTTGTCATGGTGCTCCAAGTCAATGGCAATCTCTTTAGCCGTCTTTAGCTCCGCGAGCATAGATGCCAATGTCTCTGGGGTATCCACGAGCGTCGCAGTGGTGCTTTCGAAAGGATGATACATGATTGGCTCCGCCCTTTCGTATAGAGAGCTCGGGTAGGTATAACTCTCAATCTCGGATTGATAGGGATGCGGGAATCTACTTGGTTTAGCACACAGCTGTCCAACCCATGGAGGAAGAACTGAAGAAGCTTCTCATACTGCTTGTTCCCTCTACCATCCGTAAACTCCTTCAAGCTCTCTTTCAACGAAAGCTTCGCGTGCGGCTTCTGGGTCATCAAAGGCCTGAAGCCGCCCGTCTCATCGTTCCTCGGTACGTGCTCGAACAGCAATTGCGATTTGGGGAGATTTTTCGTCTGCGAGAAGAAAGCTTTCGCCGTCTTTGCGGTCTTCTGCTTTGACGGCACAACCTATAAATTCATCAGTCCCCAATCCCACTCTTACAATGCAAGGAAGCTAAACTCACCGTCTCCTCCACGCCCTTCTTCACAGCCCCCGTGAACTCATCGAGTCGGGAATCCGCCCTCTCCAGCAAACTATCAATCCTATCAACCACGCCTCTCCATCCTGCACCCTCCCCTTCTTTCAAATCGTCGACATTATCCGAGAGGAGACTACTCACACCCTCTGCACCCCCCGCACTGCCCTTAAGCAGGCGCCCTGCCAGGCCCAGAAGCCGCGCATTCTGCTTGTCTAGTACTCTCGCGTTCTTCGGGTCCAGCGAGCGCTGGAACTCCAAGTCCTCGGCGGCGATGCGGGTCGAGGCGCGTGTGGTCGCGACGAGGGCGGCGGAGATGGCGTCTTGGGTAGTCTGAAAGTCGGATTGCGGATCCATTATGGTGGTGATGGTTGTGCTTGCGATTCCATGGACATAGTGGATTGTAGGATAGAACTCGGGGTGAAGAGGAGCTCTGGTTAGAGGCGCGTTGCTGTCTGAAAGAAAGAGTGAGGTGAACTTTTACGTTACGCCGTAATTTAACCTCGTTATCGATAAGGGCGTAATCTACTTTCAAGCTTTCCAATGGGAGGCGAATGACAACCTCCAGCTCCTTGCCATCAACTTAAGCAAACCCCATCATCAGAACTTCAGATTTTTGACACATAACTATGTCGGCCTCGCTAGCGCCGGAGTGTAACGGGGTTAAAGAGTATATCTGCACCGTTCCACGGTTCATAATCTTTTGCATGCAGTTTCTAAGGATGAATACAGACGTTACGACAGCTGCTTCCTGAAATGGTACAGCGAGAGTGAGTCTTCTTTTCCTCTTCTTTATATCTTTTTGTATCCATTTTTTCTTCTACTTTCAACGCTTCGAAGACCACAATTTAAGACATCACAAGAATTTCTCCGAGGCAATGCGACGACAGACGAATGCGAACCGCTGTTCAAGCAATACAAGCAGTGCTTGGGTGTACGTACCATCTCCTTGTTTCCCCTGCTTGGTACCCTCTAGATGCGTAAGTAGGGCTGACGCTACCCGTAGAAAGCACTGAAATCTCGTGGCATAGATACCATGCTCGAGGAGGCGCGGGAGGACAATCGTGAAAACGATGCGCAGCATTTGAGGGGAGGATGTGAGTCACTCGTCCACCCGGCCATTCCCCGTGAATCATGCGTGAGGATTCTAACCATTATCTAGGAAGCTGGAGAGTAAATATGGCATTCGGGCGTAATGGCGTTCAAGCATTTAGCATCTGCATCTCCCCTTAAGTATATATGAATGCTCTCTAGCGACTCTTCGATCAGTGACCAATGAAAAGTTCCTTCACTCATTTTCACGCTGTCGGAATTGGTCGTCTTACTTGCATATCCAGAGCTGGAACCGCTGGATCCGAAACTTTGTAGACGTGCTTTTGTTTGACAGAGCGTAGGCTTCCCTTTCCTTGCTATCCTTGTCATAAGCTTCTCTCCATGTTCGTACTCATGCGGGGCATAGAAAAGGTGGCACACTAATTCTAGAACAAGCTGTCTTGTGTGTACACCTGTCTGCCACTATTTAGGTTCCTTTAGTGTATTTTCAGGGATCTAAAGAGGATAGATGCTCTGTGCCTTGAGCTATGTGGAAATTTGTTGAAGCACTCTATACAGTGGCAGACAGCTGTACACACGGGCAGAGGACTTGATGAGTGTGCCACTTTTTTCGTGCCTAGCGTGGTACTCTCTCATCCTCTTTTGTTATTTCTCAATCTTCATCCATGATAGCCTCGTCAATTTGAAAGACTCGATGTTCCCATCTCTCTGCACCATTACATCGCATACCTGAACCGCGGATGATCATCCCCCATATTATCCACATCCTCCGGTCCGCTCCAACCTATAATCGCAAGGGATATTATAGCCACCTATTCGAGAGTACGAACAAAAGGACTCCACATAGTAGGCGTGCCCTTTGCTGTAGCTGGAGAGGGGTGTGCTAGAAGCGCAGAAAAGCTCGGGGCGAACTCGAATGGCATCCCAACAACTCGCCAACCACGTGCGCTCAGCGAAGATTTCCAAGAATGGAAGGCGAGAAGAAGCTCAACCGCGTGGTAAAGTATCCGTGCAGAGAACAAGCGTTCGTGCCTGCTCATTATGATTGGTGCACAAGTTTAGATCAGCGAATTCCACCCCTTGCATCTTTCAAAAGGTAGGCGGCACGGTTGGACCTCGTCGAGATCCCGCCACGCCCTTGGCCACCCTTTGTGCTCTTGTTTAAGCGACCACAATTTTCCGCCCCCATTGCGTGAGGGGGCATGACAAGAAATGAAAGGAATTTCGATTGCTACGAAAGTCCCGGGGGGGGGGGTCATGGACAATTTAGACGGGGGCTAACACTTCATGCCAACTACTGTTATACAGGCCGGCCCTCTTGATCCTGCCCATCAGCTCTATCCTTCACTGTGAGCATGATGATGAGCAAGACGACAAATGCCAGGAACTATGCAACGAAGGACGTTGGTCATTCCGTAGAATATCACGATCACTCCGTCAACAAATACAAGGTTAAAACACACAAAGGTCAGCAAAGGGTAGAGTAGCATCAAGAAGCTGAATACGGCGAAGATAATAAGAAGGGTTGGATCGTAAAGGTCGGCCGGTACTATTTTGGTAGAGTGGTATTTTTGAGGTGTAGATTGACTGGCATTGAAGACGCTGGAAATTTGCTGTTGATATCTGTTATCACAGAAAAAGGAGCTGCATGCCGTGTACTTGATGTATTGGATGATAATTCAGAGGAGAGAAAGAGGTCTGGAGGAAGGTGAGGCTATATACATGTGCCTGCCCTGGCCCTCACCACTACTCCCTGACACCTGTGTAGTTTGATAGTGAAATGCCAAACACGCTACACCCTATGAAACACTGATTGACAAAGTGCGTTCTCTCTTCTCCGATATGATACAATGCTGGGGCATTAGTCTGTGCACTCATACGAGAAATTCGTTATCGCACGCTGCCTCCAGGCGTAGGACCGCGTCTCAAGTTCGCGATCGGGGTGGCAGTCCGGTACACAGTACCAGTCCGCTGTTGACCAACTGAAATTCCGATTGCTGGTCGCCTTGGGCGGCGTAGGCTTGCTGAGGAGCGGCGTAGGCATGTTGTTGTGGGGGAGGTGACTGGTTGTATTGGACTTGCGGGTGGCCCTGTTGGTATTGCTGCTGCAGGCGAGCGTTCGGGTCCTGGTGGTAGACTGGTGGCTGGCCGGTCATGTCGGGGGGACTGGACTGGCGCCGGGTATTGGTTCATGACCCTCGCCTCGACCAAGGTATAGGATCCTGTGCTCGTCGAAAAGATCGAAGCTTTCACCCCGGTAAATGAGAATATCAAGGAGGAGATCAGGCTTGAGTCGCAAGAGGAAGGCGTCGATGTTGTTGTGACTATTCTTCGCTACTCTATCGTTGGTGGCCATTCCAAACGTACTCTGCATGACGGAACGAGCGCCTGAAAAGGGCTTTTGCTTGTGCTGCTCGGGCTATTAAGAAGCTAAAGAGATGAATAAAGGGAGTGATGTGAGATTTACCATTAGAAAGATACAGCTTCAGGCCGGCCATAACTATCCACCCCAGTCGGACACAAACGGCGTCGGTTTAGGAGAGGACGTCGTTACGGCTGGTGGAGCTATTGGTGTAACTAGCTAGGCTACGAGGAGGCAAGATATACACAGAAGCTGCTGAATAGGGGGCTACACGGGAAGGGGCCAGGAATTATTAGAAAAACGCTCTTGCTCAGGGGCAGCGGATTAATAGGGGGAGGGTAGTTATTAGTTAGAGAGGGAGGCGCGCCAACTCTTCCCCTACCGATTCTTATTCACCTTCCGGGACCAACTTCACCCTTTCCATCATTCTGGAGTACCTTGTTCGTTTTGTAAAGCTCATCGTCTTGCTTCTCATCACCCTCGCGGCGGCAGAGGACGGAGCCGATGAGCACGATCAAGAGGCCCAGTAGGCATGACGTTGGCTCCCTGGCTCCCTTTTGAATTACTTATAACCGCTCTCACCCCCTTACCCCCTACGTAGTACTTGCCAATGAAACCTCTTTCTTGCCCTAATAAGCTCGTGCTTCACTATGATGTGCTCTCTTTTGAAGTGGTGTACCGCTGCATGACTTCCCTCAACACCTTTTTTGGAAAAGATTCTTTAAATAAGACGGTTTGTACGTCCCGTCAGCCTTACTAGGGCACCTGAGACGGCGTCAACCCTTCTCTTTCCGATTCACGGCTCTCAGTTTTCCAACCTCGTCGTGGGTCTTTGTAGGTGCATTGCGGAGGTTCTCAACCGTGTCCTGCAAGGCATCCTTTCTCCTTCAAGGCCTTCCCGTGCCCATGTCCTAGACCGTGAACTTGGTGTCGGAGCTTGACGTATCTCTCCGCGAGAAGCCTCGCCTGTTCGCTATTGAAAGCTTGGATCATGGTTTTGCGTTCGATGATCCTGTCGACTTCCACGCCTAAAGCGATGTCATTCCGCTGCTCCTGGGCGGTCTTCTCATCCCACTGATAGCAGAATCGTTGCGGGGACATTTGAGGGTATTTAGCGTGGTGGTGTGCGCAGATGGGAAGTGTATCCGCTACGCCGGTTCCTATTAGTACGTTGAAGCCCCACGGAGGATAGTGGCAGGAAGGTGTACGGATATCTTTAGCAAAGCACTCACTGCACGCCTTTCAAGGAAAGTGGGTAGCGAATGTGCACATACTTTTGTCCTCTAGCTGTATCGCAAAACACCATAGATCAAACTCAAGGGCCCTCCATAAGTATGTTGCTTGTAATCATTCGTATCAGTACCTCATAATAAAGTAGACCAGACCAGCTAGACCAGATGAACACAATAGCACGCATAGCCCCTCAGCAAATCCGAGAGCCGTAATCCTACCCAGCTGAGACGCAGGTTAAAAGATACAAGTAGCCACTTCCCGTTTCTCGGGCCTGGAGTATCGCCATATCGAACGCCCTGGGATAAACATAGTAAACAGAAAGGTGAATATCCGAAGTGACGCAGCAGTGACTACTTCTTTCCCTCGAATGGGAACTTTCCCAGGCCCTTCTCGTCTACGCTCAACGCTTCCTGGCTCCGACCTCCAGTGTTGCCGATGTGCTCACTGAAGAGGCGCTGTGCAGTCTCAGCACCTGTGGGGCTGCGACCAGAAGCCGTATTCTCGGGATAATATCCTGTCTGTGGTGGAGTGCGGCCGGTCGTGTCAACAAAGTCGTTGTCGTACGTCATTCCATCAATCATCCTCGCGTCCTGCTTCTGCTGCTCAGTACTCGTTGTCGTGTGCGAAGTCCCCGCACTGCTGATGCTGACGCCGGTCATCGGACTCGGGGGAGCCTGGTCGCGGAGATGCGCAGGAATAGAGGCCTTTCCAATGACCGGGCTGCCAAAATTGCTTTGCTGTCTGGCTGGGGTTCTGGCACCCTCTCCGAAGCCAACCAAGCTGGCCTCGTCGCTCATACCGCCCACGCTGCCGGTTTCGTTGTCCTGGTCCTCGCTCATGCTCATCTTGTCCTGGTCATAGACGTCGCTGCCAGACGCCCATGTGGTGCGGCCGCCAACACTGCCAGTCGCGCTTGCGCTGCCGACTGTGCTTCGCTCACGGAAGATTTGGGGTTGGTTGTTCTGGTCGAAGTAGCCGGGAGGCTGGTTGCTGGTGCTCTGGATGCCGCCGACGTTGAGCCCAGGTTGGCGGCCTGCGGTTACACGCTCGAGGCCGGCGAGACGCGAGATGCGGTCGGCACGCTCAGCGTCCTGGGGGTGATGGTGGTGAGCGAAGTGGCCGCGATGGCCGTCTTTGATTGCAACAGTCGAGAGCTCAGACATAGAGGTTGTGGTGGAATTGGGAGTGCCCCTAGCGGTCATGTCAGTTCCCGGTGCGGGCATGTCTCGCGGATGCGTGCTTGCAGTGAAACTTACGGCATGTCCGAGGGAGTAACAGGATCCGAGGGAGGGGGCGGGAGATTGATCAGAGTCGGGGCGGCGTTCGACATGATGGGCAGCTTTGTAGTGTGACAGGAGGGGGAAGACGAGGTAAACGAAGAAGCAATCGGGGAGTGCCTTTGTAGTATAGGAGCGGTTGCTAGCGCAGGATGAGGCTGTCTCTTGTTGCTTGGCGGTGGTTGGCTCAACACGTCATAGGAATGTAGGGAAAGCCCCTAGCATTGGCTAATCGGGAGCAGGCACGAAAAAAGTGGCACACTCACCCAGTACGCTGCCCGGGCTGCCGGGTGTACGAATACACCTGTCTGCCACTGCATGAAGTGCTTCGACAAGTTTCCACATAGCGCAGAGTGAAGAGCTTCTATCTTGCTCAGATTTCTGAGAATGTGTTAAGCACCCCAAGCAGTGGCAGACAGGTGTACCTGCGAGACAACTCCCCAGCTCCAGCTTGTCCTAGAATCAGCGTGCCACCTTTTTCATGCCCCGCGTGCCGGGAGCAGGCACGTGACCATCGCCGAGTCCAGGCTTGGAAGAGATGAGCGAGACTGGATTCTGGTTGCTCAAAGGTACCTTTGTACGATCAGGACAAGGTTTTGAGCATGCTTCAAAGTGCTGCATGTAGTAACAAGTGAGCACACACAGTAGTTTCTAGCGCAAACGCAGGCATCCCAAGCGATTGGATTACAGCCAGATCTCCAGACAGGATTAATTTACTATGTGGTATACATGTCTAATACACAGGATAGCTAGTTACAAAAGCGTACGCCCTTCGGCCCAGCCCTTTTCTAGTAGACGTGAGTCAAGATGTGGGCTCCGCGAATAACGGGGTTCCGCTCAACATAGGAATGAACTTCCTCGTCTGTCGCCCAGCCGCCAAGCTCCGGTGACCCTTCAATGCTCCCCTTCACACGCTCAATCAACTCCGTAGGCGCTTGCACACGCTTTTCCTGCTCCTCTACTGCCACCCAGCTACGTTCCAGAAAGACCCGCATCGCGATCACCGCCTCTCGGAGTCTCCTTCGCCCCTTCGCTTGCGTGTCAGCCCGTGTGAGAAGTATTGGATGCCAGTGCCCCATCCACGATGCGCAGGAGCATATGCCCTCGAAGTCGCTAATAAGGCCTAATGTGCGGATGTATGCATGCAGAGTGCTCGGGCCGGGGACGACTGTCATCATTAGGTGCTTTTCATCCACTTGACCTGCCCCGATCTTTTTGGGTCGAAACCTAATCAAGGATCGGAATAGTGATCGGATACGCTGAGAGTACCCGGCGAACAGCTCTTCCTTAGGCTCCGCTGGCGTGGCATAGCCGTAGTAAGATATTGCCGTTCGCCCAATACGTTCACAGACGAGCTGAAAGCTTTGCTCGTCAGGCTCCTGGAGAAGCGCCGGGTGGAGCTTCAAAATTCGGCTCATCAACCGCCATCTGTGATCTTGAGAATCGAAAGTCCAATCATTGGGCCATCTGCCATCGACGTTGACCCAGCGCAGCAAGTTAGTCCACATTGGTCTATAATCCGGCTGACATGTAGTGACGATCTGGAAGAAATAGTTGAGAGACATATCGTGATTAAAGGCGGCGTTCTTAATTAGCTGCGGGTAACGAGGAACGTATTTCACTCGGCAGAAGAAATCTAGAATTTCCACAAGCAAATGCTCCGGGATTCCCTCAATGTCTGCTTTGTTCGTAACAGACCCATCGAGAAGTCGCTGAATCGCACCTCCATACGCAGATCCAAAGGTTTTCAGAATTGGCAAACCCAGACGCTCTGATGGGGCTCCGTTGATGAGAGAGGCTAAGAACCTATCAGATACGTTGACGTTTTTAGACATCATGCGATTCAGCAATTCTTCGTATGATGGAACTGGCTCCGAAATATATGTAATTTCGTGGATCGAAGAAGGCTCTGGGAAGGATTCTTTCCCATCACCAGGGAAGACACCGTTTTCTGATGACGATTGCGAATGGCCTGGTGTATCTCTTGCTTGAGGGGTTTCTCGATATTGCAATTTAGTAAACATGGCGAGATAAACGTTCTGATGAGGAGGCAAATCCGTGCGCTCATACGCAAGAAAGCATGCCCAAGCTTCCCGTCTGGTTCTTGTGGCGCGTACTCTTGCAGCCCATTGCGCAATCTCAAATCTATGCGTTATGTACGAAGGCTCTTTCCCAGTTCGAATACGGAGGGGAACATTCGCCATGTTATGTCGGTCCTGAATAGTCGGGCTTCCGTCCGTATCCCACCCGGCAGATATGGTGGCGTTTACCTCCCAAGGACGTGGCGGATAACCGGCAGCGTACATCTGCTGCATGGTCAGGACGGCTCTTGATATGCCAGCATCTACTCCTTTGTCTTCATCCATTGCGGTCCGATTTTCCTTCCAGGGTGGCCACGCCTTTGACTTCAGTAATGCCCATTCCCGCTCCTGTTCGGTCTTTGCGTGAGCAAGCTGGACTCGAGCAAGCGCTCTGTATCCCTCTTGGTTGACTAGTATTGGAGGATCATGGTCTGACATGGCTTGAAGGACTTTGAATTGGGCAGTCTCTTGGTATCTGCTGGATAAATACGGTTGTATCGATGCTGGCATAGAAAGAAGCGATAAGAAACGGTTGCAGAAGAATACGAAATTTGACGTCTCCTCCCCTGGTTTTGGAAAGTCGCCCTTGGCCTTCTCCATTTGTGAGGTTAAGAGGCTCGCTATTGCAGGAAAATCGATAGGCGATTTTTTGCGTGCATGTCTGACCAGCCGAATAAGTACGATGCTAAAAGAAAGCGGATCTATCAGACGGTCCGATTTGGGATCTAAAGATCTAGTCCTCAGATCGTGACTTCGTAAACGTTCTATTATCATGGCAAGGGCATCCACGGATACGTTACGCCGTTTGAGGAAAAAAAGTATCAGGAAAAGTGGCAGTGTTTCTTCCAATGTGAAATACTGAGCAGCTACATCCGGATTCTTGTTCATGACAACGGATGCCCACACAGGCACATCTCCAACATCGTAGCCTTTGGACCGCAGGAACAAGGTTTCCGCCACCGAGAATGTATGCGATGTCGTCTGACCCTGAACGACATGCCGTCCAACTTTATATATAAATTCAGTCAATATAGATTGAAGAGACATCTCAGTCGGATTGTTCCATTGCAGTCTAAGCCAGTCTAGCTCGTCCAGACTAGAGGGGCCTTTTTCTTCTTGTGTATCCGCCAGTATCAGATTTCTGTCCGCATCAGCGGAGGGAGACCGCTTCGTGGACCCTGGTGGAATAAAACTCCATTTGTCTACTAGCGTCCGAACACTATTGTATGAGAGGTCCACTTTGTGGCTCGGAGGAGTAAAATAAAGGTTGGGGGTGTGGTGGTTTGCGACTTTCAGGAGGTAACCACCTGGGCTCGGCCGGAAGCGCTTCACCGTGCGTCCTGGCGGGGGAGGCGCCTCGAATTGCGGCGAAAGAGCAGAGTCATGAATGCAATGGCTTGAGTATGTTCTCTGGGCGCGGATTTGATCTGGGTCGTCTGAGCTTGGAGTGGCTTCGGAGTTTGGTTGGTCCTGGTGCGAAAGTGGATCGGATTTAGGGTGATGGAGATGTGGCGGAGCGCCAGAGCTCAAGGATCGCTTTCCAACGCCACATGCTATACGTGCGCCAGCCTGCCATCTTGTAGCCTCACTGACTGCTGAATCTGGTAGCTAAGGGAGCAAAGCGTCAGTCTGATGCACTATTCAGGCGCAAGAAATACTCACGAATCGCCAAGTACAGCGACGAAGGGCATTGAGGGGCCGCGTGGTGTGGAAGCACCCAGTCTTGCCTGGTGCTGCCAGGAGCGCCGTCAGTGGCATTCATTGATGGTGTGAAAGTAGATACAAGAAGGGAACGGGCGGGCTGCAAAAAGTGAGGGATGCGAGGCGACGCGCAGAAGATGCTCAGAGCTGCGCTAGGCCTAATGCAGAGTAGCGGCCCGGCAGATGCCGCTCACAGGCCTGGCGCGCGATGCCTCTCGCCCATTGTCGCCCTGCACTGGAATGCTGCACCCAGTCGCTCTCTGTCCATCGCAGCATCGCCTGCCCATTGCCATCCGCTCCCAATTCACCCCGCTCGCCGAGTCGCGACGACGCTGCTGTTCTGCGCGGAGCCAGCGCCCAGCCCTCCTTCGTGCTATCGCGTCGCTCAGGGCTTTCTCGCGATCCCGTCAACCCCCATACACGCTCGACCACCACGCATCGGCTCCACCCTTTCACAACACGCCTCTCCCGCCTCCATTCACTGTCTGCCACCGCCGCCACGCGCCGCCGCTCTCTTCGACTGGTTGACGACCTGCCAGCGTTTGCGCCCGGGCGTGGAGTGGCTTCTAGTGAAGGACCAGAGCGGGTGGAGTTCAGACTTGACGATCGAAAGCGCGTTGCCCGACTGCTAAAGAGCTTCGACCCACCGAAACACCGTCCATCATGGCCACCGGCAACGGCATATTGACCCCTCCGTCCCTCGACTCGTCCGCCTCAGCCACGTCAGCGACAAAGCGGAAACGGTCCACCAGCACAGCTACAAATCACTCCGCCGTGGCGTCTGCTGAACACGCAGGAAGCTCTCTGGACGGCTTGGAGAAGGGACTGCAAGAAACGCTGGAAGATGTCTTTGCCGTACTTAAGAGGTCCGTGACACGCACTGAGAATCCCTGTTCTCACCCCCTGCGGGACTTTCATGCGCAATGCTAACATCCTCACAGCTACGATACCCAACCGTCTATTCTTAACCTTCCTCTCAAGGCGACGTCAGACAGATCCTCTTCTGGCGAGCCATCCGTGAAGCGCACCAAGTTGACGCCATCGGACAGTCCCACGTCTATCACAAGTCGCCTGCGAGATGGGACGTACAACTCCCTAGCAGATTTGGCCAGCGATGTTGAGCTTGCAGCCTCAGATATTATTTCGACCATCACGCCTGCAGAACCTGCTACGAACGGCGCTGTTCAGCGACACGCACCCTCACCCGAGGAAACTAGGCTATATGCTGGAGTTCTAGCCTTCCAGAAAGTCCTGAGAAATATCGTTACCCGTGAGAACCAACGAAGGACTCTGGCTCTGAAAGATTCGAAAACGCCCACCGAGAATGGAGCCCCTGTTGGTAAAGATGCTGTGTCCTTGGAAGATATACACGACAGCCGAACTGTTCTGACTCTGTATGGAACCGCCCAGGGTCCCAAGCAGCTGTTCTCCAGTCTCCAGCAACCGCTGCGAGTCCAGTCCGCCGACAGTCCTGCTCCTTATAAGGCCCTGGACACCTCCGTCGAAGTCACGATGCCCCTCGCCGAAGCAGGGCTTCCCAACATCATCTCCACCACTAAAATATTCCCCGTGGACGTAGTGGAGCAGCTGAATTCAAAGAAGACCGGTCCAACATTTGGTGAACTTTTTGCTCCTCCGCCGCACGTACCGCAATTAAGTCCGCCGAAGACAGCCAAGCAATTGACCACCCGTGGTAATACCATTCGATTTGTGTCTCAGGATCAGCTGCCCAAGGTCAACCGCAAAATACCCATGTACTCCACTCAGCCACTCTCAACAGGTCAATCTCTCGGTTACAGCGGCGTGGAGCCGCCAAAGGAACCCACTTCGCCCAATGCAAAGGCGAAAAGCCGACAGCGTGCCCTGAGCACAGGGGAAGCCCAACAGCCTCCTTCCGAGAGTATTGTGGCTGCCGCAGAGCGAGCGAAAGACGATGCCCTATTTCGAAGTGCGTATTCCAGCTTTGCACCCTGCCGCGACGATGCAGCTGCGATCATTCCGGAAGAAACCAGGAACCGAATCTGGTGGCAAAAGGTGGGCGAGAAGAGATTCGAAGAGACTTTTGCCATCGATCCTAGTTTAATAGACCCGAGCCTTTTGGCCTCTACGGGAGCTGCTGAATCCGCAAGCGTTGGCGCCGACGAGGACGAGACCTTCAAAGACGCCGTTGAAAACTTTATCCCCGACGAAACCGATTTCCTAGCTGAAGCGCATGCTAAAGCTCAGCTCGACAAAGATACCGATGAAATATTAGCGGAGATCTCGGAACTTCTCGAGACTTTGGCATCTCACCAGCAAATCAGAAACTCGTCACTAGCCACGAGGCCACAAACACCCGTTATACCGAACTCCTCGCTTGCGTCTCTAGTTGGCAGTCCAACCAGTCCGGGAAGTGACGAAATTGATGTTTATAATATTCTGAAGTCCCAGCTCACTCTCATGATATCGAGTCTGCCTCCATATGCAGTTGCTAAGCTGAATGGCGACCGGCTCTCTGAGCTGAGCATCAGTCGGGACATCTTGATTGAGAGCAAAGACTACCGCGGTGTGATGGAAGAAGACCAGGTCTCTCGGGTGGCGAAAGCAACTGCGTTGAGTGCCGCTGCAGGACCCCCTCCTATTGTTCGAATGGGATCAGGGTCAATGGGGACGCATTCTCATTACGCTCCCACCAGCACTCAGTATGTGCGTCCACCCCCGCCGCAATCGCCTGCGCCTAGGTCTGCTCATGGGCCACAATCCTACTATCCCCAGCAGCAAGCCCCGCATCGCTCGCCGTCCGTTCACTACCCGCGGTCGTCGAACGCGCCTGTTCAGTCATACCAAACGCCAGGTGCCTACGCCAGTAGTACTCCACGGCCCAGTTATCCTGCGACACAAGCATACGGCCAGCAAACTCCACGACCTGCCTACCAAGCGAACGGTTCCAGCCAGTACTACCAACAGCGATCTGCGCAGCCCAGTAATTATGGCATGGGCGGTTCTCAATACTACCAACCCCCGCAACCGCAGCCTCAGACCCGATATCCGCCCCAAGCCCAGAACTCTTACCAACAACGACCACCGGCTGTCGCTCCCATGTACAACAACTATGGTTCATCGCAGAGTCCTCACATCCGAACGGCTTCCCCTCTGAAGGCTGGGCAGCAGCCGGCAAGGCCTGCGCCAACTCCATACAACGGCTCTCGGTCGGGCTATGGAACTCCGACAAGTAACGGACAAATGGGTGGGCCTAGTTACTTCAGTCAACCAGCATCTCAGCCCCCTGCCCAATACTCCACACCTCAGCCAGCAACACCTGCTAACTTGGGGCCCAGCGGATTCCACTCCACCATGACCGCAGAGCAGCAGCAATTGATGATGGACCGGAATAGGGCGCAGCTTGCAGCGCAGCCTGCAGCGCGTGTCGCGGCGCAGGAAGTGGTGAACAGGCAAGGCTCAGGAACCCCGCAGCCGGCCAACGGGCAGTATCCGGGTCAGCAGCAGCAGGTTAATGGGATACCCATGGCGACATAGAACTCATATCCCCATTTCTAGTGATTGCAGTCGACGAACAGGCTCGTACGTCCGTTCCCTGCACTGGATCTTACTTCACTTCGATATTTGAGTCCGGATCCGCTTCGATTCGGTCGTTAGACGAGTCCATCGACCCTGAATAGCCATCTCAAGGCTCTTCCGGTGGAAGACTCGCAGGAGAATAGACGGCGTTGGGTCTCGGCGATACTTTGAATTTTCCGAGAACTACCCCCGACATGCATATGTTATGGCGTTTTCGTGGCTCAGTGCTTGTGACGGGTTCGGAGGGTACCAGGGCTGCCTGCGTATACGTCCTCTTTTTTCGTTCCTGGTATTGTATTTGTTGAGCTGGTGGTAGGGCAGGGAGGGGAGCGGAACGGTGTGAGGGTTCTGGATAGGGAGGGGAGCATGGCTTGTGTATCAACAAATGCATAATTAGTCAATCATTGGAGAAAATAGTGCTCGTCCTGAGAGAAAGTTTTGGCGCCTGAAGCCGTCCAGTCCACGGGTTGAATGTAGACTGCACTCAATCGTCCCCTAGCTTCATATTTCATACAAGATCACAATCAGGTTTTCAAAGCCTTGATTTGCATTTTTGATGCGCGTTTTTGATGCTTCGAATCAGGCCACTTGCGAGCTAGGTTTGCGTGAAGGGATGGGGAATTGGAATACCCCGATGTCTCTGGTCATGCTCCAGCAGCCACGCAATACGGTCTGATTCATACTCTCTGGGCACTGCAGTCCGTCTCAGTCCCGGATCACCAGCCTTCTGTTATTCAACACCAATATCAGAGCGACAAATAGCATCGATGCTATTCATGTATTGATTTACGCACACTCCAAATACCTCCCTCGCCGCCAAGTCTTCCTAACCGGGGAATCTTCATAGCTTCAGTTCCGTCTCAAGGTTTGCTCTGCACTTTTCATCGCCGGGACGCCGAGCCTTTCTATATCAATCTATGTTTCAAGATGCATATAGTTTGTCACCTCCACTACCAAGACTACCTACGTAGCGGAGCAATTTCCCCAGCTACATTCCACGTCTATGCGCCCTGCACTTTTCATCACCGGGCGGGCAAGAAGACTTCCAAGTCGATAGAGAGGAATGCGGAAGAGTGGTCGGCCCGGACTAAGCTAGCACGCTTGATGGAGGCAGACTCTCGTAGAAGTGTATTATATTAAAGAAGTGAGCTGTCAAGCGAGGTTTTACAAAGGTATAATCTCTCTCGCACGGATGCCGAGGCCTTCCCCAGCCAACTACATCGATATATGCTTCTACATTTCAAGAACCGTAGACACGGTACTTCCCTCGTAACGTGAAATCTGGCCTCTTGTACTCCACGCTTTCTGTGGGCCAAGAGTTGCGGTAGCATATCAGGAAATGGACTGGGGGTAGTATGGTGCTGTGTGGTGACATGCGTCACGTATTGTGAGATCTGGCCACGCGGGATATGGAAAAGGTGGCACACTCATCAAGTACTCTGTCCGTGTGTACACCTGTCTGCCACTGCATGAAGTGCTTCAACAAGCTTCCATATAGCCCAAGGCAAAGAATTTCTGTCTTCTTTAGATTCTTGAAAATACATTGAAGCAACTCAAGCAGTGCTAGACAGGTGTACACACGAGCAGGGTACTTGATGAGCGTGCCACTTTTTTATGCCCAAAGCGCTGGCCTCTAGGTATGCTCGACGCTATCTGCTTGTCTTGGCTGAGATTGCTGCTTCTGAGCGGTATGAGGATATTGAAAGCTTTACTGCCGGCAAGAACCTATGGTACTGTATCACTTTTCTTCCATCTTATAGCCCCTGAAATAACACAGACAGCTCAGCATAGAATTACCTCACGTGCGTCCAAACCCCATCTCAAACGCCAAGTCCACCCTACCGCACTCCCACCAAGCTCACGACTTCCCCTCGTCCCTAACCTTGTAACAAACTCTCGCTCTACACCACCCCAAGATCTCCGCAACCCCACTGTCCACCAAGTCCTCCCCAACCTCCCAAACATCCTTATACGCCTCTGGCGCCTCTTCCCACACCAACTCCCGGTCCTCGCACACCACCCACGTGCCACCATTCACCTCCTTCCCGGCTGCCCACTGCCCTTCGCCGGCAGTCTTGTTTGAACGTGCCTCGGAAGCTGCAGAGGGCTGTAGCAGCAGCTCTGGGTTCTTGTATTTCTGCGATAAGGAGACTAGGGCCTTGTGGCGCGACATGGCGCGCCCGGCACCGTGGGCAAGGGAGAGGGCGTTTTTGGCGCCCCAGGCGTTGGCAGGGGTGAATAGGGGGCGGAGGATGAGGGTTGGTGTGGCGCGAGAGCCTGGGAGGGGGAGTAGGGGAAGGGGAAGGGGAGTGCGGGTGGAGGCGTTGTAGGTCGGTGCGGCGCCTTTGCGGTGGATGTATGCGTGCGAGGGTGTCGGGAGCGGTTCTGGGGAAGAGGAGGGTGAGGGTGGGCTAGGAGGCCATTGGATCTTCTCGACGTTGTTGTGCCAGATATCCACTACCTTACGTTCTTGGATATTAGCTCTCGCGACTGTGATGTCGTCGTCGTTCACGGAGTCGTTCTCGTTCCGCCCGAGTACCCACGATTCCTCGCCTGGCTCAAGACACGCGAGGAAGCGTAGCGCGATGAGGTCCCTATTCGCCTTCGCCCACCGGCACGCACTATCGTGCATCTGCATGTACTCCTCCATCTTCTCCGTGCCCTCTTCCAGACTCTCGCCGTCGCCTGTGAAAGTCTTGAGGACATGGCCGCCATATCCTCGAGACCCCGAATGCACCAGCAATATGACCTCCCCTTCTTCCAGGTTTCCTGATGCCTCGCACTCCTCCACGACCTGTATCTCTGCAAAGTGATTCCCGGCTCCAATTGTGCCTAGTGCTTTATCCCATTCTTCCCCAGCCGTGCTCTCCTTCTCCCAGTTCAGCCACGCCTCCCGCTGTTCCTTGTCACGCCACGCCCCCTCTAATCTTCTCAATCGCTCTGCAACTTTCCTTCCGCGATCACCCTCGACTTGATGCCGTTGCAGCCGGGTCCTGTACCACGCCATTCCACACCCGATGTCCCCGCCGATCAGCGGTGGATGTACCCATCCGCGCGACACAAACACAGCACCGATAGGGAATTTAGTCCCGGGGTGGAGGTCCGGCTGCCCGACAGCATGAACAAGGCCAGGGAGCGAGCGAGCGGTAGTATTAAGCTGATCGAGGGAGACAGAGTCAACAAAGGCCGCCTTAGCTAATACCTCGACTGTACAATCCGCATTACCTTTGGGAACCGAAGCTGCAGGAATATCAGCACTGCTCTTCGGGTTGAGCTTCAAAGGCAAATAGCCACGCGGGGCATGGAAAAGGTGGCACGCCAATTCTAGAACAAGCTGTTCCGTGTATACACCTGTCTGTCACTGCTTGGGTGGCTTTAATGTATTTTCCGAGATCTCAAGAAGATAGATCCTCTTCACCTTGGGCTATGTGGAAGTTTGCTGAAGCACTCCATGCAGTGGCAGACAACTGTGCACAAGGGCAGAGTACTTGATGAGTGTGCCACTTTTTTCGTGCCTAGCGTGCATAGCCACGGGCGAGAACAGCGTACATGAAGCCGAAGCTGTCTTGCCAACATAGTCTTCGCCAGCGCTGATGAGCAGCACTATCTCTTTAGTCTCTGCTTCAGCCAATGCGCTCTCCCACCCCTCTTTCCCGAGCACTTCGAGCCCGTTTCTGGCGACGAAGATACGCCATTTTGCGGTCTTGCCCTTCAGGCGCAGCTTGTCCTTCGCGGCTTTGAAGAGGAGCTCTTGGCACGAGTTTGGGAGGGCTGGGTCGCGCGGGGCGTTGGGGGGAAGGATGACGGGTGTGCGTTTGGTTTGGGAGGCGTTGAGGGCGAGGGTGAGACGGGTTGGTGGCATCGTCGAGACGGGACCCTGGAGGAGGTGCAGGTGTGGTTGAGGTGTGGGGTTCTGATCCGTGGCGTTGCGGGAGATCGGCGCTAGGCGTAGGGCTGGGGTGTGGTTCTAGATCTTCGGAGGGAGTTTGTTTGAACAAGAGTGGATTCACATAAGGAAGAAATTATGGTGTGTGTGAGGGGGTTATGTTAAAGGATGGGCGGAAGTGACTGCTAACTGCGTGGCATGTGGGTCACCTACTTATAGTGTAAAGCTGAGTCACGAATTCTTAGATTTTGATAACGTATGAAGGCACGTCAAATGAGAGATGTGAGAAAATGCATATACCCGTTGTTGAGGCGTGGTAGGTGATCGTATCCTTCCATGAGGAAGACGACATCGCGAGAGAGCAACCTTACAGCAACAGGTCATAAGTCTGTGTACACGCGTTTACCACTGCTTAGGGTCCCCCCATGGAACTTCAAAAACCTAGGCGTGATGTCAAGTTTCAAGTAGTAGACTGCCTTTTGACTAATTAGTTGCTTAATGGTTGTGTGCCCAGACTTAGAAGGACCCTGGTACCTCTGTATTTGATCCCAAACACCTGTTGACTTCCTCGGCGTAATAGGTCAAGCGTACCTCCACTCCTTCAACAGCTTTAGCAAAACCATGATCAAATGGCTGAGTGGGTATCTACCGTTCGATTCTATTACGTCTTCCTCACCTTCCTCTTCCACAAACCTCTGTTCTCCCTCACCAACGCCCCATTATTTTCCTCTGGCTCCTCCACACATGGACAACCCTTCCATTTCCCATCCCCGTACTACACCAGAATTAGTAAGAGTACCAACTGCCAATAAGCTGCCTTGATTGGACTACAAGGGGACCTGGAGGCACAGCCACGTGACCTTGGTACAATTCGACTCACCCCTACACAGACAGCATTTGGCTCGCCATCATTCTTCCACGGCGTGACGCTCGCCGCGCCGCCACAGTCGTCGCAGTAAAACTCGTCCCCTTCTTCGGGACAGACGTAGTCGGGGGGTTTGACGATGGGGTTTGCGGAGGATGAGTCCGAGGTAGGTGCAGTGATTGCATTATGGTTGTTATGTGATGAAGGCGGGTCAGGTGTTGTCTCTGCGTCTGTGCTTTTGTGCTTGCTCAGATATTCGATGCTGATTGGAGGGAGGCGGGCAGTATGAATGTGAAGATATGGAATAGACACTTCCGGTGTGACGCGGAGCGAGGAATTTGCGAGAGCTTGATAAGACGTTGGAACATATGAACGCGGGGTAAGGAAAGAGAGCACGGCTAGGAGGATGATGGAGTGGAAGACATTTTTGGTGGTCATGGTGAAGGATGTCACTGAAAGGACGGGCAGGGACTGCTGACTTATATATGCGACGCATCAATTTGACACGTAATCTCATTGCCGGTCGTTTTGGATGAAACTTAGATATACAAGAAATGACCCTGAGTGTAATCTGCGCTCCACTCTAACCCTCTCTAATCTACTACTTATTTATACCCTTTCGCATTTGTGATTTCAAGTCAGCCGAATCCCCCAAATCCACCAATCGTAGCATCCATCACCCGTTTTCTCTCTGTAAAATCCTCCCGTTTGCGTGAGATCTTTGTCATCGATACCTGCCTGATATTAGGACAGTTCGATAGTCACGTTCTGGGATGGACTTACAAGTATCGGCAACGGTGTTTAGAATCTGCTCACAGTAGGCTGGAGTGGGGCTCTCCAGCTTATGGTCTACGGCGGCTGGACAATCGGTCTGATCCTGGCTCAGTTCCACCGAAACCATAACCTTGCTGTTAGACCGATCCAAACCCCCGGTTGCTTTGCAATACTTGTATGACGCCGGAGACCACTGCCAGAATTCTCCGTAGGCCGAGCCTATACAGTATGGAGGCAGGTGGGTGTCGGGATCTTCGCTAGACGTGTCGAACCAAAAGTAGTTGGTGGCTACCGCATCCGGCTTTACGGTCCAGTCATAACTGCCCCAACAGAACTGATGCACGGCGGCCTGGAATGCAGACTTTGGATAATTTTGTGGGTACGCCAGACAGCTACCGCTCGGGCCATAGCTGCACCCTCCCGCGTTGATCATGTCCATCGAATGTTTAGAGGGTTCGCCGGGCTTGCACGTAACTGGTGGTGGCTGGTCGATAGAAAACGAGTATGTTCCACAGCCTGCGTTTATGCTTCCTTGGGTGGCCATGTTGCCGCCTGCACCTCGATCCCCGCCTAGGAATGGTCAGAAATATGCGCAACTGCGAACAGAATTCGGACTTACAGGGTTGATCAGATAGCTCTTTGAATGATTCAGCGCAGTCCGCTCGGCAGCCATCGCCGCCAGTCCATTCGAGATTGAATTTGTAGCCCTTGTATTCACTGGAAGAGACAGGAGGAGTTCGCCTCTCAAGCCCTCGTTTCGACGGCGTTGTGTAGTCGGCGTTGGTATATGTCGCCTTGGAAGCATCTTTTGGACTCGCGTTGACAGCATTGCAGAATTTAGGGTACAGGCCTTTGAAGAAGCTGCTTTGGACGCCGCTGGCATCTGAAGTACACGAGGGCCCTGCTTTGCGGTTCCATGGCGGACTGGAAGGGTCCGTAGTACTGTCCAAAGTGATGTTCTAGCTTGTCAGCAAATTTCCGAGTTTGGGATGAGTAAAGGATACTCACAAAGTAGATACAGCCGTGTGCAAGTGCGGCCCCGTGAGTTACGCCCGAATTGGGATCACAAGTGCTCATGGCCCTCATAAGAGTATCCACGCAGTCTCCGTTGGTTATTTTGGCGTCCTTAGAGCAACTGTTCCCTGCAGGAGCTCCGTACCATGTCGAAGCAGACAGCCAAACTGAGGTCAAACCTGCGATGAACATCTCATACTCTGTATCGACACCATCTGGCGCACGGGTAATGACTTTGTTGTCCACCTTACCACACCATTCCTTGATCTTCGCTTCAACATTTGGGTCGCCATCTGATGCATGCTGAGGAGCAGTCATTTCTGAGAACATTGGATCTGGCTTCTGGCAGATAGGCTTCTGGTGATCATTTTCGGGCTGAAGGCCTGCATACCAAGCTGCGACAGTGGCCAAGGCGATAGGCTGTTGATACCCGTCATTGTTGTCGGCAACGGGATCCAAGCAATCACAGCCTTGGTAGCGGTTTTGCTTGTCCTGGACCTGATTTTGAAGATTAGCGACGACACACTGGGGGGAAATATTGTGTTGGAGGCTTACTCCTACACATTTTCCTTGATTGTTACCTCCGCAATCGCCACAAAATGGAGTGTCCTCATCAACTGGGCATGCGTCGGTTGCGCAATCACAACCCTTGTTGTCCACAGTACACTTGTTACTATCATCGCCGGCACACTTTTCATCAGAGCATTTCGGCTGTGCGTCCCCAGTAGGACACGCTTCATCGCAGTCGCAGTCTTTCAGGCCGCCTAAAGTGCATTTGCCTATATGTGTTACAGTCAGTCTTTGGTTTCATTTTCCATATGTACTATGGAAAAGAACCTACCGTTCTGCCCAACGCACTCCGCGGCAGGACATGCCGGCTTTGTGGCTGGACAGATGGACTCCTCGCAAGCGCATCCATTGTTTGGTGGGGCAACACACATGCCCGAGACGCCTTGACAGTCTGCGCATTTCGGATGCGTTGCTGGACACGTCGAGTCGTCCCCGTGGGATGGGGGATCCGCCGGGGTTTCAAGGATCGTCTCCGCAATAGCAGCGTCTCCAATAAGTCCTCCGAGATACCAAGCAACTCCGCCAGCGAATACCACCACGGAGGCCGTTGCTGCAGGGTTGTCTGATTGGGTAACAGTCGTCGTGATACTCTGGCGAAGGCCTGTGTAGGCAGGAAGAGTAGCAAGCGCGTACGTTCCAGTAACTATTTGACCATCTGACTGTGTGGCCACGACCGTCGTCAGCATAGGCGGTGCAGCGGAGGTGATTGTTGGGTCACCTGTTCTAGATATTAGTAACTTGATTTGCAATGGTATCCCTCAAGACGATCTTACATGAACACGCCACTCCTCCAGCAGCTGCTGTTGAAACACAATGGGCAGTAGATGTAGGGTTTTCACCTCCACAGAGCGTCGCAGCACATGCCTGAACTGCACCGCCGATTTGTTCTGGGCATGATGCTGAGGCCACGGTCGATTGAATCAGGTGTGAAAGAAGGGAATACCAGAGAACATTCTTCATCATGAGAGAAAATTTATGACTATATGATGGATAAGAGAGGAACACGTCTCGGTGTTCATAGAAAGATATATTATAGAGGCACGTCACGATACCGTGTAGTGCCATATGAGATACGGATTCCAGTGGCCGCCTCATCCCTGTGTTTTATTTTTGTACTGGACTCGGGAATAGATACAACGGAAGCTAGGAAAGAATGAAATGAAATGACTGCGGCGAAGGTACACCCGAGAAAGTGCGCTTCATCCAAAACACGCGAAGTTGACTGAAGGGCCCTGCTGCGAACATGTTTGGGACACGCAATGGCCCGTGGACAGAGCATCCCACAATTAGGCAAGTAGGTACAGTGGGCTCAACCAACACGAGGTACTATGTAGTACGGGCGCTTACTGTAAGGCTCAGGGACAACAGAGCGCGCTCCCATCATTGAGGCGAAGGAGCGAGATGCGAGGCTAGGGTCCAACTCCGAGGCTGAACCTTAGTAGCTTCGTAGCACAGGCCAATGCTAAATGTGATGACTAAGAACAGGATGCCATGGTTTTCTGTGCTCGCCGAGCCTCCCTTCAGGCCACTCCCAGCACATCCGCCTTCTCTGCCTTCGCAGCGTGACAGTCACCTTACAGAGAATACAACGAGGCATGAAATTACATGGCGATTTGAAAATTGAGGAAGTATTCAATCCATCGCGGGTACGATCTGAAACTCTACCCGGAAGATTCGCGAGTAGGACCGGCTGGGCTCAGCCTCCGGGCTCAGCCTCCCTCCATCTTGGCAGATTGATCCCTGACATGTCTAAGAAAAGACCCAGAACAGCAAAGGGCCCGTATAATCAATCTATTCAATCTATTTCATCTCCTAGGGTGGACCAGTGTGCCGGCACCCACCACTTACAGATCTGTGGTCTGTTCCTGCAGCTGGGTCCTTACAAGGGCTCGCTAGAATTCTACTCTCATTTCCTGGCCTAGGTGTATTTGCGTTGACATCGCACTCACCATCGTCTTGGCATGTTGGAACGAAACATTCAGCCCCACGTCTTAGTTGCCACGGAAAAAGAGTAAAATGACTGAAGCCGTGCGTAGAAACCCACTGGATACCGCACCATATGCAACATGGCTACTCTTAGCTATTATTATCTGACCACGAAGACCCCCTCGACATAAGATCGAATTGATTTCTCTTTGACCTTCATCACTAGATTACGTCCCTCCTTTAGCGATCCTATTCCCAACCTTCTCCACTCGTTAGCTACTATTGCACAATGCGTTTCGAAACTCTTCTCGCTTTCGCACTTCCCCTTCTCGCCGATGCGCAAAGAACCATATACGTTGATAAAACATGCAGCGACAGAACGGACTGGCAGGTCTATCTCGACGAAGCCTTGAATAGCGCAAAATATGCCTCTGCACGCCTTGGCAACACAGCGGATACAGACTTCGAGGCTGTGGTCAAGCGCATTTTCAAAGTTGATAGGTCCAACGCAGACGGATTCAAAGCTGTCAAAGGCAAGTGCAATCCCTAGCCTTCTCTGGGAACGATCGCTCACACGGGGGTAGATGTCATCGATGAAATCGCAGGCATAACCATGGTGTCTCCAAGTACCGATCTTAAGGGATCCAACACTCGATTCTTCTGCGACGACGATCCTAGTAAGACAATTTTCACATCATCTACGATTTTGCATTGATTGAATTTCGTAGTCGGAAAGAAGGGCGTTGATGCCGACAAGGACGTACGGTGGCAACACCAGATAAACCCAAATGGAGGCTATCTCAACTACTTCGACCAGGTCAAGTAAGCGCTCCTTCTAATCTAAAATGCGTATCCTCCAGCTGGCTTATGGCAATAGCAACATGAAACAAAGGGAAGCAAGTAGCCCTTCATGCAACAACCCGTTGAAGCCAAATAGGGTGGGGAGAACATATCGAATCAAAGCACCTGAGCCCAAGAAACCCACCAGCCCTTTCGCAGGGCACAATTCGAACCGTAACGTCATAACAGTGCGCCGAGTTCCCTATCTTATGCCTCAAGCAACTTGAGCATCGCTGACAAGTTTCTTTAGCTTTGTAATACTCTCTTTGATATCAAGGGAGTGCCATTGAAGATCGCCGACCTTGACAAAGACCTCGAAGGCAGTGCCATCGATATGCTCTCGGATCTAGTATCCCATACCATACTCCACGAAGTCAGTACAAGGAGACAAACGCAGCAGAGATCACAGCTGATTGTTCCGTAGCTTGCTCACGCAGTCCGCGACGACATAGCGGACGTTCAGCCAGACCCATACGGGTATACAGAGATACTTGCAAAAAATGCTGAGGATGCCATCAAAAATGCAGATAACTTTGGTAAGCCGAACCAGAACTCTCTTTATCTATTCATTAAAGTCAAGATTCTTATTCATCTACAGCTTTCCTCGCTATCTTCGCCCAGGTCATGGAGTTGAACTACTCAATCCCCCGTTTGACGTTCCCGGCTGGCACCAGCGATGCAGATAAGGCGGAGGCCGAAGAAGATTGTCAGAAAGGGTACTTAACGTATCTCCCAGACATTACGAAGCGGATAATAGCGGCAGCCAAAATGTTGGCGAGATTGTTCTGGGCGTAAATGAGAGGAGTTTATGTGAAATCATGTTCAATTGTATATATACTTAGACAGAAGTTAAATAGGGGTGTGCTACATCGTACTGCGTCTTGTCATAGATATCCGCGCACTTTTCTGCCACCGCTTGTAGTGCCTCAACTTATTTTCAGAGTCCTAAATCAGACCAAAGTCCTCCCTTTTGAATGTCTGGTTAACTCGTTAGGCCACCCCAAGCAGTGGCATAGGAGTGTACACAGATTGGAAGTGTGATCCGACGCCCTGGATTTCTGAAAACGCCCTGAGGCGCCACAATCGGTGGTAAGGAAACGTGCTAATATTTATGACCACGCACTGCAATCAGTTGTAATACAAGTCGTCGAAGGCTGTCTAAGCTGTCTATGCTCGGTATCTACGCGCTAGCTGTCTCGCGTGACGCCAATATGTCCAAGGTATGCTAAACACACAAGCACATGCCTGGAGCCCAAGCGTCGAAGTTCCACCGACCTTGGAACAGACAGTGTGAATTGTGATACTACGAGATTCTGGGAATGATGTTCATATTTTATGATAATTGAACATGGTCGATTCTAATAGTTTATCCATGGAATCCGTCCGTGGACTGTTCTTCCCAAGAACCCCAATTCCAATACGCCAGAACCGCTGCAAAGCACTCTAAAACGAGACATGCTTCGCTAATTCAAAACTCCGATGCCATCTTGACGGCTGGTTCAGGTCCCCAAGGCTAAATAAATGTTAAAGTCATGTTGTGGTCTAGCTAGCTAGTGATAATGGGCGCCTGTCCCGTCGATCAGCACCTGGCAACGAAGTCGTTCAAGTTAGTTGTCTACGAACCTGCTATTGAAACGCAAAGTACAGAGAGTGAGACGTTAATCGCACGTGCCCAACTTTTCGCCCGCTTCAAGAAGCCCGCGAGGAAGAACACGGCAAGCCATGAGAAAATGACATATTGGATCATGTGCGAGACATTCCCTGCGACGGCGATGGTCGTATCTTGGAAGGCCGAGGGTAGGGTAGCATTTGGAATGTTGCTGATGGACTCCATAGCTGTTGAAGTACCTCTGAAATTGGGCTGTTTTGGAGACGAGTGATTATGAAGTAGAGTAGTGGTAAGCTTCGATGTGGCTGGGCATTCTGTCATGACAGCCGTCGTTCTGCCTTTAAGTATGTAGGTAAGTGTCCTCGTGTCGTGGGATCCTGCGATCGACACGATTCTCACGTAGTCCGGAGGTGGTCATAAGCTGCGAACAAGGGAGGGTGATTGGTCAATACTTTGCGGTTCTTAGGTACTTCGTAGGCGGGGTGTGCTGGTGTCAACATGGTCTGACTTATGGGAAGATTGAAGACATATGCTTCCATCATCGAGATGGAGATAGAAAAAGAAGGATTGTGATAGGGTTGAGGAATGAATAGATTCGAGCTGAGGAAACTTGGGCGCTCGGACTCCACCTCGTCATCTTTCACAAATATCGTGATGGTTCAGCACTACTCAGAACGGACCACCATCAATTGAACACAGCCTCAGGTATGCAAGTTTCGCGGATTTGATGTGGAGCAGCTTACTGATTCTTCTTGGTTTGCGGCTTCTACATGGACAGCTCCACGGAGTACGCCCTACTCATCACGACCCTCATCCCGACAAAATCGCACTATCGACATCCAACAACCCACCTTGGGCCTCGAAGAAACCACGATGAACAATACACCATGCGAAAGGAGTTGGAGATCCGTTCTGGCGGGCTCGCCATGCTTCTTGGATCGTCCCCGGTGATGGGTGTTTCGGCCCCCTCATTCGGCGTATATTTTTCGGACTGGTACAAAGTACTAAACACGAGCATTAAGGCTTATAGGCCCATAGCTATGGTCTGAAGCTGAATAGCATATGCTCTTCCATCTACTACGCGGCCCATCTCAGCTCCTGCAAGAAATCCTCAACCTTCAACAATGGCACTGACAACAGACGTCCTGATCATTGGCGGCGGTCCAGCCGGCCTCTCTGCCGCGCTCACGTTGGCGCGACAAGCACACACGGTCAAGATACTCGACAGCGGTGTCTATCGCAATCAGGACGCCGACTATATGCACATGCTCCCAGGCTTTGACCACGTCGATCCGGTCAAGTTTCGTGGCACTGCAGTGGAAAATATCCTCTCTCGCTACGACTCGGTATCACTACACAGTGTCACAATAGCAACAGTCAAGAAGACTGAGGAGGGGCATTTTGAAGCTACGGATAGTGATGGCAAAATTTGGACTGGAAGGAAATTGATTTTAGCTACCGGAGTCGAAGATATCTACCCAGATATCGAGGGATATGCCGACTGCTGGGGTACCGGAATGTCAGTAATGTCATTCCAAGTGCGGTAGTTCTGACTGACAATCTGATAGCTTTCATTGCTTATTTTGCAAAGGCTATGAAGAACGCGAATGCGCTTCTTCTGGTGTCCTCGCAATCGGAGGCCTCAGCAATGTCCCATTTGGTCTCCATGTGGCCCGACAAGCGACTTCTCTCAGTACATCCGTGACAATATATACGAACGGCGCGGAGGAGCTTTCTATCAGCTTACAATCGGCTTTTGGGGATGCCGGCAGGATGAAGTCCGATTCACGGAAGATCAAGTCATTCAAGAAAGGTTCCAAGAACGCTGAAGTCACGATCGAATTCGAGGATGGCTCCGAAGTTACTGAGGGCTTCTTGGCTCATGCGCCTCCGACAAAACTAAAAGGTCCATTCGCAGAGCAATTGGGGATTGCTATGCAAGGTAACGACATTAAGGCCGGCCCACCTTTCTACCAGACGAGTGTGCAGGGTGTTTTTACAGCGGGAGACAACTGTCTTCCCATGAAAAATATCCCGCTTGCAATCTCAGTTGGATCTTTAGCGGGGATGGGTGCTTCTACGCAGGTCATCGCGGAGCGGCTTGGCCAAAAATCTATGTTTGGCTAAATTTCCTCGAAAAACTCCTGCGCATAGCGTTCGATATCACTGTAAAATATAACCAAAGCTTTCCATTTCATGTCTTACATACGTCTCAATTGGCGCACAGCATACATAATCTTTGATCAAGAACATATTGATTGTAATTTTATCCACAGATCCATGTACTACTACCCTCGTTCGTGTTGCCCAACCTAGATGAGAACAGTCTGGCCTAACTGTCGCGCCAGATTTATCCAATCAGCCGAGGACATCGCATTGAAAATCTTCCGAGTCTTTAGATCCACATGGAGGATATCAACGCCCTTAAGCTCGATCTTGGTCCCGACAGGCACAGTCCTTGAAACACGCGTTAGCACATCGGGCCGCCAGATCGACCACCGCAGAGATGACTTACGACTCAAAACCGGTAGTGACGGCGGTATACCCCCATCGAATACCTATCTGATCGCACGAATGGAACGAGAACAGCGGGAGCTGTTTGATGTCGCTAGTGGTGTAGAGACCAGGTGCAGTAACGACGTCCCAGAGTTCGTCAAGGCTGAGCGTCGGGCCTCCGAATGCTTCGTCGTAGCTCGCGATGTTGGGCGTGAGGATCTTTTCGAGATCCGTTTTCTTGGGGGCGGGGTCGGTGGACCAGACGAGGAGCCACTTGACAGCGATGTCGCTGCCTTCGGAGTCTCTGAGGCAGTGGTTGTCGGCGCCGTGCTTCTCATCTTTGCCCTTTTCGGGCAGCGCGACTGCGACTGTCGTCGATGCGAGAAGCGCAATGAGAGCCGTGGTGAGGAAATACATTTTGAGGAGTGTAAGAAAAGTCAAAGGGCAATGTCAAGTCTATATCTCGATCAGCACAGGGTACATGTGTGCTTTTATACAAACCCGCAGGCAGCTGTACAGTACCTACGTATCCAGACGATTTTATCGCGACATTACGCCCACCCATTTCACTTGATCAGTCTGCAAATCGTCATATCCCAACGCAGCTCAAGCACGCCCTCGTGGCTTAGGCCTAGTTAGCTGGAAGCTGGAAGAAGGATCAGGTTCCATAGAAACCCGCCCATACAGCCGCAGCCATCTCATAACTCCGCAAGAGTTAGTTGGATCGAGATGCGCTAGCGGATCTGATATTCACGGGCGCATCTTTTCGAGGGTTCGAGACTCGGCTGTTCCTGATGATGGCGTTGATGTGGTAGCTGATGCTTGCGTTAGTCTCTCTTGGGATAGCAGCCTCGTGCCTCCGGAGCCAGTCCTCTGCAAATAGTGATAGGAATCTCTCAAATGGCATTTTGTAACTTCGAATGGCTTCTTGAGAGGAATTTGTAGGGTCTGGGGTGTTCCCATGGAGAGAGGGAGAAGAGTTCTTGCGTTAGTCTAAATCCGATCTAGCGCTAGGTAGTTAGCAAGCGGCACTACCTCAGCGACAAGGACGTCTATCACTCATACATCACACCTGACTATCAGCCATTTTGAGCAGAGACCTGCCTCATCGGCTTGGTGCTCCAGGCGCAAATCACTAACAATCCCAGCGTCGTTACTCTACTCTTCCTTGATCCGATCAATTCCGCCCGTCGGACAGCTCGCCATTGAGGATGTTGATTCTGCGAGGACATCACATCCCTATAATTCCATGCATTTGCCATCTTCTTGCTTCTGGCAACTTTTGACGTCGCGGATTTCGAATATTCTGTGGTTGGCACCCCGGTGTAAGGTGCGGAAGCCGATGTAAAATATTGACCGAAGGATCGAAGATTCTGATTTATACTCACCGAACCCAGCCAACCAGTCCTAGCGAAGGTAAGATGCAGGAACCAACAGGCCACCAACCCAAGATAGGTTAGGTTCTCTTTAGGTCTCGATCGTGTAGGGCCTAATTATCGGTTCGTGGATAGCGCTATGTGCGTAAAGGCAATCCCATCGACCAGGTCCAACATATGCAACAACTGCCTATAGCACGTGGATGTCTCCATAGAATTTCTACTTATCAAAAAGACTTCATGGCATGCTCATAATTCCCCTGATCTGCGATTGATCCTAATTTGATGGGGCTGGCGGCCTCGTAACCTTCTTTGAGCTTTGCTTACAAAAGTCAGATTTGATCGCGCCAAGCGTTTCAGTCGTCAGCAGAAATCCACAAGCCTACTTCTACTCTCATACACGTCTGATCTCATGTTATGTTCGTCCTCGTACTTGTTGAAAACTACGGGATGCGCGTTTGATTCATCGTTTTCGGCGACGGTCATCTTCACGGCCTCAAGATGGGATCAATCGCCCCTCAGGGCATGCCGGAAGAAATTCCTCCGCGCCTACCGAATTCAGTGTGCGATCTATTCCAAAGACATGTGAAAGCTTTCCCTGGTCGAATCGCGGTCTCTCATGGCGATTCTCAGCTCACTTATCGCGAATTGGAAGCGGCATCTGCAAGAATTGCGATGATCTTACAAAAGCGAGGAGTTAAACCACGAGACTGTGTTCCGATTTTGACGTCAAGATGCCCGGAGATGGTCGCTTGTCTACTTGCCATTGTCAGTATCGGAGCCTGCTACGTCCCCGTTGATGTCGAAAGCTGGAGTCCAGAACGAATCCATACAGTCCTATCTGTCATTTCTGCAAAGGTCATCATAGCCACGGACGTTAAACCATCGCCTCACAACGAGGTCACAATTACTGGTCAGGAGATCCACGATGCGGTTTTCTCCGAAAAGACCCTTGTATCAGCAAGACCAAGTCTTCCCATTGCTGCTTGCAAAGAAGATCCAGCTTATACGATATTCACGTCTGGGACGACGGGAATGCCGAAGGGCGTTCAGATCGCGAACGAAAGTCTTCTGCATTTTGTACAGCATTACGATTTTGGCATTACACCTGTCGACAAAGTACTTGTTCTCTTCTCCATTGCATTCGACGGTGAGTGACCCGCCAATGTATATTGATAACAATACTAAAATATGCTCAGCATACACTGGCGCTGTCTTCTGTACCCTGGGTAACGGGGGTCATTTGATGCTATCTGATTCTGAAACATTCATGAGGGACGCAGGACTTTGTACCGTTTTGCCATGTGCTCCATCTCTTCTTGATACTCTTCAGGAGCCTGATCTTTACAATAATATCCACACCATATGTATGGGCGGAGAGTCACCAAGCCCCCATCTTATCCGAAAATGGTGGTCACCTAGCCGTCGAATACTCAATGCCTATGGTCCTACGGAAACGACCATTGCAGCCAGTCAAGCCGAGTTGAAACCAGAATTGCCAATCTCTCTTGGAAGACCCATGAACGGATGTCAAATGCTTCTTTTGGATTCCAACCTGGAGGAGGCGTTGGAGGGAGAAATTTATATCGGCGGTCCCATCGTTGGTCTCGGATATTACCAGAACGAAGCCCTCACGAAAGAGAAGTTCATTCATTGGAACGGAACACGGCTGTACCGCACATCAGACTTCGGGAGACGGACATCTGACGGCATCTCTTTTCTCTGCAGAAAAGATAGTTTGGTTAAGAATCGCGGCTTTCTCATCAACCTCGAAGTTGAGGTCATCCCGGCGCTTCTGGAAAACACCGAAGTTTACGCTGCTACGGCTTTCATGCACCATCAAAAACTCGTAGCGTATGTGATACCTGAGTGCGTGGACGTTCACGACCTCCGACTTAAAGTCTCGAGCAATCATGACACTTTTCATGTTCCGGATCTCATCAAAGCTGTGTCATCGTTTCCGTTAACGTCTAGTGGAAAGGTCGATGTCAAAGCACTTCGCAAGGATCTCGACCTTGAAGTTGTTCACTCCGCCGAGCTATCAAGCTCCACGGATACGCCGCTTGGCTACCTGAGATCTGCCATTTCCTTGGCCTTGAATCTGCCCTTGGGAAATATTGCAGAAGATGTGTCCTTCTGGGAGCTTGGAGGAAATTCTCTAGCTGCGATCAAACTTCTTTCGCTTCTCCATGAGCGGCAACTTTCGATCAACTTGGAACGCCTATACCTGCTTCCGAGCATAGTAGCCATATCTGAGGAGTTACATGCCATTGTAGCCTCCGCCACATCTCCGAGTCACTCTCAGGAAGGTGTCCTGCTATGCAACACCCGTCAGGAGCCGAGAGCACCTATTACAAATGTGCAAATGGGGATGATTCGGTCCTCCCTCCAAGAGAGCCTCACAGCATACATTTTAGTCTCTATCAACTTTGAAACGGACGAACAAATATTCAACTCGGGACAGTGGAAAGATGCTTGGGAGATAGTACTAGCCAGGCATTCGATCTTTCGGACTTCTTTTGACACTTCTAAAGGCACCCAAATAGCTGAAGGCAGCTACGCTCATGATTGGGAAGAGACTATTGTTGCTACAGATCAGCTGGAAAGCGTCATAAACCAAGAGTCTGATGCTCTACTGGCTCTGTCAAAGTATCATGGGTTCGAACCATTGTTCTCTCCTGCTAATGCTTTCCGATTTATCAGAGCACCCGGATCAAAGTCTACCCTTCTATGGTTGGTCCATCACAGTCAAATTGATGGGTGGTCGTTCGGGATACTGATTAGCGAAGTGCGATCAATTATATCGGGACAGACCCTACCACAGCCTCCTCAATTCTACATTTTCGCGAAGAATCTTGAGCTCCATATCAAGCAACAGCGTCATACGTCGATTGCATTCTGGTCCAAAACTTTGAAGGGCTTCTTGGAGGGTGCTCCATTGAACCTACCCAAACCGGAATCGAAAAATATTACCACTGAGCCTTCTAGCACTTCGGTAGATCTAAATCTTTCCGTCCTCGATTTTGAGGAAAAGGCTCGCAACCTGAAAGTCTCTCCAGCTGCCGTCATATATGGGGCGTGGGCGATGGTGCTTGCGACCTACTCGGCAAAGGACCGCGTCGTCTTTGGAACGGTTTTCTCAGGTCGCAATTTCCCCATCGCAGGTGTAGAGAAGATTGTAGGGCCGATGATCAACACTTGTCCCTTTCCAGTTGCTCTCAATGGAATAGACTCGAAGAGCGATCTCCTAAATCGAGTACAGACGCAATTGCTTCAGATCAGTGACCACCAATGGTCGGCCGCGGAGGCTCTTGAAGAAATTGCATCAGGGAGTCATGCACGCATATACGACACGATATTATTTCTTGAATATGACCTGCCAGAAGTATTCTCGGAGTCCGAGGACGAAAAGCTCGGCCAATTCAATATCACTCGGAAAGACATGCCCGAGTTCGGCCTCACGATTCTTGTGGAGGCTTCGAAAGGCCACTTCACTCTTCGTGCGCTGTCGCAAAGGTCTTTGTATGATGGTTCAGTGATCAGCAGAATGCTAAAACATTTTCGGAACCTTATTCAAGCACTTCTGGATAGCCGCTGTCAAGATCTCCCAAGCATCCGTCAAAGAATGCTAGACCCGCCAGAGCTTCATTCTTTGACACAAAACTCACTCTCACGTTTTGACGAGTATCATGGACCAAAAAATCTCAAGCAAAGTCTTGAGCGTGCTGCAGATGCGTGGCCATCTCACGTCGCTGTTGAGTCAACCTCACGATCCATGACCTATTCCGAACTAGATCGGACCGCAAACTTTCTTGCCAAGTACATCGCGCAGATCGTGTACCCCGGAGAGGCAGTGGCTCTGGTCAGTGATGGGTCTCTGAATTGGCTAATTGGAGTCATCTCTATCATCAAATCTGGAGCCATATATGTTCCCCTAGATACCAAACTCCCTTCCCAACGCATGGAGATTATCACCAAAACTTCGGATGCAAAGCTATGCATAGTTCCAAACCAAGAATGCGAAGGCCTTCTTGCACCAGATTCGGTTCCACTACTGTCGATACACCAAATTCTGCGGGGTGCGCCGAGCCAGCAGTCTGGACGACTTCAGGTCAATATCAAACCGGCCGATTGGGCCTACGTAATTTTCACATCTGGCTCTACGGGTGTACCCAAGGGCGTTCGCGTCAATCATCATGCTGTATTATCTTACCTCTCATACGAGCCGGCAAGGATGCACGCTGCTCCGGGAAGACGACATGCTCAGATGTTTTCCGCGGGATTTGATGTTAATATCGCCGAGATATTTGGAACACTATGCTACGGCGCAACCTTGGTTCTCAAAGACCCCTCCGATCCTTATGCTCATCTCAAACGCATCGATGCTACCATGATCACTCCTTCGTTTCTGTCAGTGTGTTCTCCGGACGAGCTAAGCAATCTAGATACCATTCTTTTTGCAGGAGAAGCAGTTCCACAAGCTCTTTCTGATCGTTGGAGTGGTGATCGGCGGCTATACAATTCTTATGGGCCCTGTGAGTGCACGATTGGTGCTCTCTTTAAGCTTCTGCAGCCCGGTGAGCGGGTCACATTGGGTCGTGCCATCCCGCGCGTAGGAGTGTATCTCCTTGATACTCACAGCAACCCTGTGCCAATTGGAGTCACCGGCGAAATATGCCTTTCCGGTCTGCAAGTGATGGATGGCTATATCGGAGCCGAACTGAAGTCTCAGACGGATGCGCGCTTTGTGCCCGACCCTTTCCTCCAAGGCCACAAAATGTATCGAACCGGGGACCTTGCAGTATGGACCGAGGATATGGAGCTTCGATTTCTCGGACGTATAGATAACCAGGTGAAAGTCCGCGGATATCGTGTGGAGTTGGAAGAGATCGAGAACGCGATCCTCTCAGCATGCCCTACGGCTACTCACGCCGCTGCTTTGATCGACGATGGGAACATTGCCGCTTTCGTCGCTCCTGGAAATATAGATACTGCGTTGCTTCAGCAGCGACTCCGCGGCCAACTACCTAGCTATGCTTGCCCAGCATCGATTATCTCACTACCACATTTCCCAACGACGCCAAACCAGAAGCTAGATCGAAAGGCCCTCAAAGGCATGGCTGCAACGATTCCACGGTCGCTTCCAAGTGCTCGCAGCAAACAAGTCTTAACGAAGACCCAAAGCCTGATCGAAAGGATTTGGCGGGAGACTATTGGACTTTCAGATGGCGATGAAATTGAGCTAGATGATGACTTCATGGCTCTCGGTGGTAACTCTCTTCGCCAGATCAAAGCTGCACAAAAGATCTCCGCGGACATTAGTTTATCAATACCATTGTCCATCTTCATTAGAAACACCAAGATGTCAGCATTAGCTACAGCACTTGATGAGTTTGTGGTCAAAGAATCTCCGAAGGGGGATCCATTCCAATCATTTTTAGTGAGCTGGAAATCCACATCTACTTCATCAATAAGGGTCTCGCGGCTCGAGGAAGAAATCTACGAGCTGAGCTCTTCGTCTGCGACGCCCCAAAGCTTCAATGTACCGTATATGCTCGAATTGCGCGGAAACGTGGACTTAGAGAAGCTAGAGCGAGCGATTAACGCGGTCGTCAACAGGAATGCCATTTTCAGGACCTTTTACGAACGCAGAGGCAGTATTTTGCGACGCAGCATCTCAATGGACCCGGTCTCGATCGAACGTATCTCGATGGCTCGCAGGTCGGGGGAAGCTTTGCAGCGAGTATCTAGGGATTTGGTGGATAAGCCATTCGATCTTTCGAAGGAACACCCCATCAGGATCGCTCTTCTCGAACACGATTCTCATATCACATTGATCGTCGCAATGCATCACATTATCACTGACAAGACATCTTGCAACATCCTTTTCAAAAAGATCCAGGAACACTATACGAAAGGACCTGAAGCAGCCCACCGAGTTCGAAGCACCGTTCAGGAGCCATCGTATGCTGAATGGGCAGATTGGGATCGCGCGAAAACACATGAGATACCAGAAGCCCACTTTCACTATTGGAAGGAACACCTCAGAACTCTCACGCGGAGGCCATTCACGCAGACCTCGGAGTCAGTAAAGGGAGACGCTTCCAACTGTACCTTTGATGTGTCGATAGATTCAGTCTCCAGAAGCTCGTTCGAGTACTGTCTTTCCATACTAGCCCTCACGCTTAAGGCTGTCATTGGTACCACCGACATCCTTCTCGCGATCCCGTACATCGACCGCTCCGAGCACGGCACGGAAGACATGTTTGGCATCTTCTTAGACAGACTTCCAATTCGTATCCAGCTTGACCACTTCAAGGATGTGCCCTCATTAGTCTCCGCCACAAAAGAAGGAATCGAGGGTGCTCTGTCGCATTCCATCCCCTACCGCGAAATACGGAAAATCGCTGGGGACAACGCACTTTTTGATGTCATGGTCACCTACAATAGACTGGAGGACTCCGCTACTAAGGCATTTCAGTTGCCAGGCGTTCGCGTTACAGAAGCGCATTATAAACCTAGTGGATCGAAGTTTCCGCTTCTTGTGGAGTTCACGGAGACTGAAGAGGGTGTTTCCTGCGAGCTTGAGTATAGCACGGTGCTTGTGAGCGAAGTAGTTGTGAATGGGATCAAAGCGGTCATGCCGGCTATTTCCCGCTTCTTGAAAGATGGGACACCATTGGATTCGTTGGATGCAGCGACGTGTCGTCTACTGAACTAGATAAGGGTGTCCCATCTGGTGATGGAGACCTCGAGACAGATTTGAGTATCCTTTCCTTGCTACAGAATTATCATATGTGAATCTTGGGGTACATGGCGGAGTTTCAGCGTTTTCTCAAATGGGTTATCTTATTCACATCAACTCATTTGGCACATTTCAGTATTCCCAGGAAAGGATATAATGAGACGGGTATCTATATTATGCTAAACTTTGAACCGTTTTTCGCGAACATCTCCAAGCGCGGTATCATCTATGCTCTTTCTCTTCTGCTTTTTCTCAGTCATTAGCTCATGGAAACTATTCAAGGCTCTATCAATCCGCTTCAAGCCTTCGGCAAGTTTCGGTGGGGGCACACCATAGCAGATGCGATACCAGCCCGGCTGGTCGAAGTGGTAGCTTGTTCCTGACGACAACACAAGGCCGTGTCGATTCAGCTGCACTCCGAACTTCTTCTCACCATCGAGATCGTTCGCCGGACACAATTTTGCAAAGATGAATATTCCGGAGTCTGCCTCGACAAATTCCACGTTTCTCTCCACCATGAATCTCCTGATTGTTTCATAAGCTGACTTGAGCTTAGCCCCACTCTCACTCTTGACCAAATTTACGGCCTTTTCGGTGAGTAAATGTTGGACCGCAAACAGGGTAGCTACCGACGACGTCTGTTGGTGGGCACTTAATGCGGCGCTTATGCGGACTTCATCGTTGCTTTGGGAGATTAAGGCACCCTGCAAGTATTAATGCTGGTTAATGTTGCAGATGCAGGTGGTACTTACCAGCCGAATGCCGCTGCACCCAAAGTCCTTGCTGAGACTGTAGATGATGTGCACCAATTTGTCACTGTTCTCCAGCGATAAGGCGGAGATGAACCCTGGCGATTGCGTCTGGTTCTCGGAACCTGTATGCAAGGACAAGGCGTATACCTCATCGGAGATATAGTGAAGATTCTTTTGACGGCAAAAATCCAGGGTCGCTTGGAGGGTGTCTCTCGGATAGCACTTCCCCAGTGGATTGTTTGGGTTGCAGATCAACACTGCCCTGACAAAGACTGTAGTGTCTTCCAATGCGGCTTCGTAGTACTTCAAACTGTCCGTGGTAAAGAACTCTTCGAGGGGAACATGTACTGGGATGACCTTCGCGTTGTTGTGGATACTAAGTGAGAGGTCTAGGCCCGCCCAGTAGGGCGCAGCGATGAGGACGGCGTCGCCGGGATCGCATATCTGCTCCACCAAAGCCTCTAGCGCATAGCTCCCGCCGGCGGCAAGCACGACATGAGAGGGATGAACCGCAGTCTTGGGGCCGAAATTTCTATTGACCAAAGTGGCAATGCGCTCTCTAGCTATCGGACTTCCACCGATGCCCTCGGAGTAGCAGAGATCCTTCACGATTGTCAGTCGATCCGCGAAGTTCTGAAACATAGAGTCTGCATACCGACGCAATAATGCCGCTGAAGGGCCCTTCGGACTTTTCCTGGATTTCGTGTACTATTTCTTTTTGCAGGAGACAGTTCTCAGCAGTCGATAGGTCGATCACCGCGTCACCGGACAAACCGAGGACAGCTCCGTGTTGGTTCAAAAGCTGAGGGATGATAGTCTTATTCCGCAAGTCGCACCGTCGAGAAAGCATCTTGGAATCGATCAATTGTTCTCTTTGTATTAGATGTTGAAGCTCACGTACATATACGCCTCGCTTCCCGATCGTCGGTCCGCTTAGCTTGGTCGGCCACTATTCGGACTGCATCGCTTATTGGCCACGCTTATGCGATCTGGTAGGTCAAACCCTGAGTCCTGGTCGCCAGAAGATGGCTTTCATGCAGGTACTTTGTTAAAGATCAGATATGCTGACCCTGACCTTGAAGTTCTAGACTCTCTGGAATATCGATTTTCAACATTCTTTTTGCTAGGCAACGATAGGCAGTCTTCCACCATCAAGCCATCATGTTGTTCAGCTACACAGATCTGTAAGTACTACTAGTCCTGTCCCTGCTGGCCATCCCCTGATTCGCTATCTGTAGTTGCCAAACCCTTGCCAGGAATCAATGGGACCTATCAAAACCTCCAGTACGATCATATTTCCACATTATCAACTCCCAACTAAAGATTTCAAGCGCAATGGACTTCAAAAGCCATCATTCTCTGATGTCTCTCGTCCCAAACTCCGCCGCCAGCGCACCAAGACCGGCGAAAGTCCGAACAGCCTATACTGGCGCTCAGATGCGGGCATCATGCTGTGGGACATGATGTGCATGGGTGGCTACACCAACCAATCGCAAGAGTTTCACTCCACCTTCTTCGCACGCCACATTGCCAGTTCCTTGGGACCGCATCCTGGGGCCACCGGCGCCTCGGATTCCTGGGAAAGCTTCATGACAGACGACCACACGCCCATAGAGCTTAGCTGGAACTGGGCTCCCTCGCGCAGTGGACCGTCCGTTCGGTATTCCGTTGACCCGATTGAGATCTCTTCGGGTTCGATTTTAGATCCGTTCAATACGCAGGCGAGCATTGAGTTGCTGCAGAAAACGATGCCGTACGCTGCTGCGTTTAATCTGCAGTGGTATGAGCACTTTACGAAGGCGCTGACCGTCTCGGGGAAGGGGTTGAGAAGTCAAGATGTCAACTCGTCGAAGATTCCGCGGTCGCAGCAGTTTCTGGCCTTCGAGCTACTGGACGATGAGATCATGACAAAGGTGTATTTCCTGCCTCAGTGGAAAGCCAAGAGAACTAGAGCTACGACTCTGGAAGTTGTGGAGAATGCTGTTCATGCTCTGGGAACGTCCGATCCGTCAATGTCTGCTGCCATGGATGTGATCACTGATTACATCTGCTCGTTTCCCTTAGAAGAGCGTCCTGAAGTCGAGATCGTGGCCATAGACTGCATTGACCCGTCAAAGTCTCGCATCAAGATCTACCTCCGGTCCCGCCGAACGACGTTCGACAGCGTGATCGATATGATGACCCTGGGTGGCCGGTTACCGGCTATGACGGGGAAGGGTCAAGCTTCTCTGGAAGAGCTATGGTGTTCCGTGCTGAGTCTTGATAACGCGGATATGGACCTACCGGAAACCACACATCGGACGGCGGGGATTTTATACTACCTCGAGCTTAGAGCAGACTCGCCGCTGCCAAAGTCGAAAGTCTACATCCCAGCGAAGCATTACGGGAAGGATGACCTTTCGGTAGCTCGTGGGCTGTCTAAGTTCCTAGGCAACAGAGATCAGTACATGGCCGATGGGAGTGACTATCTAGATGGCGTCACCCGAATATGGTAAGTGAATCATCCCCCTCCGCGCATAATGTTGCTAATACAATTTTAGCAAGCACCGCAAACTAGAAGACGGTCGAGGTTTCCATACCTACATCTCGTGCGCCGTATCCGGCGATGATCTGAACGTCACATCGTATTACAATCCAGAAATCTACCATGCTTCACGGGGCCATTTGCGATCATGAGACCCATTCTTTTAATACCCTTTCTCATTCACTGCTTTTTCATTGAAACTTAGCATTAGACAAGGGCGTTTGTACAACCCTTGTGTATCATGAGTGTAAAAGTATCATCTTCCATCGGTCTTTCCGTTATACTCTCATTTGTCGGGGGTACTCTAAACATTTGAATTTGAGCGACTTTCATGATGATATCAACCATATGGCGCAGTTGGGTCTCATTGCATTTCAGCGACATCTTTCTCTTACCTATGTGTAGTATTGCAATACCACCTAGAACGTTTTGGAAGCACAGCGACCCTTATAAAAAGATGGCACGTGACTTGAAGTAAAATTAATGTGAATGCAAGATAGAAAACCTTAAATCTCTTCTCGCATGCGACACGTCAAATTCCGTACGGTATTCACTTCTTAAACCCAATAACGATTTCGCTCACCATTTCACCTTCACCCCTCACAAATTCAAGACTCCCTACCCTCGGCTACTCCGTCCCCTCTCCCCTCACACTCATGCCCAAAATCAAGTTTCCCTTAGTCCTGGAAATGCCCAGCCCCCAAATTTATCCCCACTTATCAGAAACCCCTGCCACGATGACCTGCAGGTAAACGGACCGACGATCCCCCACCAGGGACGCCCTGGACGCCGCACCCGTCCTGCATTAGCGTTCGGACTTTGGGGCCAACCATCGACGAGCATGCGAGCAAGCATGTGCATAGTGGTCGAGGGGTACTTTTACACAGCAAAACTATGGGGCTATGATGGAGGCGAGTAATGGTGGCTTACATAGAGCGCCGACCGGCGAGTATCGACAGTCTCGGCGTGTAAAGTTGATACAGCGACGCCGGGGTGGGAGGCGCGATGCCGGCGAGGATGGGATGGCGCAGCGAGACAGACGGATAACGGGCATTTGGAGGAGGGTGATAGCCGGAGTGTTGAAGGGTGAAGAGGGCTTGCGGGTGATTTGAGAGCGGGTGATTTGAGAACGGGTGCGTAGGTTCTGTACCGCTGCCCTTCGAAACTACCTCACTTCAACATCACGGAGGCAGCATATTGGGTGGCTTCATTACTGAAAGCAAGCGTCATTGTCTTTCCAAATTGAAAATGGACTCGAATATCTGGAACATCTTCCTAGTCCTCGCATTGTTCACTCTCCTGAGAGTATTCGTAGTCCAGAGACGGTCGCTCTTAGTATCAGTCAGTCGCAACACTTCCTAAATGTCCCTCAATTAACTCCATTTAGCTTTTTTTGCATCTACTTCATCCCATCCGCGATCGTCAGGGCCGCCAGATTTCGGGCCCGCCGTGGATCTGGGCAAATGGCCACATGATCGACAAGTTCCTGGACGGGCGCGCGAAGAGTAAGGAGTGGCGAGCCTATGGAGCTGTGTATCGGATTTGGTCTTGTGGTATACCTGAGATGTATGTGAATTGTCCCTGAAACTCTAAAGAATGTGCTACTAAGAGGAAATCAGAGTGATTACGACTGCGGAAGATGTCCGAGCATTTCACTCCGACTCCGACCAGCACGCAAAATCGCGTTCCAGTAACGGCGGCTGGTTCTTCCATCAACTACTCGGCGAGTGTATGGGTTTGATTAATGGGAGTAGATGGAAGGAAGTACGTGGGGAATTCCAGCATGCTTTCACTCATCGTGCTGTGATGGACATGAGTCCTTCCATCAGTCAGTACGCACGTGACTACGTGAAGGACATCTGCTCTGAAAGTTCCGGTCCTATTGTCGTTCATGCAGCCAACACGTTGGCGAAGTTCCCGTTCTTTTGCACTGCAAAATATTTGTATGGCCCTCTAAGCAGAGAGGAGAAAGATGAGCTTTGGGCACTCGGTCAGCGGAATTTGGCATTGATGCGATATGTGCTTGCAGGAGGTATCTACCGATTTGCGATGTGTAGGTTATTTTGTACTGGCACTGCGAAAGAGCTGGATGTATTCCGGAGGGACTGGTCCAATTTCAATGAGAAGATATACCAGACGCGGAGAACTTCTTCTCCGGCATGTCTGATCGTATCGATCTGGAAGCCAGTGAAAGAAGGGACAATGAAGGAATCTGAGGTAAGATGCAATGTATCTCGAGCTCAATGTATCTATCTAATCGGAATACTTCAGGTCCTCCAAACCATCAGCGAGATGCTTTTCGCAAACCTCGACGTCTCATCTCACGTTCTTACGTGGTTTGTTACTCTGCTCGCAGAGAACACGGAGGTGCAGCAGAGACTCCGAGAGGAAGTTGAGAGCTCCAAAGTATCTGGTGTTGTATCAGGAGAGTATTGCAACAGCAAAGATAGTCTCCTCCGATCTTGCTGGCTTGAGTCCTTGCGCCTCAGACCCTTCACGAGTATGTTTGATCTCGTCTAAACAGTGGAATATTTCAAAGACTCTAATAACGTACGAATAGGTTTCGCCATCCCAGAAAGTTCACCTTCGCCGAAGATCCTAGGTGGATACCAAATTCCAGCAAACGTCAGGCCCCTATCAGTTCTCGGTGACTTTTTACGCAAGGCTGACCCTGTGTTTAGGCCTCGATCGTAGTTGACACGCACTCTATCAATATTGAAAACCCCCTTTGGGGCGCAGACACTCACCAATTCCGCCCAGAAAGATTCGCGGTCATCAAGCCTTCGGAGGTAAGTTCCCTTGACGCATTATTCATCCCGTTCTGGATACTAAGTATACCAAACAGCTTCGATATAACTTTTTCGCCTTCGGAGTGAGTATTCCTCTCAAACTATATCACTGTCCAATGCTCACCCCAGCCAGTTCGGAACTCGCAAATGCCTAGGCCAGCACTTTGCCGAAAGCATGCTCAAAACCTTCGTCGTGCACTTACTAGACCACTACACCGTTTCCATTCCCTCACCCTCAAAGCACTCAGGCTCAGGAGACTACGATCTGACACGGGATTCATGGGTGCCTACATCAAACGTTCACTTGATCCTGACAAAAATATAACCAATCAATCATTCAACCAATGTTGCATCCCCGTCTTCATGCTACATTTACGATCCTCCATGCCCAAACCCACCCACCCTCTTCACCGCTTTCCGCACATACCCCAGCTCTGCAACCTTCTCACTCCACCCTCTCAGCCTCGGCCACTCACTGAACTCAATCTTCGCCATAGCCGCCACCTTCACATTCGCATGCGGCCAGATCGCAAAGTCCGCTATCGTCGGCCGATCACCCAGCGCAATCCACTCCTGGCCCGGCTCGCCGAGGCGGGCTTCAAGCACATCGTAGTCCTTCCTAATCCAGCCGACCAAGATAGCGAGAGCGTCCGAGTCGGCGGGGAGTTTAGGGAGGAGCATGAGCCACGTCTTCCCAGTCGCACTGTCAACCATAAACAAGTTTCGTTAGCATAGTTTTATCTTCTTGAAAATGGGTTTAGGAATGGAGAGTTGGGAATCACATACCCCAGCCCAGCAGTATACCCCATCAGCCAGCTCAGCACGGCGCCCCTTTCCTCATCCCCCTTTCCGCTGAACACGCCCTCTTTGTCCCACTTCTCCGCGAGGTAGAGCAGGCATGCGGAGCTGTCGAATAGGTTCACAGACGCGGAGGAGGGCAGGGGGTCTTCCATTGCCGGCACCATTTTGTACGGGTTTACCTTGTGGAACCAGGTTTCGTTGGACGTGGAGATGATGATGTGGATGTGGTGGGGGATCTGCAGCGCTTCGAGGAGGATGAGGGGTTTCAGCGTGTTGACGGTGTTGGTGGCGTTGGCTGAAATGTTAGAGAGTGGTAGTTTTTGGGGTAGAACGTGGGAAAAGGAGGTGGGAGATTGGAGATGCTGGAACTGGGGAGAGTGTAACGCGAAAAGGGAAATGGGGTGAGTTGGATTCTGTAGAGGAGAATTCGGTGTTACCTGTTTTCACATAGAGCGTGATCTTGTCATTTGCTATTAAAGGGTGTATCGAGTAATCGACATCGCCGTTCGTGGTGCCATTGGTCGTCATCCTAAGAACTTTTGGGGCGCTGTGGGAAGCAATAGTAGTAGTAGTTTGGAGGTGTAGCTTATGTAATCGGCTATTGGAAAGAATGACTAGGCAATAGAGCAAGAAGTTGTAGCTGTCTAGAATTGAAATGTATGGAAGAAGCGGGTTTATATATGATGTTCATTTCGGCCAATATTTGCACTCCGTCTTCCCCGTGTTCACCGCAATGGTTTCATAATGGGGATTATATCACGGAACTTGAGTATACGTATATCATAGTCAAGTATTGACTAACTTCATCTCATTTATCCGCTATATTGCGGCATAGAGTCTCATATTTCTTCGTGTCATAACTTCGTTCCCTTTCCACTTCTTGGTTCCAAACCCCAACTCGAAACGTTTAGCACAAAACCAGTGCAAATGGAGGTGCGCCCTCTAGAAAGAGAAATGGGTATCACATAAACAATCCCCACACGGTACTTAAACTGCGTTATCACCGAGAGTATCATGCTTCGATGAAGGCACCGCCCAGCCGTGCGAAACATGAGCCTGCTCCGGCTCCACTATGTGTTCTTCACTACCCCTCTCCATTGAGAATGTGCTCTTATCAGACGACTTCTCGCTCTCCTGGTAGCCCTCCGTACCAATGAAAGCAGGCGAGGTGATGAATGAGATATTCTTCGGTAGTTGAGGCGAGCTATCTGGTCCAGACCGCTTAGAGCTGCTACCATACGGCTTCCCATATGACTGCTTCTCCGAGCCATTGGAGTCTCGTTTTGACGACGAGAAACGGGATGAGAGACGCGATCGAGGGCTGAGCAGGCTCTTGGTGTAGGAACTAATGCGGGAGCGAACGCTGGCAAAGCGCGCCATTACGGGTGGGAAGGCAGGGATAGACACGGCGGTGATGCCGCAGCAGACTTCAAGGATCTCGAGGAAGAAGGCGAGCCACATGGAGTAGGTTGCGTCGGTATCGTCGATCTTGACAAGGTCGATGAGGCAAGTTACGCGGAGGATTGAGCAGAGGGTTGCGCTAAGGGTATTTAGCAGGTGTTTAGTGCAGAATAAGTTAAACACTGCTTACATGAGACCGAGGAGGAAGATCATGGAAACGTAGAGCTTGCGGCGGACACTGGTGTGAAGCTTCCAGACAGGGTACAGAGGAAGTAGGAGGATGAAGAAATCGAGGATGACATGAGCAATTCCTCCGCCGCCGCACATCTTATTCTGGTCGATGCAAGAGCCCGATTCCATTGGGTTCCAGAGTTTGTCCATAGGGATGCACTCGCCCATGATACTGCCGAAAAGGGCAAACCACCAGCCGGATACCATGGCCATAAGTGCATAGGCGCAGTATTTGACCCATGGTTGGGCGATTCCAAAAATGCGTACGTAGAAGGCGAGAATTGATAGCTGCGTGACGACGACTGCCGATCCCCATAGGATACCAGAGGCAACTGCACCAGACTACTCCAAATATGATTAGTTAGAGTACTTAAAAGAGATATAAGTCTTGTTACCTTTGCAAATATAACAAAGTTCCCTGGCCCAATCTCAGTAATGTGAGATCCCAAACCACCCAATACTACGCATACGACGATATCTGCGTATAGTGCATAGCCTAGAGCGAGGGCAATAGTGACTAGCCAGTCATCAGGGGCAAGCTTCTGCTTGGTTATATGCCTCGAATATAATCTTGTGAAGACTGCCATTGTCGCTAGAGGGAGCAGGATGGCGGGGACCACGGTTAGAGTGAGCTGCGGCCCATTTGTGGGAGTAAAAACTCGAGTGCCTGGGTATAGGAAACTCATATTGGTAATGTGTGGATGCTCGTTCAGTGAAGAGGAGTGATAAGATGGAAAGTGAAGAAGTCACGGGGTTGAAAGAGCAAAAGACTTCTGTGCAGAGAGATGCAAGACGGAGGAGGTGAGATTATACATAGGCAGCGAGAATAGTTACCGACCAGGGACGGGCTGGGTCGGTATTCACTCCAACGAACCCCGAAGATAGCAGACACCGGACTGGCTAGGGTAGTTCCTTGAAGGTTCTCGAGATATGCGTGAGGTACCCCACCACGCCTCCCTCCCTTGCTGGACGACTGCGTCGACCACGTCCACGTCGAGCACTGATGGCCGTTAGATCATTTAGGTGAGGTCACAGCGGTTGCAGAAGCTGATCCTAGCGAGTGGCTAGCAGAGACCTAAGTTGGTGAAGTCGTGCATGCCGAGCTGCAAGGACTCGTAACTCGTACTCTAAGGCTTCGTATCAAGTCCGTAGTGTCCAGCCTTGCGTCCAACCGAGGAACATTTTACGGACGGCGATGGCCGGGTGCCGACGTCATGGACTAGAATGCCGGATCGTATCAAAGTGGAAGTCGTGCCACGACCAGCTGATTTAGGGTCGATTCTTTGGCCGCATGAGGAGGGGTTGGGGTGAATTTGGTGTTGTCTCTGATCGACACGGACATTCCCCAACATGCTCTAGCGGCTGCTGAGATCGACCCCACACCTTCCTTTCCGGGTGGCGCCGCGATCGGCAACGGAGTTTTCCTGTTTCGTCTGAACCCCAGATTTAGCCATGGTCCAGCCACGGGGACATCGCGAGGGGTCCACGTTCCAAGATTCAGGGTCCTGCTGTGAAGCAACATCAGCTCTTAGTACTGATGAACAAATACGCGAAGAAGGTGATGTGGCCATATAGGAGACCCAAAAAGTATTCTCCACGAGGTCGGATTTGTGATATCGACAGATAGAATACAACGTTTGCTTGACACTTCTTCTGAAGCCTGTAAGATGTCAGCCCGATGTCTCTCCTAGGTTCAACCCTGGCGGCAATACAGTATGTCTCACCAGGGGAGACGTGGGGTTCTTCGCTACGTCGCCTTCTGCCCGTCCCCGCACCCTATCAGACAGGATTCAGAACCTTGTGTGCCAATTCTAACACTCCTACAGCAAGCAACTCTTTCGCCTCGGTGCCTCTCATCGGTCAGAAAGTAGATCCTCTAATCTGCGGATGGCGCTGCGGCGCAGGACTCTGAGTATATTGACCGAGTCGACCTTTCCCAATTAGTACCCACCCATAGACACATCGCGTCCACTGCTATATAGTCGCGTCTTGAGAGTACCTACTTTGCATATTCAAGTTTATTCACTTATCACCTGGTGCTCTAAACCTATTCAATACACGCCTAAACCTACTCACACTTTCACCTCAACCTTTAATTCTATCCACCCACACAAGCTTCGACATGGCGCCTCACGCAGATGAAGCCTCGACAACTCACTCCGCCTTCGACGCGGCGATGGAAAAGAAAGGCGAAGACGAATACACCCGCCTGCGGAAACAACACGATCTCTTCAAGATCGCCGTGGATGGTAACTTCATCCAAGTGCCCCTCCCCACCGACAGGCCCATCAAGATCATCGACTCGGCCACCAACGACGGCACCTGGCTGGTGGAAGTCGGGAAGCAGTACCCCAACGCGACTCTAGTCGGCGCCGACAACAATCCAGCCCACTTCACCCAGATCAAGAACCTGCCCTCTAGCTTGAGCTTCAAGACACAGTCGATTTTTGAGGCGTGGCCCGCCGAGGACAAGGAGGCGTATGATCTTGTGCATCAGCGATGTATCCTTGCGCTATTCAGTCCAGCGCAGGGACAGCAGGCGATTGAGGGCCTATACTCGCTGGTGAAGCCGGGCGGGTACATCCAGATCATTGAGGGTGATCTACTATCATTTGATGGAGGCGCGGATAAGCCCGGCATGGCGGCCCTCATGGACTTCTGCGAGAAAGCCTTCCCGAAGGCGGGGATGAACAATACCGCGGGTAGGTATCTAAAAGATTGGCTGGAGACCGCGGGCGCGACGGATGTGCAGAGTAAGATCATCTCGTATGAGATGGGCGCGGCGGCCAAGACGAAGGATATGAAGGAGGCGACGACGGATCATATCATGGATATGATTGGGAACATTGAGAAGGTTGCTGCGAGTAAGTCTTACCTACCTCTCGGCTTAGAGAGGGGAAGCGGAAGCTGACATGAAAATAGTGATTCCAAATTACTGGTTCACTCCAGAAGACTTTGGCAAGTTGAAGGCGGTGGTTTACGACGATATGCAAAAGGTCGGCAACACGTGGCGGTACCACTTGGCGACGGGGAAGAAGCCCGCATGAGCACTATTATGCTGTCCCCGAGGGGATTCTGGAGGCGTTCAGTGATTAGGAGTTCTGTTTTTATGGCGTCCAGTTGATTGAAGGTTGATAATGATGAGCACCTCGCCTAGAATGCCACTGCGGTTGCGGCGTAGGCGGCTATTGACCCCCAACCTTGTATATGCAGATAGCAAAAACGCTCTTCTTAGATGCATTTACTAGTACTAAGGCTTCCACATTAGTATGAAGTCATTTTGTGACACTTTGTTAAGCGCGCTACTTTGCATAATTAGCAAGAAGCGTAACCAACCATCACCTTTTTACCCATAAGCAGCAGGCTTACCCAATATTTCTTACTGAGATGTTAAATTATTATGCCCGAATCCGGGTCTTCCGGAATGACGAAGAATGCGAGACATAGAGCTAATCTGACCCGATATTACTTGCCATCTCAATCAACAGAATCGAGAGATATTAGCACAGCCAGGATAAGCAACGGCCTGAGGTCAAGCCCTCTCTCCTCACCAGGCCTCATCAAGCATCCTCCGGTACTTGCCAAGTCGTCTCCAAGCACTGCCCGGCCCTTGGCATATTGTTTCCAAATTAACCAAATTAGCACCTCCGTCCGGATGTGTGCGATATAGTAAAGACCCAGGGACCAAGGGACGCACCTCGCCGATCTAAGACGCTTGAAAGCGATTGGACATGCGCCATGTCGGTTGGCGCAGAGCAGCCACCAAGCCACTCCCGTGGGCATGGACCTAGACCGGGTCTGAGTCGATGACGTTCGCACCAGCAATCCATGCATCAAACGTGCAGGGCGCTGAACGTGGCGAGTTTAGCTTACGGACTCCGGCACTTTGCTTTGGGGGCCAAGATAGAGACGTTCCAGGGCTTGGGGACGTGGTTGGTTGAGCGCCTGCTTCGCATAGCTCAGCTTGCTCACCTGTCCCCCACCAGGCGGAGCAAATTAGTCGGCTTTACCTCGTATTGGATATTAATGCGTAGAGTGGGTGACGCTGAGCTCTGCTGCCACGAGCGAGCCCTGGAGGAGAAATCCTGGAGACGATCGCCGCGGCGCGATCATCGATGCTCTCGACCTCATGATCCATGCCCCAATTAAATCTCAACCCTCTATACTGGTCCCTGAAACCTAGATATTCGGACTTCGGTCCGGCTACCTCGCAACTGCTTCAGCCCCGCGATATTGCAGGGGAGCTTCAGCATCGTGGTGTGATAGTGCTAACGTCACATATACCGAAGCTAGACCCTACTGTCAAGATTGCATCTCATCTCTTGCTGTAGTGTTTCTTTCTGTCCCACACAAATCCTCCATATCGATACAATGCCCGAACCAATTTCTTCATCAGCGGGAAGGAATATGAATGAGCGCAGGCTTTCTCGTGCTGGGGAGCAGCATGGCGCGAACCAGGAACGAAAACTTCGATCGGCATGCGACGCCTGCCATAGTGCGAAAATACGCTGCTCGGGCGGTGCTGTACCGTGTACAAGATGTGAAAGAGAGTGAGTGGTGCCTTTGTACCATCGATCCAGTGGAAGCTCGAGGGCTGACATGTTGAAGTGGCGTGCAATGCCACTACAGCTTCCGCGCGAACCTTGGAAAGCCAAAAGGAAGCTTGAACAAGAAGACTTTGGAGCGGCTACGAAGGAATGCCGAGCAGCAGGCTGCTTTAGATCCAGCACCAGGACATGCGAGAGCGCAGTCCATCTCGAACTCGCCAAGTCATAACAGCTACGAACGGAACCAGCAGTTTCCGGAAAGCACTGGCAGTATGAGCATGCAGCGGACCATGTCTGCGTGCGATCCAATCTCCACATTGTCGATGCCTCCGCAGCAGCCGTCTACTCCTCTTTCTCCTGCGAACTTGGACGATATCATGGGACTCGGAAATAACTCATTGAGCGACAATTCTGGCTTCTCCAACTTGTCGATGTTTGACGATAGCATGCCGGATTTCCACGATTCGATTGACGTGATGCACCCCTTCTCCCCAAAATTCCCCTCAAGAGCGGTATGTTTTGTCCGAATTCGGTTTCCACAACCTCGTAGCTGATCAATTCATAGCCCACTCCACCAAGATTGCACTCATACACCTCTGTCCAGTCCATTCGACCGACCAGCTGCGAGTCTTCTTCCGACGACTCGTCAGACTCCGAATCAGACGAATGCAAAAAGCTCGAGGCCTTTACTCTCTTCGCATCCGCGTGTACACGAAAAGCCCAGCCTTCCGTCCCACCGCTCTACATGTCCCGTCACGACAGCTTTGCCTCTAATTGGGGCGCACAAGACTCTTACAACCCGATGCCCTCACCCACAACCACCGACTCGCAATCTTCACGTTCCCATACGCGCGTCGGCTCGCTATCTTGTGCATGCGCCTGCTTTCAGACGCTCACAGAGCAGCTATGCCAAATACGAGTCGCAGAAACGCAGCAGACAAGTCCTTATAGAGCTGCGGCCGGCATCGATACCACCCTCCACCGCACCACCTCGACTTTGACCTCGGTCTCCGCATTCCTCTCTTGCCCTGTTTGTTCCACCGATTTGCACGTCTTCTCAATCGCGTCTATGCTGCTCTCGACGACGCTCACACTTAGCGAGGCGCTGGTGACGCCAGGGCCGCAGCTTGACATCCGCATAGGCAACTATGCAGCGTCAGGGGCGCTCGGCGAGGTGGTCAAAACGGTGCTTGTGAGTACAGAGCTAGGGAAGCTGAAAGAGTTGCTGGCGGTGTACGGGCGTAAGGTGGACTGCCTGCAGGGCGAGGCGGCGCATGTTGATTTCCTGCGGTTTCAGGCGCGGAATCTGGATCGCGAGTTGAGGCAGATGACGAAGAGGGTGGCGGTGCCTGATTTGAGGGCGATAGCGAGGCGATGAGATTTCATTCAAGCTGCTCGGAACTCTGTGATCATTGGTGTTTGGTGTTCGATGTTTGACCAGGTACCTGGCGTTGCATGGATATATTTTCGTCTGCGATTTTGAGATTGGCTAAGATCAGCGTTGCTGGATCATGAATACCCGTTCCATTTACTATGTTAGTTAGCATGACACTCAACTTTTTGACAGTAATCAAGCATTGCGTGCGAAGAAGCTCCACCTCGAATCACCAAGCTTAAGCAAGCGTATCCTGCATCTCACCTTGGAAGCTTAGAACTGACGTCCATCCTGGCTCCTCGAAACCACGTGTGAAACCCAGGGTTTGGATCCTACAAATCGAATCCGGACAGCAGGGTAGCTAGGTCTCTATGCTCAGCAAGGGTGTCCCCAAATTAGCTTCCAATGTCCGCAGACTCCACACGTGATATCAAAATACTCACCGAGACCGCGCACGCCTCCGATTGGCGCGAATGCTCAAAAGTCCGCAAATGGCCTGTACAAAACAGCGACTGTTCAATACTTGAAGCTCTAACGACATCGCCATCAATCAGTATCATCTTAAACCATCTCAACACTCTTCGCAGAACACTCATCAAACCTCCACTTACAATGGCACCCCACGCCGAAGACGCCGTCCTCTCCCCAACCACTTCTCTCCCCGTAAAAGACACCTACCGCGGCCCGCGCCACGGCCTCGAGTACCACCGTCTCCGCACACAGCACGACCTAGTCCTCCACCAAGAAAACGGGAAGCTGATCCAATCGCCCCTGGACCTGTCCCGCACCAACCCCCCCCTCCGCATCCTCGACTCCGCCACCGGCGACGGCCAATGGATCGTCGAAGTCGCCGCGACGGTCTCCGCAACCGCCGAGCTCGTCGGCGCCGACATCGCGCCGCAGCACTTCCTCCCCGCCGCCAGCCTACCCAAAAACCTCAGCCTAATCACCCAGAGCATCTTCAACCCGTGGCCGGCCGAGTTCAAGGAGCGCTTCGATCTGAGCCACCAGCGCTTCGTGCTGGCCGTGGCGTCGGACGTGACCGCGCAGGAGGCGGTGGGGCATCTGTTCGCGACGGTGAAGCCGGGTGGGTGGATCGAGCTGCACGAGGGCGACATGGAGACGATCCTCGAGGGGCCGGAGCACCCAGCCATGATGAAGTTCCGCGACGTGATGGTCAGGGCGTGGAGGGGGCTGGGGCATCAGCCGTCGCCGGGGCCGACGCTGGAGGCGAAGCTGGAGGCGGTGGGCGCGGTGGAGATCGCGTTGAAAGTGCAGAATCTCAGGGCCGGGCCGATGGCGGAGGATAGAGTCCAGGGCGAGCGGGCGGTGTTGACGTTGCTGGGATTGTTGGATAGTATTCGTTTGTTTGTGGGGAGTAAGCCTGGGTTTTGGTTTTCGGCGGCTCAGTTCGATGAGTTGAGGGCAGATTTGGAGGCTGAGTTAAGGACGGTGGGGAATTCGTGGAATTTTCATATTGCGTGGGGGAGGAAGGCGGAGTAGAGACGGTGTCGAATCCTGCCCTTTGGCTTTGGGGTGGTTTCGCTGGGCATTGTTGTATTTTACGGCGTATGGAGTGCAAGTTTGAATACTTTGAACCGTTATAAGACCTATGTACGAACCTTCTGCATAGATGCACGATTCGGATTGTCAACCGGGTTTATTCCCCGAAATTAAACAAAACAAAAGGTACAAATAAGTGCGAACCCCTGAAGTAAATCCATCAATACCGGGTCCCTCTTTGGTCAAATCTGCGAAAAGAAGAAGATAACATTCGTCATTCGATGCCCCGTCTGGAATCGTAAAAAATCACAAATAAAATGGAGGAAGCTCTGGATATCATGGCCAATGTGCCTTTGATAGGTAAAGCAATAGCCAGATATAGGAAGACCTTATGCTGAATATTCCAAAGACGGTCATAACGACTTTCCGCATCTCGTCCGCGCATATTATGATAGCCGCCTCGACGATCGATTCGAGCCTGGCAAGGAGCTAGCTGGCCATGTAGACATAAAGAGATTGGTAGAAGGTAGAGGTGGTGGTGTGTTCTGGAGTGCCTATATCGACTGGTAATTGGAGGCCCTGACATCTTAAAGATCCATCAGTCGTTGTGTCTCATGTGTGTCTAGTCCCAAGTTAGACGATTTCACCGATGCCGCGCATTTCGAGCCACTCCGAGATACCCTGCAGCAGATCGATCTCATCCACCGGCTGATTGACTTGTATTCAAATAAGCTGGCTTTAGCATCTCGTGCCGACGATCTCCTGCGGATCTTCAAGGAGGGCAAGGTTGCCAGTATGATCGGAGTGGAAGGATTGCACCAAATAGGAAATAGCGCGAGTGTGTTGCGAATGTATCATAAGCTCGGAGTGCGGTATGTGACTCTAGCGCATAACAAGAACAACATGTATGCAGATAGCGCAGTAAGTATCCCGTTATGTATTATATTTGAAAGAGACATTCTGCGGCTAACAGAATTTAGGTTGCGAAGCGACCAGCACATAGTGGGCTTTCAGAGGAGGGGAAAGCTATGGTCAAGGAAATGAACAGGATTGGAATGTGAGCGCTCCGTGCTTCCGCCAAAGACAGACTATTAACCAAAACAGGATGATCGATCTGTCTCATGTCAGCGACGCAACTATGATGGCCGCTTTGGACCATTCAAGAGCGCCCGTAGCCTTCACACACTCGTCTTGCTACTCGCTTGTCAACCATGCCCGTAACGTTCCGGACAATGTCCTTGATCGACTGAAAGAGAACAACGGCATCATCATGATAAGCTTGATTCCACCTTTTACTCACAAAGATGGGGCCGCCGCAAATGTAGATCATGTTGTAGACCATATCGTACACGTTGCAGAAAGAATTGGGTTTGATCATATTGGCCTAGGATCTGATTTTGACGGAATGACAAAAGCGGTGAATGGTGTTGAAGATGTATCAAAGTGGCCCAATCTCGTGGCCAAGATGCTCTCGCGGGGTATCGCAAGAGAGAATGTTGAGAAGGTCTTGGGTCTCAACGTGGTCAGAGTCTTAAACGACATTGAGAGTGTTTCGAGAAGCTCAAAAGACTGGCCGGTGCTAGAAGACAAAGTTGAGCAGCTTTGGGACGAGGACTTCCGTGCATTCGTGAGAAAAGCATATCCGAATGCCGAACGAGATCAAAGATAGCATCGCGAAAACTGCAATTGGAAGGTATCAACATAAGAGAGAATATGAGACCGCTTTTCCTCATCGTCTATCGCCTCGTCCCCATATTTTGCTATGCACGTAGTCGTGATGCAGCCACATAGTCCACATGAGGCAGTCAAATCCTTTGAGGAACCAACCAGGAACATGTCCATCATCCGACTTGAATTGACGTACACCTCGTATTATGCAGTATTGTACTCGCTTCCAAAGTGCGTCAAAGGACCGCTTGCCGAGGGAGTATCGGAGGGTTTGAGGGGGGTTGAATGTGGGCTGCGCGACGAGCTTTTCTTGGTAAGACGGGGGAAGGGAGAGCTCATGAGCACCACGTATCAGGAGGCTCTACAATTCCAAGCGTGTCAGTAGAGGGGGGATATTCGAAGGGAAGGATGCGCATACCATGTATCGATATGAAGGTAATCGGTCATAAGAAGCGTCAAGGTCGTGACGCCCGGTTAGTGTGTAAACGATGGCCGTAGTGTTGTCTTTCTCAAAGGTCGCTACAGTCTTGGTCACTTTATAGGCGATACCACCACTGGATGAAGAATCAGTATTGATATAGGGATCGGAGGAGCAGACGCGTGGTGGAAGAGGTCGCGTATGGTGCACGGACCCTTCACTGGCAATAACTCGCCCAAACTCGTTGTCGCTCAGCAAGTACGCGACTCCATACACCGGACCAAAGCCTACATCCTTTTCATCCTCTTTGATCGCTCGAATGCCTCCCATGCCTGGCTCTGTATAAGGGACGCCTGGGATATTGAAGCAAAGAGTATGGCTCTTGATGCATGCGACCTCCGTCTCCAACGGCTGAATCTTCCGGTTCGTCTTGAAGACAGTCGCCGACATGTTCGAGCCATAGGCAAAGTACCATCGTGCAGACTCACGTGTTCCGTCCATTTTCCTTCATCAAGCAGTTTGAGATGCTAGACAGAATATCACCTGAAAGTAAAAGATCTGCAGACTCTCATGCTCCTCTTGCGGACTTCGTTGTTCTTTTCGGCGATTTTGTATGTACATACTGACCGAACCCGTTCATGACTCCTAAAACATATGCAGCGAGTGCCGTTCACAAAAATAGCAGAGTCCGCGTAGATCCCTCATGCAGCCCGGTCATGGCGGCACGTGTAAGTAGCGGCTGAATGCATTATCGTGCTTGTCTGTATTCAACTTAACGTTGCTGTGTTCTCGAACATACTAGATGCAAAATCAAGCCATGACCATCCTCCCGCAAGCCAAGCTCAAAGACTCGAGAAAGGACTCGGCATGCTCACGAGATTCCGCAACTTTGAGAGGCTCTACGGTTTACAGCGAGAAACCGACAAGTTTCGATGCCTCAAGGGAGAGCGTAACAGCACTACCGTCAATTGCAGACACCCCACCAGCTGAAGAGAAGGTTTACCCGAGTGGCTTGAAGTTTGGATTGATTGTTTTTTCTTTGTGCTTGGCTCTTTTCCTCGCAGGTCTCGTGAGTGTCCCTATAGCTGTTTATGCAAGATTTTACTCATACTCCCAGGACCAAACGGTCATCACCACCGCCGTGCCTAAAATAACTGATGACTTCCACGCCTTGGAAGATATTGGATGGTACACTGCCGCGTATCTTCTGACTACGGCGGTATTCCAGCTCGCCTATGGAAAGTTCTTCACATTCTTCTCTATCAAGATCGTGTTCTTGGTAGCATTAGCAATCTTCGAGCTCGGATCCCTCGTATGTGCGACGGCACCAACATCGACCGCCCTCATAGTCGGCCGATCTTTAGCTGGTCTTGGAGCTGCTGGCATCTTCCCTGGCTCTGTTCTCATCTTGATGCACTCATGTCCCCTAGAGAAACGCCCCACCTTCCTCGGGATCATCAATGCCATGTTTGGAGTTGCCTCTATTGCTGGGCCGTTTATTGGAGGAGTCTTTACTGACCGAGCGACTTGGCGATGGTGCTTCTGGATCAACTTACCCCTCGGGGCTATTACCTTGGCCGTAGTGGCCTTCTGTGTGAAGACACCTCTGGACCCGGCATACGCAAACTGGACGGTCATCCAAAAGCTTAAAGATTTTGACCTTTTTGGTCTTGTGATCAGCATCTCATCCCTCATCTGCCTTATTCTGGCTCTTGAATGGGGTGGTTCGATATACCCATGGAGTGATGGACGAGTGGTCGCACTACTCGTTGTTTTCAGTGTGCTGTTCTTAGTCTTCCTCGCAAGCCAAGTTTTCTTCAGCAGCTCTCGTACCGTACCGGCCCACATTATCAGGAACAGGAGCGTGTGGTTTGCAGCGCTCTTCGCGGCATGCAGTTCGGGATCCATGTTCATCGCCATTACGTACCTGCCTATCTACTTCCAAGCTATTAAGGATGCATCAGCACTAAAATCGGGCTCAATGGTTACCCCGTTGATATTGGGCTTCCTCGTCATGTGCATGGTCTCTGGGGCGATCACCACTATCCTAGGATACTACAATCCAAGCATGATCGCTGGCCCAATCCTCTCGTCTATAGGCGCTGGTCTCATCACTACTTTCAACGTGGACTCTCCTAGCCCTGTATGGATTGGATACCAAGTTCTTCTCGGCTTTGGCATTGGTTTCGGGCTACAACAACCGCTCCTCGTAGTTCAGACTATTCTTCCGGAGTCCGAAGTTCCCATTGGCGTCGCATTGATGAACCTTTTCCAAATGCTTGGAGGTGCCATATTCGTGGCAGTCTCTCAGAACGTTTTCCAGAATAATCTAAAAGCCGATATCCATCGGCTCTTTCCTACTTTCGACACGAAGACGCTATTCGATGTCGGCGCTACAGGTCTATCGTCACTGTTCGATGAGCAGCAGCTAAAGGAAGTTCTCCCGGTGTATTGCAAGGATATTACGAAGACATTTTACATTGTAGCAGCTTTATGTGCTATGTCGATGATTGGCGCTTTGGGCACAGAGTGGAGGACAACGAAGAAGAAGAGCCCCGACGTTCCAAAAGCATAAGTTCTCTTTTTTCATCTCATCATATCTAGATACATCAAATGGAAATCTGATAATCCACTGTCGCTGGAACACCCATTTGCGGATTTGCCCCCGGAGTCATGTCAACACACATATGCTTCGCTAGACTGAGATAATTCCTCTGACCCTGGCAGATACTCGTCTTGTATGTGTAGAGCCACAGCGACAAGTGATTCTGCGACACACCATGCGAAGTCCTCAGACCTGGGCCAGCATAGCCTCTTCCTCGTCCCGTGTGCTCGAGGGTCTAGCCTCCTCAACAGCTTCCACCGACAGTTTTGCCCGAGGTTCCTCAGACGCATCACCCGTCACGGTATCCATCGAGTCGCGATACGGCTCCTCATCCGGATACAAGAGAGGACTGTACTGCGCACCATCATGCGTACGCTGTGCAGTCTTCCGCCTACACTCTTCGCACTCGCGGCACACCAAGAACCCCCCGGGGAACCAAGCTGCGTACATCTGGGTGAAGGCGATGTAGAAATGGATGGCACTATCTCCTCGTCAGCTATCTGTCTGAACCCAATACCTGGAGCTCTCACACAGGAATCAACTCACGTATTCACCATGAGTAGCGCCGACGCATACGCCTCCACGATAATATAATCGACTTGCTTGATTCGCCATGCGAACCGCCTTCGCTCAACGACCCAGAACGGGATGAGGATACCGAAGAGAAACATGCCTCCGATGATCACGTCGATGGCGATGGAGAGGTTGGGTCGGCGGCGCGCGAGGCTCCTGCCTTTGTGGGTCAGGTGGACGAGGCCGCTCAGGGACGAGCAGAAGAGGGGGAGGATGCCCATGCCGATGATGATTCCATTAGAAGCGATTGCGCCGCCGAGGGAGAAAGCTAGGCATGGAATGAAGGTAAGGACGGTGATGAGGCGGAGGGTGCGTTCGACGTCGGTGGGGGCCATGGTGGGTGGTTGTGTACGGTATGGTAGGATGGAACGGGCTACACGTTTGGATGAATAAATGCGAGATTTATCTACAAGCAGAGATACTTCTCTGATCTTAAGTGGAAATACGTTCCTACGTTAGAGCTGCTGCGCTGTGGAATTCAAAGAACCCAATGGGGCCCGAGTACTTCTAAGGGTATTGACGTTGTTAGGGCCCCCATCTTATCGCTCTGCCAACGCGGGGCGCAGCAACCAAGAGGTGTATCAGAAACATCAGCCTAGGACGATTTCTGACGCGCGTTCGGAGAATCCGCTCGCTATGTGATTCGTACTGTGTTTAACGGGAGGATTTAAACCTTGCGACATGCTGGGTTCGGGAACACTAATGTGGTTGTCTTGGAGAAATGATTGGACGTCGGAAGCTAGAAATGCTGCATTTGATACATGTACGGCCAGAACAAGTGATCGTCCCAGCCTTGTTGATCCCACTTTGCATGGCAAGGCAGACTTTTGACTTTAGATCTAGAGGGGAGGGTACATCTTTACAACTTTAGATAAAATGGAACTATCTAGTATGAGGCTATCTTGAAGAGCAGATCTCTACTTCATGCTGACGAATGATGCTGGTGTTGCGTGAAAGAGAGAGAGTAGTTGAGATGGTCACGTGGATCTACGCCTTGGCTAATATACGCACTAATGGGTCCTACCTAGACTTAATGCCTATATTGATCTGGTATATATAACCTCACTATTCCCTATCCTTGCACATCTAGAGCTGTTGAATCTCATATGATATGAAACGAGTCACGTGGATGGCTTAGTAAGCAAGCGCCTGGACGGCTTCGCGCCTTGGTGCCTGGCGTCCACCCTGACAGCTGCCTACGAAGCAGCCATTCTCAAGGGAAAATGAGGAGGCTGGGAGAACATATGCCAAAAAGGGAAAAGGTAGTAATGCAACTTGAGAGCTGCCTGTTGGAGCCTCGTCGCTATATAACCTAAGCCGCCCTCAACCTCTCTCTACCTTGAACTCACCCTGCTGTTTCAATTTCATCATCCTCAAAATGACTAGCGCCGAAGATCTATTATCATCCCAGCCCTGTAGGTTCCTTTCACTCCCTCGAGAGATTCGAGACGAGGTCTACTCCTGGCTTGTCCCTCAGCCGCCAGATCATCACCGACGAATCTGGCTACATCTGCCTCCATCGCAGGACGATGAACCACACTCCCCGGAGCCTACGGAAAGCAACATGATGGAGGCGCTTACTCTTGAGACCAATGAAAAGGTTTCATCAGCCATTATAGACGTCGATGTTGATCAAAATCCGAAATACATCACAAGATATGCAGAAAGCGATATTGGGTCTGATTGGACATACGGTAGTTTATTCATCAATCTCTATATCCCAGCCGATATCTGATTGCTTTTCAGAATCTTCTTTGTATGCTAGCAGCGTTTCAGAGTCCGATCTGCATGAGCCTAGCTCTGACCATGACGAGTCGGGCTCTGACGAGTCTGGCTCCGACAACGAGAATCTAGACGCGGAGTTCAAGCTACCTAAAAGGCACACAGAAGCTAGTGATGGACCCATAGTGACGGAAACCTGCATTCTGGATATCCTCCTTATCAACCGCCAAATTCACCATGAGTTCATGGAGAGCTTCTCTCGGAAAGCCAACATCTGGCTCTACGTCCGGATGGAGAACACAGCCGAAGACCCATGCACCTTCACTTTCGATCCAAAATTCTGGAAACTCCCATATCTTCGAAGCGTACGACGGCTCTTTATCATTGCGGAATGGCACTCCCGCCTCGGGCGAAACATGTGGGGATACGTCTACGGGCCAGATGACCACCCCTCTTTCGACATCCACTACCCTGAAGATCGCAACAGGGTCCAGCCTCTACCGCAGAAGGTCCCCTCGCGGCCACAACCACCCAACTACGTCTTTCCCTACACTGTGAACAACCTCGAAGCCGACGTGTATCCGGAACAACCAGGGCCTGTGTATCGAAGCGTGCAGATTGAAGACCTCCCGCGACCAGTTACAGCGCACTACACCGACCGCCGCAACATCGGACGAGAGCCACATCCCACTCAACCGCGTTGCGACATGGATGCTCTCAATGCCTTTTGCAAGGACGCCGCGTCCGCGTACGAGGAGCTCGGTGATGTCGTTGATAGCTTTCTTGAACGAACGAAGAACGTGACCGGACTCGATATCACGCTCAAAACCAACTGCTATGAATACGATGGGTGGAACTTCCATGACGGCGCCCATGAGGATACTATCATACGGTTCAGGCCGGCACATCCCGGTGTCAAGTATATTGCGAAGACGATTGTTCAAGATGACGTGGTGGTGAGGCGGAGAGAGGAGACGTTCATTGAGGGTGCGGGTTGGCAATACTACCTGGGCGGATCGCTTTTGGGGCAGAAGTCGCGGATAGAGGAGCAGAAGTGGGATTTCAAGGAGGAGGGGCCGTATGTTATGAAGAGGGAGGGCCCGGATAGCGAGTGGACTGACTGGGAAATTGACTAAGAGTACAAAGTGAAGTCTCGGTGTTACTCCTAGAGCGGTTTGAATTCGTGAATTTCGGGACAGCGTCAGCAGGGTGTACGCAGATCAGCTGCAATGCCTTGTCGTAGAATAGAATTTTGTACAATCGTTCACCGCTGCATGAGGAGCCTCGTAATGTTTTCATCACTTCAAATGAAAGAAATGTTCGGCATTTTGGACAACGGGGAAAGTCGCGAGGCTACCCCAGACGGCGTCAACAGAGCGTACGCAGATTGGAGGTGTGCTCGTTGCCTTCGGTTTCTATTAGTACGCTGGAGGCCCACGGAAAGTAGCAGGGAAGCGTACGGATATTTATAGCAAAGAACTGCAGACAAAGGTTAGTTCCGATCTCTATATTTCAATTCGCATTTGTTCGTCACGTGATTTATCTTTGCAATCATGGTTTCTTGCAGATACAGTAGCTGCTTGAGATATTTTTGAAGCTGGAAGACATAGGGTTGCCTCTAAGAAAATCAAATGACACAGTGCCAGTCATCTCATCCGTGGGCAGCTCGTGGACCTTGTCGACTTTGGTCGTATCTGTATCCGCCGATTCATCATGAGGTTCCTCTCTTATTGTCCATTTTTTTAATAAAACTTGCGACAACCCGCTCAAAATCGGAGTGCTTGCTCTGATACTCAAAGATGTCGGCGTGTTCGGTTTCTTCTAACCATTCTAGAACCTCATCAACGATTCTTCGCATTTGTGTAACCACTGAACCCGATGGATGTGAAAGAAGCTCGTGGTGTCTTATCTCTAGCGCCGCTTCCTCTAGCTTATTTCTTGCGCCAATGCGCTTCTTTTCAGCATTCTCATTCGCCGTAAAGATCGCAGCCTCAGCCTTCATTTTCTCGATTTCGTCGCGACCCAAGCGTTCATAGGCTTCAAGGCTAGCAGTTTTTGATGTACCAGTGGATCGGTCCCGTACTGTCACATTCACACGGCCCTGGGCGTCGACATCAAATGTGACCTCGACCTGAGGAACACGTCGTGGAGCTGCCGGTACTGGTATTGAGATTCGTCCAAGTTTATTGTTGTGCACAACTCGTACCCGAAACCCTTGCAAAACAGTCAAATAACATTCCGACTGGTTATCTTGCCAAGTGGTGAAAAATATCGGACCTTTTGGTGGGTAACATCATGTTACGTTTGATGACTAACTCCATCAAACCGTTGCCTTTATCGAAGCCAAGAGGAAATGGCGTACTATTCAGGATGAGGATTTCATCTAGTCTGCGTGAAAATTCCCCTCCGGGCATTTCTTCTTGGGGATTGAATTTGCCAGCCTGAATTGCGGCCCCTCATGCTGCGGATTCATCGGGATTGAGTATCTTTGAGATGGGTTCGCCATCGAAATATTGCCCCAGTAGTTTTTGAGTATAGATAACGCGAGACGACCCTCCAAGAAGAACGACCTCATTAATACTTTCCTTACACCTCTGGAGATCTTTCATCTCGCCCTCCCTCAGCACTCGCTCAAAAGGATCGATTACAGAACTAAACGAATCTCTGCATACCTCCACAAAATCCTTCCGTGTAATTGGCTAGTGGAAGTTGATGTCTGAATACAACGAGTCGATTTCTAGATGTGCTTCTTGTTGGGAAGAGAGTTGGCATTTTGCCTTTTCGCATGATTTTCTCAGGCGGAGCATACTTCGGGCACTGACCGTGATATCATGGCCTGTCTTTCTTTTGAACCTCTGAATCATCCTGTTCATGATTCGTATGTCAAAGTCCTCGCCGCCGAGATGGAGGTCACCGGCTGTGGCTTGGACTTCTATGATTCCTTCTCCGATTTCTTGTTCAATAGTACTGAGCATTACGCTGACCGTGCCCGCTCCTACATCGACAAAGAGAACATTCTGCTGGCCAGTGCGCACTTCACTGAATACGTAGTCCAAGGAGGCAGCGGCGGGGGCACTGAAGAAGTTGTAAACATCCATTCCTGCGATATGGGCCGCATCACGGATAGATTGACGCTGAGACTGATTGAAGTATGCCGGAATGGTGAAAATAGCGCCTTTCGGTTGACTTCCCAGGTAGGCCTCGGTGTTCTCTTTGACTCTAGCTATTATCATTGCAATTATTTCCTCGGGCTTTAGATATTTCGTTTCGCCCCGGTACTCAACTTGAAAAGCGGGCTTCCCATGTATAGCTATGATCCGCATGGAAGAGTGTCTCAGATCGTATTGTACCTCAGGATCAGCGAATTTGCGGCCGATAAACCGCATAGCATTGAAGATTGTGTTTCATGGATTGCTTGCCGCTTGGTTCTTAGCAGCGGAGCCTACAAGACGGTTCGTATCCGTGAACGCTACACAAGATGGCATGGTGAGACAGCCATCGTCCAGGTCGGGAATGATCTCAACTTGGTCGAAGCGCCACACGGCAGCACAGGCGCACGCAGTTCCGAGGTCTATTTCTATGGCTCTTTCCATCTTGACAGAGAGAATTCTTTGGATGATTTAATGTAGACATGGACAGAACGTGCGTAGGCGGCAACACGAGGCTGGAGTGGGAAGTAAGCTGGGAAAAGAAGCGGCGCTTTGGCTACGAGCGCATGGCATGACGACGACTAGATGGGTTATACATTGCGTAAATGTTTCCTGGAATCAAAGATGGGATAAGAGTAGACTCGAATCAAAGATGTGATAAGAGTAGAAGAGGCTCCATATACCTTCTAGGCGCATCCGGTGAACTGGTGCAGATTTGGAGCCACAGATGGAATAGGCGGTATTAGAGCGCAGGAAGCCCTTTTCTGGACTGATTTTTACTGAGGCTGAGCTAAATCTGCTAAAAGCACGGTACCACGAGGTGCTACTTTCAGAGATTACCCCTCTTTACGGCTGACTCGGTGACTTGATATCCGCGCCAGTTCACCGGATGCGCCTAGGAGGTGTAGGTCGATCGAATGTCGAGTCGGAAGATTGGGTGAGAGTCCAAGCAACCGCGATCGACGAGGGGTACCACCTACTAAAATACCCGTGCACCGTGCTACCTTCAGCTCGTACAGGGTTCGCTTGCACGTGAGTATGTGATTCACAAAGTTTCATTGCTTGAGATCGCTTTGATCTATTCTATCTTACAAGAGCATTACAGCTTCTGCGCCCTTACATGCTGTCCTATGATCCGGTCTCCTGTAATCAGCTCGATAGCCCGTTATCTCAGGACCTCAGCTGCTTCATGAGGAATGTGTGGTTGCACAGGTCAATACCGACCATCACACCACCTGCAACCCCATATTCCTCTGTGAAGCAAGTTTCTATTGCTCAGAATGTGACACTCAAACTCCCCTACCCTCAACCTTGATCGATCGTGATTCAGTGTGCACGAGCCGTCAACATTTCTCTCGTGCGAAGCTACAGTGTGTAGATGGATTCAGCTGTATTGGACGCCTCCATGCAGCAGGGTCCGTGTCTAACCTCCCACGGCGCCTATCAAATTAGAATATCACGCGCCAAAATGGGGGCCAGCGAGTACAGAGGTGCAATCTCGCGCAAGGAGCCGCAAGGCTCATACTTAAGGTCCAGTACCGTAGGCAATTACCCTACTACCTACGTTTTCAATCTTGACGAGCAACTTGAACAATGTTATCGAACTATTGCAAACCGAAAAAGAAGGGTGGGATCAAGAAGTGCGGGATCTACTTCAACGTCCAAATGCCGACGTAAATGCCAGAAATCACGACGGAACGACTGCTCTACTGCTCAGGAGATGGCTTACAGATTATCTCAACTGCATGAACGGAATGAACGAAATTTGGAACTTTTGGAGCTATTTCAGGAAGTTCCGGATGGCGCTGTGGCTAAAGGAATTCCCAACAGCCCACAGGACGAGCCGTCGCCCTTGACTTCTTTTCAGTGAAAGACGAGGGGCGCGATTGGCGGCCACACCCGGACAAGATTTTGCAGTGTTTCGACTTCTCTTTACCGCCTAAAAAATGATTAAGGCCATGACGGATACGTTGCGGAAGAAAGGGGAGAGTGTATGGATTCACGTCCGAAGTCTCAATGTATGTATCCGTTGTAAGTGCTCTAATCGTTGACGTCTTACTTACGACTACTACAAATCTTGTGGGTAAAGGTAAGACACTACGTTCATCATTCTTCTAGAAAGACGATCGTACAACACGCTAATACAACATTTCTAGTGGGTGGTGAAGCACCTACCGACATCATATGAATGGCCAAAAGCACCAACCTAATCGGTATCATTGATGAAGCTCTGGAAGAAGCCAGACGGCCGTCGAATCGCCGGCAAGCCCACTACACTAAGAAGGAGAATGTGGCCTCCGCTGTAGTAAGAACCAAAGAGATGTTGTGTAGCAGCCTCAGGCTTACCTCATAATGCAGATGCCATATTTCACGGCCGAAATTGGCGATTTTCTCGAATCACGAAGTCGTCACCTTAAGGGGTCACGCGAACCGGACGGGGGCTATTGCCTGCCGTGGAAGCTCCTCGACGATTGCGGACCCGAGAGCCAAGTTGAGAAGCAGAAATGCACTATGTACATCCCTCAAACTTTAGATCAGTCGTATTTGACGACAACTCAGTTTACTGGAGACCAAGCCTCTGATCAGGTCATCTACCGATGGAGGAAACGAGAGGAAGCTCTCAAAAAAAAAGGGCAGGGGCCCCTAAAAGGGGAGAGGAGGTCCAAGCGAACAATGATGAGGCTCCCGATGACGAGGCGAAATTCAACGGCAAGCTTCTGATGGTGAGCCAAGTATGGCTATGGCAAGTGGATAGTAAGCAGTTAAACTACGGTCGGATACATGACTCTAATGCCCGGCTTGTGGCGTCCCCGGACCCGTGGACTGAGGCCGAGGGCACTTCCTTGTTCGACAAATTACATTCTCTTTGGTTCCAAAACCAGGAAGAAAGTATCGAGAACTTTGTATGGCAGGTGCTTCATCAGTGCATTAATAGTTCGGATGAGCCAGTGTACAGAGGGCCGGGAGGATCGGAAACTTGGGCATCCATATTTGCAAAAAGCATTGCTGCTCGCGTACGTTATCGCTGAGCCCATGTTTCACTTACTCGCTGCTAATGGTAAGTAGCGTCTAGAAGAAACAAGACGGTACACAGAGTTTAGCGAGTACATCCGCGATGCCAGCAAAAGGTCGAGCCTGAAGCAATCGAAGAGCGAAGAGGAACGCAAGAGGGAACTCAAGGCGCTGTATGACATTTCTCCTGAAACCGAAGAACTGCGACAAACAAGAGACATTCGAAACGAGTTGGAGATGATTGGACGAGTCTTTGACACCCAGGACGCTGTTTTTAAGGACTGGGGAAAAAGGAAAGCAAAGGAAGATCCTGACAGGACCAAGAAAGCAAAGGAAGATCATGATAGGACCCAGAAAGCAGATCCTGATTGGATCCAGACAGCAGATCCTGATAGGGTCCAGAAAGCAGATCCTGATAGATACCAGAGAGCAGATCCTGATTTTGCCGGAAAGCGCGAAGGTCTGAAGAAACTCGATGAGGAAGCTCAGCGCATCGAGAAACGAGTATCCCGCCCACTCCACGCAAAGCTTAGACTGCTACTAATGCAATCCAGTTCAACCAGCTCCTCGATCTCAAGCAAAAGCAAGGTAGTTTAAACTTTGCTGCCGACGCCTACAATCGCGACTGGGAAAACGAGAAGCAGTCTCAACTTCTTTTCGTGTTCACAGTCATCACCGTTGTTTTCGTAAGTAGCACAGCAGCTTCAAATCCGCGCTTTCGCTCATGATTTACCAGACACCACTCAAATTCATCGCTGCATATTTTGCCATTCCAACTGATAAATACCCTCATCCTGGCAACGGGGACGCCGTCAGTTGGAAGTTATGGCAATCTTCCGCTGCCTTGGGTATGATAGTATCCTATCATAGCCTAGCTTTATGCGTTTGCTAACAAGACGTCAGTTGTGACGGAAGTCTTGTGCCTACTTCCAATTGCCCTATGGTTTGTCGCGAAAATGCACAAGGGTGCGCAGTTTCTTCAAGAAACTCTCTACGAGGGAGTCTCGGAAGGGACTCTTCAGAGAAGTGCAAAAGTCCTTCAAGACACGTTGCACGATGGCGCATTGGACGGAACGCTCTCAAAAGGTGCAGGACGCTTTTAAGAAACACTTCCGATCGAGTACAGACCCACAGCCCGGGGGTAAAGAAAACTCAGTCAAGAAGAATCAGGGTGACGGTGTCGTAAGGGTTGGAATAATCGCCGTAGTTACTGCACCTGCTCTCCCAATGCTGCCTGAGACGCTCGGTACTGAATCGGTGGTAATGGAAGAGACCTCGGTTGTGAGGTCTGAATTAGAGGATCGAGATGTCTTTATGTGACTTCCAGGAGCTAGTTCCTATTTTTCGAAAGTCAGCTTCAGCCTTGTTTGATCGTGATGGCGGGAAGCCACCCTAAATTGATGCTGGGTCCACATGCTGACACAGAAGAGCCGCCTTAGACTAGGAAACATGAACAATTGAGCTTAAGGCCTTCTTGCAAAATTTCGTGACCTCTATGTGATCTGTGAACGATTGGATATACTGTAGATCCAGCGGTTTTCCGCCTGCACGAAAGTGTATGAGGTCGCCCTACCTACTCAAAATAAGCTGAATGAGATGTTAAATTCGGTACACTTCAGATTTGATATGGAGGGTGGAGGGTCATGCATGGATATGACGGGGATCTCTAGGTATAATAATTCCCGGAGCTTTATGCAAGTCGCGCCAAGACCATCCCCTTCAACGCGAGACGCGCCCGCGTCTCCCAGCTTCAACTTTCCACACCTCTCCAATTCTCTCAGCGTCGTAGCAATCATGGTCCGGGGCATCGAAGGCAACGAGATGTCAACTCCGAAGCCCCCCACGCTCAAGAAAGCCGCCTCCGCCTCGCAGTCTGCCAAAAGCCAGAAGTCCATCTTGGGCTTCTTCCAGAAGAAGACGGATACTGGCTCCAGCCCTGCTCCCGCCTCCTCACCACCAGACCCCACTCCTGTGAAGAAGGAGACGCTGTCATTAAGCAGCAAGAAGATCTTATCCGTCCGTCGGACCGCCACAGCGGCATTGACGCCGGCCCCGAGCAGCGACCCCCCAGAACCATCCAGTCCCGTCTACAGTGAGACCGAAGCTGGGAGAGGGAAGAACAAGGAGAATGGTCTGCCATCTCCAGTCACGCCTGCTAGTAATGAAACTGATCGCGTCTTGTCAGAGCTTGCAGGTGTTGCGTCTAGTCCGATTAGAAAGGTACCGCATTCACTCTTCCTCCTTCAAGTCAGCCCTTTGTTATTATACGTTCTGATCATCCATAGGGAAAAAAACCCGTGAGCTACGCCGAATCCGACGACGAAGATGACGAGGTCTTCCAACCAATATCTGCAAACGCCAGAAAAGGCCGGGCTACAAAACGGAGGCGTGTCAGTCTGGAGGACTCGGACGACGAGTTTGGTGTGGATGCAGCTACGGAGGAGGCTATGCTAGAAGGTATGTTAACTAAAAGTGATCCAGGATAAACAGACTTGATTCTGTCAGTCACTACTAGACTGCCGTTGACATTGAGACAGACATGGAAGATTTCATTGTCCCTGACGACTCAGACGAAGATGCTGTTGTCCCGCAGAAGCGCAAGCGCCAGCCTGCTAAGCAATCGCGAAGCAAGTCATCGCCTCTGCCGGCACCACCTCCCCCAGCGGACGATGACAACGAAGACATTGAAATGCATACGGTCTCGACAGCACAACAATGGACATACGACCCTGAGAACCTCGAGCCCTTACAGCCTCGCTCCACAAACGTCCCAGCCAAGAAGCCAAAGGACAAAAATATGAAACAAAAGGCACACGTTACAGAACCGGAGGCAAGATACCCTTGGTTGGCCAATCTTCTGGATGCTGATAGGAACCCCCCTGGTCATCCTGACTATGATCCTCGAAGCATATACATCCCGCCACTAGCTTGGACCAAATTTTCTGCGTTCGAGAAGCAGTACTGGGAGATCAAGCAAAAGTTCTGGGACACCATCGTGTTCTTCAAGAAGGGCAAGTTCTACGAGCTTTACGAGAACGACGCCACCATTGGACATCAACTCTTCGACCTTAAGCTCACAGATAGAGTCAATATGAGAATGGTCGGCGTCCCTGAAGCTTCCTTAGACACTTGGGCCAATCAATTCGTCGCAAAAGGTTTCAAGATTGCAAGAGTAGATCAGATGGAATCCGCTCTAGCAAAAGAGATGCGCGAGAGAGGCGGAGAGAAGGCGGCCAAGGCGGACAAGATTATCAGGCGAGAGCTTGCTGCTGTGCTCACAGCCGGAACTTTGGTAGATGGTGGCATGCTTCAAGATGACATGGCGACCTTTTGCGTCGCCGTGAAGGAGAGCGAAAAGGATGGCCTGCCTGTCTTCGGCATTGCGTTTGTCGACACCGCCACGGCGCAGTTCCAGTTGTGCGAATTCGTTGACGATGCCGACATGACAAAGTTCGAGACCTTCGTCGCCCAAACCCGCCCTGGAGAGCTCTTGTTAGAGAAATCCTGCATCTCTGCTCGAGCTCTGAGAATTCTCAAGAACAACACCACTCCAACCACGCTCTGGAACTATCTAAAGCCAGAAAAGGAGTTCTGGTCTGCTGATATTACATCTCGCGAAATTGACGCCAGCGAGTACTTTGTCTCGCCTGACCGAGAAAACATCGAAGCGTGGCCGCAAGTACTTCGCGAGGCAAGAGAGAAAGAATACGTTATGTCTGCATTTGGCGCACTTCTACAGTACCTCAGACTTGTAAGGAAGCCGTAACTCGTCTGTTCGAATGTCTGCTAACATGTTGCAGCTTAAAATAGAGAGAGACCTGGTCACCCTAGGGAATTTCGCTTGGTATGATCCTATCAGAAAGGCGACAAGCCTCGTTCTCGACGGCCAAAGTCTCATCAACCTCGAGGTACCATTTCACCCCATACATCACTAGTGAGAATTCACTAATTGTGTTTAGATCTTCGCCAATACCTTCGACGGCTCCACGAATGGGACTTTGTTCTCAATGTTGAATCGTTGCATCACTCCATTTGGGAAGCGAATGCTCAGGAACTGGGTGTGCCATCCTCTGGCAGACTCAGTCAAGATCAATGCTCGCCTGGATGCTGTTGACGCTTTAAACGCGGACTCCACGGTCATGGAACGCTTCACTTCCTCCCTTACCAAGCTGCCCGATCTAGAACGACTGATTTCACGCGTGCATGCTGGGCGATGCAAAGCTCAAGACTTTCTTAAAGTCGTGGAAGGCTTCGAACAAATTGAGTACACCATGACTCTTTTGAGTTCATTTGGGGAAGGAGATGGCGTCATTGGCCAACTCATATCCTCAATGCCCAATCTGGCTGGTACACTCAAGAAGTGGAAGTCTGCTTTTGATCGGGAAAAGGCGAAGTCAGAGGGTGTTCTCGTTCCGGAACCAGGCGTCGAAGAAGATTTCGACGACAGCCAACAGGCGATTGATGAATGCCAGGCCGACCTTGAGAAGCTCCTGAAAAAGGCCAGACGTGATCTGAACTCCACTGCCATCATCTTCAAAGACAATGGGAAGGAGATCTACCAGTTGGAGGTCCCTAACAAAATCAAAGGGATCCCGAAGGACTGGGACCAAATGTCTGCCACGGCGAAAGTCAAGCGCTACTACAGTCCCGAGCTCCGGAAGCTCGTTCGTGCTCTTCAGGAAGCCCAAGAAACCCACGGCCAGATTGTACGAGATGTTGCTTCACGTTTCTATGCTCGATTCGACGAGGACTATGCTACTTGGCTTGCTGCTATCAAGATCGTTGCTCAATTAGACTGTTTGATCAGTCTCGCAAGAGCTTCCGCCTCGCTAGGTGAGCCATCGTGCAGACCCGTCTTCTCGAATGACAAGAGAACTGTTGTCGAGTTCGAAGAGCTACGCCATCCATGCATGTTAACGAGCGTGACGGACTTCATTCCAAACGATATCAAGCTAGGAGGGGATACCGCAAATATCGACTTGCTCACTGGTGCCAACGCCGCCGGCAAGTCGACAATCCTAAGAATGGTACAACACCCCCTCCCCATAGCCCTAAATCTCCTTATCTCATCAATCACTAACTCCCACCTAGACCTGCATCGCCGTCATCCTCGCCCAAATCGGCTGCTACCTCCCCGCCACCTCGGCCCGCCTGACCCCCATCGACCGCATCATGTCCCGCCTGGGCGCCAACGACAACATCTTCGCCGCCCAGTCGACCTTCTTCGTCGAGCTCGCCGAGACCCAGAAGATCCTCTCCGAAGCGACTCCCCGCTCTCTCGTCATCCTCGACGAGCTCGGCCGCGGCACCTCATCCTACGACGGCGTCGCTGTTGCTCAGGCCGTCCTCCACGACATCGCTACCCGCGTCGGCTGCGTTGGGTTCTTCGCTACCCATTACCGCAGTCTTGCGAGGGAGTTTGAGATGCATCCCGAGATTCGCGCGAAGCGTATGCGCATTCGCGTTAATGAGGAAGACCGCAACATCACGTTCTTGTATAAGCTGGAAGATGGCGTTGCCGAGGGGAGTTTCGGGATGCATTGCGCGGCTATGTGTGGGATCCCGAGTAAGGTCGTTGAGGCTGCTGAGCAGGCTGCGAAGGCGTGGGAGCACACAAGTCGCCTCGGGGAGCGCATGGAAGTGCAAAGAGGAGAGGGAAGGGTGTTTCTACCCTTGGGCGTGCAGAGTGATGTCGCATGGACGCTGAGGGAGGGGTTGGAGGGCGTTGGGGAGGGGACGTTGGAGGTTCTGAGGAGGGCGATTGAGGGGTTGTAGGTTTGTGCGGAAAACAGGAGGATGTAGTGGAGATTGTGAGCGAGTCGTGTGCGGGTAATGTGGAGAAGTATGTTTCTGGGTGTCGGCTGGGGGGATGGCGTCCTGAGAGAGTATGCTGTATAATAGGCCACAGAGTCTTGATCAAGGTCTCGCAATAATTTTAGAGCGATTAGCGGGGAAGGTATTAACTAGGATTCTCTTTCATCATGGCAAAGGCTTTGAACTGCTGTAGTGACGTGGTTCCGTGAAGTTGTTCTTGCTATTCAGAGTCGCCAATGTCAAGTCATTTGGAGCATATGTGGCTGGTACAGTGGCTAGTTCTGGGTATGTGTATACTCCTACCAGTGCGCGTAGTGCTTCAACGCACTGATCGAACGCCGGGGAATGGTTCACATTTCTGATATATGTACAACCTTTGGCTGATTTCTGGGCACGCGGGGCATAGAAAAGGTGGCACACTAATTCTACAGCAAGCGTCTCATGTGTACACCTGTCTGCCACTGCTTGGGTTGCTTCAATGTATTTTCAGGGATGTAAAGAAGATAGATGCGCTTCGCCTTGGGCTATGTGGAAACTTGTTGAAGCACTTCCTGCAGTGGTAAACAGGCGTACATATGAGACACTTGCTGTAGAATTAGTGTGCCACCTTTTCCATGCCCCGCGTGCTGGGGTGGCCTCGCGCGTTGATCAGTCGTTCCAAAAAGGCCGGACGTCAATTTAGTTTGGGAATCATAGCAGGACACTGCAAGCGCAAGCGCGCGCCATCAAGTTTTATAGACTTCAGATTCACGTGTAGCTATCGAAATCTCAGCTACAACTGATCCAATTGCCGCCCTCCCTCTAAACGCCAAAAGAAAAAGCCTGGTTCCGCTCAGCTCAAACATTCAAACCCCAGAGCGACGTGGCGGTAAATAGCTTTCTGCAAGTTCGCTGAATGGGGGATGTACCAAGATCGGGGTAAGTGTGAATGACAAGAACTGGCTGGGGGATATCGCAGAAAAGTGAAGTTGGGAAGTGCAAAATCTCAAAGCCCAGCCCGGGATCCCGTGAATTTGGGTAGTGGAAACCTCCCAGTGCCCAGAACAGAGAAGAAGGCAGATCTCGAAGTTCGATGTCGCAGTGGCGCTCATTCCTCGTCGTCCTCGGGCTTGATGCCCAGGAAGTCGTTGGTCGACTTGATGAGCTTATCAGCTTCACCCTTGACGGCAAACTTGGAGGAGAAGGTCTCGTCGTCGTCGGAATGGCTCTCTGTAGCGGCAGCTGCCTTCTTTTTGGGGGTGCGAGCCTTCTTCGGAGACCCGTTGCCGTCGCCGTTGGCGTTCTTGCGCTTCTTCGGGGTGTTCGTAGCGGTGGAATCGGTAGCCTTGGCCATCGGAGTGCCGTTGGCGTCAGCAGCAGCGCGGAGCTTGCGCTTGATTTTGCCAAGAGTGACTTGGGCGGACTGCAGAGTGTAGCCGGTCAGCTCGGCCAGCTTCTTGTAGTCGACCTGCCGGATGTTAGAAACTAGGAAGATCTAGAGAGATGGAGTGGTCACTTACGGTGGGTTCAGTGGCGAAGCATTGCCAAGCGAGAGCGAGAGTGCTCATCTCTTTCTCGGAAAGGGTCAGAGCGTTGGCAGAAAACATTCTGGTGGATATCGGAAGGAGTTAAAGAGGATGAGAGTCTTGACTGGATGTGGAAAGGCTTGAAGAGGTTGAAAGCTTGTCTTGTGAATCGAGAAGAGTGATCGAAGAAGTGTGTTGTAGAAGGGTTCAAGAAGAGGAAGGCTGCTTGAACTAAATAGTTCGCTGAAGGTTGCCAAGACGAGCTAATCTACGCCCAGGAGCAGTGAAGTTGGAAGGCCGGTGAAAATCCGCGTTGTGAGACGGTTCTTCCCACAAAATGTATGGCGAAACAGTTCACTTTGTGATATGTGACAAAAGTGGTGAAGGCTTGGCGAAGACATACTCTGATTGGCCCGAGACTAGCCACCATCGCCCGAGGAACGGCGAACTTTGTGACAACTTGGCGGAGACAGACTCGATGTACGCCACGAATGAGTGGATGCCTTCAGCCTTTGGCTAAAATCGTCGATTGATTACTATTCTCTGAAAAGGGGTACACAGATGGTGGTTGCCTTGTCTGCCTTGATATACCAGTACCAGATTCCGTTGAACAGTGGCAGTCCCGCACCGTTTGCGGTGGCCCGGAGAGGCTTATCAGAACTGTTCGCTTTATATGATTTGTTGATGTACTAAAAGATATTACGTAATGCTAGGTAAGTATATACAAGCCTGGAGAGAGTGTGTATCTTCCAGTGATAGGCCACAAGTCTGCACATAGAGCCGTTGCTTGGGGTATCCCCATAGGATTTAAAAATCTCGGCGCGACATCAAGTTTCATGCAGTGGAGCCTTAGGAGGCCCTTGACTGACGGACTTCCTGCCAACGAGGCTGCTCTCGACAGTGGGGTATAGCATCCGTGTGCTCAAAATGGGAGCCTAGCCCTGCTGCTTTGCAGAGATAGTGTGCAGGCAGGTGTTGTGTAACTTCCAGGGCCCTAGGTGTTTGGGGACGATTGGCGGAAGACCGATAGGCAGCGATTGAGAGTTTGGTAGGCTAACCATCGGATGCAGTTGAATGACATCCGATCCATGGTGAGGGGGTCCAAGGGCATGGAGAGGATGTGAGGATGGTCGTATTCAAGGGTCTGGACTCTTGGAGTAATCCAGACGAAGCGTACGGTTTAGATAGATAGGAGTCAGACCCGTACTGCACTGCCGATCGCAACCTTCATGGGTCAAATTTTCGCAACGAGCAAAGGGCCCACTCACTCATGCTAGTAGCATCAAAAGATTGCAAAAACGAGCCTTGTAATGCATGTTCTCAGCCCGATCTTCAATTATATGCGTCTAACCTCCTTGCCCTGCATCTCTGGTCTTTCAACCTCCCACTCGTCCCTGAGCACGGCGTACAGTGAATCCCCAACCACCACAGAAAGTCCGAGACTCCAGACCAATGTGATGGCATAGAAAAAGTTGGCGTTTCCAGACCCCGCATAGATCCAGAGATAGTAGAACGCCGGTCCGAGGAAGGATGCATAGAGAAGGGTTGAAGAAGCCAAGAAGCTATACCTCATCACTATCATATGTCAGTAAGGAAACGTTTAATAGACCGAGAATGCTATCTTCAACATGGAAACGGCCCAAGTGAGACTCACGTGGAAATATGTGTCGGTAAAGTGGCACCAGCGCCAGATACAACGAACTATCCGCAATGCTAGGGTAAGGCTGGAATATTGCAAAAATACCAAGCAATGAGGTTACAACGAACAAGGGCTGCTGCCGCAATCGAAATGTGAGACCTCCGACGTATGAAAGTATGTGCAGCCAGAATACTCCAAGGAAGAACTCGCGGAACGAGTCGAACATCTCGGTAAAGAAGTACCACCATAATCCGACGTTAGGGGTGAGGTCGGGAAGCAGCAGTCGCACTCCATAGGTCGCAGCAAGGAATTCCCATGATCCCGTCAGAATAGCTGAGAGGTAAAGCAGCATGCCTAAAGCTGTAGCGAGGCCACCGACGTGTGCTAGTGAGAATCCTATCGGGTTCGGCGAGGCCTTCGACGAAGTCACATGAGCGTCATATAGCATTAAGAGCAGGGGCGGGAACAGTAGGATCGGATGGAAGGAGAGGTATGACGCGAAGGCCAAGGCAAGGATGGAAGTTATGCTGGCTCCCTGTGTTGCTTTCGCAATGGAACTAAGGACGAAAAAATTGGCCAGAGCTGATGTTGGTCTGGCAATGCAAGTCGCGATCGTAAATGGGCTAAACAGAAAGCTGTTGCTCATTAGTCATGTCCCAAAACATATGCATTATTCGTCCGTACCTCGCTCCTATCGCTATATTGCTCCATCTCAAATCTTTCCTCGGGGACGTAAAAAGCCTTGAAGACACAGACTGGCCGGTCTCGGCGATCTGCATAAGCGCGCTGGCTCCCAGCAGATCTACGATTGTGTATAGCAGATTCGTCGCAAAGGGATACGTGGATGGATTCGGGAGAAGGGAGAAGAGGGGTAGGAGTAAGGGAGCCTGGGAAGGTCAGCAAAAATTCTATATATGCGGCACTGGAAAGCAGACCTGGTGAAAGACTCCGCCATCGTAGGGAGAGACATTGTGGGTGTATAGGAAAAGTCCTTCTTGTACTGATGAAAACGTGACAATTAGTGAGATTCAAAGGGGTTGGAAAAGCCATAGTTGGTGCACATACATCTCTTGAAGCTCGTTACGGGTGTGGAGATCTCAACGCGACCCGTGAGGAGGTTCGGTAAGGACGGAAACGCAGTGAACAGGAACAGCCTCACTGCGGCTGCAGCGCCAAAAAGAATGGCCTTTTGCTTGTCAATAGCCATAGTAGCGGGCTACCTCGTCGGCGTATCCATGGGGGACTCGTAGAACTGCGCAGGCCCAATTGGGGTGGAGATGTATCCAGACATGGACATTTGGTGTTTCGAGCTCTGCCAAGCCGGAGCGCGGTTAATAGTCGCGCCTAAATGCGCCACTTTGCATCGTTTGCACCGCCCGCCGCATTTTTTTCGGCTTCATCCCGCAACTTTTCGAGCTGCTCTCCCACAAGCTATCTCCAGTATACTAGACCCAACTCTTCAAGATGGGTCGAATAAAGAAGAAAGGTATGATTGTAACTCAACAGCACAGTGACATATGCTGATTCAAACTCCAGGAACCGCTGGCGCGGCCAAAAACTTCATCACCAGGACCCGCGCAGTCAAAAAGTTGCAGATTTCGCTGCCAGATTTCCGAAGGCTATGTATCTTCAAGGGTAAGCTTCTTAGATTTTAGCCGCTATAGAATGACATACTAAGCAATGTTTCAAGGGATATACCCTCGCGAACCGCGAAATAAGAAGAAGGTCTCAAAAAGCTCTACTGCTTCCACTACCTTTTACTACACCAAAGACATACAGTACCTCCTTCACGAACCTCTCCTGAACAAGTTCCGGGACCATAAGGCCCTTGCGAAAAAGATTGGACGCGCTCTCGGTCGAGGAGAGGCTGGAGATGCTGCCCGCTTGGAGAAAAACCTGACACCGAAGATGACTCTGGACCACATCATAAAGGAACGATACCCTACCTTCGTCGATGCTCTCCGCGATCTGGACGACGCTTTGTCCATGCTGTTTCTCTTTGCGAACTTGCCGTCCACTTCTGCGGTGCCTCCCAAAACTATCGCACTCTGCCAACGGCTGTGTCTGGAATTCGAGCACTACCTGATCATATCTCACTCTCTCAAGAAGTCATTCCTGTCGATCAAGGGCATCTACTACCAGGCTACGATTCAGGGTCAGGATATTCTCTGGCTTGTTCCATACAAGTTTGTTCAGAATATCACTGGAGATATCGATTTTCGTATAATGGGTACCTTTGTCGAATTCTACACGACATTACTCGGATTCATCAATTTCAGACTTTATACTTCTGTTGGTCTCGTCTACCCACCGAAATTCAATGCAGGCAGCGATGAGCGCGGAGGAGAACTTGCGGCGTTTATACTGGAGGGGAAAGGGTTGGACTCGGCACAGACTGTCGTCAATGATGCGGTAAATGCGAACGGACATGTGCCAAAAGCTATCACCTCAGCAGCAGCGCAAGCCGAGGCAGACAAGCTCGCGGAGCTGCCAGCCCCCGAAGAGGAGACTGAGGACTCTACAGCATTAGTTGCCGCAAATGGAGAGGAGGAATCCACAGAGACCATTGATACGTTCGAGGTTACAGGTCAAGATGCGGATGTTTTGCCGCAGCCACAAGCTACCGGGGTGGAAACCTCGACTCTTTTCTCACCATTCACCATCTATTTGTCCCGCGAAACTCCCCGGCAACCCCTCGAGTTCTTACTGAAGGCATTTGGTTGTAAAAGAGTCGGGTGGGATAGCATTCTTGGCGATGGCGCTTTCACGACCAATGAATTGGACCCAGCCATCACGCATCAGATCGTCGACCGACCCCCTCTTCCAAGAGAGTCGTTACCTGCTGTTCCTGATGCTGCCCCAGCTACAGCAGGCGAGGGTGCTGATGCTAAGCCAGCAGTAGGGTGGCCGCGCTCTACAGTTCCAGGCCGAACCTACGTTCAACCGCAGTGGGTTTGGGACTGCGTGAATCAGGGCAAGCTTCAAAGACCTGATCTGTATTCTCCTGGGGCTACACTACCCCCTCATCTTAGCCCGTGGGTCAAGCCCAAGAAGGGCCAGTACGATCCAACCGCGCCACTCGCCGAGCAGGAGCTTGAAGGCGAGGCGGAGGAATTCGAGGAGGAGGAAGAACAGATTGAAAACGGTCAAGAAGCTGAAGAAAGCGAACATGAGAAGGCCGCTCCACTCAAACTCAACGGAAAGCGAAAGTCACTTGATGTACTTCTCGATCGCGAAGGTTCTATTGAGCCGGGTGAGGGCATGGATGTTGCTGGATCTGTATCCGAATCTGAAGATGAAGATGAGGGCGAGGCACTGACGCCGGACGAGGAATTTGACGGGTTTTCGGAGGAGTCAGAGTCTGAAGTTTCGGAAACCGAGGAAGTGCGACTGCAGCATCAGCGCGAGCTCGAGGCGGAAGCCAGAGGTGTACCAGTGGAATCTCTGAATGGAAATGTGCAGCCGAAGAGCAAGACGGCAGAAGCACGGAAGAAGTTCGCCAAGAAGAGGAGAGAGGAAGCTGAAGAGAAGGAGAGGCTGAAGATGATGCTCCCGCAGAAAAAGAGGAAACTCTTGAATAGGATCGAGTATGGTGCGAACAAACGGGACAAGGAGTCTGAGCTCTTGAGAAAGAAGAGGAGAAAGATTGAGTCTGTGAAAGGTGGCAAATAGACAGGTCTTTCGGCTCTTCTTTAAGATACCTTTTCTCGCGACGGCATCGGATGATGGCGTTCAAGGATTTCTGGGAGGCACGTGTAAACATTTCGACTTTGCTTTTGGGGAGAAATAAAAGTCTATGTTGAGTAGCTAAATAACAAACCTCACTGCAAGAGCTAGTGCTATAAGTTGCTTCTCTCGTCCTTATGAGGTGTCTGATTTACCATCACCACCACCATCTAACGCTTCCCGTTTCGTACCGCCCTGAACACTATTATCTTCTTTTATCCCGGCCAAGTAGACTCTAGCGCAAAGACGTCTACAGCGCCTGCTCACGTCCGGTGAACTAGCGCGGATTTGACGCCACAGGTGCACTAGATGGGATTAGAACGGAGGAAACCCGTTTCTGAACGAAATCTTACCAAAGGCTGAATCCACCAAAGCAAGGTACCGAGAGGCTTTACTTTCGAGATTATCCCTCTTTTGCAGCTGACTTTTGTGGCTTGATATCCGCTGTATGGCATGCAAGGCATGTAATGGTTGCAGGTAACATCACCACTCCCATGTCATGCCCGCGTTTCCCGAGATAATGAGCGCGAGACCAGCTGACATGGTCACTCAACCGATTGCAGAGCGCATGATTGCAAGCTCAGGATTGTCACGTGGGTATCCCTAGCGCAAATGGGTGGGCAAGGGTATCAACCCCAACCTCGGACTTCAACCACATCTAAAAACACCAAAGACACCTCTAGCAGGCCTCAGTTGAAACCCAACATGCAATCACCCGCCCCACGCGTCCCAGGCCTCCGGCGCAGTGTGATTTGTGGAAGCGTCCCCCACGCGTCGCACGCCATCTTACGCCACAACTCGTCAAAATGAGCTATGATGCGTGCGACCGATCGACCCTTTGCCTTACAATACTCCTCGAATTTAACAACGCCATAGTCTCAAAATGTACATTTGTCTCACAATGCTGGCCGGATGATTCGTCATATGTCCAGGCATCATGTCTCGTGCTGGACGCTCCGCTGACGGTTAGATTTACTTTTACTCATCCACCTTCCGTGCAGTCTGTATAACTCTCTGTGCAGCGGACGCCGTCTCGTACCCCCTCCAGCCCGTTCCCTCATCGCCGGCGTCTCGCAACACATCCGGGATGGCGTCTTCATCATCCCCCACCGCCGACCAGGAACCGCTACTCCGCCGCGCCCATTCCCCGAGCAGCAGCATATCCAGCTACGACAGCACATCCAAATCTCCAATCGATGAAGAGGAGGTGCCACTTGGCCAGAGTAACCTTCTCGACCGGTCGGTGGAAAATGATATCCTTCCGGAAACGGCCGTGCTGGGCCGCAACCTAGGATGGAGCAGCGCTTATATCCTGATCATGTCGCGTGTCATAGGCAGCGGAATTTTCGCGACTCCCGGTTCAATTGTGCAATCAGTGGGGAGTATCGGAATCACGCTGTTGCTCTGGGTAGCTGGCGCTCTGATAGCTTGGTTGGGCTTGGCGATCAGTTTAGAGTATGGGTGCATGTTGCCAAGGTCTGGAGGTGAGCATTGATTTTTGATATTCAACTTGAGATGATACTGACTGTACAAAGGGGAGAAAGTTTATCTCGAATTCGTCTACCGACGTCCGCGGTTCTTAGCTTCAATTCTTATCGCAGTCCGCTCCGTGCTTCTTGGATTCACAGCCTCCAACTGCATTGTTTTCGGCGAGTACGTCTTATATGCTCTCAAACGAGAACCGTCGCAGTTCGAAGGGAAACTTCTTGGTCTTGGATTGCTCACCACTGTCGTTATCATGCACAGCTGCTTTTTGAAGACAGGAATACTTATACAAAATGTGCTCGGCTGGGTCAAAATCGCTTTGGCCATCTTTATGGTCTTTACAAGCATCTTCGTGGTTCTTTTCCGGAGCAACGAGGGTATAGAAGGCGCTTCCCAAATCAAAACTAACAGCAGCTATATCTGGGAGGGTTCTGTGTGGAACTGGGGAATCATCTCCACTGCAATGTTCAAGGTTTCCTACTCGTATGCCGGCCTTTCCAACGTCAACAGTGTTCTCAACGAGGTGAAGAACCCGGTTAAAACGCTGAAGTCAGCAGCTACAACTGCACTCATAACGTCTTGTGCTCTATATCTCCTAGTCAACGTTGCCTACTTTCTAGTTGTGCCAATCGAGGATATCAAAGATTCCGGGGAGTTGATCGCTGCGTTATTCTTTGAACGCGTATTCGGCACCGATGTTGGAAGGGTACTGCTGCCACTGGCAATAGCGACCTCGGCGGCGGGAAATGTCATGGTTGTAACATTCAGTCACGTAAGTATGAGAGGCCGCTCACTCCGCGAAGCATTCTGACATGGAACAGGCTCGAGTTGTGCAAGAGATAGCACGGCAAGGATTTCTTCCGTTCTCGCAATTCATCTCTTCCTCCAAACCATTCGGAGCGCCAATGGGCGCTTTGATTACGCATTACATCCCGTCTTTTCTGGTCATCATCATTCCTGCCGGCAACATCTATTCCTTTATCATGGACGTTGAGGGTTATCCAGGGCAGTTCTTCTCCATAGCCAGCTCCGCTGGCTTAATCTGGCTCCGATTCAAAAGACCAGATTTGAGAAGGCCATATAGGGCGTTTCTTCCGGCCGTCGGGTTTCAGATCGCGCACTCGATTTCCGTGATATTTGCACCATTCATACCACGAGAAGGCTTGAATTGGAGGCAACATCTCTCCGCAGTCAGCTACGCCTTTGTCGGGACTGCTATGTAAGTTCTGTTTCGAAACATCAAGTCTCAGCTAATTCTTCTATAGTCTTTTGTTTGGCGTTTTATATTGGTATGTTTGGACAGTATGGTTACCACGCCGGAATGGCTGCACTCTTGAAGAGACAGTAGCAACTTTAGATGATGGCACGACGGTCACGCAGCTTGTGCATATTCCTATAGGATCAAAGCCGGTACCAACGACATACGATGAATGATGAGATGTTAATGGGAACGATTCATAGCGTGGGGGCAAATAGAAACGGATCCAATGGTATACGTTGTAGATATGAATCATGTACTACTCGTCAGTACGATATCGCTGATTCCCCGCAATTTGATTTTAAAGAAAACAAGGTTATGCTCAGCAATTCAAGATAATTGGTAGGTCTTCCCACAACCGTTGAGTGATCAAATCGGCTGATTCTCACTGGCGGGGTCAATGCGAGTAGACAGGTAGCTCAACGACATGTAAGACGATCTCCTAGGCATGGCATGCTTTTTGCAGGCATTGCGTGCTAGGTGGACGGTCACATTACAAATCCATGCTTGTGCAGCGGAGGCTTTTGCCGAGGAACATATAGCATCTTGAAGCTTCATCGAAGCTTGAAAGCAAAACCTTTTTTCAACAACCCCACTTCTTCTAATAAAAACTGTCTGTAGATATATCCAATCATGGCTACCGCTGCAGTTCAACATAGTCCTGGCAATACCCTTGACCAAGTCGTCGAACCTCTGGCTCGGGAAACTAAACCTGCGAAACATGACGTTCCTACGGAGCTGTACTATTACGATGATCCCGGTGACGGAACCCCGCCAACTCCCTCTTACGTTGGGTGAGTACTCAGTCGATATAAAGGGAACTTTCGTTCTAAGACGAGAGTATCAGTAAGCCAAACAGTTACGAACGCCCTCACGTCGCCCAGAACGTCATCATCCACGACATCGCCGGAGACGAGAGTAAATATAACATCGACAGCCATGGCTTTCAATTTGTGAAGCATGAAAGCAAAGAGAAGGATTTCGTCGATGACGAGAAGATCAAGGCGGAATACTACCCAGAAATCGAACAACTCCTCAAGGATACGTGAGTATTGCTTCTGTTTTGAGCAGCAAATAAGGCGTACGCTAACTTCCTTCTCAACAGCTTCGGCGCATCCCGCGTCTTCATCTTCGACCACACAATCCGCCGCGCAACCTCCGACGCCCGCAACATCGCCGGCCAACTGCGTGGCCCAGCCCGCCGCGTGCACATCGACCAGTCCTACGCCGCCTCCGAGAACCGCGTCAAGCACCACCTCCCTGACGAAGCCAACGAGCTTCTCAAGAAACGCTTCCAGATCATCAACGTAAGTCCCCACCACCATCCCCTTGCCCCACTAAAGCGTCGCGATTGACTCACCTCACGTACCATAGGTCTGGCGCCCGATTAAGACTATCCTTCGCGACCCCCTGACCCTCGCCGACGCGCACTCCGTGCCCGACAGCGACCTCATCCCCGCCAAGCTTATCTACCCAGACCGCGAGGGCGAGACTTACGTCGTCAAGCCGAACCCGGAGCACCGGTGGTACTTCAAGTACGCACAGCGGCCTGACGAGCCGTTGTTTATCAAGTGCTTCGATTCTGTGGACGATGGGCGTGCGAGGCGGATCCCGCACACGGCGTTTGTGAATCCGGCGCATGTGGACGATGCGCCCAGGGAGAGTATTGAGGTGCGGACGTTGGTGTTTTATGATTATTAGGGGGGTTTTGAGCTATTGGGTGTATGTGAAGATATGGAAAAGTCCTGTGATGTTCTTATGCCTGGATGCAGGTGGGCGTCTGATGCCTTGGAGGAACTGGCCATGAACAGCCACAAGCTTCTGCTCACTCACATAAACATTCTTGTCATAGTTTAGTTTGAAAGCGAAAATACGTGAGATTTTGGCGAAGAGAACACCGCGTATGGATTATCGACTACCTTGTCTCCTCCTATTTCCCCTGTGAGTTAACTCCGTATCCCCTGTTTGTGAGCAGAATTACGCCCGGTGAGCAGCAGTAAGAGGGAAAGTGAATCAAGACAAGATGTGAGCCAAAAGCTGTTGTATAAATGAGGGGGAGCGCTACTCTTACACCCCCTTTTCACTACACGTACACCCCCTAATCGCTGCACGTACACCCCCCTCCTCTTGGCGCTTCACCACCTTCTAATCGGCTCGGAGAGCCCGGAGCTTCCTCCGGGCATTCACCTTTACGTCTCTCTACACGTGATGCTATATACGAGGCCATACGTGATGCTATACGCGAGGTCGTACGTGATGCTATACGCGAGGCTGTACGTGATGCTATACACGAGGCCGTACGTGATGCTATACGCGAGGCCGTACGTGATGCTACACACGAGGCCGTACGTGAGCTCGTACGTGAGCTCGTACATGAGGCTATACATGAGCTCGTACGTGAGCTCGTACATAAGGCTATACAAATTGGCATTATGTGATTGCTTGTGTTGTACATGGCCGCATTTGGAGAGAGCATTCGGAATTAGTAAGCGAGTTAAGCGAGCGAATCGGAGGCTACGGAACAGTGTTCCGAGCCAATTAGAAGGTGGTGAAGCGCCAAGAGGAGGGGGGTGTACGTGTAGCGATTAGGGGGGGTACGTGTAGTGAAAAGGGGGTGTACGAGTAGCGCTCCCCTAAATGAGTGTCAGCAAGTCTAAAAAGTATGCCCAGAAAGCCATTACCCGTATAGGCAGGTCTCGTAAAGTGTGGAATTTTGTTGTAACATCCGCCAAGCACTGCTGGGATAATATTAGACCGGGCCGCGCAAATATCTCTTGGCGGATATGACAACAACAAACCTCTGCACTTTTGCGCCTGGCCGCTAAGCCCTGCTGAGTTGGGTGACCCTGTCACGTGCCAGAAATTTTGCTTGGCAGATATTACAACAAAACTAGCTATTGAATGGCAGGAGGAAGATATGCACAAGCACGTGACAAGACGCTGAGTAACCTGTTAGACAGGCCTACCTTGTGGGTGGCCCAACTTCGGGTCAACCGCTACATCTCAGGGCTCGCACCTTCAATTCACCTTTCTGTCCAACGTCCGTTAACTAGTCCCTTTAGAGTGCATGCGGAAGTCGACCCGACCCAAAGGTCCAACAAGAGTTTTCGCTTATCCTAAGGTTCCGCCGAAATCACGTCCCGAGGCATGCCAAACAATACCGCCGAGTTCGGCGGAGGAACGAGCAACAAACGTCGTCGCTCGCAACTTATCCCACTGATTTCATATCGACAGTCCACTCCAGATGGCATCTCCGACGAGCACCGGGACCGAGGTAACCATCAAGGAAACGACCTAGCCGCAACTAATAGCTTCATCCATCCGGAAGCATGGATCCGGACGAGTATGAGGACCTTGAGCCTGAAACTAAGCGCAGGAGACTGCGGAAAGGAACGCGCAGCTGCTGGGAATGCAAACGGAGAAAAGTTCGATGCACCTTTGCATCAGCAACAGATGCAACGTGCATTACCTGCCGCCGGCGTAGCGTAAAGTGCATCAGTCAGGAGCTCCCTGAAGAGCCCACTCGGGAAGAGGACAGCGTCGGCCGCATTGTGCGCGTCGAAGCTCTACTGAACCAGCTGGTCAACAAGGTCCATCACGGTGCCGCAATAGGTGTAGCCCAATCGACGTCTGAGGAAGGCCGAAGACCTGAACCTGCTGCTCCCACGCCCACCAGTGACTCTGAGCCCATCTCGTCTGTATCATTTCATGAGCCTTCGCCGGTGGGTTCAAATACTTAACCTTCCGTCACTAATGGCTAATTTCCGCAGGAAACAGTCCCTCGACAGAGCGACGGCGCACGTATACACCACTCAACGCCAGCATTTCGCACGCCAAACTCTCAGACGCCCATATCAGCCAGGGCTGCCCCTTCTGATGCGGGTAAATATGAAAAGATCTCGCATCTTCTCCTTGCAGCTTTTCCCTCCCAAGAAGACATGTATATCCTACTCAAGGCGGGCAACGGATCCTCTATGTTTTGCCACAACGTCAACGTCAAGTCGGGCAGCCAACTGGATCGCGAAGCAATCGAAGACGACGCCAAGCTAGCGGAAATCCCTATTCCTAGTACTCATCCAGTTCTGTTGGCCAGACAAATGCTCCTAATTTCATCATTATTGCTGCATTTTGCCCCCAATGAACATATACACGGCCTATCTGAACATCATCGCATCGTCATGGAAAGACTTTCAGATACAGCTATCAACCAGGTGACCACAAACGAAGCGCTATTAGGGACTATGGAGAGCCTAGAGTGCATTCTACTGGAGGGGTTCTTCCACTTGAATTGTGGGAACATCCGACGAGCCTGGCTCGCACTCAGAAGAGCCATGGGAGCGGCGCAGTTGATGGGCATCGATCGCCCATTCAATTCTCCGGTGAAGGTTCTTGATCCTAGCACCAATATCGACCCACGATTCATGTGGTTTCGGATCGTCTACATGGACCGCTTTCTCTCTTTGATGCTCGGTCTTCCTCAAGGCAACTCTGATGTGAGCATGGGGTCTGACACAGCACTAGCGAACAGCGCGCCTAGTGAACGTCTAGAACGTTTCCATGCCGTGATCTCGGCGAGGGTGCTCGAACGCAACCAGCTCGGGCTGACGCAGCGCGCTATAGCCATGACGAAAGAAATTGACACGGAGCTGCTCAATACGGCCGAGTGTCTGCCGGCCAAATTCTGGGGGCCGCCGAATTTTGCTGGATTAGAAAAGGACTCGCAGGAGGCCTTCTCGGAGAGTATGCGCGTTAAGGACCAGATGTTTCACTATACCTTGCTCAACCAGCTGCATCTGCCGTTTTTGCTGTGTCCCAGCGATGACCGCAAGAACGACTATTCCAAGATTACCTGCGTAAATGCCAGCCGTGAGATCCTCACACGATTTGTTGACTTCCGCACATTCAACCGTATCACAGCCTGCTGCCGGCTGGCCGATTTTCTCGCTTTGGTGGCAGGCATGACTCTGATTCTCGCGCACCTCGTCAGCCGGCGCTTCAAAGAGACGGACAATCTGTTGGCGCATCAGCGGCTTGGGGATCGTGCCACTGTGGAGCAGGCGCTGGAGAATATGGAAGTAAATTCCAAGTTCAACGAAGACATGCTGGGCGTCAGGTGCGCAGATTTGCTGCAACACATGCTGAAGATCGAGGCAGACGCGGCCCAAGGACAGAGATACAGTACGCAGAAGGTCCAATGGGCTGAGAGCTACCATGAGGACGAGCGCAACGTGCTGATTATCAATGTCCCCTACTTCGGCACTATCAGAATCGCCCGCGAGGGTATCAGGTCTATCGAAACGCTCAGGATGTCCCCTCATTCGCAGGACCTTGGAGGGCCCATTACGATAGGCGGCATTGGGTCCGTCCACGTTCCCAATCACATATCAACGAATGATTTCGGCCAACCATCCGCCAATGTTTCAGCAAGTCTTGTTGATGATACTGAACTCGACAACGTTTCGCCCCCGTCCCACCAGCGACCGGAACAACGGCGGACTGGGGAACTACAGGCTGTCTCGGACGCTGTACAGCTTCCCGGTGCCGTTATCGGAGACGAATTCATGCAGCAGCAAGATCTATACCCTGGTGTAGCTGCAGGCATGAATGATTGGGTCTTCCAGGGCGTTGACACCGCCTTCTTTGACAGCTTGATGAAGGGGACAAGTGGCCAGATTGGTGATGGAGGCGGGGATGCCGACTGGGGCCCAACTTGGCAGGGCGATCTAAGTGGATCCTAAACTTGGAAGACATAGGGTTTTCTATATACTGCTCGCAATGGTTCAAACCCTGACGAGGATCGGAAGAAAATGACAGAATGTGTTGTGCCTAGGTCACGGACAAGAATGTAGGCGGTGGAGAGAAGAGCGGCATTCAATATCTGGCCTGAACAGAAGAATGAGATGGAGCTGTACACGTATCCATCGTCTTCCGGATAGTTTCAAAGCCGCTGCGTCTTCTGCACTCTATAGCTAGATTGTTATAGGCGTCCCCGCCAAGGATTACAACCAGAGCTTGGATAAGACAGAAATCATTGCATTCGGGAACTGGCCCTGGATCGATTTTACTACGCCAGTTGCCTCGATATGCAGACTTTCCAAGGCCAACGAGACATCACTAACTTTTTTGCTTTCTGGCTTTCGTCGAGTACAGCTTGCAGTGCAGCTGCTACTCGAATGGCGAATGTCTACGCTCTATGTCCAAGGAGTCCTTTCCCCTGTCAGCCCTCCTTCTATCAGGTAGTCAACCGACTCAGCACTTTTTTATCCAGACCTCGGAGCTCGACTGAATTCTTGCATTAGTTTCCGTTTGCTTAATTGTAGTGGGGAAGCTTACATATACGCAGCTCGCATAGCCCACCCACCATCACGCCTCTCAGCGACTCCCCCGAGGTTCGGCGGAGCAAAAAAGATAGCTTGCAGCTCCTCCGCGTCATGACACAGGCCCATGCGCCCGACTTCTCACCCGAGAAACCCCTTGCTTTCTAATGGGTAAGATCTTTCGAGTTAAAATACTTCTTAAGGTCCGCACCTGGATTCTTTTAATCAACCCCTGAAACCTCTTTCCTAAGAGTTGAGAATCTGAGGCAGTATCGTAAAAGAAGAGAAAGAACCCCAACAGTCGATAAAGCTTCTACGTCAGTGCAACCAATTCGCTAGATTTTATCTTTCTCAACGACAGGACAGCATACCAAGAGGGTGATGGCGAGTCCCGATTTCGAGACCGAAAAGGGAGCGCATAACGATGACCTCTCCCAAGATTTGAAACCACTGGACACCGAGAAAGCAGAGGAAAATGCCAGACCAGTCGAGCCACTAGATGCGCCCACGAGCGAGTACCCCCATGGAACGCGCCTCGCCATTATTGTACTCTCTCTCATGCTCAGCACCTTCTTGATAGCCCTCGACAACGTAAGCGCTTGCTTCCCTCTCCAAAGATAATGACGGCTGACCCTCCCTCTCCTCAAAAGACTATTATCGCCACCGCAATCCCCAAAATCACAGACGAGTTTCACGGCCTCGACAAGGTAGCATGGTATGGCTCCGCCTACTTTATGACCTTCGGCGCTTTCCAATCAACCTGGGGCAAATTCTTCAAATACTTCCCTCTTAAAACCTACTTCATCGCCGCCATGGTCATCTTCGAAATCGGCAGCCTGATCTGCGCCGTGGCCCAGAACCCCACAACCCTAATCGTCGGGCGCGCCATCGCAGGCTTCGGCGGCGCGGGCATTGCCACTGGCGCGTTCACGATTATCGGGTTTGCGGCCGAGCCGCAGAAGCGGCCGCAGTTGATCGGCTACACGGGCGCGACATATGGGATTGCTGCTGTGCTGGGCCCGCTGCTTGGTGGCGCGTTCTCGGATAAGGTTAGCTGGCGGTGGTGCTTCTATATCAATTTGCCGATTGGGGGGTTGGCAGCCTTGATGGTGCTGCTCTTCTTTCATACCCCGAAGGACGCGAAGCCGGCGGAAGCTAGTTGGAGGGAGAAGCTGCTGCAGATGGACCTCATCGGCGCGGCGCTCGTTATGGGCTTGATAGTCTCATACATCCTGGCGCTCGAGTATGGTGGGCAGACGAAGCCTTGGAAGAGCAGCGTTGTAATCGGTCTGCTGGTTGGCTCCTTCGCGCTCACCGTTACCTGCGTCGTTTGGGAGATCTTTCAGGGCGAGCGTGCCATGATAGTACCACGCTTGGTACGTTATCCTTTAGTGCTCTCTTGAAAGCAGAATCCGGCTAATTTTGTTCCCCCGTAATTCAGTTCAAACAACGCTCGGTGTGGGTCAGCTGCATCTTCCAATTCTTCTTTGCCGGCTCCTACTTCACCATCCTCTACTACCTCCCGATTTACTTCCAAAGCGTCTACAACGTCAGCCCTATCGGGTCAGGCGTGCGCAACCTCCCCCTCATCATCACGCTCACCATAGCGGCCACTCTCCAAGGCGTCGCGCTATCCAAAGCCGGCTACGCCACTCCATTCATGGTCGTGGGCGCTGCAATCGGAACGATCAGCTCCGGCCTTTTCTACACGCTCGACGTCGACACCTCTGCTGGCAAATGGATCGGCTTCCAGATCCTGTGCGGCTTTGCCGCAGGGGGAACGTTCCAAACCGCCATCGCCGTCGTACAGGTCAACGCGAAACCTGAGGATATGTCGTCTGCCACGGCTATAATTTTCTGTGAGTATCTCTCTCTTTCACGACCTCCCCCTTAAAGAACGATCAATAACCAGTGTGCTCAGTCTTCCAAATGATCGGCGGCTCGTTCTGCCTCTCAGCAGCGCAGTCGGCATTCAACAACAGAATGATCTCCACCCTAGCCTCCACGGCTCCTGGAGTGAATCCCGCGATAGTCCTCGCGACCGGCGCCACGCAGATTCGCTCGGCGTTCACGGCGGCTCAGGTGCCGGATATTGTCGCGGCGTACATGGCGGGCCTCAAGGTCGTCTTCGCGATTACGGTCGGGACGTTTGGATTCGCTTGCCTGATCGGCTTTTTCGGAAGCTGGAAAAGGCTCCATGCCGAGGATTTGAAGAAGGCTAGCGGTGCCGCCTAAGACACCTAGCGCAAACCAGAGATTAACATTGTTGGTCTTTCCAAGAGGGGGAATTGGTGAAAAACGGCACCGCGAAGAGCTCGAATCAGAGAGAGTGCAGTTGTATAATGTGAGAGTGTGTTTTCGGCGACTTTGATGCCGCAGCCGTAGGATCCGTCCTTTGTATTCCTTTTGTCCTTTTCTCATAGTATTCGTGCCTAGAATTTGGCTCATTTGAAGCCGAAGTTTATTCTTTTATTGCGTATAGAGCCTGGAAATCCGCCATTCGAGAAGCAAGTGCGCCGTAAGCTGGACACAACTAAAGCTAGATAGCATTGAAGTTAGTAATGTCTGTTTAGCCGGGAAAGGTTGCGTATTGAAGCAGCCGGTGCGGTAAGAATGACCCTGAGCTAAGTCGCCTGCAAAAAGTAAGCTCCAGTAAGTACTGTCTTCATTTCACAATATGCCATCTCGTCTTAGCAGTTATCGACCATCCCTCTACCAAAGCCAAAGCTTCTCGTTGTAGACTAGCTACAAGACCCTCAGACACTACACGGCAAACGAAGACCCCGGAATATTTCCGCTATCTTACGAACTCGCTTACGAATCTGTCTCAGTAGCGATGAATCCTCTTTCTTGGTGGTGATTGCTTTATATGTTGTTTACTGATTGCAATCTTAAGCCTCGGATCAATGATGACAAATAAAGGCCGAATCGCTGTGCGAGGTCGCGGAGGAACAAGGGAGGACACGACTGAAGATAAAGGAGTTGCGAGTGAACTTCGCGAAGCTCCGTAAGCTTAATTGACAGTCGAAAGACCAACACTTCAAGCGAAGCACTTTCATGCCATCAATCAGGTTGTTACCGCATATGAAATCAAACAACTCCCTGTATCGAAATCCTGTCGTTTAGAATGTCCAACATCAAGAACGTCGTCATCATTGGTGTAGGTATTTTCCTCTTAGATTGTAGTGACCATAGACTAAAAAACACCTTAATCCAGGCTTCTGGAAATCTAGGTCCAACAGTGCTAAATCAGTTCGTCAACTCGCCCTTTAATGTCACCGTCTTCAGCCGGAAAGAATCCAATGCCGTCTTCCCAGAGTCGGTTAAAGTTATCAAGACCGACTTCAGCAGCGAATCGCTGTCCCAGAATCTCGCAGGCCAAGACGCCGTCATTTGCACCCTTGGCGGCGTCGAAGGTTTCCGAGACCAGGCTCGAATCATTGATGCCGCTATCGCAGCAGGTGTGAAACGTTTTATACCTAGCGAATTCGGAAGTGATACCACCAGTCCCGAAGTTTTGAACATCGTCCCGGCTTTCGGGCCAAAGGTGGAGACCATTGACTATCTGAAGAGTAAAGAAAGCGAAGCGTTTAGTTGGACGAGTGTAATCCCTGGCCTATTTTTCGACTGGGTAAGTAATGGGCGTTTCCTTGATATCAAGCCTAAGAGCTGACGAGAACTTCCTAGGGCAGCAAGTTTGGCTCAATAGGGTTTGACTTTCAGAATCGCAAGGCAGCGATCTGGGACGGCGGCGACGTCGCCTTTTCTGCTACCAACACTAGCACAGTCGGGCTTGCGCTCGTGAGAAGTCTTTCGGCTCCAAATCTCGAAGCTACTAGGAACCGGCACGTCTTTCTGGCCTCTCACACTGTCACCCAAAACGAAATGGTTACGGCGCTGGAGAAGCTCACCGGACAGTCTTGGGAAATTTCAAATGTGGACTCCGCACTTGTTATCGAGGGAAAGAGCAAAGAGTTCCGTGATGGTAACAGCAAGGCTGCTTTTCCGCTCATTCAATCTAGCATCTTTGGCAAACCTGGATTCTGTAATTTCACTGGCAAGACCTGGAATGAGAAACTGGGGCTGCCTAAAGAAGACTTTGAGGCCGATCTAAAGGACATCTTGGAAGGTAGAAAACCGGAACCATTTGGTCGACAAGTTGGTCGTTATCCTGATTGGTCTGATCCTGGCTCTAAATAGTTAGTCCCGCACAAGATTCTCTAGTATCCAATTGATCGATTCGGAGCTCAGTGTCGTAGAAGGCTGTGGGTTGCAATTCAAGTTCGTGATAGTGTTCCGGAGATTCAAATATTTTGAGAAGCGTCTCAGGGGTACGTACGACAAAAGTCACAGGTATTTAATGGAGCTTCAGAAATACTTTGGGATTGACGATAAGACTAGGTATCAATTCGAGGTAGTTTCTGTGACATCATGATGATACATCTGAAAGATGAGATGTGCTATTCAGTCGCTTTACATCTGTCGATTTCTGATTATTTTAAGCAGACATCGGAGCGGTTCCTCAGAAGTCGGGAATGCTTTTCCCAATATTCAAAGTTATTTTTAAAACCGCAAGACCTACGACTATTTACTCCGCTGCTGAGTTTTCTGAATCGCACCTTGTGAGTCTTTCGACGAGGAAAGACACTTTTCAAGTCATGAAAAATCTCGTCCGATTTACGAGAGGCTGGAATTCGGACTTCTATTCTATTTACTTCTGCGTCGCTAATATAAAAGGAATCTCGTCTTCCTCTAAGCTAGACCAAATATCTTTCTCCTTATGCTCCCAACCAAGTTGCGACAACCTAATCGCGCGATTCCTGGCGTTACCGCCGAGAACAATCGGGGTTCTAGGACCATAGACATCCCCGAAGTCAGACTCGACAAATGCTTTAGGCTCAGGACTCGGAATCCTGCCCAATTTATAGAGCACCCGGCTAACGTGCTCCGCCGCTTCACGCCATGAAAACTCTTGTCCACCAGTAAAGAAATAGGGATTCTCCAGCAGAGCCGATGAGGCTGTAGTCTCTATATATGAAAGCAGCGTCGTATATGCGCGTCCAAGATCAGCGACATGGGTCGCGTTCCACACGTTACGACCCTCGCCCACATAACCCGAAAAGCCGTGCTTCAGCGCAAAGCGCACCAGCTGTGGCAAGGCAACTGAGAGGCGGTTGTGGGCAGGGTTGAATCCATGGACCGCCGGCGGAATGATGATAGCAATCTGAGCTTTGTCGCCAAAGTCGCGTGCTGCCAGGACGATGGCTAGGTCGACGTGGCGATGCGGCGCCGTGGGTGGCAAGGCGTCTATGTCTGCTGGCACGTCGTCGCGGTAGACTTTGTCGCTTTTGTACGCCCCCTTTGCTTCATCGGTGAGTAGAAGCGTCCCGCTGGTGTGTATGTAGATGCTCGGCTGGCGTGCGAGAACGCGCTGTCGTATGCCAGCTAACACTGCTTTCACGCTCGGTAGGTGATCGCAGGAGGCCGTGTTGATGGCTACATCGTGTTGCGCGGCTTGCTCTGTTATCAACTCGGTGTCGTCGAGAGTGCCGAGGACGGTTTTGATACCCGCTTTCTCGAATGCGGCAGCCTGCTCTGCTTTTCGGATAAGAGCTGTCACTGGGTGTTTGGCAGCAAGGAGTAGATCGATGATGTGTTGTCCAATGTAGCCTGCGCCGAGGAGAAAGACAGACTTAGGAGCTGCCATAGCAATGCAAGCTCGGGATCAACGGAGTCTTCGATTCGAGAATGGGAATTGGAGCATAAAGTGGTAAACGATGATTGGAAAGGGATACTAGAAACTAGAATCTGGACATGAGGACTGGAAATGCGGTTGGAAGGAAGCGCTGATGACTTGTATCTCGGTTCGGCGACTGCTTTGAAATCATGATGCTTGACAGGCGGGTGTGCCCCCCAAAACACCAATCCACGAATATTGCCGATTTTCCCGGATTATTGACAATCGAGAACTAAATTGACCAACTAACTAGACATCGGTTATTGCTTGAATGTTAGTCTAATTAGCTCAGTTATTGAACAGGGTGGTGGCATAGATCCCCAATCGCCACGGGAGGGTGTATGAGCCAAGAATTGCGAATTTTTGGCTGCTAATTAGGAGGAAATTTTAGCCCATAAGAATTACACAATCTCTACACTACCTGCATTACATGCAACGACCTCCTGAACATCTTCTACATAAATAAATATACGATGCATTAGAAGAGAAGTATAAGGTCGGAAAAGAATGCTGTTAACTCGTAGTTTCTCGGCTCGAAAGCTTCTTAGAAATCAACACTGATCTTTTTTACGCGAAATGACCTCTATAGCTCCTCCTGCCCGGTAATTCAGCAGGGGATTGTCCTATCACATCTAGTTACTCTACCCCGGCCTTGACATTCTTTACAACACTTCAACTCTTGTTTATCCTCGAAAGCGAGCACCTCCTCGCAGGCGATGATACTCCTCTCGCGAACGAGTTTCCAGCCAATGTCGTGTTTCTGTAGAGCAGAATGACACTGTGATTCGCAGGCCTCTTGGTGACGAAGTACTGTGTCAATATCGAACCTCCAGACATTTAAGTTGAATGCTCTGGCAACGTAGAAAATTGTGTCTTCTGACCAAACAGTATGTCTCGTCGGCATTAAGTCGTAAGGCAACCAGACAGTGGGTCTTCCGTTTATGTATATCCAATCGTCCCTCATTGTTACACGCCGATACGTCTTACGCTGAGGCATTAATATGATTATTTGAGTGGTTTCTTCTGATGTCTCCAAAGTGGTACCGCCGGGGCCGAACGCTAGCTTCTCATGGTATGGAAGGTTGTAGCATGGTAGAGAAAGGATTGATGCTTTCTGCTCGCTTTCTTCAAGCCTGTAAACAAACACATCCCTGGACGACGAGTATGCCAGCAGTATGCTGTCTTCTGCCGCCGAGTAGTGCACAGCCACATGATCGCATTTCGTATCATGATAGACGACCTCGTGCTTTAGGGGCAAGCCATGCTCATCAAGCTGCCATACCTGCACTATGCCTAGGGTCGGCCGCCCTGCGATATTCATAACAGTGTCGAAATTCGTAGCGATCCACACTTTACCACTTTCTTCACTTGCGCTCATATCGATGAATCCCTCTCCGGCATGATATGTGAAATCTTTGGTCAAACTAACCTTGCTCATCAGCTGAAGGGGGTCAGCATCGAAATTCCATATTTCGATTGAGCAGTGCTTGAGCAATGCTAGACGGACTTTCTCCTCGCAGCCGTCTGAAAATGAAGTTACCGACACGTCCAAAACGCCTTCGGCCCGGATCCTTCGCAATAGCTTCGGCACACAGTGTACGGCAGAGCGGTCAAGTTGCCACAGTTCAACTGTTTCGCTGGATATGTTGTTTCCATTTAGAGTTGCCAGAAGAGCAGTTCCGTTTGTGACCGTTAGGTCAACCAGATGCGCTTCAAAGCGGCGGCTCCTTGATTTTTCAGCTTCTAGTCGTGCAAAAGTCCCCAAGTATGAGCGAACATTCTATATTTTGACTGGAGTGCTATGGTCACGCGGGCCTTAGGACCATAAAAGGGTTCTTCCATTTCCAGATATTAGACCCAGGCGAACAGGGCTGAAGATGAACTGAGTGTTGATGGAACATAACAAAATGAGCGAAGTCAAACTGACATCCCAAAGCTCTACACGCCCCTCACTGAGGGCCAAGGCAAGTAGCAAAATGCCGTCGAAAACACCAAGGGCTAAGGAGCATATCCCTGTCGGCTGGTCCACGCTTCTGGAGGTCTCGAATGACGGCAATTTGAGCGGCGCTTTCGATCGATCGCTGCGATCCCATAACTCCACCCGAGTTTTCCAAGTCCTTACAAGCGTGTTTTCATCAGGAGATAATGTTACATTCACAGGTTCGGAGTAGCGCCATGGATGTCGATCTAAGTTCCTGTCATGATATAGAAGATTGAAAGTCTGTTCAAGCCTTTCTGGATGTATTTTCCAGATACATATGTCTCTAGTTTTCATAATCGCGAGGAGATCATCATTCGCTGGGGCAAATTGTATATCCACCACCCTTTCAGGATGATCGCCAGTGGATGAGGGCGTCAAGAACTTTGTCGAGTTGACCCCCAGCTGATACAATAGCACACGTTTTCCGACCCCAACTGCGAGCATTTTACCGTCAGACGAAGACGTTGTGATGCCTAAGGGATTGGAACCAGGTGTGTTGCAGCCCTCGTGGTACTGGTCAAAATACTTCAAGGTAGTATCAAGTTGATATTCTAAGTGCTGCTCATACTGGAGAATCTGCGGACTTGCGGTTTTCCTCATCTGCAGTATCCGATAAGCTCCTCCCGCAATAGTGAGAATATTGCCATCAATTGAGAAATTGGCATATACACATCTTTGATCGTCGAATGGACATATTTCTTGGATCAGAGACAGCGAGTAAAGATTGAAACGCCACAGGCAGATTATGTTGTGTATTGCATGCGTCACCAGCAAGGTGCCATCTGGTGAGCAAGCCAACAAATCTTGATTCTCAAGAGTTTGGAACAAATCGCCGTTCCACAACACATCTGGCTCGGGATATTACAATATCCAGGTGGGCAACAGGCTGCAGAACTGTTGTCGTACCAACCTTGATTTCGGAGCTCGAAGAAGAGCAGATATGGAAGCCTGTCGAGGCGCCAAATCGATGAGAGTTTCGTTTGCCAATACGAATTTCGCGGCATCAGAAATGAACGCATAGAATCGGACATGCTTGGGCTGTGGTTTTATTAACGACGTGAAATGATTTAAATGAACTGCTTCAACCTACCTCAACACGAGAGCGAATTTGGGAAATACCCCAAGATCCCTCCCAAACAGCAGACAGAAGCCCGAGGCATTCTAGCCAATGTAGAAGAGACCCTTGAAGAAAATTGTGAACAATATCAGTCTCGTGCAAAGCAAGACCGCTATCGCATAAGTGACCAATCCAGTCTCGACAGCAATATTGGATGTGGCTGGGCAGTGTTTCGTCGAGACACCGTTCCCTTGATTCTGGTGACAGCGGCCCGAGTGGCAGCCCTTTTCGCTGCTTGCAATGAAAATGGGTTTTCATCAGCGTGAGCATTCGTTCAAGTATATACTGATGGCCTTGTTCCTTGGCAATGCCAGTGGAGGCTTTTGAGAAAGGCTCTCTGCCGATGAAGCAGTGACCATGAGGCCCTGTCGAAATTTGTGATGGCTTTAAAGAGCGAAGAATATGCGAAGAATCCAATCGTCGTGTTTCGATGTAGGTAGTCGGCCGCCACGAAAGCAAGGATAGCAAGAATGAGAGTCGTGCGCCAGTCGCAACCAGAATATTGGGAGTACCAGATTATGAATATGACTAGTAGTGTAATGATTTGGGAGCACCAGCGCCGTAAAAAGGGGCTTACTGCCAACATCAAATCTAGGGCCCAAAGCAGCATCTCCCGCGGCATGAGACTGTTCGAAAAACGGGAAGCACTAAGACCGAGAAGATGTTCTTTGAGTGAGAAGTGAACCAGCCTGTAAACACCAGCGTTGTGGTCTAAAGCAAGAAGATTTCCACATTGTCCTAGCCAAATGTCTATTTTGTCATCTGGTATATCGGCAAACGCTGCGATTTCGTTTGCTGATAAAGGTCGATGAGCTGAGCCAACACAGCGCAGGATCCTGGCAACCTGAGACCGGCTTCCTTGAGGTATACTTCCGAGGATGCGGTGGTAGATTGGGTCTAGTCCTTGCGGTAAGAAAGATTGAACAATATTTCGGTCCTTCAGGATACTGTCCATCAGATGTGGGGTGCCCTTTAGCACTGATATGGTCAATGACAACCAAAGGTACCTGCCTTCCGCGTGGGATACGAGAATGTGTACCAGCTTTTCTTGGTTCGATTGGCTAATGGATAAACAATTTCGTAAATAGCTTCTTGCAAAGAGCTCAAGTTTCTTTTCTCGTTTTGTATTAGGTTGATCCAAGTCAATCTTCCGGGCGCATTCTACGGACTGACGGAGCCCCCGACTGACGATAATGGTACCAATCTTCTGGACCTAAGCTTTCGTCACTGTCGAGTATAGATGCTGCAGCTTTATTTGAAGGAAATTGATCGATGCATCTTCGCATTCATCAGGCCCATCAAGCACGAGATACACCTGCCACTTGACGCGACCAAGCATCTTCACAACTAGCCCCCACATCGCTTCTTGGTTGTCATTGCTAAACAAGTCGTCTTTCCGTGCTTCGTGGTCTCTGAAAGCGGGAGGAACGTCCTCATAGAGGGATCCATCGGCCTCGGGAAGCTGCGCTAGGAGGCTTCGGACGACGAAAACACTAACAGTGCGTTCGATGTTGGCATAACTGCAGAAGAATGTAAGGACTAAAGGTCTGGGCAGTCCAATCAATGGCTGGCGAAGATGTTGACCTTTCAGATACTCTGTCAAATGTATAGAAAGAAACGTCTCGCCCTTGCCAGGACCTCCGCGGATCCAAAGAATCTTGTCGCTTTGGCGTCTCCATTCCCTGAAATCATCATCTTCTTCAATCCACCGGCAAGTACCGTTCAACACGTTACCCCGATCTGTAATGATGTTTTGATAGCCATGATTCGAATAAGGGTTTGTTTTGGAAAGAGCTTTACGACATCGCTCTTGATCAGTTTCCGCAGACTGGCCTATCCGTTGTCTGTCAGTCACAAGATGGCCCGATAATATTACCGAGGGAATGGACGAGGAAGACTACCTGTTGGGCCGAAGTTGACCTGATTCTTTATAACATCTCTTCCTACGGGAGCGTTGACCTGGAGAGCGCTGCCCGCAGCCCGGTTATTCGAGACTTGATTTTCGGACAGGTTGATCCATCTTTTCCAAGCAAGAATTCGAGCGTACTAATTGAACAAAGCTGCAAGTCGTTATAGGAACTGATGATAGGGAAGAGTGCAACTGCGCGCTGTTTGCGCCGATACGTTTGTTGTCTGTTGCTGAGAAAAACGAAGACGGGCTTGGCTACAAGCGTATAATTGGCTAGATGGACGATTCTCAGCCGCAAAATGCAAGGTCTATTCGCCAAAAGTATGCCAAGTACCGCGCTGCCTATATGAGAAAAGAAATACACAGTAAAAGGCAGATTCGCGGTTCGATCGGGGATTGGACAATTCTGATTGGTCTGCGAGTTGGGATACGAGCCTGAAATCGAGCCTGCATTTCTCAGCCGAAGAGTCGCGTTCGTAGTTATAATCAGACACTTAGGCAGCAAAGGCGAAACATGTACAGCCTCGTGTTCGTTTCAGCCAAGGCACAATGTTGGAGGCAATATCATTGCCTATGTTATTGGTGACGATTCGAAATCGCACGCATGCACTACGCCACAGTGACCCAGAGACTGTGGTGTGGCCGCTGAGTCTTCTCGAAATATTTGTCATCATGGTATTATACGTGAATTCCTTTGTTTCAAAAGACAAGCTAACTATTCGTGGTAGGCTGAGATCTTTGCCACCGTAGCTGCCGCATCAGGAGTCCTTGAGCAGAGCATCAAATTGATTAGGGGCATTTGAGATGCTCGAAAAGAAAGCAAAAGCCACTTCGAAGACATTTCAGCATCCCTTGCTAGCCTCGAGATGACGAACGGAGACCTGAAAGTAGACCTGGAACTAATCGGAAAGATTGACACCTTGAAGACAGACCATGTGGGTAAATGTGCAGACAGCATCAAAAAGAGAAGCTAGGAGCTCCGTAAGCTCATCGACGACACCTCTTCAAAAGGAGGGGTTTGGCATAAATTTGTGTTTGGGAAAAGTGAAAGAAAAGAGTTTGACAAGACGATGAATGAGCTTCGTAACGCGGAGCAGTACTTGAACGGCGCACTGCTCGCAGTCAATGTTGGACTCTCAGCAGTGTGAGGAGTAAGCCGACGAAGCGAGTTAGAGGGGTATAGCTCGCAATCTATTCCTAATCGACCACTTAGCACTGTTTATTAGAGAGGGATTATGACCGGCCTGAACCATTTATATACTGCGCACAGACCTCTATTCACCCTGTGCCTAGAAAAGGGGTACCTGTAGGGGCCGTGGGGGGATTAAAACAACGCGTGAAAAGCCACAGAACGCGTCCTAAAACGCGCATGCGGGGTCAATTCACTGGATTACAACCCGATCAATCCAGGTTGGACCTTGGCCTGGTCCTTGATTGGATTGTCCAGGTCCACTAACATGGTCGATTGCAACGGATCGCTCACGTTGGTTTAGTTACGGTCGGCTTACTCCTCACGCTGGCTCTCAGTGGATATTCACAAAAATAGAATCGTAGATAAACCTCTCGTTGTCAAGACGAACGCCGAGGTACAGAAAATCATGGGAAAAGAACGCGAACTGAACATCGCCAATTTAGTAAAAGACAAAATCCCCGAGGGTATGTCGTAACCTCGTCATTGCGCTGCAAGGCTAACAAAAGCTAGACAACGGGAAGGTCATTCTGACCCAGGAAGATCTCGACAAGTTGGCGGGAGCTACGAGTGGCCAAAAGATAACCACACGGAACAATACTACGAGTCACCAAGCACTCCAATTCAATGGGCCAATCGGAACCGATCTGTGGAAAGACCTAGATCAGCTTGACATCCATGACAATACGGCAGAAACCCAATCTCGACAATTCAACTACACCCAGACAATGGACGTATATCACGATCAGATGGCCAGGGCTCCAAAGCTTTTGGACTATAGTCTCCTCGCACTTCTCGTAGCTGCTGTTGCTGCACTATACATCCTCTACGGCGGCAAGTAACCAAAGCCTAGACAGCTCCCAGCAGGGTCATTTGCGTAGAAGGTTGGGAAGTGGGTAGTGTCGCAGAGTGGACAGTTGGTCGACAGTTGGTGGGCGCCGGTCTCTTTTCCATGGACTATTTCCAATCAGGCATTGGACTCCAGGGTGTATTTCATGATCGCTTAGGTTCCGCACGGGGACAAGTCTTAAGCAAACTTTGTACGCTGCAGCGAACACCGTAAGGTGTTGGGACTGCTCTGGGAATATGTCAGCCTTGTTGCACAATTAGAATTTCCTACCCGTACAGTCTTTAAGCCGTAATCCCAAACGGAGATCGCACAACCCTGATCCCTGATCAAATATTGTCCGGCGTTCAAACATGGTGATGATGAAATCTTCCTGCGAGTTTTCCGCGTCCAAAGGGCTAGATGGCACTCCTAAGAGAATACACTGCTCAAAGTCTTGGCCTCGCATTTGTCCATGCTGACGAATTCCTCGTAAACAGAGCCTCAAGCCTCAAGCACCGTCTTTCCGCTGCAAGTACCAGGGCCCTTGTCCTCCGTCGCAGGGATCCAACACGCACGATTTCGTACGTAATCTATGCAACCCTCGGCTAGACCTCACCTCTCCATGACACAACCCTGTGTCAGCAGAGTCTCGGGCTTGGTACCAGCCTCGTGCTTTGACTACCTCCCCTCGCTCGAGCTGTAAAAACTTTAACTTCTGGAGTCGACTCCACTATCCGTGTCAGCTGCATTGGCGGATGTGGGGAAGCATCCCGCCAACGGCCACGCTGTTCCACATGCGGTGTGTGATAATTCGACGGCAGCGAGAAACTTCACGAGAAGTGTATCACCAAGACCTTACCAAGCGAACTGTCTCCACGCATGCAATATGGATGCATGTCGCCTCGGTGGAGCGAGCAAGGCCGAGGAATTGGGACCTTCCTGAGATTTGGAATCATTGTGCCGGTTCCAGGGGTGTTGGGGCACTATAAGGGAGAGAGAGAGCTGCATTAAATATTCTTCAAGCCAGCAGATCCCTCGGACGCAAGATAGAGAAGAAAGGAACTACTCCCACGAGCATATCCAACTTCCTCAAGAATGAAATTCGGAGCTCTCTCTTTCCTGGCCGCCCTCGGGCTTGCTACGGGTGTGTGCGCGAACAGTAAGTTGACGACACTCGGAAGTCCCGTCTTACATACAGTCTCTGATCTTCCGATAGCCGTGGTCTCATGGGAGCGTTTGAACAAGAATGATTCCGTATGACTCTCACCTCCTACAGTGCCTCGTCATTGATCCATGTACACTGTTCTGCCACTGCTTGTGGTGCTTCAACATATTCATAGAAGCCGGAAGCAACACACAACACAGCTAAGTGTGTACTCCTATCAGCCACTGCCTGAGGTGGCCCGGCAAGCTTATTGAAGGTTCTGATGAAGAAAGTTCGGACCTTAAAAAATGCCTTAAGGAGCTTTAAGCAGCGGCATACAAGTGTACATGGATCTGTGACGAGTTATTGAGCCTTCTCGAACAGCTCTCACACCCACCCCAGGTTCTCGTGGTCCTCGATCTCCAAGTCGGTCTCTACACAGTCGCCCGCGACATGGACCCGACCGTCTTCCGCGACAACATCATCGCGCACGCCTCTATCGGCAAATTGTTCGACCTGCCCGTCGTCATGACCACGTCCGCTCAGACGGGTAGTTGAGCTCCCGAATCCTGTGTTCCCTACGTCTACTAATTAACAACCTCTAGGCCCCAACGGCCCCCTCCCCAAAGAAATCCTCGAAATGTACCCCAATGCCCCCCTCATCAAGCGTCAAGGCGAAGTCGACGCCTGGGACAACGCCGACTTCCGCGCCGCCATCAAAGCCACCGGCAAGTCCCAAATCATCATTGCCGGCATCACGACGGACGTCTGCACGGCGTTCCTCGCTTTGTCTCTCCGCGCCGAGGGCTACAGCGTGTGGGCGAACGCTGAAGCATCCGGGACGACGAGTACGCTGATACGGGATATCTCCAATGACCGGATGGCGAGGGTGGGCGTGCAGATCGTTAGTTTGTTTGCGATTGTTTGTGATTTGATGAGGGATTGGAGGGCAACGCCTGGTTCGGCAGAGGTGATTCCGTTTTTGGATCGGTATTTCCCGGTTTATGGGTATTTGGCTAGGGGGCACGGGGCGGCGATTGAGAATGGGACGTTGATTCCTGGGGAGGCGGGGTTGATTTAGGGCGTCGTCGATGGAGAGGGGCCGGACAGGTAGTTAAGGGAGAGGGAAATGGAGGGTAAGAAGGGTTTGGAATGTAAAGCTTGGAGACGATGGGTTTGCAGTGGTGGAAAATCAGAGTCTTTGAAGATGAGAACAAAAGCATACGCAGTAGATCTTGCCATTGGCTCCATTGAGCCAGATAAGAAACGAGATATAGATTCGGATCATGACATACCGTGCACATTGAGAGATTTGACATCTCATGTAAACACCACTCAATCTCCCTTATAATATCTTCATGGCCCCACATTAACCGCCTTTCCCCCAAGCCAAAGCATCCGAAAACACACCGAATTCCCCGCCCACCACGCCACACTCCTCAGATAACCCGCCTTATGACTGCTTATCCCCAAATACAGTCCCGCATACACCACCCTCACAACCGTGTAAGCCACAGCACTCGTATTAATTACATCGAACGGCACCCCCGCCTGATGTGCCTACAGCAAACTCCCCACAAACATAGGGAAGTTCTCGGCCGCGTTCGCGTGCGCGCCCTCGTTGCGCTTTAACATGTTCAATTGCTCCTGGGTGATTTTGCCGGACGCGACGGCTCGCTCGCCGTATTTGAAGACGTCTTCGCGCGGGGAGACATTGTGGTCGAGTTTGTAGGCGTTCTTGAGACCGCGCGAGGAGAGCGCCGCGTAGGCGAAGATGAAGTTTAGGATGATATAGTGGGCCGTGTAGGAGGAGATGGGGGTGGTTGGGGACGCGGCGCGCAGGCCGAAGCTCGTGAGGAGGGAGGACCTGGGAGGAGGGGTGTTAGATGGGGATGGTGTGGAGCGATCGAAGATAACTTACATATTGAATGAGCTTCAATGGCCTTTCTGGGTAACGAAGAGAATACGGGGTTTGAAGAAGTTGGGTATCTCGGTGGGTATTGTCGTCAAGTCAAGGAGGTGGTGATGTGGAATAGAGAGGTGTCCAGGGACCCGATGTCATAGCTGCGGCGGGTTTAATGATTCTAACTTAGTCTGGTCAATTCCTCGATGGTAGGAGTCTTCTAGCTCTACTCCGTATTTGATTTGGCGTTGCAGTTGGTGTCGTGAAGCTCGGAGGGTGGCCGAGGCTGGAGGTGGATTCTGTGGCTCGGCTGGCTCCCTGCGCCACACCGTAGATCCCTGCACTACCTAGGTACCTACAAAGTCCACGTAACTTGCACTTCCGACAAACTACCATCTCTTGCTTCATCAATCAAACACAAAGCCGAGTAAAAGCACGTGAACCACTGCTTGAAGGGCCATCGTAACGTGTCCATAATCCCGTTTGCTTTTAAGTCTTGATTCCGACAGAGCTGGGGGTGTAGCCTGACATCTGAATTAGTGTCATTGGATATCAATTCTTTCAACCAAGCAGTCACCATCAGGAGTTTATAAGTACCGTAATCAAAGGTAGCTCTCCCTGTCTGGCCACAATCATATCGGATCGCAGTTATGTCAAACCCTATTCCAACAGCGAGTGCTAGTCGGAGACGTCCTAGGCAGTCCCGGCCGGAGGATATGGACGAGCTCGTTGCAGGCACAAACGATCTTCTCTCACAGTTTCCTACGGCATCGTTCTCACGAAGAGCTGCCCGAGTTAATAGAACCCGAAATGCAAGATTCTCCATGGACTCTAGAGGACCATTTCGATTCCTCCATCTCCCTGTCGACATTCGCATCATGATCTACGAGTGCATGTTGGGGCCTCAGCCAGGACTTGAACTGACCTCTATCAACTACACTACGGACTGGCCCTATATCGACTTCAAGGGCGTTGTCAAGGTTGAAGAAGATGCCATGTGCAGCTGTCCACGGCCAGACAGGAATGGGGAGCATGCATATATGAGATACACATGCCCAGGACCCGAAGTTCGTCTCTCCACCAGCAAAAGGCTCGACGTATCTGGCGCCCCGAGAGGCCCTAGCATGAGTATACGAAAGCCTACTCCCGCCGAGCTTGCTAGTAGTCGGCCTGGCACCTCGATCCTCCGAGTCAGCCGACTGATCTACAACGAGGCTTTCCAGTATCTATACAAAGGCCGTACGTTCCACGTTCTCGATGGGGCTTCAAGTGGACATGGACTGGGACGGTACCAGTGCTACGCCACCGTCGCCTGGCTGAACATGCTCTCACAGGAGGCCCGGGCTCGGGTTGAAGGGATCAAGATTCTCCTCGCCCCATACGAGCAGGATTGTGTACTAAAAGTCGGGAGGCGATCTAGCGCCGAGCTCTGCCAGTACGTTATCACAAATCTAGAGCGCTTGCAGCGAGTAGAGGTAGAGCTATACAACGTCGGACGTCCCCACATCCCTGCAGATATCGGTGGAGGCATGCGCGCTGGGCCCGCGCTGGATCTGATACAACCTTTCTGGACCGTTCTGCGCCGTGAAGAGGTACAGTTGTCAGTGTCGGTCACATCATGGGAGTTCATGGCGGGGTTCCAGCATATCAACTACAACCCAGAGAACCTGGCGCGCATTCGATCGGAAATGCTGACGCAGGTCGATGTCGATCGATTGGCGTTTCAAGTCAAGGAAAAGCGGAAGGCAAGGCGTCTTAAGGCTCAAAAGCTAGAAGAAGATGATGAGGTGGTTGAAGGAGTTCTAAGCACCATCCAATCAATCTGAACACTGAGCCGGCTCGACGACGATGAAAGCGCAGTCCGTTATTAACATTAGTGGGTCAGGATAGGACGGCTGTTCTAATAACAGTATTACATTAGACTAAATGCTGTTTGGATATGTTGGGAGAATTGAGGTGGTAATTCGGGAGAAGAGCATGGTTTCGGCTTGTTTGATTCGACATGGAAGGGCCACTCACTGAATCTTTGAAATATCCCACGGGTCCGATAGCTCCATAGTGAAACTACCACCGCTGTAGAGAGACCGCAATGAACCTTTTGTTATAATCCTACGAATGCTGGAGAAACGTGACATGAGATGATAATCCAGAATTGATCCCTAGCCAAATGCGCTAAGCCTGATTGAGACATAGAGATTGGCCGGACGTCTCTCCCGAAATTTTTGGCATTCAATGCGCTTCAACCATCAACGACAACTATGAGGAGTTCCAGTCTCGTGAGGGTAAGTTAGTCTGGTTATCATCTATACAATTCTTGCTAATAGAATGTAGGGGCCACCTACCCGGAACATCTGCATCTTTTGCGCGAATCGAGGTGGCTTTGATGGCATCATCCCATCAATTCGCCGCTCAACCGTAGCTCAACAGCGCAACCTTCATTACTCTAATAACGCGCCCCAGTCGGCCTCTGCTACACGAGTACGACATGATGATCATCAGCAACCTCCGGCTGCCTCGAGCGATGGATGGGGCCAATCGTTCGGCGCGGCTGTAACACGCTTACCCAGACTGACTGCGGAGGAGCAGAGGATAAGGGACAATCTACAGAAGCAACGTCAGGGACAGGCGGTACAGCAGGCTGCTCTTGCAGCCAGGGGCGCACCAGCTCCGCAACGGCAGGAAAGAGGCGGGCTTGGACTGAGTACTCCTCTAGGCGGACTGACACGGGAAGAGCAGAGGATCAGGGATAACCTCCAGAGGCAGCGGGCACAGAATGCATCAAGGACACCGCAGAATACAAACAGTTCGCAAGGACACGATAGAAGGGGATTCGGACTGATCAGCCCCGCTCGAAGAGATCCAGTTAAACCGCCATCGAGGCCCCCGGGCGGACGATTGACTGTCCGCCGAATTGACTCAACCCACTCTCATGGCCCTCCCACGCCAGAAGCATTCCCGATGGATCCAGAAGGAGCGTTTAATTGGACACATTTGAGAAAGAGGGGCGAAAGTGGTCAGGCTTCTGGCAGTCGAGATGGATCACAAGCTTCAAATTTCAGGAGAAGCGAGTCTACGGCTCCTAGCAGAGGCTTGGGAGACTTCCTAAAGAGTATGGAAAAGAACCCTCAGCGCAGCGAGCCGCGACGGCAGAGAGATGATAGCGAACTGGAACGGTTGCTAGGGGGGTTCACGCAGGCGAATAACCAGCCGGACAAACCACAATCAAGACCGTATGTGCCCTTGGCAAGGGAATCCATAGGAGGTTTCAAATGCTTCAGATGTGGGGAGCCAGGACATAGAGGAAGTGACTGCCCCACCGTACAGCAGTTTGTACCCGTGTCACGTTTGAAGGATGTTGGCCAAAATGCACCACTCCAAGAAGGGCGCAACGACGGGCTATCGGGCGTCAAGGAACGAAATTCAACGGCTTCGGTAGAGGCCTCGAGCATTGTATCCGCCACTGATCATTACGATGCAGAGAAGCGAGCTGCAGCTGAAGCATGGCGGCGACGCTCTGCGCGTTTCACCCAGAAAGAGGAAGAGCCGGCATATGAGAAGGATCGTCGTAAGAAGGGAATGCGGATCGCGCGATCATCGGCCCAGGAGGACGAAATGGACGAAGGCATGGCTAGGGCAGAACGCAAACGACGAAGGAAAGAGGAGAAGAGGAGAGCTCAGTTGACAAAGACCGAGCCAACTCCAATCCAGCTTCCAGAGTACATCAGCGTGACGAATCTTGCCTCCGCACTGAAGATTCGAGTGGAAGACTTCGTCCATAAACTCGAAGAACTCGGGTTCGAGGACATCCAAAATGATCACATTCTCAACGCGGAGAACTCGGCTCTGGTGGCTATGGAATACAACTTTGAGCCCATAATACAAACCGCGGAAGAGGACATCGACTTGCATCCTGCTCCTTTACCTGAGGACGTTTCCATACTACCGGCTAGACCTCCGGTCGTTACTATCATGGGTCATGTTGATCACGGCAAGACTACTATCCTGGACTTCTTGCGAAACTCGAGTGTAGCCGCATCTGAATTCGGTGGCATCACCCAGCACATCGGCGCTTTCAGCGTACCTCTGGAATCTGGAAAGACCATCACGTTCTTAGACACGCCTGGTCACGCCGCCTTCCTATCTATGCGACAGCGCGGAGCAAATGTAACTGATATTGTCATCCTCGTCGTCGCCGCCGACGACTCCGTCAAGCCCCAGACCATCGAAGCGATCAAGCACGCCCAATCCGCCAACGTCCCCATCATCGTCGCCATCAACAAAATCGACAAAGAAGAAGCGAACCCAGACCGCGTGAAGCAAGACCTCGCCCGCCACGGCGTCGACGTCGAAGACTTCGGCGGCGAAACCCAGGTCGTCTGCGTCAGCGGCAAGACAGGCACAGGCATGCCCGAGCTCGAAGAATCCATCGTCACCCTCTCCGAGATCCTCGACCACCGCGCCGACCCCGAAGGCCCCGTGGAGGGCTGGGTCCTCGAAGGCACAACCCGCAAGTCCGGCCGCGTCGCCACCCTCCTCATCCGCCGCGGCACACTCCATGTTGGCGACATCCTCGTCGCCGGCACGACCTGGGCGCGCGTCCGCACGCTCAGGAACGAAGCCGGCGCGCACATCGACGCCGTCAGCCCCGGCATGCCCGTCGAAGTCGACGGCTGGCGCGAGCAGCCCCTCGCCGGCGACGAGGTCCTCCAGGCCCCTGACGAGCAGAAAGCGTCCGCTGTCTCTGAGTTCCGCGCAGATGCTGAGGAGCGCATCCGCCTCGCGAAGGACATGGAAGCTATCAACGAAGCCCGCCGATTTGAGACCGAGCGCGTAGAGAAAGAGAAGGCTGCCGCCGCCGCTGCCGCCGAAGCCACAGGCGAGGCCGACCCGGCCGCTGTGGAGGAGGTGGTCGCGAAAGCCTCCGGGCCCGAAATCATCCCCTTCATCGTCAAAGCCGACGTCTCGGGCTCCGTCGAGGCCGTCACCGACTCCATCGCGCCTCTCGGCAACGCGGAGGTCGCTTGCTCGATCCTGCGCTCGGGCGTGGGCCCACCGTCCGAGTTCGACGTGCAGCATGCTGCGGCTGCGAAGGGGCACATCATCAACTTCAACACGGCGATCCCGCCGCAGATTGCGGCGCTGGCGGAGGAGAAGGGGGTGAAAATTCTAGACTCGAATATTATTTATCGGCTGTCTGAGGACGTGCGGGCGCTGTTGAGCGAGCGGCTGCCGCCGAGCGTGGTCAAGCGCGTGACGGGGGAGGCGGAGGTGGCGCAGATGTTTAGCATTACGCTCGCGGGGCGGAAGAAGATGGTTATTGCCGGGAGTAAGGTGCGGAATGGGGTCATTAAGAAGGGGGCGCTTGTGAGGGTGGTTAGGGGGGAGGAGAATGTGTATGAAGGTGAGTTTGTTCTTTGTTTCTGACAAAAATGGGGGTTGGGGCGACTGCTAATGGTGATTAGGTACGCTGTCGTCGCTGAAGAACGTCAAGAAGGATGTGCTCGAGATGCCGAAGAATAGCGAGTGCGGCATTGGGTTTGAGGACTGGGAGGGGTTCGAGGTCGGGGATAAGGTGCAGTGCTATGAGGAGACGAGGGAGAAGAGGTACTTGTAATTGTATATGTTCGGCCTCCTCAACTTGTCGATAATACGTCGTTTCGTCGATGTGTATGAAGAGTCAGCTGCATATGGGACTGGTGGGTGTACGATAGATGGAAGAAAAGCCGGATATGCATGCATCGGCGCAGGAGGAGGTTAGTTGTAAGAGTTGGAACCCCCCTTTTCACATGTAAATATATAGTAGCATTGCGGGTGTAGAATAGACTGAACGATATCATTATGCTTTTCCCCTGATTCCATTAGACGCCATGTGGCACTATGAACGCCCCTAATGACCCAAACCCAAGCTAAATAACGCAACGCTCAGATAATGTACAACGGGCCTACCTGGCCCTCCCCTTCAAAACCCCACCTCTTCCCCACCAACTTATACAAGCTCCGTTCTACACGATTTCGCCCAGACAAGCACGTATCACTATCATACCCCTTTCCTCAACTTTGCGCCCGCCCACAATACTGGCGCGAGGTGTTTAGGTAGGTTCAGCCCGAAGAGGGAGGCGAACCACAGGATCGCGAGGACGGCGATGGGCGCGAGGAGAAGTTCGGTGTGGTGCAGGAAGGGGAGCGTGTTGTAGCCTAGGAATGTGATGATGAAGTAGTAGATGAAGGCGGCGAGGTAGAGGGAGTTGCCGACGAGGAGGGAGACCCAGTGGGAGCTGGCGATGAGCGGCATGAGGAGGAACTGGATCACGTAGAGGAAGACCCAGATGGGGACGAAGGCGCGGATGGAGACCTGGAGGGAGTATTGGAGTTTGCGGAGTTTAGGGGGTTGGTTTGAGGGAGAGGGGGCGTACGTCAAAGCAGTATCCAAATTCTAGCTGCTCTTCTTCCCCGGGCTGGGTGAAGAGGCCTTGTCGCCGACGCCCTGGGAGGCCGGGCACGCCGGGCCCTAGTAGTCGGCCGACGAGGAAGTAGAATGCGGTTGCTACGAGGAGGGAAAGGGCGAGGAAATGGATGAAGATGAAGACGAGGGTTATGCGGACGGTTTTGCCGAAGCCGTCGGCGTAGGCGAGGCCCCAGGCGAGGGATGTGAGGAGGAGAAAGAAGGAGAGGAGGTAGGTGAAGGAGGGGTCGGGGCGGTGCCAGGTGTTTTTGGTCTCTAAGAGGGGTGGTCAGTGGGTGGGTCGAGTTGTGGGTTTGGCTGTAGCTGCCTACGTTTCTGTATGCTCTGTCAGTAGCAGTTCGTGAAAGAGAGAAAGAGAAGCTTACGTGATAGTATATTGACCTGAAGACTTTCTTGGGAGCCCATATTAGACTTGTCATCTCCCATATTGCCATCTCGAAGTCCATCTGGGGGAACTTGAATAGTCGCTTGAAGAATCGTGGCATCCGCAGGCCCTCGCTGCGACTTGAGGGAGTAGTTCCTCCGAAGGTCGAGGGCCCGCCTCCTGGCCGCGGTAATGATATGTGTGGATTCATGCTGTGAAGGTTGGGAGGGGTCTCGGCGGTATTAGAGGAGGAGGAGGAGGAGGAGGAGGGGGAGGAGGTTGAAGCCTGGATGCTCCCAGGGCTGGGTCTGGGCGCAGTTGGAGGAGAATGAACGGGGGATCCGCGAAGTATCCGCAGGGGGAATGTATAACGTCTTGATTCGCAGCTCCAGGGCGGAGGGTGCAATCGCTGGGATGAGGTCGGGGTCGGTCTCTATAATACAGGCGCAGGCGCTGGCCGATGAGGCTGTGGTGTCTGGCAGTCTCCGCCGGCCCAAGCTTTGTCACTTCCGCGCTAGCGGCTGGCCGTCGTCTTCAATCTCGTCGTCGCCAACAATCCTCAAACACTTTCTCTCACCACTCCCACCCGCACACCTCGACCTGTGCAGACAAAGCACCCGACGCCTTGTCTTGCCCGCGTCGCTCCAGCGCCCGACACAGTCCTCGCGCGCACGACTGCTCACTTCACTGTACGTGTCGCCTGCCGGTAGCTTCATCCTCGCGCGACCACCACTGACCCTCATCCTCCACCGCAGAACCGCAACACACCTCCTCACCACCATGGCTGAGTACAATCCCGAGCGCGCATTCCTCGAAAGCCTGGCCGCAGACCCTTCTGGTGGCTACGCGACCGACAGTCCTGGCCAGCAGCAGCCCGTCACATCTGACGAGGACGAGGATTATGATCCCTCTAACCTCATGCCTTCCACAGACTACCCCTCCCATCTCCCCAAATCTGCAGCCGGCTCTGTCTCTCCAGCACCGTCAGCTTCAGTACCCGTGAGCCCGCCGGCGGACGCAGACTCCCCGACCAACCAGGCGCCCTCCGAGGCCTCTGAGCCAGTGACCCAACAGCGGATAGTGGGTGGTTTTGTCGTTGAGAGCTCAGACGATGAGGGGGATCTCCCATCAGTGAAGCCACGGGCGGCTGATGCTGCGCTCAGAGTGGGCGGGAGGGCTTCACGATCTCCACAGCGTTCTATATCTTCAACTCCGTCAAATACACTTCCGAAGACAAATGTACACATACATAGTGCCTCACAAGATCAAGGTGGCTCAGGTGCTCACTCCACTGGCCTCTCTGACCCTGCTCCTTCACTTGCTTCTGTCGTTCCTGTTGCGGCTGTTTCCGCTCATGAAAATCAAAAGTCCCCTCCAGTTGCTTCCACTCCTGTTCCGGAAGCTACACCAGCTCCTCAGGCAGCTGCGTCCTCTCAGCCACAAGCTCGTCTTCCTCTTGACCGAATTGGTATTCTTGAAGATCGCATCAAGGAAGATCCGCGTGGTGATATGGACGCGTGGTTAAGTCTAATCAGTGAATATCGCAAGCGCAACAAGTTTGACGAGGTCCGCGCAGTCTACGATCGCTTCTTCAAAGTCTTTCCTACAGCGGTAAGCTTGCTTTTTCCTTTTAATCTCAAGTTCGAAGACTCACTGATGCCCGTCATAGGCCGAAGAATGGGTCAACTACTGCAATATGGAATTGCAGAACGACGATTTCTACCGCGTCGAACAAATCTTCATGAAATCCATCCAGTCCAATCACCATCTCCAGCTTTGGTCGACCTATCTAGACTACGTTCGTCGGCGCAACGATCTTAGCTCAGACCCCGAAGGCAAAGCTCGCGCAATTGTACAGCAAGCGTTTGATTTTGTCCTTGGTAACGTAGGAATCGACAAGGACGCCGGCAATCTGTGGCAAGAATACCTCTCATTCATCAAGTCCGCCCCTGGCAGTCATACCAGCGGCGATTGGCAGGATCTGCAGAAGATGGACCGGATGCGGAAAGCGTACCAACGAGCTATCTGCATTCCTACCCAGCAGGTCCAGAACATCTGGAAGCAGTACGATCAGTTCGAGATGGGCTTGAACAAGGCAGCAGGCCGAAAATTCCTGCAAGAGAAGTCTGCTGCGTATATGACAGCTCGGAGCGCAAACATCAAGCTTGAGAACATCACCAAAGATCTTATCCGTACAACCCGCCCTCACCTACCCCCAGCGCCCGGATTCGACGGAGATGTAGAGTATTTGCATCAAGTCGAGATTTGGAAGAACTGGATCAGCTGGGAGAAGGAAGATCCTCTGGTGCTGAAAGAAGATGACCCCCCCGCATTCCACCAACGCGTTCTGTATGCCTACAAGCAAGCTCTCATGGCACTTCGGTTCTGGCCTGAGATGTGGTATGACGCAGCGGAGTTCTGTTATCAAAACGACCTGGTGCAGGAAGGGGATGCATTTCTGCTTGATGGCGCCAATGCTAATCCCGAGAGCTCCCTGTTGGCATTCAAGAGGGCGGATCGCATCGAACTTACGCATGAACCGGAAGAAGGCGAAGAGGGTGTTAAGCGTCGAGGTGATGCAGTGAGAGAACCATATAACAAGCTACTCGACGCGTTGTATGATCTTGTCAAGAAGACCAAGGAGCGCGAAGAACGAACAATTGCAAGAGTCAAGGAGATGCACGCGCAGAATGCACCACAAGACGACTCGGCCGATGAAGATGATGACGATGAGGAGGAAGGTGCCCCAAAACCGAATGCCAGGGAGGCTGCACTTCAGATGCAAATCCGTGCCATCGAAGCTGGAAACAACGCGCAGACCCAACTTCTCAGCAAGATCATCTCTTACGCCTGGATCGGCTTGATGAGGGCGATGCGACGTATTCAAGGCAAGGGCAAACCCAATGGAAATGTCGGAGGTTTCCGCCAGATCTTTGCAGAGGCTCGCAAGAAGGGACGTGTTCTCAGTGAGGTATACGTGACCAGTGCCCTCATCGAGTACCATTGCTACAAAGACCCCGCTGCTACGAAGATCTTCGAGCGTGGTATGAAGCTGTTCCCTAACGACGAGAACTTTGCTTTGGAGTATCTAAAGCATCTGATTGCCATCAACGACATTACCAATGCTCGCGCAGTCTTTGAGACAACCGTCAGCAAGTTGACGCAGAAGCCAGAAACGGTCCCACGAGCCAAGCCAATCTTTTCCTTCTTCCACGAATACGAGTCTCAGTATGGTGAGCTGAGCCAGATCACCAAGCTCGAAAAGCGTATGGGCGATCTCTTCCCCGAAGACCCACAACTGGCCCGCTTCTCGCACCGATACTCGTCGCCTACCTTCGATCCAACCATCGTTCGCCCAATCATTTCTCCAGCCACACAATCGAAGCCCAAGGGAATGCCACCTATGCCCATGCCCATGCAGCAGCCATCGGCGCCCCCCATGGCGGCCCCGATACAGATGCAGATGCCATTACCACCGAATCCAATGGCTGTTCCGACAATCGAAGAGACGACGCCCGCTATGAACCATATCAATCAAGCTCACTCAGATCCGTCACGGTTCCAAAACGGCCAAAATATGAATTCGCCCCGACCTCCTCCAGCCGTTGCCGCTATCTCAAATTCTCCGAAGCGACCGTTCATGTTTGACGACGACGATGGAGATGCTCAGCCGAGGAAACTGCAGCGGGGCGAGTCGCCACTGAAAGGCGCAGCGGGACGTAGACTTGATGCAGCGAGGCGGAATCAAGCTCAACAGGGCGGACAGTCTCATTTCAACGTCCCTCAAGCACCCCAGCCATCTCTACCACGAGAACTCACGTTCCTCTTGAGCATCATCCCGGGCGCTCATACCTACCGAGAGACTCGATTCATCCCGGAAAGACTGGTTGATCTCATTCGCAACACCGACATGGACCGTACTGGCCCGCCACCAGTTGTGGGTCCTTCTCCTGTCTATAACCCACAATATGCACCGCCCCCACGAGTTCAATTCCCCGGAGCTCCAGCAATTCCACCCTATCCCGTGCCCGGTATGTATCCACTCAACAACTTCATGTCACCATGGGCGGCTAATGGGCCCCAAGGCTTTCCGTATCAACGATGAGTCACTACAGAATGACTACATGGCGGGTAGGCGGAAGCAACTACTGTACAACTAGTTTCCAGTGGGTGTTTACGTTTCATTTTTCTTCCCCATGGACTGCAAACACTATAGCGGGTGGCTTGCGCGGAGGACTAGCGGCTTTCCTTCCTGGACTTTTGGCGGCTTGGTCTCTCCTAGACCACGGATCTTGCATACAATCGGCGTCTGGTCTTTTCTCTGGGTACACTGGTGGCGATCGTGGCCTTCGGCTTGTCGTCAGATCCTAGCTGGATGATGAGCGATGTTTCACTCGGTTGATCCACTCCCTGGAGCGATGAGAGGCGATGGAGCTGGGTGTCGGCGGCTGGGACATGGATTGCATTTGACTGCGGGCTTCTTCCTGATATTGGAGGCCGATTACCCCTTTCTTTCTGTTTTATACTTGTGAAGCGATGAGAGATGGATCCCGCTGGGAGGTTGCTGGTTTAGGGGCTACATTTGCTTCACGATCTTCCTATTGCTCCTTCGAGCGACGAAGGACGAATTGCACTAGGAATCCCGGTTGGCTTACGGGTTGCATTTGCTCGGTTGTCATACTACTGATGGTAGTACTGGAGGCGAGTTGCCTCGAATAATCAAAAGTTCTCATGAATGAATCTTTCTTCCTTGTGAAATCTGGTCTTGCTTGTGCAGTCTTTGTGATGCATTGTGAGTTTGATAGAGTAATTTGAATGGCAGCAGCATGTCCACGGGCTTTCTGCATGGTCCCATAGCTGCCCTATCGCTGTTACACTACTTCGTACTTGGCTATCTGAACGTGGTACCGCTAGCCAGTTGCGGGTTAGACAGGGCGTCTCGTGTCCCTAGGTATCTCCACTTTTCGTCACGACATTCCAACACCATCCATCATGCTGTCTGGACGCGGGATGCGATTGCCATCGTCGCAAGGAAAGCAAGACTATCTATAAACTTAATGCGTGGTTAAACACGTAAATTATGGCAAAGAGTGCTGGGATGGTCCTGAGGGCATCAGGTAGGCGCGTTTACGCGGTAGAATGTAGGATTGTTATAGAACCTCTTGATAGTGCCCCTGAAGGAATCTAAGGCATGCTCGTGACAAGAGCTCTACCATTAGTTGAGGATGTAGTAGCTCGTGTACACAACGCGAAAATCAAGTTGTCATATCGTCAATTTCATGGTTTCCCGTCCCGTGGGCCTGCCTGCAGCTTCCCGTTTCCCAACCTCATTTCGAAGTCACGATAGGCCATTTTTCACTTCCGTTCTCACCTCATCATTAGGCAGCAGCCGCCGTTCTCGCGAGATACGGAGCAATTCGATTGCAGCAGCCCTATATAAACACCCTCCACCACCCTCCTTCTGTCTCCTCCACAATCAACACACTCTTCCTTCCTTCTTCCAACTCTTCCTTCTCTTCCTTCATCAGCTCGTGCAGGTCACTACCATCTACACATCACAATCCTTTCCACCAACAGCTCTTAGAGCTCACTAGCCAGGTACGTTTGCGTTGCTGATGGCGCGCACTTGACGCGCTCGTTGCTGAGTCAACCGACGCGTTTGCAGCTGTCACTCAACATCAAGCACGCGAACTGACCTCACCTTCTCCAGAGCTCCGAAGCCTCAGCAACCGACACCTCGCCAGCTGCACGGCTCGAGTCAAGACAAAAGTCGTCCGCGTACGTCTCCTTCCTCTCCATTCTCCTCACTTGCACGTCCGCCGGCCTCAATCACTCCGTTTCTCCGACAGAGCTTCCACCTCGCCATCTCACTCATTCACCATCCTCCTCCATCATCACATCTTCCACCCGCACATCATCTCTACAAGCTATCGAAGCTCTTCGCCTGCCGTCGCCCGCACTTCGTCTCTCGACCTTGATTTCTCATCACTGACTCTCCACTAGAAGCAACAAGAACGATGGCTGGCCCAGCGAAAAAGCGCGCTCAGGCGGAGCAGAGCAGCAGCAGCTCCTCCGACCATCAGAAGTCGTCTCGCAATGTCGGTCGTGAGGGCCCTACCCGATCGTCCCCGACCACCCTCCAGCGCGCCTCGCCGCAATCCATTCCACGCGTCGATGGCAACAAAGACACGCAGGGCGGCGTCGGTAGCCGTAGGCCATTGCCAATTGAGTACTCCAACCTACGCAATCTCTCTGATGCTCTGGGTATGATGGGATGGGCCGTCGCTCGCGGAGTAAGTTCATATTTTCTGTTTGTCTCTTGGTGTTGTCCATCGTCCTCTCTGTTTGCTGTCGCGCATCTGCATATGATTGCCATCACCAATGCCCACTCCCACCGTCATACCTGGCCTCCTGTTAGTACCCCACCAATCATGTCACGCCCTCAGCTGCCCGGTGTTACAATCTGCGGTACCTCGCGGTCGCAGACGGTATCTGTCGCGGTCCTGAGTGGGACAATCTGCGGTACTTGCCCGTGCACCAATTCCCCCTGGCATATAAGAGACCGTTGTATGACAGTCCTACATCGATTTCTCCATCACACACTTCTCATTCTTCCTCCCTTTTTTCATTTCCCCCATTAGTTTCCTATCCCTCTGGCATCCAATCCCGCCCCACTCAACATGTCTATCAATGTCACCACGTCTGGGCCCGAGCCCAACAATGTCCGCTGCTGTGTGGACTATATGGCATTTGTAAAGGTCGACAAGCTGACCGGAGAACGCAAGGTTGAACTGCAATCGACTTGCCCACCTCGTCCCAAGAAGGCCAGCACCTTGGGCCGCGAGATTGCCGTCACCCTCAACACCTACAACCTCTTTGGCATGCCCACCAAGACCGCTTATCAGTATGATATCACCATTGTCAGCCAGAACCCAGCCAAGGGTACCACTGCCACTGATCCTCCCAAGCGTGGTCTCGTCAAGAAGATCTGGGAGTCCAAGGCTGTGAAGCAGGAGCTCGGCGATGGCCATATGTGGCTTCACGATGGCAATAAGCTTGCTTGGTCATCGTTCAAGCTTCCTCGCCCTGAGCATCGCATCCAAGTCGACCTTGATCAGGAAGAGGGCCGCGCCAACGTTAAGAAGGGCAAGGAGAACCGTCACAAGATCTTCGTTCGCTTCACCAAGGATGTTGACTTCTCTGGCCTTCAAGCCTTTTTCGAGGGCCAGGCTCCTTGGTCCGAGGCCTGTATCGACACCATCAACTTCTTCGACCATGCCATGCGCGAGAACCCCTCCCATCGCTACACGCAAATTAAGAAGAACTTCTTCCAGCGTGGCGAGAAGCGCTTCGCCCTCGGCAAGGGCATCGAAGCCTTCAAGGGAGTGTTCTCCTCCATCCGACCTTCCCTCTTCGCCAACGGTGTTCGTGGCCTTTCTGTCAATGTCGATGTTGCCAATGGAACCTTCTGGATTGCGCAAGATCTCGGCAAGGCCCTGCTGGATGCCTTTGGTTGCTCGCAGGTCGCCCAGCTCCAGCAGAAGTTTGCCCAGGCCAAGGCCGGCAAGGAGGGTTTCGACGGGTCTCTTTTCAGGCGCGATCTGAAGCGCTTCTCTAAGCTTCATGTTGTTGACACCCATCGTTCGGAAGTCGGCCAGTGGTGCATTGACAAGTTCATTGCCCAAGACTGCACGGAGAAGAAGTTCCAGCTGGGCGATAAGAATGGCGAGAAAGGAGAGTGGATCACCATTTTCGACTACTTCAAGAAGACGTACAACATCACCTGCACCCGCGGCATTCCTCTTGTGAAGATGACCAAGGGAAAGGAGACTTACTTGCCTGTCGACGTTCTCCGTATTGAAGCAAACCAGCGCTACAACTCTAAGCTGGACGAGGGACAGACCTCCAACATGATCAAGTTTGCTGTCACCTATCCCAAGGAGCGCTGGGCTGCTGTTGAAGCCGGGGTCAAGCTTCTCGACTGGCAGAATGACCCTTACCTTGCCCACTATAATGTCAAGATCAACCCACACCCTGTTGAGGTCAAGGCTCGTCTCTTGCCATGCCCGGATGTTACGATGACTGGAGGTTCGATCAAGGCTGGAGCTGGCCCAGCGAAGGGACGCTGGCGCATTGACAAGATGAAGTTCCTCACCCCCAACACCCAGCCTCTTCGGTCTTGGGGTATTTGCGTCATTGGCGGTCCGCGTTCCCTTCCGCCTGATGCGGCCAAGAAGTTTGCTCAGCTCCTTATTACAACCTACAAGGGCCACGGCGGCAAGTTCGGACAGGGCGGCGAGGACCCTTGGATCGGCCCCGGCAATCTCGCCCAGGGCGGCGAGATGATCAACTCCGTCTGGCAGGCAACTGGCAACAAGTTCACTGCTCGGCCTCAGCTTCTGGTCTTCATTGTTAATGACAAGAACATCGATGTCTATCGTCGTATCAAGAAGTCGTGCGACTGCCGCTTTGGTGTTGTTTCTCAGGTTCTTCAGTCAGCTCAGTGCGTTAAGCTCGACTCCCAGTACGCCTCCAATGTCTGCATGAAGATTAACGCCAAGCTGGGTGGATCGACCTCCAGGGCCACTGGAACTGCCCTCGCCCGAGTGAATCCCAAGTTTGCGACAACTTCGATGATGTGCGTTGGAGCCGATGTCTCTCATCCCGCTCCCGGATCCGGTTCTTCTGAGGCTGCGTCCTTTGCCGCGATTACCGTCTCTCAGGATTCGCACTTTGCTCGCTACACTGCCGAATGCAACACCAACGGTCGCCGCCTCGAGATGATCACCACTCAGAACATCGACACTCATTTCAAAAACCAGGCCAAGACCTGGATCATGAACTGCGGCAAGGGCAACCCTCCCAAGCGCATCTTGTACGTTCGTGATGGTGTCTCTGAGGGTCAGTACCAGTATGTCCTTGAGCAGGAGGTCAAGGACATGAAGGCTGTCATGAAGGAAGTCGCTCCCGGATCTGACTGCAAGTTCACTGTTGTTATTGCAGGCAAGCGCCATCACATCCGCTTCTTCCCCAAGGCTGGCACTGGAGACCAGCGCACCGGAAACGCCATGCCCGGCACTCTCGTCGAGAACGGCTGCACCCACCCCTTTGAATGGGACTTCTACCTTTGCGCTCATGCCGCCATTAAGGGTACTGCTCGCCCGATCCACTACCAGGTCATCTTGAACGAGGGTGATTTCGGCGGGGAGGAGCTTCAGCAGTTTATTTTCGAGCAGTCCTTCCAGTATGCTCGCTCCACGACTCCGGTTTCCCTCTTCCCGGCTGTGTACTATGCCCATCTGGCTGCCGACCGTGCACGAGCCCACGAGAACACTACTCCGGTTTCTTCGGGCAAGAAGGGAGACAAGAAGGGCGAAGACGGCAAGACCGAGACTTCTGGCAGCTCCAACACCGGCAAGCCGTCCACTGAGGTCAACCCACTTGTCCCTCTCAACATCTCTGGCGGCATCCAGAACGTCATGTGGTTCATCTAGATGGACCATGACAAGCCCTCTTCGTCTCTCGAGGCAAGGTTTTTGAGGATAGCTGGGTAAAAGTCTTTGGCGGATATGGTTCTGGTATGGGTTTTTCAACCAGATAGTTGAGGTTCATAGTTAAACTCCTCATTAGGAGTACCAGAAATAAAATGATTTGATCAAATCTTGGGCGCGGTTTGCTGTGATGATAGTAGCTGTCTGCCACTGTTTGAGGTGCTTCCATGCATTTTCAGGAATCTGAACGAGATAGAACCCTTTGTCTTGGACTATGTGGGAATTTGTTGATGCACTTCCTGCAGTGGGTTAGGGTGTACACACGAGCTGAGTAGTTGATGAGTGTGCCCCTTTTTTCGTGCCTCGCGTGCTGCGGTGGGTGTACACCTATCTGCCACTGCTTGGGTTGCTTCAATGTATTTTCAGAAATGTAAAGGAGAAGATAGATGGCTATGTGGAAACTTGTTGAAGCTTCCTGCAGTGATAAACAGGGGTGAGGGGGCGTATGTGTAGTGAAAAGGGGGTGTACGTCTAGTAAAAGGGGGTGTACAGGTAGCGCTCCCCCAACAGTAATGTAGACAATAGCAAGGACAATAATAGGAATACAGGCTTTAAATAGATTGGAGAGAGAGTTAACAGTAGTTTGAGAGGGCTTTTTTTTGGGATCGGGAAGGCTATGGGGCTTGGAGCATTTGCGTCACCGTATGCGAGAGGTCAACGAGAAGAAATTAAAGGCTCTTTGTGCCTTATTATCTATCACGGAGTCGGATGGCGAAGCGGATGCGAAGCAGAGCTTGGCTTGTGGATACTTCGGCGAAGAACTCTCACAAAAACGATTGCAGAGGTTATCGGAACCTCTACGCTACAACACCATCACACGCCGAGAACTCCAGTTTCCGCAAGACTCGTCCGATTCGAACCACACGATAACCTCGAGAAGCGCTCAGCCTCTCAACCCACCCCTTCCCCTCCCTTCGTATCCCCCCTATGCCTTCTTCCACCTCACCCTTCCCACCCACTGAACCCAGTCCCCCACATCCTCCCTCCCCATCAACAACTCCACCGTATACCACTCCCTCGCCAACTCCTCGTTCCCCGCGCACCGATGCACAAACGAGTGACACGCTCGACACAACCACGCCACGCTCCCCAGCGCCTCCTCCTTGTGCCACCCGCGCTTCAGGACCCGCGCATGCGTGCTCTTGGGGATCAGATGATGGTACGTCAGTGGGATCCAGCTCCTGCCACACAGCTCGCAGGCGTCGGCGCGCGTCGAGGCGTAGGGAGGGGGCGCGGCGGTGGCCGTGGTGATGTAGGCGGATAGGATGGGGGCGAGGAAAGGGGGCAGGTCGACGGACGGGTTGTAGTGGGGCGAGGTGATGAGGGCGTAGGAGGTTAGGGAGTCGGCGATGGAGACGGGGACGGAAGCTACGATCGAGGCGAGGGTGGAGGCGGAGAGGGGGAGGGCGTAGGTGGACTGCAGGGAGGGGGATTTGGTGTAGAGGGCGTGGTTTAGGGAGCGAAGGGAGGCGGGGAGGGAGGTGAAGATGTCGTGGGAGAGGTACTGGAAGGTTGTTAGGGCTGGGAGGATGAGTGAGAGGATGGGGGGTTTACGTCTATGAATTCGCCCAAGTCTTCAGCATCGTTCGGTTCCTCGTCTGGCTTGTCGAGTCCTCCGGTCTGGTCACCATCTATGGCTTTAGATCCCTTCTTGATCCGTTTCTCCTTCCTCCGCTTCTTCGGCTCCTTCTTAGGCGGTGCAGCTAAAATGCGCAAGACAGGCTCAGAGACGCAGTCGCGGAAGATTTCGTAGTTTGCTTGGTCGTCGGCGGGGATCATGGCGGCCATTGTTGTTCAAGAAGGTAGCTGGCTTTGCAATTGAACAGGAATGCGATAGAGGAACGCATGGCCGAAGGGTTGGGGCGGTGATATATATGAATCGGGATGGGAATCGAGGAGCTGAGGTTGATGATGGTTGGTCGTTGGGAAGGGCAGAAGAAGGGCGGCGCCGCGGGCCAATCAGAGAGCGCGGGTTCGGATTGGTAGTAAGGCATACTTTCGTAGTTATAGCTAGAAATCTATGGAATACATAGGGCGTACTTTCAGCTTGTACTCGACGTTGAAGGTTAGAGGTGATTCATAATTAGCTGCGTGGTGCTTTATGGGACTTGTTCCTACAAAGGTACGTGAAGGGCTGAGATGCGGCACAAATGGATGCCTGGAGCTGCGAAGGGGAATGAAATATGTTTTAGAGCGAGGGGAGACGAAGCTGTAGGTTAGCAAATCGAAGCAAGGATCCCAAGTAAGAGCTAGATATTTCTCAATCAAAACCTGCAGTAGAGAACATCTATTCATTGTTATTCCCTTTGCTTCGACATATTGCCTAGCCACCCTATGCAAGAAAAGGAGATCGGCTTCCCTCCTCCATACCCTAACCTCCCCCGTTCCATCAAAATCAACAAAGGAGACCCATCCATCGCCATGCAAACACCATCTCTCTAAGACCGTCAAGGTGTAAGTATTCATGGCTTCTTCTTGCCACCCTTCGCTCCCTTCTTGCCTAACGCCGCCTCCCTCATCCTCTTCTCCCTCTCTAACTGCTCGGCCTTGCTCTTGTCCTGCTCGGCCTTCTCTTCGGCTTCGGCCTTCTTCCGCGCCGCCTCCGCCGCCCTTCTCTCCCTCACAAGCGACAGCCTCTCCAAATCGGCCCTCGCCTCGTCCGTCTTCCCCTCCGCATGCAACTTCTGGTATCTCTCCTTCGCCTGCTGTGCCTGCAGCGCCTCCCTCTCCCGCCTGCTCAACTGAGAAACCGGTGTCTTCGCCTTGTCCTTGCTGATGGCCTCAGCATCAGCGGGGGTGGCCAAGGTCGCAGCCTGCGTGCGCGCCTTGGCACTGTGGTTGGGGTTGGCGGGCATATCGCCGTCCTCCTCGTCGTCGTCTTCCTCTTCGGACGACGAGGGCATGTCGCCGGGAGCGGCAGACTTCTTGTTCTGTTTCGCGATGGCGGCGAGCTTGCGGGCTTTGGCGGCGGCTTTGCGTTGTTCGCGACTTAGAGCTTCTTTTGGGTTGGATTCGTCTTCCGAGGACTCTTCTTCGGAGGATTCGTCGTCTTCGTCGTCATCTTCGGATTCTTCGTCGAGGGTCTTGGGTTTGGCGTCCTGCGAGAGAAGGAGGGTCAGCGGTGTTCTTTGAGAGCTACAGAATAGTCCGTGAGAGGGGTAGCAATTTTCCCGGGTTTGGAGACCATCCCGAGACTTCATGAAGGGAAAAAATGTGAAAGCAGACTTACACCCCACATGCCCATGACCTCCCCATCAGCGTTCAGCGGCTGCAGGTCCCTCGAGAAGTGCTTTCCACCTACAGTGACACTCTGTGTTAGCCATGGTCCACTATAATTCGTGCTCCTCTGTGGACGGGGATTCACTCACCACCACGCTTAGGTTTGCTGAATTTTCCGCCACGGCCACGGCCTCCTGCACTGGACGACATGATGTCCAGGTATTCCTTCTAACAAGTATCTCAAGAGGGGTATTGGTATCGGCCGTGGGAGGTCGTCGTGTGCGTTTGAGGTCGAGGTCGCGGGTGTTGTGGAGGAGTCACGGTGGTGTGCGGTGTGGGGAGATGCAAGCAGGCAGCGTGGCAGGCTTCAAGGCGTTTGGACCCTGTTCAACACTGCTCAAATTTGTCTATGAATGTGCTTTCAACGTACATAGTAGAACATACATCAATCTCAGCATTTAAACCCACTGCTCCTGCATCATCCCTCTGCCAACGCATAAACACTCCACCCCTCTATTCAACCCCACCACGTGCCCACCTACCCAGCAGGCCAGCCGTGCCAGCCTAACCAAGTCCATCCCATTTTCTGAAGGCCCGCCATGCCCAATCGACACTAGCCGCCCGCTTACCTAATGGCCGAACGGCCCCAAATCCAAAAAATTCTCGTGTCTCCCTCCTCTCTATTACATAAAACTAAACCCTCCATATTCACTCTGCGCTCCATCCTCCCTGGGGCTGACTGGAGGGGAAAGTGGAGGGAAGAGGGAAACACCGTTCAAGACTTACCACCCGGCTCCGTGTGTCCTCGGGCTTTGGGGGCTGGGTAAATTTGTATGGACGCGACAAGTTTTGCGGTGGAATGAAGATTCGCTGCTTCGCGTCAACGACGAAGGGCAACAAGACGATTACTATGCAGATGGTTTTCCATTCAGGACGATTCTCCCGGACCCGCATGTTAGTAGCGTGAACTGCGAGATTGACGACGGTGGTGGCAGCAATACTGGCCACGGCTTCGACCCTTCGATGCAACGGCATCGTGTGAGGGCGAAACGAAGATGCGTCTTTGACTTGGCGTCGTGGTTGTATGGGGCATGCATTTTTGACGGGCTTGCTCGTGTCTTGACGCGGACACTGTACTGTTGACGTCGTAATTCTTCTGATTCCACAAGGTGGGACTTCAGACATGGCATTGAAGACAGTCACGCTGAGAGTTCGTAAACGGAGTTACAATAGCCCGGAGTAACGCCCTCGAGTTCGAGTCTATGGAAATCCCGTATGCGTGCAAGCCCAGATTGCACGCCTTTCGACAAGCATTCTGAGATCAGACAAGTTGAAGCAGCGAAGCCAGTTTGATGGCTCCAAGACGTAGCGCTCCTTCTGGTTGTTGCGACCTGCATCTTCCAGACTATATGATTTGTTCCCTGAAGGTATAATGGAGATGTATACTCTCTGTGAATTTAGTGAGTATTGGCAATGGTCACGTGAGCAATATCGGCTCCAACATGTACCGAGAAATTGAGGCTGCTCGGCTGCAGGGCTTACGCGTCAAACCCATTCGCTATCGCGAGAATAGCAAGCCGAGATAGAACCGTAAGATTGATATACGACGCTTTTGCCGTCTCTGTGCCCATGGTACGACTACATGGACAGCAGCATATACCCTAGAACCGCCCTCTTATTATCGTTGTCTGCCTGTGCCTCTGCTGCCTGATCTCTGCCCACAATTTTCCTCTCTACTCCATACCTCAGAATGAAGCTCTCCTCGCTTATTTCTTTGCTTAGCACCTTTTCTACTGCTCTCTCAGCTCCAACACCCCCAGGCTCCTCCTCGGACGAAGTTCGAAATGCAAACCACATCTTCAACGCGATTCACTCATCGATGCGCCAATGGGGATCTTCCTTGAACCATAATGGGATGTCATTTTTCCTAGCAACAGTACCAGAGGGGACGCAATTGTATCATGGCACGTGGAAAGAGGAGCGTGTGGATGGCATGGAGTGGTTGGCGTTTGAACCAGAACACTCTCTTGTTTTTACGCATAGGAGACCTAGTCGTGGAGGTCCTAGAAGAGGACGGCCAGGGAAGTCTCCTGGTGGGGATATGGAGGTAGCATCAGAAGAGAGACATCCGCCGCCTCCTCCTGGACATCCGCCGCCTCCTCCTGGACATTGGCCGCCTCCTGGGCATCCCCCACCCCCACGCCCTCCTATGGCGCTGGCTGGAGAGTCTCAGACCTTCCCACACCCTCTTCCACATGACTCACAGCGTCCATTCCATGAAGGCCCCGGTAGTGGTCATCCCCCCGATTTCATCCCAGGCTGGCTGCACACGTACAAAGCCAACAAGGACCTTAGACTCCTATATATAGACGGCATGTCTGCCGGGAAAACGGACAACGGTACTCTTGACTCCCAAGATCTCGTCCTCCTCAATTCCACTGAGCCACACCGTGGCATGTGGGAATATGAGCGCGCACTAGGTTTGTGCGAAATGGCACAGAAAGAGTGGGAAGGACGCATTTACGGCATCGTTCGCATGGAAGCCGGCTTCGAGATCATCCTGTGCAACTTTTCAAAAGATGTCGACCTTGTGCGTGTTACGCGCGCTGCAGGACCTGACGATAGGGATTTCGACGGCTTCTCCAATAAGATAGGCCATTTTCGGTATATGGAGGCCGTCGCAGCCAGATATCCAGGTATAGGAGGCGATAGAGTACGACTCGACTATGACAATTTCGTCTCAGCCTTCGCATACCCTCTGGAACTCTTTATTTCAGCCTCAGAAATCGACGAAGCGCCGCCACTCCCACGACTCGTCAACATCTCGTCCGACGATCTCGCCATCGTACGCTCAGACGTCCGGAATATGATCCTCTCCCAAGACGCCGTCACCGCCACGCGGGAGTCCTTTAACTGGCAAAGAGCCGCCGACATGATAGTCGCCCGCTACTCCAAGCCCCTCCAATATCTAACCTCCGACCTCGTCCGCAAGAACACCACCCTCCTCTCCACGTACCTCGAAGTCCTCCTCCGACCCTTCATCGACTACTCCGCCCGCCTCCCCCTCGACGAAGCCGCTCGCTGCTCTGCTCAGTTCGCTTCCAACGTACCTGCCGCCAACACTTCCCTAGCCGCCGCAGCCGTCCACGCCATCGCCGACAAGATTTGCAGCGTGCTATCCTCTGCGCTCTCTTCCATCTCCGATGAGAGCGATGACGATGCCGCGGGTCCGAAAATTAGAAAAGCGGGGCTAGCGAATGCTGTGTTCAAGCTAGATGGATTGGTGGATTATCTGCAATGGACGAGTTGGAAGCAGTGTCGCGGGTGTGGGGATGATGAGATTTGTTTCGTACCAATTTGGCCGTTTGGAGCTGTCGAGGATCATAAGAGGCCTCGGTGTCTAGATGCGGACAGCCTAGTGAGCAGGATGGGGTATTGGGGAATATGGTGGGGTAGACCACCGCCTGACAAAGGAGAAAAGGGAGGAAAGAGGGGGTTGGAGATATAGGGGAATGCTGATTGAGTAGGATTACAAGATCGCTCGTTGTTTTTCTTCGTTTTCAGCGTGCTAATTGCTTCCACAAGAGTTTTTGATATATTTTCTCGTTCGGATACCCCTCTAGGTCAAGTGGTCTCTCATGTATACACATTCTTCCCTATAACTTCTATCACTTGCGATCTAGTTGCTTTCCGATTGCGTTCTCTCTGCCTTAAGTTGCTATTCTTTACCTTTTATCTACAGTATTTAAAACAGGTCTGTGAACAAACGCGTGCCATCGTCTAAAGTCCTTCGATACATTTTCAAGAGCCTGCATGCTTGGAAAAACGTCGCTCAGATTGCCCCAAGAGGATGTTATATACTTCGCCATGGCTGGCTGGGGAAAGAACTGCAACTTCCAAGATCTCACGTAAGCGATGTGATGACCTACAGTCGCACACTGGGCATGAAAATAGCGGCACACTCATCAAGCATTAGCCCATGTGTACACCTGTCTGCCGCTGCATGAAGTACTTTAACAAGTTTTCACATAGTCCAAAGTGATGGGCTTTTATCTCGTTCTAATTCCTCAAGGTTCTCCTAGGCACCCCCAGCAATGGCAGACAGATGTACACACAGGCTAGTACTTGATGAGTGTGCCACCTTTTCCATGCCCAGCGTGAGATTGAAGCCGCGAAACTACACATGATTTTCTTCGCGTTTTGAGGTGTGTAATCGGACTATTATTGGTTCTGGTGAGATCGCAAGCTATGTAAGCGCTTGAAAATATGGGCTCGATATTTTTGTTACCCTTCTACATATCCACTTAGATTTGGTCATTGTAACCTAATTCTTCAAAATACGAGCCAAATAATTGGGATTAGATCATGATCTATTCCGAAGAATCGTTCGATTTCGTCATAATCGGCGGCGGCACCGCTGGCGCAAACCGCAACTTGGATCCAAAGATCCAAGTACCAGGATCTGTGACACAACTATTCAGAGATGTGGAATATGACTGGTCTTTCAACACCGTGCCTCAGGAATCCCTCAATGAACGAGCGATAAACCACCCTCCGGGGAAAGGTGCGAACGACATCCCATCGCTTCCTCCATTCTAATCACCACATGTAGTTTTCGGCGGTTCCAGCGCCACCAACGCCATGTCAGCAACCTTCCTTCAAAGGAAATCTTCGACCTCTGGACTGAGCTCGGTAACAGTGGCTGGAACCGCGACAACATGACCCGTACTACAAGAAGTTCCAAACCTTTCATCAGCCCAGTTCTAAGCTTAAAAAGGAGCTCGACTCGACATCGATTACATGGATTATAAGCTTTATGGGAAGGACGGGCCAATTCAAACCGCCATCTCCAATTTCACCATGCCCCTGACGAGACTCCTAGGCGCGACGCTGAAGAATCTGGGCCACAAGGCGACGAAAGACCCTATTTCTGGCGAGGCGGTTGGTGCGTATAGTTGCCCGAGTTTCATCGATCCGAGATCTGCTACGAGAAGCCATGCGGGAGTGGCATATTACGACCCGGTTAAGTCGAGGCCGAATCTACATCTAAAGGAGAATGCGCTAGTCGAGAAGATTGTCCTCGAGAAACTAACGGACGGATCTGTTATCGCCACTGAGTCCAGTATACCATCAACGGCGAGCGTCACGTTTCCCACGCAAGCCGAGAAGTCATCTTATGCGCCGGAGCATTCGGCAGCCCAGCTCTCCTAGAGCTCTCCGGAATCGGCGACCCAGCTCTCCTCACATCTCTCGGAATCGACGTCGTCATCCCAAACCTAAACGTCGGCGAGAACCTCCAAAACCATGTCATGACCACCGTAACCGCCGAAGTCCTCAACCCCGACGACTCCCTCGACTCCCTCGGCGACCCAGCAAAACTAGCCACAGCCATCGAAGCCTACACAACCCACCAAACCGGCCCCCTCTCCGCCGGCTTCAGCGCAACATCCTACCTCCCCGTCCCCTCCTTCTCCCCTACAGACAACGAAGCCCTCCAATCCCTCATCTTCACCCACCCACCAGCCCACCCCAACCCCTCTCCCCCGCCTAGCAAATCCAATCCCACCGCCTCGCCACCACCCTCCTCTCCCCGATCGCCACCCCGCTCTCACTCAGCGCCGCCGCCGCCGAGATTTACCCCGTCTACTCCCCTCCGGCACAAACCTCATCTCCCTCGTCCCCGCCCTCATGCACCCCCTCTCTCGCGGCACCGTGCACATCACTTCCGCCTCCCCGACCGTCTATCCGGCCATCAACCCAAACTACCTCTCGCACCCGCTCGACCTCGAGCTCTTCGCGCGCGGCCTGCTCTACTGCAGCACCGTCCTCGCCCCGCAGTCCCTGGCCGCGCTGCTTAAAGAGGGCGGGAAGGGGATGCCCGAGCGGCGGCTCGCGACGCTGGCAGAGGCGCGGGCGTATGCGCGGGAGCGCGCGGGGACGATGTTCCATCCGTGCGGGACGTGTGCGATGATGCCGCGGGAGGGGGGAGCGGTGGTGGGGGAGCGGTTGGTGGTGCATGGGGCACGGAATTTGAGGGTTGTGGATGCGAGTGTGTTCCCGGTGATCGTGAAGGGGCCGGTGACGAGTAGTGTGTTTGCGGTCGCGGAGCGGGCTGCGGATCTGGTGAGGGGAGAGTTGGGGTAGGGGGATGGGATGATGGGATGATGGGATGATGGGAAGCTGGGTAAATCACTGCTTAGATCTGAGCTTGCTCACTCGAGAGCATTGGGAGGGGTGGGTACTGAGTAGGCAGTTAGTTGGTAGGGAGTCTGATTTTATGAAATGCTTGAGATCGGACGTCGTGCCTAGATTCTTGGACTTCGGTCGGAGTACCTCGAGAAGTCGCAACCGAGTGTGCACAGGTTTTTGTCCTGGCGCTGTACCACAAGCGAGCGCAGGGCGTGCGCGCTGCGTACTGCTGTAGAAGGGGGTTTTGGCTGGGGGGTAAGCTGGTTAGTCGACATGTAGCCTCGTTTCTAATTTTCTCTCTGTCACGTTGGATTGGTAGTTCTGAGAGCATAGGGGTGAGTATCCCAGGCAGTCGACAAACGGAGATGCCAAGGCTATTGCTGAGACTGGGAATCTTTGGACGACATGAGGACTGAGCCGAATATACTTGTCTAGGGGTTCTAAAGCTTTTCTTCTCGCAATTATTTCTCTTTATGATGTACTCAAATGACATGCAGGACATTGACGGGTGAATGCTGCGCCCCCCTGTCCCGCCCCAGTGCATGAATACGCCGAAGGATACGCCTGATGGAAGAGTCTGCGCCCTGGGTTGGCTGAGCACTTATTTTTTTGCTACGAGAAGCAGTTGCATAGCCTTGCGCAGCGAGATTTAGAGTGGGAATTCGTGACGAAATCCGCTGAGTACTTGATGGGGGCCAACGGGGGCGGAATAGACTATGCCAGACTTCAAGTTTGAGGCTTAGCGTTGGTTATATCTGCATTACTCAGCTTGCCATCGAATTTCGCATGGAGGGGTCGATTTAAGAGGCTGGAGAAGATATAGCGGAGGAAGTGCTCCGCCGGCCAGAGTCTAAGCCCTTGAGTGATAGCCACTGTGTCAAGACTTAACTCATGCTCTTGCATTTTTGGGGTGAAACATACCCAGTTGACGGATTAGAAATCTGCTTTCCAAGCGCACCTCCAATGGTGGTGATTGATAGTCGTCTCATGTATGACAGTTGTCCTGAGACCTCCAGAGACCTCCAGAAGGGCTCAGGTCAGCATCTGGCGCCAGCAAAACCTTGCTCCGACTCGCTGGATGGAGAGTGCGCTGTTTGACGTACGATGTGCGCAGCTGCGTTGTTTAGCATTGATTGGTGGGTTTCGTACACGCGGTCGGGAAGAGGCGTCGTCTAGCGTTGTCTCAATGAGATGGCCCTAGATGTTCCATCGGCTTCAAGTATCCGAAACGGAAGGTGAGATAGTGGGATAGGCTGAGGAGGCAACACCTGGTGAATCAAGCCTGGGAGTTTTTAGCATTTATTATGACTGAATCAGTATTCTACTCATCCTCTAGCCAAAATAGGTTATTCGGCGTTGATTGGGAGCAAATGATTATTCCTCTTTTAGCCGAGGCAAAGACGAGATAGGTGCAGTAGATTATGCGGCCATGGGAACTGAGCACGCGAGATTCCCAGACAGATGACGGAGAAGGAGAGTTGAAATGTAACCATCTTTCATCACTTTAACACTTCTGGGACTTAGCCGGGAGATGATAGGGTAGGGACGTCCTACTTTTGCTCTGGTTCTTTCGTTGATCATTAAACCACTTTGCATATTGGATAGACTCAAAGCCTTGCCAATTGAGATGCACTCCCAACATTAGGTAATGGTAAGATTACCCTAGACTAACTACCACACCCGGATGAAAACTTTCGACTTCGTCAAAGCTCTCGTGGCATCACCATCGAATGGAAGGTAGCTAATTTGAAGTCCTATGTTGAAGCTTTCAAAATGAAAAGCTTAGGCTCGAACTGGGCAATCAGGCCTTCACCTTGGAAGCCATCTCTCAGGAATAGCCTCATCTTAGACTGTGTGAAGAGAGTGAATATAGTGCATCATGAGGCCGTGCTGGAACGTAAGACGGCAATCTCGCTCCCACAGGCTGTCGAAGGAGCACTAAACATGCCAATGGATGCTGCTATGCTCGCCAGGCAAGCCGGCAGCCGGCAGCGCCAAAGGATGTAGCCGGTGTACATAAATAGAGGCGGGAGGAACCGTAGGCCCAGACGTTCGAACCTGGACGAAGAACGAAGGATGAAGGATGGGCGGAGGTTGGAGCCGAGAGTTCGACCGGTAAGCAGAAGCGGACACGTGATTCGTATTCGGTTATTAGACCAGGCTGAGGCTGCATTACTGCGCGAAGCCACCGATGGTTCTCGTCTCTAGGCCATCTTTGAGGGGCCGTGTGTTAGCTTATTTGGGGGGGGAGAAGCAGGCGATGTACAATGGCTTGACTTCGCTGTTATGTGGGTGAATAGGGAGTATTTGACGACCGGAACTGTGGACCGGAGACAGGTATTAAGTCACTGCGGAGATATCTTCGAAAACCGACGTAGATTTTGAATCCGAATTAGTAATCCAAAATCTTGATGGAGCGAGCGTTTTCCTATTCAAGGCGAATCGATGTATTAGCGCACGAGGCAGACACGTGATGATAACACGACAGAGCGTCTATGGAGTACCAGTGGGGAGCGGCTCAACGACCTTCGCACATCCAAGCAATGGCCCCCTTGAGCATTTCGGCACCTACTTTGACCGCAGAAACTCTGCTCATCCTCCTCACGGCCCAAGAGGAATCTGACTCTGGCGTCTGCTAGCTGCTGACGCCAGCTAAGATAGGCAGTTATCCACCACCACCGCCACAATCCCCAAACTAATTCCAGTCCAATAGCGAGAGCTGTTCGATCGGCATTGCACCAGACCGCTGCATTTCCGCTGATTTGTTGACGCTCGAATTGTAAGCGCAACGGCTTTCCTGGGGTTGAGTGCCCTGACACCGCTTTTTCTGTTCAGCCCTGTTGACTTTGACGGTAAGGCCTCCCACTAACCGGCGCTGTTTCATGGCCACGAAAGCCACTTAAGCGGTACCCAGCACCTTCGATCCCAAGCATGATCAGCGCGAGGCGAAGGCAAACGGAAGGTCCGAGCATACTTGGGGAGCTGTCAGAAATAGAATTTAGCTACGAGTTGCGACGGGAAGCTAACGTGATGCTAATCCCAGTCATGGTTACTTCGAAGTTAGACGGAGTTGCCGCACTATAGCTACTCTTTCGCTGCGGAGGTGCTGATCAGTGGAATTGCCTAGTTCACGGTTTCCAAAAATGCCGTGAGAATGTGCGAGACGAAGTAAGAAATAGAACGGTGAAATCCGACCCGGCGCTTTCTAAATGCACGTTCCAGCTCTTGCCGTTTGCGATGCCCTAAATGCGAGAGAAAAAATGCGATGCCGTCAAAACGAGGGGCTGATCCATAAAACTTCAATACCCGGTACTTTCCCCAACGATAGTGTTCTCGCGGCGTACAGCCGTATCCAAGTCAAGAACGAGAGTCGTAATGCGCAACTCCGAACTCCAGGCCCTATCGGCTAGATAACTTCCAAAAGCTAAGTCATGATCCAAGGCTGCTAATCACTGCTGAGGCGGTGTTTGGGCGCCTTTCAGGTGTATCCTTTTGACGTGATCGCGCTGGCGATTTGTTAGAGAAGCGACTGTTGTAAAAGATGAATGAGCTTACCATATTGTCGACTCGGCTGAAGACTCTATCGCAGCCGCTCCATTCGCACAGAACACCTGGGTTGTGCTTTGCTTCGTGTCTCGCGAGATCTTTCTTGCTCGAAAATCCGCCACCCGTGGATTGCGGACATCCCTCATGGCGGCAGAAAAATGACTTCGTGTGACGCTTGTGGTGCTTTCTTAGGTCGCAGCCTCTTGTGAAGGCTGCTCGGGATGTGCAGCCTGGGTACGCACAGGTCCAGGTGCCGTTCTTGTTGAGATAGCCGTATTCACGGAGGTCTGGCGCGTTTGGTGATAGAGATCGCGAGTACGTAGCTCGTGTGCCGTCTTCCCTTGTGTAACTTCCAAGAGAAGCTGCGGATGGTGACCGTGATGCCCGCGTTTGGCCCATATGCTGGGTTGAGTACATCGAGGACCCGACCGTAAGGGAACTTGTCGGAGCCAGCGTTCCAGTTGGTTGCGGATACGTTGCATACGACATTGGAACTGAATGTGTCGACGAATGTTGCGGGGCCCATAATGATTGAGGAGGATAACTGGAGCTTATGTTGGGACCATATTGAGGCTGTTGGTAGTATTGTGCTTGGTGGGGTTGGACCATAGGTAAACTCTGCGTTGATTGAAGAGGTGGGGAATATACAATGCTTGGTGTCGACTGCCCGACGCTCGTCGTATAGTAGTTGCCATAACCATCGGGCTCGCTCATCAGTGGCATATCCGCGTCGGGAAAGAAGAAGCTGGACATCCTGAGGTGTGTCGGTACGAGGAGGACAGCAAGAAGATGGGCCTAGCGCCGTTGTCGCCACTGGGGGAGAAGGTGATCTTGGATAGAGCACTCTGGAGGGGGTGGACTTAATTCCTAGTGAACGTCGAGTTGCTGTTGATGGTATTAATGGGCCGATGAAGCACAGTGGGTGTGGTAGATGACAAGTCGGTGATGAGATAGATAAGGGTAGGTGTAGTCGAAAGCAAGTGTTGAAAGTGGCTGGTGGACTCTTTTGATGTTAAATTAAGATGAAGGCGCCAGCAGGAGTGGTGCTAAGGTATATGTTTAGTGCAGTGATAAGCTCAGTGCACTGACCGCGGTAATTATAAGGCTGAAGAGAGTCTTCCGTACGTGGCGAGCAGTGGCGGAGCTGCCTAGGTGTCTCGCAGAGTCTCCCTTGCGTGATTGGTGCGATGCCGGGGGACCTATCGATGAGCATAGGCGCCGAAACAAGAGTAGTTAGTTTGAAGAATGCTACCCATGTTCCCATATGGCCTTCCGGCGGATGAGCTTTACTGCGGATGACGATCTTCAACAGATGCATTGCATATTTCACGCAGATGATGTTACTGCGGTAGAGTATTGCGGGCGTGGACAGGTCACCAAAAGGGTCCCACGCTCCGTCAAGGCACTCCCTGATGTGTAACTCTTTTGAGTCCGCCGCATCTACCCATGCATTAATGTTCAATGTTGAAACAATGCAGTTGAAATCGCTGTTGTCATGATGCGTATGCAGCGGGTAAATCTCAGCAGTCAGCTCCTAACAAGTGTTGGGAGCTCGATAGTCGTATTGTACGGCCATTGGTTCTCGACTCCCATATGGATGCAACGTGTGCAGAGGGAAACCTTTCATCTCCCCCAGAGGCAGCTCACGCCTCATCCCAGAGCGCTGGAAGCCTTTCATCGGTACACAACCGTGTTGATTCTTCCAGAATCTGGACTGGCGTCCCGCTCATTTGGCCTGGGCCTGCCAGCAAAGAGCCAAGAGCAGCAGTAACAGGAATGAGATGGTTTCAGGACTGATGCAGACATACCAGCGAATGTTGCTGCACTGTTGAGAATGGTAGGCTCTGGGAACCGGCATGCTGGCCGGTGAAGCTGACTTACATTCTAAGCTAGCACAACGAGCAAGTCCCGTTTCCACGTGTTGGAGGCAGAGGAATATCGGAATTAGGGATTCGCTTACTCCATAGGTTCCATGGTGCTGGGCTAGCATAAAGCGGCAGCCGATCGAGCGTGCTCTCGAATGCGACGCCATCCAAGGACGGCTTTGAGAGCTGACGTAAGCAGCGTACTGTGTTGTGAAGGTGAGCACTCTCATGTGCTTGCTACCACCCAAGTTCCTTAGCCGTGTGCAGGGTTCCGGCTTCAGCGTTAAGATCGCGCTTGTGTCATACTCGCCCTGCGCCGGATGTGACGCAGTACCTTCCCTGGGCTCGACTCTACATTTGGGTGAAGGAAGCATACTTAACGATGGCTTTCCGTGGATTCGTTAGCCCTGTCTGCTTTCGGGCAATGCTTGGCCACCATGCTGCCAGCAGACGCTGGGGCGGTTGCCATGTTGTTGCCGGCTCCCGCTCTAAAACGTGTTAACCTCTGACGCGAGGGGCGCTCAGCCCTGTGGCTGGCACCGGCTATGAGACTCTAAGCAGGGCGAGGTCGTGGCGCTTTCCAGAATAGCTTGTTCAAAGTGTTTCGAGAAGATGTCGTTGTATGCGGGAGGATGGACGCCTGGCTCTATAACGGGCACGCTTTCAACTTGGAGACAAGTGTGGGAGGAGCAGAAGTGGAGCCAGATCGCCTCGCTGTGATTGGCCAGATGCACTCACTCCCTTCTATACAACGACATTTTGGTAAAGCCTTCTTGGTCTATACGCGTAGACTCAGAGATCTCTGTTATGAGAATCTCGTCCTCTAGAAGATTTCAATGATCATTCTGAGACCTGACTGTTCGCGACACGTAAAGGCACTCGGATGTTTTTAATCCATATCCAGCATATGTCTACCTCCCGTTCTATTACCAGCCTCACCAACCCGACCCAACCTTAGTGTCGCCCTCATCCCGCTCTCCCGCACCCGCACGCTCCTCTACCTTTGCTGGGTAACCTCGTGGCAGCCCTCAGTCCAAGAAGATGGGCTCTACTAACCCAGACTCAGGCGGAGTCGTACATCGAGGCTCTGTCCCAAGCTCTGGCAGGGGACCGCAGGATGTCCCAGACCGTTGCTGCTGGCAAACTTACGCGCCTTGCTATTGGCTAGCTATTCCGAGCATTCAACGCTCCACGTCGAGCTTGTGGATCGAAGGATCTCCGTTGAGGGACGAATAGACTCCGATGGCATGCCTGATGACTCAGTGAGACTCTCTCAAAGTGCAATGCTGCCTCCGCGGGGGAGAGGAAAGTCGAATCCAAAGAGCCGGATACCGGTATGAGCCTGTGCTTGTGAGCGGCATGCGGAGCGGGTGGCACAGCCCTGGGGTGCAGTTCTCTCCGGCCCCAATTGCTGTGGTAGTCCGATCTAAAGCCCTCCTAGCAATGTAGCCAGTGCCTCTTCTTCCACTCCATTCCAGTGCCATAACGGTAAAGGCACCCCGCAGCCGCAGCCCCAACCAAGGAAGCCTATTCTATTATAAGCATCAGCCTCACACCGTGCGGTGGCCTGAGTGGCTAGCAAGGCGAAGTAGACGGACTTTCTTTCCAATATATAATCACCTTCCCTAGTAGTATTGTGAGTTGGAACTCTTCGTGATTGTTCTTCTGTGGATTTTGTTTCGCGTGCCCTCGCGCATCGTTCCGTGCTGGGCCAGTATAGTGGCGCAGTAGACCGTAGATGGCGCGAAGGCGGGTCGTGGCAGTGTATAAGCTAGCGCTGTTTGCATGAATTCAGATTCAAAGTGGGGGCGATTAATGATTTGGCAAAGAGAATAAGCATCCATTCTTCTTGGTCAGTGTTCAATCCCTTCAGAACATCCACTTCAAAATCTCTTTCCGGGTTATATATGGTAAAGACTCAAATATGAGCGTGGCAAAGCTCTTCAGCTCGATGTTTCGTTACAAAGATACCTACAGTCCTGCAGTATAAATTTGGGCACTCTCTTACCACTGCTTGGGGTACCCTATGGGCTTTCAGGACTCCGAACACGATGACGATGACGATGCAGTGGGTATTGGGCAGCCTTTCGACTGGCTGGATACATGCTAGCTAGGCTAAACTTTGCGGTGGTTTCGAGCGATTAAGAGTGAAACCCGTGCAGTGGTATATCCAGGTGCCCAAACTTATGACCTTCAAAGGTAGTCCTGTACCAGCCCAGCCAAGCTCTTGTAGAATTCCACCTATACGCGACGAGGGCTGAATGCTTCGAAAGACCGCGAATTAAAGCAAAGGGATCTTGATGCCGCTATTCCATCTACTTCAATTCCAAGCCCCTCAAAATCGTTACTTTAGTGTGAGATTCGCCATCGAGTTACTGGTAGCCTTGCAATAGTGCTTGACGTCCCCTGGGATATCACTGAAAACTGCAACGCAATGGTTTTGGTAAACTTCATAGCTCTCCAGGCCACTTCAGACGGTGCTAGACTGTCACACCGTGTTCAAAGGAGCCGCCTGAGATACATTGCAACTCTTCCTTCGGTTTTCCTTCACTCAGCTTCGCCGTACGTGAAAGCTCAAGTCCGAGAAAGATAACTCAGGGTTCAGGACGTGGTTGTTGGCGGACCGGAAGCTGAAGCATGCGGGGTTCGATGAAGCTTTGGACTGCGTTTGATCGAGTCAGCTAGGCTACTTCCCGTCCAGGCTGCGCGCTTGTCGAATGCCATTGAAAGCTTCGAATCCATCTCAATTTCGTCACAAGAATCCCAAAAAGAGGAACACCAGTCGCGATATCAAGCAGACGCATAGGTGTCGACAATCTCGTCGACGTAAGGGGGACAATGTATAACCTCCCAAGCGGTCTAATCGGTCGAAGCGAAGAGTAGCTGGCGTGTCCATATGCCGAAGGGTCTGATCCCATCAGATACAATTCTCACTCCTTCCGCCTCTCTGTCATAAATGGCTCCTCTCCCTCTTCCTCAATTACCCGCCAGAACGCGTACAGTATACCCAGAAAGCAGAGCACCACGAGCGCCTGCCCTACCCACTCTGGCAAACTCCTAGGACCCGCCTCGTGCGCGCTGCTCGTGACAGAACTATGGGTCGACGCGGGAGGACTTGGGTACGCGCGCTGGTGGGTACCATAAGTGGGAGGAGGGCCCGAGAGGAGAGGGGCCGTCTCGGATTGGGTCGCGACGGCGTATGAAGGGGGTGATTCGTTTATGGGCAATTCGCTAGGTAGTAGTAGTGAGCCAGATTCGGAGGGAGGACGACTTTGGTAGGCGGGAGGGCGTAGGTCGGTAGCCATTTCGAGGAATTGAAGAAGAGTGTGGTGGGCTTTGGTGAAGCTGGGCTGGCACGCTGGGCATGAAAAAAGTGGCACACTCTCACCAAGTACTTTGCCTGTGTGTACTGTACACCCGTTTACCGCTGCATGAAGCGCTTCAACAAGTCTCCACATAGCCCAAGGTAAAGAGCTTCTATCTTCTTTAGATTTCTGAAAATACATTGAAGCAACCCAAGCAGTGGCAGACAGGTGTACGCACGGGCTGAGTACTTGCTGAGGGTGCCACTTTTTTCGTGCCCAGCGTGGCTGCCATGGCTGGGTAGTGAGGTTGAATGGGATGAGGCTCTAGCTGAAACCGGCTTAGTGACATTTTGCTCCTCCATGCAGCAATCTCTCATCCTCAACACCATTCCTCCAACTGCGAATCCATCGTCAAGTTTCTTTCAACGAATGGGCACAGCAAGGTGCTTTTTGTCTGTTTATATATATCTGGCTCGTTGCTTTATCCAGTGTATGGGACTGCTAGCGAGGTGGCTGGGTGCTCCTGCCACCAATAAAATCAGGCGGATTTCCTGTTTGTCTACAGCACGTGAACTACTTCCATTCACCCCACGGCGCGATTCGAGTGATTGCTTCTCCTTCCAATCTTGACATCGCCTTGTTCTCTTCCCTTGCTCCGCCGATTGATCTTCTTGCTCGCATCCAATTTTCCAACTTGAAAACACGCGTCGCCCAAGACTAGCCATGGGGCCTCCATTTACGAAAGGCTACACGCCTGTTTCGAGAAGGGGCGGCAAACGGCCGGGCTCTGGGCGAAAGAAGAAGGCGACTGCTCTGAGGCAGCAGAAAAATACAATTTCCCCCGAAGATGTGCCCCAGCCAAGTATGGAAGTAAACGAGTTTGGGATGCCTTCAAATCATCAGGTACGTTGTCAATCGATCCCCAAACGGTGAACTCTAGGCTAACTTATGGCTAGGACACCGGAAGGCCGACCAAGAGAATGAGAATCAGTGATATGACGTTTGGTGGTGAGCATGATAATAGCAAGGTCCGTTCATCCAATGATGCTCTTCTAAGGATCGTCGCGAGCCTGAAGGCAAATGCAAGAGCTTGGCCCCGTTGCTGACGAAGCCCAGGAAGCAATCTTCGACAAGGCATTATACGACCTGGAAGATTATGACGTTGTGGACAGTGATGAAGTGTTACGTTTAAGTCGCATAGGCACGGTGCCGATGGATGAGGACCTGGATGACTCCGAGGAGGATGAGCTGTCAATGCTGCCTACTCCTAAAAAAGCCCCGTATCCAACGCGACGATCCCTCGGGTCAAACCACGATGAAGGACTATGGACGGATGAAATACCGAGCGAGAGTCTATATGCGCCAACACGGAGCACGAAAAACGAAATACCGAGGTTCTTCTGCTCTTACGAGGACTGCCCGCAGTCGAAAGATGCAGGTGGCGGATTTGCTACTAGGTCCCAATTGGAGAGACACAACGGTGTCCATGACCCCAGTGCCAAGTGCGTATGGAGAGGCTGCGACAGAGTCTTTAGTCAAGTTCATTCTATGGTAAGTAAGGCTCGCTAGTTATTTGAACTGGCCTCCATCTACTAACACATTCGTAGCGAGACCACATCAAGCGAATACACTTGAAAGGCGCACAAGATGGTACGGTCGAGAGCGATGTCGACAATGCAATCAACGACGAGGCTGTAAATATTTCTGAAAATGATAGAGACGAAGAGCTGGACGACGCTGTCACCGGAGGCGCGACGGATGGTCCCACAGAGGTATCACAGAACGGGATATTTCCATTATCTGAGTTCCGTTGTAGCTACAAGGAATGCCCACGGTCTAAGGCTATGGGTGGCCGCAAGTTCGCCAGTAGACAGGCACTCCAGAATCACGAAGCGACGCACAACCCGAGTATCAAGTGCATATGGGCCGACTGCGATAGAATCTTTGCTAGAATCGATAACATGGTGAGTAACAAGCCTTGTTCCCGCAACGAGCCCGTCTCTAACACGCTATGCAGATGACCCATTTCAAGAAAATACATTCGAAAGACCAACAAGCGCTCCAGCCCGATGTGGCTACTACAGCTGATAACATGACTACAATCGCTCCACAACAATCCACAATGTCGCTAGACAGCACCGCAGAACCTGCGCGTAGGCGAGGCCGGCCGCGAAAGGGTGCTGCTAAGACTCCAAAAGAAGCTCCCGAAGAAGGACCTCAAACGCGAAAGAGGGCATCACAAGAAGAGAAAGACCTTTCTCAAGCAGCCAAAGAAGCGGCTCAGCTGCTGAACCAAGCTGCCAATGCTCCAGCTCCCCCCCTGGGCGCGAGGCCAAATCCGATACCCACTCCAATGCCGCCCAGATCAGACGCGCAAGCTATGTTGGAGGTAATGAAGCTACAAGGGCAAGCGGTGGCCTTGGAGGCAGAAGCTAAGAAACTACAGGCAGATGCTTGGAACTTGAGGATTCAGGCGAGGGAGTTGGAGTTGCGTTTTCAGAGTCGAGAGGGGCAAAGTGCAGTATGAGCTCTTCATGTCCAGACATGTATTATCGATGTATGAATCAATGCAAATGAAGTACACAGGTAGCCATCCTTGAGTATTTCCCCAGGTTTGGATTTTTTCTCAAGGTAGGGCCTATTGGCTCCTCGACTCTAGAGACGGTTCAGGTTTTCCGATCAGTGCGGAGAGAATCCGGGGCGAGTTTTCCCCACAATGCAAAGCCGGGAACCATTTAGAAGGCCGAATTTCTATTTTAACATCAAGGTCCCGAGGACTACGGGTGAAAACATTTAGTTTCCTAGGTGAGACCTTTGGCTTTGATATTTCTTGGCGTTTGAAAAAACTCAATCAGTCTTTACAGTCAACCACGAACTCTTCAAGATGGCAGAATCTCCAAAGGTAGCCATAATTACTGGTGGAGGTACGTCGTGCTCTCATATATTTTAGTTCAGATTGGATGCTACGTCAATAGTGTTTATTTGTCAATTCTCCAGCAAGACGTTATTCTTTCTCTCAACCAAAAAGAGACATCAACCCAACACCCCAACTGACCCCACTACACCAAAGCCTCCGGCATGGGCCTCGCTGTCGCCCGTACTCTCGCCAACCGCCCCGACTGGCACGTCGCCATCCTCGATCTCCACGAGCGCGACGCTCTCACCACTCTCGGCGCCGCCTCATCATTCCACCGCGCCAACGTCTCCTCCTACGACTCCCTCGCCTCAGTCTTCCACGAGATCTACACCACGCACAAGCGCCTCGACTTCGTCTTCGCCAACGCCGGCATTGCCGAACACGCCAACTTCTACGCTATCCACGACGTCGACGGACCCCCGCCCCCCGTGACTGGCCTTGACCCCATCGTCGATATCGACTTGAAGTCTGTGGTCATGACAGCTTATCTGGCGCTGTACTACTTCCGGAAGAGTCCCGGTGAAACGCGGGACAAGAGCATCGTCATGACAGCGAGCTGTGGCGGTCTCTACCCCTCGTACTACTCGCCCATCTACACGGCCACCAAACACGGCGTCGTCGGCTTCATGCGCAGCATCGCGCGCCATTTCTTCCTGCAAGAGGGGATCCGCGTGAACGCGGTGTGTCCGGGCATCGTGCGGACGAATCTGCTGGATGCGAAGGAGTGGGCGAATTTCCCGGATGCGTATTTCACGCCGGTGGAGAAGATCGCGGAGACGGTGGTTATGATGGTGGATGGGATGGATGAACAGGTGAAGGTGGAGGGGCAGATTTGGGGGAAGGCGGTCGAGGTGAGTGGGGTCAAGCATTATTATAGGGATGCGCCGGAGTTTTGTGATGAGGCGATGCGGGCGGTGATGGGAGCGACAGATATTGTGGAGTTGAAGACTTGATGGGTTGGTGGGTGGTAAAGGGGGGGCAGATTGGGATACCCTAGTTAGTACGACCTGAGATAGAGTTATGTAGCATATAAATGTATGCTCGTACCTATGAAATGCCTCTTGAGCGACTCAGCTTGTTTCTTTCTTCCGAGGAAGATGCTGGATTGCGGTAGATCGCTCCTTGCAAGTGGCGCAAGAAGGCAAATCAATGGCACTACTGCTGTTAACACAGAGCAAAAAGAAGTAACAATCAAAAGATTAAAGAAAGAGTAAAAGATCACCCTCCCGGTGGAGAGTGTAGAAAACCCCGAACGGGTTTATGTTTCTTCGCTGCGGCTTTTCAGACGATTTTTCGGGAAACAGCCATAATGCCAATTCCTAAAAGGTCTGGATTTAAACTCATAATACATAGCGGCACCCTATGCATTCGTAGACGAGTGCAATTGATGACGTACCCATCTCATCCCATCCGGTTTCATTCCATTCAATTCTCATTTCCCCCCCCACCCACGACGCTTTTCTACCAGGCATTCAACTCATCGCTATCTACCATGGGATTCTCTTGCGGCTTCGGTCCAGAAAGCTAGGCACTTATCGCCTGCTACGCCCTTTTCATCATCGCCTACTTGATTGCGATTGCGGCGGCCTTCATCACTGCATCCAGGAAGAAAGCCATGACCCCCACTTTGCTTGTTGCTATTGCAGCACTAGCAATGGTGTTCTACTGCATGTAAGTCGGCTAAGCCCGCTGGGGCACCTCAGACAGTGGCAAAGAAGTACACAGTTGACGACTAACGAAGCTGCAGTTTGAACATCTTACCAGGAGGGTGGGGGGGGGGGGGGGCGGCGAGGGCTACGGCAGGCGCATGGCACCTCTTGTATATAGCCTCACCTTCCTCTAGACCTCTCCTTCTCCTCTACATCCTTATTATCAAATACAACACGTAAAACAGGCACCCTATACAGTCGTGGACGAGTGCAACTCACAAACAAGATAATGCAGTGCCGGAGATGTACAGCGCCTTGCTATAGGTATCCGTACACTTTCCTGCCACTATCTGTGGGGCTCTAACATACTAATAGAAACTAGGGGCAGCTTCTAAGCTGCGTACACCGTGTTAACGCAGTCTAAGGTGCTCTAGTAAGGCTGACAGGATATATAAACTGTCTTATTTGACTTTTCTAGAAGGTGTTAAGGCAAGTTATATAGCGGTAAACCACTTTAAAAAAGAGTATATAGGGTGAAGCACGAGCTTATTAGGGCTAGGAAGAGGTTTTATTAGCTAATATCATGTAGGGTAAGGGGTATGTAAAGGTTTATAGCTATGTAGATCCCGAGCCTAAAACGGCGATGTAGACGAGGTAGCCAAAGAGCTGGAGGGGCTGTGGATGAGCTAGAGGTCTCGAAAGAAGGCGAGGCGGATGAGGATGCCGCCGGTTGGGAAGAGATTACGAAGGCGAGGGCGGCGAGGACGGCGTGGGCGATTAGGATTCTTAGGTCTAAGGTAAAGAAGGTGAAGAAGGCAGAGAAGTTGATGCCGTTGCGGTCGTTGGAAGAGTTGCCGCGGCTGGGGTTAGAGTAGGGGTGGTGTAGCGAATTGGAAGAGTCGCCGCGGCTGGGGTTAGAGTAGAGGTTGGTGTAACCCCCGCCGAGATTGAAGTCGCCCTAGGCTGTACATGTTGTACTTAATGATAAGAATAAGGATGTAGAGGTAGAAGAGCGTGGTGGGGGTGAGAATTGAGTGGATGTTTGACTGAAGAGTATAGAAAAGAAGAAGGCCGGGCAGGCAGACTTTTATATTTTTGCAGGTACACTTTCCCACCATAAAACGTGCAGTTACATAGGCTTGTCTTGAGGCAGATGGCCACTTTAGACAACTTTAACACAGTGTACGTAGATTAGAAGCTGCCCCTAGTTTCCATTAGTACATTAGAGCTATTGCGCCCGACCGGCCTCCTGCTCGAGTTAGTTGGAGGATAGCAGGTTGAACCCAAATATATACCCTTACTCAAGGAGCCTGCTAATGTCACATTATACCTTGATGGTTTCGTCGCATACCAGCTCAATAATTTTGTCTTAATGATTCTTTTTCATTTCGCCTTGAAAAAGTAATTATATCACAGCTCAGTTAGCTCGTCCCGACTCACCTCTATGATTTCGTCTCTTTTCACCTCGACGTTTTCGTCGTGGATGACGTCAACCACCCCATCTACATCCGCTTCACCATTTCATCACCTCACCAAACCGTAGCTATGCTGTACTGGACCAGGAGTTGTAGCACCAGGGCCTGAACTTGTCGGAGAACTGTATTCCACAAGCTCCGGAGCAGCTTCGAAGACCAGGTCACAAACGGGAATGTAAAGGAGCTAACTTTATGTACTTTGCATGCTGACCGAGATGTTGACGATATTCATGGTGTTGAATGAGATCCTCGGGGTATTGCGGCCCGGCGACATGGCCAATTGGGAGGGCTGTGAATGAGAATGAATATGGAAGGGATAAGAGAGTCACTAGCTACCTTGCTCATTGCGCCTCATGTATAGGCACCTCAAGTGAGTGGGACCTGTGGATGAAGAGCATGAAAAGACTCAGGTTGAAATTGATGTGAACTCTGTCGTATTGTAGATGCCGTAAAGGCGGACTATATAGAGGAACGAGATGAACTATCCCTTAGGGCGCTCCCTTGGTCGTTCCCTTGGCAGCAAGGAAGGCGCCAAGGAAAGGCACTCCCTTCCCTTGACAGCAAGGAAGCACCACAACTCCGTAAGGAAGAGAAAGGGAGAGTAAGGGATACCTAGGGGGGTGGTTTGCATGCAGGTGAACCGTACGAGTTGCTGATCCTAGGTTGCTGCAACCCGAATGAAAGGCGACTGGGGATAAAAGAGAGGCTCACACGAACTATGTACGTGCCATTTGACGCGACCAGCGCGTACAACTCGATCACAGCAAGCAAGTGAAAAGCATACTGAAATAGTTCCAACATGTGGGGATATCAATCTTACTCCGTACTACAATGTAGTCCCATCTAGCGGGCGCCTGGGGACGATATGAGATCGCGTGTTTGGTGATGTAATTTTTTGCCATGCGTGATCAAGGAAATAGCAAGCAAAACGGGGATATCATGCGCCAATATACCAAAGCTCAACTCCCATTACCTCGAACTTCGAACCCTCGTAGCTTAATGGTTCGTTCCCAAAGGTAGGACAAGAGCTTGACACTCCCTTCTCCAAGTTGTCATTCAGCCATAAGCCATAATGACCGTCCCTAATCATTGTCAGCGGTTTGAACTATCCCGGTTTTAGCGAATTGGCTTACCCTCCCCCAACACTGAAGAAGCTTTGCTCGCAGAATATTAAATAGTCATTCACCCCACTGTAAGGGAACGCCTTGAACCGTATTCTCTCTGGTGTACTTGTTCCACTCCGACTACTCCCTTGGACAGAAGAATGAGGGCTCAGCGAGCTCGCAGGTTTGGGGTGTGCAACTGTCGCCATTCGTTGTGCATTGGTGGTATCGGCGCTAGGAGGCGGCGGGAGAGATGATGTAGTCGGTATAGACGTGAGGATGTGGGCGCGCCATAAAAAACATTCGCCAGTGCCGAAGAAGTGCGGCGATGGATGGGGGGACTCGTTGAGATATGCTCCGAATGTCTGTAATTGTCAGTCTCACGCCATGAGAATCGGCAGCTTTTACGCAATTATGGTATGGCTTACTCCACCGTCCCCATCTTGAACAACTAGCACGAAACCACCCCTCTTTCCCCTATACTCATCACATTTCTCGTATAGTGTTGCTAAGCTCACGCCATCTTGCTCCAAGCTGTATATCAGGCTCCAGTCGTCCACTAGTTGTAATCGCGGCGGCACCAGTAACCGGATCTCCTCTGCCAGAGCTTTTGATAGTAGCCTCGAAGACTGTGTCGTGTTGGATTTGTAGCCCTTCAAGGTAAGTGGAGTGAGTGGAGGAGGCTGGAATGGCGACGCGTGCCGCCGCGGGGGAGTGTAGACGCCGTTCATACTGTCGAGGCTCTGGCTTAGACTGGGCGTTCCAGAGGAATTCTCCCTGGAATTATGCGGCTCGGTTGACAAGCGGCGAAGGAGGCCAGATACAGCGTATGTTACGGGGTAGGTGAAGTAGGATGAGGACTTGGATGGATGGGACTGGGAGGAGAGGGACGGTTCGGAATCTGTGTCGGTCGGCATTAACGGTATCGACGGATGAAGGGGTTTGTTGTGAGGGTCTTGAGGTGAAGGATAGTACGTTGCTTAGGCATGCAAGGCGGCAATAAAGGTTCTTTGGTGGATGAGGTTGTGTTGTATATAGGTGTGACATCGAAAACTGGATGGAATGATCCGCCACTTTAGCCACACCGCCGCTTGCCCTGGCACTTCCCCAGATTTGTGGCTCCCGCCAAGTACGTCTAATCATTACTAATTATAGACTTGTAACTATCACCCAGGGCAAGATTGTTGATAAATTGTTCATATTGATACATTTTGAATCACGGCTGTAAGTTTCCATGGAATCTTCGCTGTCAAGGTCAGACATCGCTGCTCAACGTGGCCATACATAGAATAAGATCCTTCGACATAAATATCCACCATAAACAGCTAGTCGACAGCTTTGTCTCTATCAACATCACCATTTTCGTCATCATTTGCCGGAGTTTGGTCTTTCGAACCCTGATCCTCTTCGCCTGGTCCTTCGCTGCCTGCTGACTCTCGTAATGTGCCCCCCTTTCGTTTCGGAATGACCTCCATGAAAGCATCTCCCCAATCACCCAGCTCCAACCATCTCAGCATGATTTCCAGAACGTGGTTTGTGGCTAGAACAGCACGGCTATTCATCTGTAGGAAGTCGCCGATTGGTAGTTTAGCAGTCTTTATTCCGCGGTCCATTGCTCGCCTGTAGCATATGCCTTTGTAACGGTTCTTGTCGACGAGACCTCCGATAATGTATGTGCTGTGCGGGCTCAGATGCTCCAATGTGACATCGCTTTCACTCGATAGATAAACGACCTCCCCAGTGCCCGCACCTGCTTCTAGATCATCCGAGTCGTCTCCACGTTTGAGATGTCCGGCAACCTCGCCGCCTCTTTCTCCCTTCATCCACTCCGTTGCTTTTTCAGAAACTTGAACAAAATCCTCGGGGAAGAACTGGATTCCTTTCCAAGACTCGTGATTTTTTGCCAGAACACCGTCAAACCGCTCCTTCAGCTTCCCACCAAAGGAAGACACGGCAAGGTGTGCCCTCAACCGCGCATTTCTATTGTCGGAGTAGCACCTGGTGATTTGACTGGCTAACGACTTCAGTTCGGGATCTTCCATCAAGTCATCGAAGTCGCAATCGATGATAAAAGTGATCGGAAGCTGAACGACTTTCCCCTTTGGCTTCCGCGAGAAGTCCTCACCGGCAAGTACTGCTTGTTGCACTCGCTCTCGTCTTCTCTCCTTGGCCGCCTTCGCCTTTTCTTTGCGCTTGACCTTCCGGGCCTCTAAGCCTGCCTCCCATGCCTGCTGACGCTTCAATTTCTTCTGCTGGTTTTTTGATACGTAGACAATGTCAGAGGGTTCACCAGGATCGACGTTTACCCCGTCTTGTAATTCCCAACTCTCCTTAGCTGGTTCGGGATGCTCCTGTAGATATGGTGAAGGTGCATCTTGCTGCAATGATGCGGACTCGCCATCCGCTCTTTTTTGAGCTACGGTAGGGTCTGCAGCGTGATCTAGCTTCCTCATTTTGGTCGGTCGCTCATGTGGTTCTCGCTCCTCTACTTCCATGGTGTTGATGGTGGGAAGTGAAATTTTGGTGTGGAGTTCTTTAAGCGGGCTAGGAGAAAGAAACCGTGTCGCTGAATCAGCCGTAATATAAGTAGAATACTCCGCGACCCTGCCCTCATCACCAACCTCAAGCTCTGTCACGACGAGACCTAAGCTACCGGTGCAAGCCCCACAATAACCGCCATCATGCCGCAGGATATGCCGCCTGTGGGCGGCTACGAGCCAGTCCAATACAAACGCAACCTGCCAGCCCGTGGCTTCCGACCGTCCGTCTACCTCCTCGCAACTGGGCTGCTCATGACCTACGGGTTCTACAAGGTCGGCAAAGGCATCAGAGAATCAAAGTGCGTGTAGTCCAGTCAATTGGCACATACAAATGCTAATCATGTTTGCTCTACAGTGAACTCGCCAGAGAGAAGATGTGGGCGCGCATACATCTCATTCCAGTGCTACAGGCGGAAGAAGATCGGGATCAGGTCCGGCGGTACCTAGCGGACAAGGCACGAGAGAAGGAGCTGTTAGGCAGCGAGACTAAGGTGTACCACAACGATCGGTATGTTCTAATATCCATTGGCATTCTGGTTGTATCGATACTGATTGAAACCCCTCCAGATTCGTCCGGCCCACGTTTGCTGTTACCCCAGAGCACGAAACGAAATAAGGAAAGCCTTCATCGATAGATACCAAACTCTTTGTACATACTAGGAAGTAGCTGCGGAATCAAATCAAATACAACAGTGCTGAGACACGCTTGGTTAGACACCACAAGACGTGTTCATTATTCGCTACAAGCAACCTCCTTGAACCAATTGCTAAGACATGTTTTATAAATTCGGACCTTACCCCTCCTGACCACGCAGGACATGAAAAAGGTGGCACACTAATTCTAGAACAAGCTGTCTCATGTGTACACCTGTCTGCCACTGCTTGGGTTGCTTCAATGTATTTTGAGGGATTGAAAGAAGATAGATGCTTTTCGCCTTAGGCTATATGGGAACTTGTTAAAGCACTCCATACAGTGGTAGACAGGTATACACACGGGCCACAGGCTGAGTACTTGATGAGTGTACCACTTTTTTCGTGCCTGGCGTGCTGACTTTGCAGATGTCCCTGATTTCCAATATCGATGAAGTGTTGACAGCGAAGCGGCGGGTAGAAGAGGGTGAGTTCGGGGCTGAATCGAGTCGCTGCTCCTAGCAGGTTCTAGAATTAGTAGTATTCACCACTTGAACAGTCGACTCGGACCGCCGCCCCCGTGGAAACGCCCATTTAATCTCCAGTTGTCTTTCCACTTTGCAATCTCGCACAAAAGCACAACCACCCGCCTCGACACTGGTCCTCGTGCCATCACCCAACAATACTCCACGCATCAATATATGTAGACCATCAGGTCATCCATCCCTGTACACACCCTCGAGTGCACGCTCACAGTGCTCGCGATCTCCAGTATGGGATCCTTGGAACAGTCGAAGAATGAAGCGGAGGCCCCCACCCACGATGCCGAAGCTATGGGCTACGCGGAATCCGACGCGGGCTCCCTCGATTCAGAATGGGACCTTGCGTCAGTCGACTCCTCCACCGGATGGGCGATCGTCCACCACGACGAGGCTGTCGAGCCCGCCCCTGGACCCACTGGACTGGACAGCGGTAGTGTTACTGAGGACAAGGATAGCAGGTAAGATACATTAACCTATCACGCAGGGCATGGAAAAGGTGGCACTCTAATTCCAAAACAAGTTGTCTCGTGTGTACACCTGTCTGCCACTGCTTAGGTTGCCTCAATGTATTTTTAGAAATTGGAACAAGATAGAAGCTCTTTATCTTGGGCTATGTGGACATTTGTTGAAGTACTTTAAGTAGTGGTAGACTGGTGTATATACGAGCTGAGTACTTGATGAGTGTGCCACTTTTGTCACACCCAGGGTGCCTATTTAGCTTAAGATTGAGCATCAGGACTAATAACCTATTCAGGAGCAGTGTGCCAACCAAAGAGGTGATATTCTTGGTTGGCCCAACGGACGACATGTACTCCATCCCGGCAAAGCGGCTTCGCGAGCACGTCCACACTTATCTGGACGACTCTCCATCCAATCTGGTGATCCGTCTTCCCGAGTTCGATTCTGAGACCTTCGAGTTCTACCTCGAAGCGGCGTTAGACAACTTCTTTAGCGAAGAGCAGCTTGCTCTCCAACAGAGCTGGATGATCTTAGCGAAAGCCTACATGCTGGCTGATCGCCTCAACGACCCGTTCTTTGAACTAGCTCTTAGGGCTGCTATGATTCAAAAGGTCGGGCTGTATAAGCAGAAGAAGGCAGGATTTTTCGATATCGAGGTGGTCCAGTGCGTCTACCAACATACTCTGCCGGGATCGCGGCTTCGAGAACTCCTCGTCCATTTCAGTCTGGGAAATGGCCCGTCGGCAGAGCTTATGGGCAAGAATCTTCCCCATAGATTTGCAGTAGAGCGCTCAGACGAGAAGAAACGTAGGATGAGAGGTCTGCAAGATGCTGTCCAGGAACCTTCTACTCATAACGTCAAAATTCCTTTGCTTGACTCTAGAGGCCGCGAGCTTCCAACAATGGTTCCATACCCAGGGAGACTCGCTCCAATCGCAGAGAGGGTTCCTACTTGGTCGGGGTCAGCGGCATCTGTTCGCAAACAGGTTGCTCTTGATATCACTCCGATAGAATTTCCTCTTGGCAGGAAGTCGATGCCACCTAAAATCGATGTTCCAACCACTCCTGATCCCTCACCTCAGGTTCTACCTTCCTCGTCGAATTCGTATTTCGCAGATTTGTCTGGCGATCCACCTTCTCCTAGCACTCGGGTTGGAACGGCTGTGCCCAAAGCCTCACGCACCCGGGAGGACTCCGAGTCTCGGCCATCATCACCTGTGAGCGAATCGTTCGACGAGAACTCAAACTCAGTAGTCACCAAGGCCAGTGTGGACAAAGCCGTACCAAGCCCGTCACATCCATTATCCCCTGTAAGCCAGAAGCTGGACCGGATTTCGCACGACGACGTCTGCGAAACCGATGCGGATAGTCCCGCCCCGATTCTGGGAAGAGCTGCGACACCTGCTCGTCAAATCTCTAGGCCGGGATCCGTGAGTCCAACGACACCGAGTCAAGATGTTCCCAAATCTCCCCAGGACTACAGCCAACCCGACCCGATTGTGTTGCGCTCGCCAGCTGCGCAGGTGCGGAAGACGCCCTCTGAGCTCCTCCAGGCAGCTGACCGTTCTCAATCTTTGTCGGATGCGGAGACTGACGACACCGCGGACAGCAAGTCCAGGCGATTGATTGAGACACCCACCCCACAAGGCTATCATGAAGCGAGGCATTCACGTGTCCGTCCGGCCTCAAAGCACGTGGAGCTGGATAAGGTGAATTCGCCGTCGCCTCGCATTCCTCAACCCAGGGTAGTGAAGCGCGCCAGAGCCGGACACTCTTCCGGCATCACTTCGAGCAAATGGGCGCCCTCACCTGATAGCTGCGAGCGGTCTTCTTCATCGCAGCAAGAGGCATCTCCAGACAACGGTAGCACTGCACTTAGCAGGATTTCTCATAGAGAGCACCCCATCCGCCAGCCCAATGGGCCAGTCCCGACCGAAGATCTGAAAGCTCGCCGTAGCGGCGGGGGGCGTGACAGCAGAAACTTTGCTGCTCGGTCTCATGGTAACGGCCACCAGCTCAACATCGACCATCAACAAAATGTCGGTCATCGACTCAACGTCGCTCACCACCAACACATCGACATCAACATCACTCAGCCACGTCAAACTTCACCCGCCGACGGCTTCCTCGCTCGCCCCCAGTCTACCTCTTATGAGGGGCACGAATTGGTCTCTGCTGATGTGAATGAGCTAACCAAAAGGTTGGCGAAATGGTAGGATGGAGAGGCTGGACGTTGCGCGGAAGACCGGACATACCTAGGTACCGAGGACCGCAACTTCATTAGCAGGCCTCGAGGTCACGGTGAGGACTATGCTGGGCAATCATAAGAAACCCCGCCAGTTGATAGTCGTCATTCTCATCAATACTCCTTGGTCCCGAGGAAAGTGCATCTTCGTTCTAAACGATGATGTAGCTATGTTAGGTATGATGGACTCTTATGGATATAGATGGGGTAGGCATTTGTGTTGAAAGGCCCTCGGTTTTATTATCAAAAGTGATTCTAGTTTTCTGAAGCTAGAGGGGTTGCGACGGATCCGTGGATGGTTCTATGGATGAATGGTAGAGCTTTCTGCGGCTGGTTCTTATTCTTCTCTTGTAACAGCTCGACATCGACCTCTAGAGGTTAATTCATTGTTATGAAATCCGACGTGCTCTCTCCAGTGTGTCTTGGTAATTGACCCCTCTTCAGTACATAGTCTTCGCTCTCAGTCAGTTGCTGGAAACTCGGGAGCGACACAGAATGGCGACTGTTGTACGGACTCCTCAGATGCCCTAATCACGTGCTACATATAGTCGCCGAGCGATCACTCGTATTCTCGCTATTGTACCACAAACAAGGGGAGGGCCTATTTAAAGGCCGAGAGCGGCAGCGCTTGGGGCCTTTGGGGCTGTGTAGGTGCACAGGCTGGCCCCTGCTGGTAGACGAAAAGCAGATCATTCACTACTTACAAACCCCCAACCTTCTCCCTTAGCACTGATTGATTCTTCAGTAACTAGCTAGTAGAGGCATATTGATCTCCTATGCATCACGTATGCCAGTTCCACAACAAAGACCGGTCAAAAAGGCCCCCCCCCATCACCCGTACCTCGCGAGACCCTACCGAAACGTTGGCACAAGGCTGAGACATCCAGCCTTGCGCATCAACCAAACAGAAGGCGCCGGGCAAGCCTCAATATACCCACGGCCGTATCCGTCGATGCCGAGTTGGCCAAGCTCGTGTTCTCATCTCTCTCACCAACCACCCGGCTCGACTCGCTGTGCAACAAGGACAATCCCGTAACTTTTCGTGAAACTGCCTTCAGCCGGGGCAAAATCGGGTGAGATGGTTGGCTAATCCACGCGACGGCTGCTTTCACAAGAGAGCACACCAGCTGCGGTACCGCCCTGGCGTTGATCTGGAACTCTGGAGCTGAAAGATGAGGACATGGGCCCTTAATAATTAAAACAAGATGGACCCCCGCGAGAGGAGTGGTTGTGTGCGACGTAAGACTGAAAAGGTGTTGTTAACTCCTCAGCTCTCATATACTTTGAACTTTCTTCAATATCATCCAATACAATGGACTCAAGAGAGCATATCATCGCGGTCCCGAAATGGACCTTGGCACTTCGCATCGTGTCCCTCGTCCTCGCAGTCATTATTCTCGGTCTGAACGCCTATGGCATCCGGTGGTGGGCTTTTGACAAGCTCATCTTCTCTCTCGTCGTTGTACGTGTATTAGCGAGTGATCTCGGGTGTTCATATCGACTGACTTCATCGCAGTGTCTTTGCACAATTGGTGTAGTGGTCTACATGGTAGTGGCTACGCTCGCAATTCCGAAAGCCTACAATATGTGGGCTTTCCTTGCACTCGACATCTGGATGGTTATCTTCTGGCTCATTCAATTCGCTCTCGTTGCTAGCCTTGCAGCTGCCTTCGCAGACGCTACGTCGTGGGCCTATAGCTATGGCTACAGCTACTACTGGAAGCGGGGCGACCTTAGCAAGCGTGACACTACGACATATGGCGCGTACTACGGTGCTCTCGTTGCCGGAGCGGTTTTCGGAGCCTTTAATTTGTGAGTGGCTTCAAATCAGAGCGTTCGTAAAAGTGGTAATCCACAGACTAACGACGTGTAGTATTCTCTTCGTAGTGAACCTGATCATCTTCAGCATCCATCTTCATAAACACCGCCTCTCCGGTGCGCCATCTACAGCACCTCCTGGTTACAACGGTAACGCAGCCGTACCTATTGAGAAGTACGAAAACGACGCCCAGCCATACCAGTTACAGCCCCAGCAAATGCCACAGCATCCCCAGCCAGTTGCCCAACCTCAGTACGGTCATCCCCAGTATGCCCAACCACAACATCCTACACCTCCGCAATTTACCACTCCGTATACCCAGGGCGCAGACCCAGTAAGCAGGCAGGAAGCTATCAGCCCGATTTCTAATTCGGGCCATCCTGTGAATGCGTCGGAGCTATCCACCCCTCAGCACACAGGAGGAAATCCAAATGTGGTGGAACTATCGAGCCCACAACATACAGGCAACCCTAATGCAGTGGAGTTGGGTCCGGGTGGCTACAAATGAGCTTCTGAAAGTTGTACGCTGGGAGTAGGATTCAATAAGTCGTAACATGAGCCAATCACTCAATTTTGAAGAACTCGATTTCCTTGGCTCGGTCCTTTGTATCACACGTAATTGAGCACCAATCATACATTTTATGATCTCCCTGACTTGGTAATCTAAACAATCCGACTGGGATCCTCAGCTCTTCCTCCCTCGTCCGCAGAAGTCACTTTGCCCATATGATGCGTCCTCGCCTGCCCACCCAATTCCCTCTCTTCCATCCTCCTGACCAACTCCAAATCCCCCAACTCTTCCTCCCTCGCCATCGGTCTCCCAGCACTAACTAACCAATCCTCCCCTCTCCTATCATAACTCGGCGGCGACCCCTCATCATCCACTCCTAGCTCCCCCTCCACCCTCACAGCATCCCTACTAATTAACTCCACCTGCCTCGTATACTCCTCAGACACTCCAATCCTCCTCTTAATCTTGAAACACCACTGCAAGCATAGCCACCCAAGGACCTGCGCGCCCACAGCTCCCCATGCCAATCCCAACCACGCACTACCCACGCTCACCTCTAGGACTCCCCAATGCCGCGCGTCGTCCGCGAAATTCCGCGCCGACGCCGTCAGCTGCGTGTTGCCTACGATATAACACAGCACCGCACCGACGCTCACCCACAACAGCACCTCCTTCTCCCTCACCCACGCCCACTCAAATATGGTCGGATCTCTCACACTCGACCTCCCCCCTCGAGACCAGCACGGCCGCCGAACTCAGCATCGCGACGACGTACATGATAAACCCCGGCGCCGTGGGGACCGAGACGTAGTCCGAATGGGTGTTTTGGTACCCCTCGCGCCCAGGGCCGAGCGCATACTTCCTCAACTCCCGCACCGCGTCGCGTATCGTAAACGTCCTCCCCGGTCCCGTGTACAGGCAGTGCATCGTGTAGTCGCTGTTCCCATCTGTCTCCGGCCGCGCGCAGCAGCCGTTCAGATACACCCGGATCGCCCACGTCTTGCGCCAAGGGCTGTAGGGCTCGTAGGGGTTGGCGGGGCCGTATTGGTAGGGCGGCGTCTGGCCGTCGGGAGTGTCCCAGCCGTGGAACGTGACGGAGATACGTAGGATGGAGAGGCGGTCCCCGAGGACGCGGGGGCGGAAGCTTTGCTCGCGGGTGCCGGGGGCGATTGCGGTGCCGGCGATGAAGGTTATGATGACGAGGCTGATGGCGAGGAGGTGGAAGAGGGTGGTGAGAGAGGAGACGAGGTGGGCGTAGCCGCGGTCGTTGGGATGGGTGTAGGGGGGTGGCGGGATGGGGTGGTGAGTAATAGGGTTGCTCCTGGGCGAGGCTGCAGCTTGGGGAGGGTTGGTGTGCATGAGGGCGGGCTTGCGGCGTCTATGGGATGGCAAGAGGTAGGATGGGGATGTGCATGGGATATTTTGGGAGAGTCCAGTTTCTTTGGGAGTTTGGTGAACTTGATGGAGATATTTCGGAACGTTTGGTGCTCACATAAGAATTTACAGGCTGGTTTTCGTAGTACTATTGAGAATGTTAACTATGATAGAGGATATAAGATCATTGGTTTCGTCGAAATCAAAAGATATCCATCGTGGTGGAACCATCGACATATATGCGTCCCACGAGGAGCGGCGCAGGATGGTAAAAAAGCCTCGCGTCTTGGGGCTCCAATATAATATATATTGAGACGCGGACCAGCCAATCGATTAAGGATTCCAAGACGGACCAAGACTGGTAACCTTGAAAGAGTCAAAGTGAGCTAACTGCATAAGCGCACGAACCCTGATGAAGATCTCAGGAATGCCTCGTATTTAACGCCAAGACCGGAGAGAATCTTGGACAGTATCAGATGAGCATGCTTTTGGAACTCTGTTGCCGGAAGGGAAGGAGGTGGCGAGGTGTTTGCGTGATGATGGCGTTCTGCTACAGTTTACCGCTGCATGAGGAGCTTCATAGTATTTTAAGCATTCCAAATGAGAAAGACACTCGGCGTTTTGGACAACTAGTAAACTCGCGAGACTGCCCCAGACAGCGCCGACAGGGTGTACGCAGATTGGAATATTCTTTCTGCTGCCCTCAGTGTGACGCTCTTTCTGTCATCGACACATCTCTGTGAATCTTGAAAATGTTCATCTTCGATCATTGCGACTAGAACGTCCATGATATGAGGTCACTATAGCACGCAAGGAAATTGAAAGTCAGCAAAGTGGAGTATCGCGTTCGATTGATTTGGCTGAATTGCCTCGAATAAATGTATAGCAGCAGTGCCAATTTTGGAGAAGGAAGCCAAGGGCTGTCGATAGTGAGCTGGTGGTACATCCTGAAAACCACACGTCCGATAAAACGCCTCGCCCCAAAGTACCATGTTCCTTATGAACCGTATGAACCGTATGATGATGAATGTCGGAAGAGACCAGTCCTCCGCCCAGATCGAAACTTCTTCACTGCTTCTGTTGTAGAGAGTGATCAAGTAGCGGACGCAGTAGGAGCGCCGAACTTCGCCTTCCTGGCCTCAGCTTTGACCCTATCGGCCTCGCTCATCCAGGCGGGGCCGCCACCAGGGCTGGCCCTCCTCTCCCTCTTCTCATTTCTCGGCCTCCGGTCGCCATCTCTGGGTCCTCGCTCGTTGTCCCTAGGTCCTCGGCCGCCCTCCCTCGGTCCTCGCGCATCATCTCTGGGTCCTCGGCCGCGGCGCCCATCAGATCTGCCTCCACGCCTCTTGATGTCATCGCCACGACGTCCCTCATCCGCGCCCTCTCGTCCTCGCTTGCGGCCAAGAGGTCGGTCCGGGAGAGCCTCGTTGATGCCCTTCGGTCCTTCAGTCGCACTGAACTTCTTCGCGCGCTCTAGCTTCTTGAGTTCTTCATTGTCGTCGAGGGGGATGCCGAACTTCTCCGCACGCTTCTTGCGCTTCTCGATCTCCTCGTCCAACGTAGTCTTGGCCAAGCCCTTGGTGAAGTCCACCTTGGGCTTCTCTTCCACCTTCTCTTCGGCCTTCGCTTCCTTGCTCGCCGGCTCGGCGCCCTTGTCTTCGGCAGCAGGCTGTTTGACGGTCAGGTCGTCGGTCTTCGCTGGATCGATGTCGGTGACTTGATTCGGGACAGCCTGGGGATTTGCGACCTGACCCTGTCCTCCTGCCGCGACAGCGGCGGTGGCTGGTTCAGACGTGGCCGCGGGCTTTGTCACAGTAGCGGTGGCTTCGGTAGTGTCGTCGTCCCAATCGATCTCGTCTTCGGCAGCGAGGGAGTCGGAGACGGCAGAAGCTTGCGTGGTCGACGGTTTCTTGTCAGCGTCCTGGAGGCGCGTCACCATGTCGGCCTTCTTGCCGGTGTGCGGCAGGTTGCGCGACTTGAGGAGAGCCTCGAGCTCGGCGTTCTTCAGTTTGGAATAGTCCATTGTTTCGATGGCTGATGGTTGCGGTTGCGGTTGTGTCGCGTTGATCGTCGATGGTGAGAAGTAGTGAAGGGGTATGGAAGCGCCTGGTCTGCAAGAAAGAGGGGATCAGCAGGTGCGCGTCGCAGAAGAGGCTTCGAAGGGAGGGACTGACAAAAATCAAGGAAGGACTCGACGAAGATGAAAGAGAGATGGAGTCGAGGGGACCGCAGATATTCTGCGCGCGAAAGTGGCTGGGGACAGAACGATTGAACAATAGAACCGGGTTAGCGTGCCAAGCGCCATCGGGCCGTGTTTCTTTCCGCGACACGACCCGACCACACGGTCGCTCAACCCCCACACATTACAATGGCCAACAACGCTGCCAACGCCGCCAATGAGGATTGGGAGACCCCAACCAAGGCCAAGGTTCAAGGCGCCATTGAATATAACAAGGCAAAGGGCATCACAGGGGAGAATGAAGATGTTTTCCGCAATTTCAAGGTCTTCTATGCACGGGGCTATTCTGCCTTTGTATGCTCAAAGACAACCCAAGAAGGCACCACAATAACCCAGATGTGGAGGAGAGAAAAGGCCTAAAGCAAATTATCGCCCTAAAAGAGATAAGAGAGCTTAAGAAGATTGTGGAAGAGGAGGGGTTCGAGGCACCGGCAATAACATAGAAGCAGAGCAGCTGGGGTATAAGGCTGGTTTTAAGTGCTCTAGGAGGACAATTTCGAGCGCTATAGGCACAATGAAGTACCACAAGTGCACAATGAAGTACCACAAGTGCATTGCCTGTTGCAGAGGATGGGTGAATGAATTAACAGCCAAACACCGATCCGAATAGGCAGAATATATGCTCAGGAAGGACCCAGAACCAGAGGACTGGCACTGGGTCAGGTTCTCTAATAAAGTTTGCTGGGGCATTAGACCCTAAGGAAAGCTTTAAATTATTAGGAAACCAGGCCAAAGATACTGTGCTGATTGCATCTAAGAGACGGATGATTACACGGTTAAGAATACTTAAAAAAGGCTTTATTTATAGGCTGTTTGTGAAGGGTGCAAGAGGCAACTAACGTGTACGCGTTGTATCCTATATACAGAAGAATAATAGTAAGGAAGAAGGAAAGCAGGGCAGGCCCGAGGAGAAAAGGGGGCTGCTCAGCCTCGTCCTCGTACGATGCTAGGTCGGTTCTGTCCTTAGCCTCTTAGCCACCGTTGAGGCTCTGCAAGCACCGTGCTACGGAGGCCGAGCCGTAGGAGCACCCACCAGGGCGCAGCCCATTACACTGTTGCTGGGTGGAATTTTAAGAGTCCACTCTTCTTTTACAATATTCCCTTAAATTTAAATGGAAAGATAACTATTAAGGTCTATTAAGACTATATCCTAGAGCCTCTTATAAAGCTTTAGATCTAAAGGGGTAACAACTCTATTCTAGAAGAGGATAGAGATGGCGGCTATAGCACAGGGAAAAAGAATATTGTTCAGACTTAGAAAGAGCAGAATAGGCTGGAGTACTACTTTAATATTCACAGTTTACCAGATCTAGCCCCTATTAAGAACTGCTGGCAGCCCCCAAAGCAGTATATCAGGAAGTCCCCTTACTGAGATGAGGATACCACAAGAGAATTGGTTTAAGAAGGATGGGATAAGGTTACAGTGAATTTCATTAATGAACGGGTGGATTCTATGCCCCTACGGCTTAAGTCAGTGATAGAGTTGGATGGAAGAATGACTGGCTTTTGATATATGTGCTCCTGGGAATTTATTCTAGCTGTAGATACATACAAATGTGATGGTGGTGGGCCATTTGGTTGCCAGTCAAATTTTCGGTGTATCGCATAACGTGTCACCCGCGTGCCGCCATCTCACATCCCAGCATTCACGAATCACTCATCTATTCATTCGACGATGCTTCACACCTAACAAACTCTAGATTGGGCCCGTTTCCGATCAAAAATTGCGACTTGACCCCAAAGCGATTCGACTGCGCTACAGAACACACTCTGAACCCCCGGTTTAAGATGCTACTATGCTCCTCCTTCTATACAATCAGTCGTACTGTTTCAAGAAATCCAACGCTTCGTTTTGCTCTTTACGAATGATCTCTACGTGCTTCTCGCTCCTGACTTTGATGTCGACTTTGAAGGGCAATGGTGCCTGAAGGATACCTGGATTATACGCCTCGGGATCCAGGTGCGACACTTTGCGCGTAATTGGATCCACTGGCTCTGAAAACTCAAAGGCCCAGAGCAGTTTTGCTGCTATGCGCCACATGTTACGTTCCGCAAGATGGATGCCTGGGCAGATTCGCCGGCCAGCACCGTAATTGTAGTGATGTTTTGGGTAGTCAGCATCGCCTTGCTTTGCACATCATGTTAGAGGGGTACGTATCTCGGTTCTCCCAATCTGGACTACCTGCATAGTCGTTTGCAAGTTTTGGGTGGTTAAGATATCGATCTGGGTTGAACTTTTCAGAATCTTCGTATATAGCGTCGGTGTGATGGATGGCCCAGGTGGGTATAAAGACGGTAGAATCCTTGGGTATCAACATTCCTTCATACTCATCATCTAGACAACGTCAGTAAACGTCACGTGAATTACACTTTTCCCGGCGACATACCTTGTCTGACTCGATGGGGCAATGCCGTAACGGCGCTAACAAGTCATCAGTAACAGTACCATTTTTGGAGTCATAGGAACCTACACAGGACGCCATCTCATTCCTTCTTTAATGATGCAGTTCATATACGGGAGACGGCTGAAGTCGGACCATAGAGGAGCCCTCTCTGTTCCACAAACCTCGTCAATCTCCTTTCTCGCTTTCCGTTGTACCTCGGGGTACAAAGCGAATGCCAAAATCAGGGTTAGTAGTTGAGCTGATGTAGTGTCTGCTCCTCCCTCAACAATCTCTCCCATAAGGTTGGTGAACGAATGCTGGCTGATTGACGGAGGCCACCCTTTTTTCTCATACTCATCCAAGAGACTGTCAATGATGCATACTCGACGATCGCCACGTGCACGCCGCTCCTCGACCAGTCGTCGAGCCTTTCCCCAAGTGCCGTCCATTGTCTTGCCAGCATCGATCGCTCGTTGTTTCCAAAATGCGAAAGAAGCCGGGATGTATTTCAACAGCGGGACATCATCGACCGGCGGATTTGCACCGGGTTCCATACATTCAGTCCACTAAATTCCATATTAGAAATCTGAGGTTTCAGTTACCGGATGAGTGGTATTTCGCTATTTACCTTTCCCATTACATCGTAGACGCCCTGCTCGTCATATTAGTTGCATAAACAGGAGGGCTCTAATATTCGTAACTTACGGTACCCCAAAACGAGTCATGCGTCTTAGCTCGAAATCCATAATTAATCGATGAAACTACCGAAGCCGTATATCTCTGGATTTCTTGGAAGAAATCCCCTGGTCGATCCAGCAAATTCGTCATCAGAACGGTCGCCCTGTAAGCTGTCAAAATCTGCTCCGTTCGGGAAGTGGCTCATGTCTTCGTGTTTCATGAGCATCAAAAGTATGAACTCACTCGGCTTCTTGGACACGAAAGTGCTTTTCATCCAATTGCTTTGGGGAGAAGTTGTGAGCAATGATCTTCCGCTTCTCTCTCCATGCCGCATCCATCTGTTCCAAAGCCAAATGATCACCTTTGGTGAGAAGCCAGCCGACATAGCTAGGTGGTCGATCGGAATAAATACTTCCTTTCTCGACGAGCAGTTTGTGGATAGCTTTCCGGTCGCAGAGAACAATGATGTTTGATGGCCCAACTTTCAGACTGAAGATGGAGCCATATTCCTTAGCCCATTGGCGGAACCTGTAAAAATTGGTGAGCCGGTTAAGCGTCCAAACTATTTATATTCTCTTGATTCTTGCAAGGTAATTTTCGCTGCAGAGCTAATACTTACTGCTTGAATAGGCCTGTGGATGGAATTTGATGGATGTTGCCAATCACTGGTAGAGTTGGAGGCCCTTTGGGCATACGAGGATCCCTTTTGCCGATTTGGAGCACCCGATAGATCAAAGCCGAGAGCGCAAGCACGACAAGCGCTGGCGTCACTGCTGTGTATGCCATCTTTTCCTGACTTCACAGAAAGACTTCCTCTAATTCGACTGTATTCACGAAAGTAGCTGCCAGCAGTCGTAAAGTAGCCAGGCAGCCATCTTGGATTATTCAGTCCCGAAGCTTCCCCAGGATTGATCACCCCGTAGAAACAGCGAAGAATGCGGAGATGGCCTGATGGGAGAGTAAGGGTGCGACGGGGCGATCGGGCTAACTCATAGTTATACCGTCCACATAATTAGACCGAAACCATCTACCGGGAATAGCAGGAAACCCAGACACCATGATTCAGGCTGCCGGCTTTCCATGTCACGTTCTTGGACGGGATTGCGCGGGCCTGGAAATGTGTTGGTCAACGCGAGTCAGTTGGCATCTCTTGCACCCAAGATTATTCACGTCCCCACGGGGCCCCGGAACTCGGAGCACCCAAGACCAGACCGCATGTTGAAAATCCTGGGGAAGATTGAGTGCCATGCCCCTGCGATTATTCAAGCGGAGGGTCGAATTTCTGGGCGAGTTTGACTCGGCTCTTCCGCCCACAAGAGCAACTTTCCGCCTGGGCAACTGCTCTCGCTCTGGAATGCTTTTGACCCCGCATCTCTGCAAGAATCATCGTCGCCGTGGCTGTGGGGTAGTCGCAGCAGCCTCGTCGTATTGCTGAAGGTATGGTCGGTATTGGAGGGCTAGCCCTAGACCGCCCTTGGCATCCTAGACGACGTCCACCGTGCTGCTGAAAACTACCGCTTGCCCTGTCACCCTTCATCTACATCTCTCATCTTGCCCGGCATCCTTGCCCCTTGATTCAGCCAGTGCCAGCTCGAAATCCCTTCTGCTTTTCTGGCCAGACGTGACACGCGCGCGCTTGTGGCAGCCGGCGCTGGAACGGCGGTCTCGACATTATGGCCCTTCCATCTCACGAAAGCAGTCATCAGACCTTGGCTAAGCTGGATGCGTTGCCTGAAAGAGCGCTTCTAGCATGCGAGTCTTGTCGGAGGTATGAGTCTAGATCGTGATATTCTACGACCAGAGTGCTCCGCTAACGTACCAGTGATAGGAGAAAGGCAAAATGGTCTGGAGAGCTTCAACGTGATGTTGCATTCCACTTGCTGATGCCTCTCGGTATAGCGACCGAACTCTTCCCAGCTGCCTTCTATGTGGCAAATCGTCTCAGCTGTGCGTGTATCCGCCCAAGAAGTTAAAACCGGGGCCCAAAGTTGGTCAGATTTGTCTCCATTCTTCCTGCAAGATCGACGCGTCTAATGATTGACAGGCATGTCTCAGAGAGGCCGCAAACGAGCTCGCTTCAATGGTTCACGGGGTAAGCAAAACGATGACGCCTGCAGTCAGTTCTTGGGGCGTAACTCTGGTTCTAACTGCACAGTATCGCCCGCAGATGCCCATAAAATTGAAACCAGAAGGGTTGAAAGCCCTAATCTACGACGTAATGACGCGCCCAGTTCTTCATCCAGGAGTCCAAACGAAGCCAGCGCTCATTGTGACAGTCCACTGCCGCCTTCTCCTCAGGCTACAGAAGAAGACATATCTAATGCGTCTGATTCGTCTGATACCGCGGCAATCAATTTCGTTCGTGCGATCAGTCTTTCTTCTATCATTCATCCAACCCACGAGAGTTGCTTGACTCCTCCGCCCAGCATCTCGGATGGATCGCCGTCGTCCGGATTCTTCATTAACCTTGCCGGAGCGCAAGATCTTATCATGCAAGCATGCCAAGCTTTGAACTTGTCAATCCGTACTCTCCAATCATTGTAAGTGCCTCCAGATTTCCGAACTGACTAATTTCTAATGGTTGACAGGATTGATGCATATTTTGAGAACATGACGTCGTTTTCGCTTTTTCATCAGCCCTCATTTGGAACCAAGATCCAGGAAATCAAGAACTTGTTGCACCTCAAGGCTTTGTTCGCGTCTATGTTCTCCTTTTCGGCTCGATTTGCGACAGATCGCTATCAAGGCACATACACGCATGAACCCCAGGAAAATTTGATGCACGAGCGCTTCCATGTCATTGCCCTTCAATGCATCAGGGAAGCCCGAGATGAATGTGGTGATGGGATTCCTCCCCTTTGTGTATTGCAGGCAATGGCCCTGAGCACCTTCTACCAGCTGACAATCGGAGTTCGAGGAAGAGCTTGGCGTTTATTAGGCTCTTGCGTTCGTGTTGCTTACGAGCTGCGGCTCCACCTGATTGATTACGAAGGTCAAGGACCGTCCTCTAAGGCGGGCATTGATCTTGCACGATGGTCCGCTAATGAAGAGAGACGACGCTGCTGGTGGGCCATCTGGGAAATGGATGTCTTTGCCAGCACTATTAGGAGATGTCCCACCGCGATTGATTGGAGTATCAATGACACGTATTTGCCTGTTACCGATGAGTATTGGTACAACAGCCGATACCACTCCAGCTGCTTTTTGGAAAAGAAACCAATGGACCGCTGGAAACGACTGCAAAAGTGCAACAATGAGAGCGCATCTGCCTGGTTCATTGTGCTTAACTCCATCATGAGAGACGCGCAAGTTTTATCCCGGGGAAACATGCAAGGGATTCTTCCAGATTCAGACCCAAACAACAACGTTGCCCAACTGACCCACTACTTCCGCAACAACTTTCGAAAGAAACGGTCGGAAGAAGATTCAACCAAGCTCACGCTCCTCATCCACGCCCTGCGATGCACTACATCTGTTCTCCCCGACTCTCTCGCCTACAACGGCGAAAGCCTCAGCTTTTCCACGAGCCCTTTTGTTCGAGCAAACGATCAATCCGACCACGACACGAAGCTTCTTCATAGCGCAAAATACGGCATCTACTTAATGACCCAGCTCGCACGCTTCATGATATACCACCACTACGCCTTTGGCGAAATCTCGTCGGGGACGATCTTCGCCGATAAACCGAGTAGTCCGACATTTGGTTGGACAGCAGCAGAGCAACAACACCCGACAAACTGCGAGGGACTTCGGAACTGCCTCGAGGCCGCCGACAACATCTCCGCTGTGACGCACCGCTGCGCTGACAATCACGTGAGATTCGTCAACCCCTTCCTAGCAAGCACAGTTTGGCTAGCGACATCGCTGCAGATATTGAAGAAAGTGGTTGCGCCTGAAAATCATACGGAGCTAAATGCATCGAAGAGCGAGGTGTTAAAGCTGAGCTGCCATCAGTACGTCCAGTTCTGGGGGACGCCGTTGGCATTGCTCGAAAATTTGGATACGCTTGAAGAGCGACTTATCACGCGGAAGAACGTGTCGAGTCATATGGAGAAAAGTCAGGAGGGGAAGAAGGCCCAAGTATTCAGACCGGTGTCGAAACCACATATCAACGGCTCTGGGTGCGCAGAACCACAGAGAATGAGTGTAGACTGGAGGAATAACGCTTCACGTCAAGGCTCTACAGGGGGTCTTGATATTGATGGAATGCCATTGTATCAGAGTCCGCAAACGGTCCACTCTGAATTCAACCCAGCGTCTCTAGGCTTGGTAGGTAGACCACCTAACGCTGGAAAGGCACCGTCCCAGACTTCTATCGACCAGGGACATGATCAGATTGCGCCTGGTGGTGTTATTGGCCATGACTTACGCCCACACGAACAACAAAACATTGATCACATGAGCTATCTCGACGCAGACACATTCATGGCTCTAGATTCACAGATAGGCGTCTCCGAGGACCTTGGCGACCGGTTTGCATGGTTTTTGGCGACGGATATGATGTCTGATTCGTTAACGCGGTAACACGTCCAGCTCCCACACCATAGTGCGTCTTCATGGCCAATAGTTTCTTGCTCTATGGAAGTTACGGACTCTTTCATTCGGTGATAGAAAGAGGGGATATATATAAGCGTATTCACTTCGACAAAATCGCCTTGATCACTTTTCCGAGCGCGGCCTCCGCATCTTCTGCTACCGCCTTACTCCGCCAGGCAACGAAGCGATCTGGTCGAATAAGAACACACCCAGAATCTTCGACTTCACGTACCCGCATCCAATCGAAGTACGGATCTTCGTAATCTTGATCGAAGCCGATTGAGTAGACTCGGATTGGGATACCCAGCTGTTCCGAGATCTTCGTCGCCGCGGGCTTCCATGCTTCGCCTCCGATGCCGGTGAAGAGTGTGAAGCCGCCTTTGCCAGCGAGATCGATGGTGCTGACTAGACCCGATGGAACAGCGGTGTTGAGCCATACGTGCGGCAGTCTCCGTCCCGGGATGGTGCTGGGGATGTGGTACAAAACCACATCCGAGTTTTCTATGGTTTGATTCAAAGAAGGGTCGTTGTCGGCCTGGATAGCACTCGATGCGTATACTTGATTCATCTCGATACCAAGACCGTGGAACTCGTGTTCACTCTGTGCAACCGCTTCTTGGAGCTTCTTTCGTGAGCTCCGGCCGACCTGGGAGTTTGTGGCTAGTTCTGAAAGGAGGGCTTTCCGCTCTGCAAGGGTGGGTAGGGTGATGCCTATGGCGTTCCAGATGTGGGCGTGATCGCGGAAGCCGTCGTTTGCTCTGTAAGATGGCGTCAGCATTCGAGACATCCTCATTTTTGAACCTCTCTTTTTGTTACCTTTTGACGATTGATTTGCCAACGGGCTGTCGCTCTTGGGAGTATGTGCTTAGAATTTCGGGTCCGGCTTTGTCTAGCATCACACCAATATGTCAACTATTTGGTCATTCTTTTACTTTTGGAGATCATCACTTACTCTGCATAACGTAGGCAATCTTCCAAGCTAGGTTGAAAGCATCTTGGATGCAAGTATTTGATCCAAGTCCGTTGAACGGCGGATGGCGATGGACAGCATCTCCGAGGCAGTATCTTTACTAACGTCAGTTTCCCACCCCGTGTTGAGAGGCTCGTAACTTACACTCGGCCTTTCGAGTAAGTCTCGGCCACAATTTCATTGATATTCCAAACATTGACTCTCAGAATCTCTGCAGGGGTATCGTCTCCAATCAACTCTCTTATTCTTCCCAGATACTCCTCCTTGGACGGACGTCTCGACAGATCACTTCCTGGCGATGGGAACAAGATGAACATCCACTCATGCCACGGCTTCACCATCCTGACAATAGACATCCACCCGAACTCGGGATGTTCCCGATCGGGTTGCATAATCCAATGCAGATTCCCCATCCGATGCTTCACCAAATGCGACAAATCCGCCTTCACCAGCACGTTAATCGCCGGTCCGCCACCCGGATGCTTGTCGAGGGGAATATCCAACTGGGTCATAATCTTGGACCGCGCCCCATCTGCACCAAACAGATACTTTGCTTTTATTGCATACGTCAGCTTTGTGATCTTGTCCTCAAGATGCGCAGTCACGCCGTCGGCGTCCTGCTCAAACGACTGGAACTCGGTGTTCCAGCGGATCTGGAAGCCATTCAAAGTAGCGTAGCGCACGAGCTCCGGCTCCAGCAGCGTTTGCGGCAAATCGACGGGGGAGCAGGGCGAGGCGCGCTCATACTCGCCTTTCCGGCGTGGGTCGTTGCCCCAGGAGTAGATGCGGGCGTATTCGCGGCCGGCCATGCTGTGCGCCCAACGCGTGTGCATCATGCAGTCGCCCTTCGTGGCAAGCTTTTCGGCGACGACGTCAAGGCCGATGTCACGCAGGCATTCCAGGGCGGCCATGCTGGTGATGTGGGCGCGGGGGGTGTCGGCGCTGGTGGAGTTGAGGTCCACGATTATGCCTTTAATGCCTGAGGAAAGGGATTAGCACGTGAGCTCCATGCTTGGGATGTCTTTTGTTACCATATGAAGAGAGGAAGCAGGCCAGCGAGGCACCCGCGGGCCCTGCACCAACGATAACGACGTCGGTGTGTACGGTTGTTACATCGCCATTTGTGGTAGCCCCGTCACCGTTCACAGCTGCAATGCTCGAGATCGTTTGCGGTGCCATGGCGACAATGCTTTGTGCTTCAGGTATCCTAATCGAAAAAGAAAGCGAAAGAGATTTGAAGCTGGCTGACTTAATAACCTTAAGAGTTAGCTGCACCGGGGGGCTCTAGAAAAGGGCCGAAAAGTCGAACACAGTTTGATAGCACTGCTCCCGACATCTCACGCGTCACGGCAGACACAAACACGTACTGTGGCACCACCCGTAACACGCGAACTCGAGTCAAGAGGTCCGGAAAGCAGTATCCTTGGTGGGCTCGCGCCACCATCGCGAACTAACCTAGGTAGTGGAGCCCCCTCTTTCGAACGATGCTATGGGCGTCGTTTTAAAAAATAGTCCATCCGAGGAGCTACCCCGCCATAGGAAGCGAAACCCTCCGCCGCTATAACTTGCATCATGGTCGTTCTATCGGAAAAATAACTCTGCTGCTTTCCCGCGTGAAGACCCTTTCAGCCGCAGAATCAGCATGACAACGCTGGTGCACCGACAAAAGCATCCCCCCGCTCCCCCCCACGTGCCCCGGCTTCTACCCCAGATTCCAATTCAGCCGAAGTTCGCGATCCGCCCGTCGTAAATTGCTCCGCTCGCTTCGGCACATCTTCCGTGCATGAGGGATCGCCAAGCGAGGGGGCTGGCGGCCGGCACTTCCATGATCGGTTCACGTGCCCGCTCAATTGCTACATCCCCGACCGCTGGGTCCCGACCATGTGGTGCGATTGCTCTCGCTGGCGTAAGCGGGCTGCTCTGCTCTTTAATCAATCGCAGACACAACCTCCAAGTCCCCCTCATATATTCTAGGCGAAAAGATTGTCTCACAGCGATCAACTCGAACTAGTGGGAACTGTCGCGGTTATTCCTCGTTTCCATTATAATAAGGCGTTTTGTTTCCCCGGGAATCGCTTATCAGTTTCCGAGTGGTAGTTTGTTTATAACAGGCGTACCGCCTACGTGGTTCGACAGTTCGAGAGAAAATGGCAGCCGACGCGCCCCCAGCGCCGCCCAAGATCAAGATCCTCCGCCTCGCCCACGTCTACTACAAGCATAAGAATATCGCTGCGGCGGAGCAATTCCTCAAGGACTTTGGGTTTCTGGAAACCGAGCGCGTGGGCAAGAAGATCTTCTACCGCGGATACGGGTCCGATCCGTTTGTGTACTGCGCGGAAGAGGGCGAGGAGGATGAGTTCGGTGGGACGGGGTGTGTGGTCGAGTCGATGGCGGACCTCGAGCTGGCGACCAAGACGATCGAGACGGCGAGTCCCATCTATGACTTGAAGACGCCTGGTGGAGGGAAGTGCGTCACGATTAAGGACCCGGTGGATGGGTGGCCGATGCATTTGGTGTTTGGCCAGACGCCCGTGGAGCCGAGTGCCGAGTTTGGCTATCTGGATTTTAACTTTGTAGGTCTTGAGGGATTGAAACGGGGGTATCAGACGAGGGAGCTGACTGGATATCTAGCCAGACGTGAAGCCGCGCAAGAACAAGTTTCAGAGATTCGAGAAAGGTGAGTTTGAGCATTCTAGATTGAAGGCGTTTTCAGCATGCTGACCTTCCATCCCCCAGGCCCCGCAATCGTCCACAAGATCGGCCATTTCGGAATGTGCGTGACGAACTTCGCAAAGACGTACGAGTTCTATACCACAAAGTTCAACTTTGTAGCGAGCGATGTACGTCCAATCCCCTTCTCCGCCAATCTCCTAGATTCGCCCGACCCAATCTAACACCCCAGGTAGCTCCAACACGAAGGCGACGGCGTAAACGTCCTCGCCTTCATGCACATCGACCTCGGCGAGGAATTCACAGACCACCACTCCTTCTTCATTTTCCAGGGACCCAAGAGCCACGTCCACCACTCCTCGTACGAAGTCCATGATTTCGACACCGAGGTGCTGGGCCACGACTGGCTGCGGCATAAGGGGTATAAGAACTGCTGGGGCGTGGGGAGGCATATTTTGGGGAGTCAGATATTTGACTATTGGTATGTTGATGTGCAGTGTTTAGCGGAGGATTCGGGATGAAGATGTGATTGATTGCTGATGATTGCCAGGTTCGATACGTCTGGATTCATTCTGGAGCACTACGTCGATGGGGATCAGGTGAACTGCCACCATGAGACGAAGGTCTCGCAGGCTGGGCCGGATGGGCTGCATGTTTGGGGTGAGTGATTAGTCCTGGGATATGAGGTTGAGGACGAATGCTAACGAGATAGGTCCTGATCTGCCCACTGGATTCTTGCAGTAGGTGTTGTAGGCTTAGATAGGGGTGGAGGAGAGGGTTTCATCAAGAGGATGGGTCGTTGGTAGGTACACATAGACTGTATGCAAGACCTGTCAAATACATGTTACGAGTAGTTCACGTGATCTCGACCTGCGTTAGATGATAACAGAAGATATTATTAATCGCGAAATGGCATACTTCATGAACAGCGGTGCACGAAGTTTATGTCTCTCAATATGCAACTTTCAAATCTATAATCTCCTCTACTCTATCTACGGACCCAGGCCCCTCCATGCAATGCCCCATACACTCACTCGTAATACACCTCATTCACCAACGTCCCAATCCCCTCAATCCACACCCGCATATCATCCTGCTTCTTCAGCCACAGCTTAGGCGTCCGCATCGCCCCAATCCCCGGCGGCGTCCCCAGCATAATCACCGTGCCGCGCTCCAGCGTCGTGCCCTGGGACAAAAACGCTATTGTGCGCGCAACTGAGAAGATGGCCTGCTTCGTGTTCGAATCCTGCACCACGTCGCCGTTGAGAATCGCCTTGATGCCCAGATTGCCCGGGTCGATCTCAGAGGGCGCGACGAGCACGGGGCCGATGGGTGCGGAGAGGTCGAGGCCTGGGGTTTATTAGTGCTGCGACAACGTCAAAGCGTGACTGTAGCATCCTAACATACCTTTTGAGAAACTCCACTGGCTGTTGCGGAACTGCTCGGTGCGCGCGCTGACGTCGTTGCCGGCCGTGTAGCCGAGCACGTAGTCGAGGGCCTTGTCCTCGGGGATGTCGCGGCCGTCTTTCGAGATGACGAGCGTGAGCTCGGCTTCGTAGTCGGTCGTCTCGTCCTGCACGAACTTTGGAATGCTGATTTTCTGCGGAAAGGGCCCGCTGAGCGCGGTCCGCGGCTTGATGAAGAGGACCGGGTGCGTGGGGATGGGCATGTTGGCTTCCTTGGCGTGGTCGTGGTAGTTCAGGCCCAGGCAGCGGATGAGCGGGACTTCGGACTTCTCGATGGGGGAGAGGAGCTGTGTGCATTGTTAGGGGAGAGTATGTTAGGTAGGGATTTGGGAGGCCAACCTGAGAGACCGTCAAGATCTTGTCGGTCACGACGCCATCGAAGATGGAGCCAGTCACCAGCTTCGCTTTGACCTCTTTCTTCTCGACGGTCGCGAGGCCTATGTCGGTCGTCTTCGCGGCATCGACCTGGCCGAGATGCACGAGGCCGTCTTCCACGGCGATGAAGCGGATCAGGTGGGTCCAGTTGGGGCTCATTTTTCTGAAGGTCGAGAGGTATCTCATGAAATAGATTGAAGTGAAGGGAAAGCTACGGAATGGATACTGGAGTTTCGTCTTTGGGGATTTAGAGATCTAGAATACACTAACTACGCAATCACACGTGCTGCCGTGGGGTGGAAGGACGGATAGTAGCAAGGACGGACTAATTATCACCAAGTGTGGATTCTAGGAAAGCGGCGAAAGTCGGTAAAGCAGGCATTTATAAGCTGTTCGTAATGGGCTGTGTGTGAATCCTCACATGGCAGTGCTCATTCTAGCTTCAGTTGGCGCCCTGGGATGTTTGGAGGGGTGATACGTTGGCTGGATATCTCGCCGTTTGGTGGGGAGGTGGGCAGGTTCCTGCGGAGCTCTCGGGCATGAGATATCCCGTCCGGCCCTGACTGCATTTGCACCCCCGACGCGGGGCATGGCAGGTTGCCTGCAAGCCTAGGGAGTTATAACCGAGCGAAACCGGCAAGGCCTGGTGAGGTATTCCGCTGTCTCTGAACTTCCTGACGCTTTTACCTTTATTATTGCACGCCCCACCACTAAGGATCACCTCCTCCTTCCTTCTCTCCACTTGCTTTCACCATGGCTGCTGGTGGGAGCTAGGGATGTTCGAAGTCTCACTAATCTTTTATCAAAGTTCCAAGGTTGAGGCTACCTGCACGGCTGATGAAACATTCTTGGTGCGTCAGGTTTTGAAGCTCTAGTCCTCGCTTTCTCTAAGTCTAATCTACCAATGATACCTTATATTGACGTAGCTTTGCTCGACTTGGAATTTCCCAAAACACGACAATCCCGGCCTTGTGCAACAGAGTCCAGCAGTAAACACTGCCTAGCCTGATAATCTGGAGCACGTCCTTTACTAAGAGTTAAGCCGTCTGTTCTCCGGGTTGAAGTTTCTGGCTAGGCAGGTATAGCTGTAGCAATGTTGAAAGTCGTTAGAGTTTTATCGACTGGCGAAGGTCTACTCCCAGCTATAGACGTGGTGCTGAAATTGGGAGTGCCCATGCTGATGGCAGTGTAGCTTTCTGCTTTCTTCGCTCTCATCAATCCCAGCTATGCCTTCTCATATCTCGCTCCGTCTCAGCGTTCCACTGGATATTCCAGTCGCGGAACTTTTCGTGGTAGTCCCGTAGAAATGTGGACGCGCGTGCGAAACCTGGATTGGCTCACTATAGAGAAGAGCAACCTGGACCTGAGGATACAGCACCATCTCGTTGAACGTTTTCCTGGGGGAAAACTTGTACTCTGCATCTCCCGCATCCAGTGGTGCCTGGAGAAGAGAACATAAGGCTTTTCCACTCTAAAAGTCCTGGCGATAAGCTTATCCCGCCGAATCTGGCTCTCCGCGATCTGTTCATCGGTGCTATGGTGGTTGTCCGTGCGGTGAATCGACCCGTCTTCCGCGACCCAGACCTGATTGGTTGGCCAGTGCGTAAGTATGGTAAACAGAATGAGAATGAGTAACTCACCTTATCCATCTGTCTGAAGATTTCGAAGTCTCGAACAAACAATCTACATATGTAGATATTGATGTCGGGGTCGCTCTCCCGTCCCCACCTCACGAAGAAGGCGGCCCTATATCATGTTAGACGCACTGGCTAAAGGTAAAAATGAAAGGAAGGCGGGCTTACATCTCCGGGTTGTCCGCAACGTACATGCCCCAACCCCACCGGGACGGACGGCTGCTCTTCAGGCGCCGCATGCCTTCCGAATAGCGCTGCCCGGTGTACCAGTCCGTACCGATATAGCCGATTAGTCGTCGGTTGGGAAGTGGATCGGGACCTGCATTCGGCATTGGACACCTCATGTATTGGTTGCGGCGCCATACTTCTAGTCCATGGAGGTATTCTCCCAGCATTAGACCAAGAGATGAATGAGACACTTTCTGGAAAGTTAGGCCTATTGATATCGTAAGCTATAGGCTTATGCTAGTGTAGACGGGGAATGAGTCTACCTTGCCACATTTCTACCTCGCTATTGGCGGCCTGGTCATCGAAGAAGAGCTGGTACTCATGTTAAATCGACCTCCTGATCAGTTCAGGGAAGAATCCCACCATATTGTGGTACTCAACTCCACTATACTCTTTTATGCGTTCAAAATGAATCCGTTTAGATTCTGAGAGCGTTAGCACCTAGACACCCACGCGGGGCATGGAAAAGGTGGCTCACTAATCCTAGTACAAGCTGTCTCGTGTGTACATCTGTCTGCCACTGCTTGGGCTGCTTTAATGCATTTTCGGGGATCTAAAGAAGATCGATGCTCTTTGCCTTGGGCTATGTGGAAATTTGTCGAAGCACTCTATGCAGTGGCAGACAGGTGCACATACGGGCAGAGGACTTGATGAGTGTGCCACTTTTTTCGTGCCTGCCATGACACCATACACGAGGAACATGACTAACCATTGTATATCTCATTATAAACAACGTAGTCTGAGAGCGGTCTCCACTGATGTGTTCGTGGGTCGAACACATTTAGTAGCCACAATGCGCGGTCGCACCTAGGATTTACGTTCATGCGTTGAAAGCAGACGCTTTTGGAGGAGTACAGAGACAGGGACTTGTGAGTGTTCCTCGAAGCAATCGCAATTCGGACCCGGTTCCCGATTAGGTCACTGATGATGTTGTATATATCATCAGACACCTTGACTCTGACTGGTTTGTTCCTAAGTAACACCTCTAAGTACGGCATCGAGTCGAGAGGAGTTTAAAAAACGAACTTCTTGTCTCTGATTTTGTTCTCAACAATCTCTAGGTTGTCTTCGAGCGTATTGCTGACGCAACCTTTGCACCCGAATTTAGTACCGTCAAGCCACGTGTGCCATAGTGTGCCACTAAGAGTGTTATTAGATATATTGACCGCAAGGAGGAATTGATACGTACTCGAGATCAAATGCCACAATTCTTGGGTAAGCCATTGTAAGGTGAGCGTTCGAAGACGTTGTTTTCTATCCAAAAATTTGACTTGCGTTTCAAAAAGCGGTGGTGGTGTGGTGGATGGAGCACGATGATGCGGAAAATGATGGGTGCCCTGAGAAAGAAAAGGGGTCTTAAATACCTACACAGGGGTCCTTCCAGTTTACTTCTTGGCCTGCGAATTGGTGGTCCAAAGATGCCCTCGTAGGTCACTCGGTGAATTTATTTAGGCTTCATGAAGAGGTAATTGCATATAGAGGGCTTCCAATTGAGCAGATGATATAAACGTGCGATGTAGTGGCGGAGGAGGTCTCAATCATTGTCCAGGTGTTTGAGTCCTCATGATGGGCCCCGACCATGGACCAGGGAGACTCTCTCAGCTGCATGCACAGTGGCGAGCATCGAAGGCCAGTACAAAGGAGCTGAAAGGAGATATTGAGCGCTCGCCTAGATTCAGAGCGCCTAATCGTGTTCTTTGCTCGAGACCGGCTTATGGTTCCTTTCCTTGCGAAAGAAGTAGGCAAGAGGCGAGCGAACAGTAGAGCGGAACAAGGAGGGAGTGAGATGAAGTCCTAGAGAGAGAGAGACAGGTATCTTTTGTACGCGTGGCGATGATTGCTCCTATAATTGCGATAACTGGTATTGGACCACTCAAACCCAAAGCTGTTCATGAAAAATGGAGAAGGCCTCCAAGTACAAGGAATATAGGCCTAGAGGTTCTGGGTGTGGCTCTTAGGGCGTTGATTGGTAAATTCATTATGACAAAAAAAAATCCAGAAAAAGATGGAATACCACTATCGACATTCAACAAGCTTGTTTCCCAGTAGATGAAGCATTTCTACTCTGCATTCGTGGAGGAAACACAGAATTCGAACTGACTAACTTTGACATATTGAATTTCCTCATGTTTCGAGCTTGCTTGCACAAGATCAAAGCAATGGACTTTCTACCGTCACAGGAACTGATTTGTACATTTAGTAACCACGCTCTATTAGTGACATCTTTATTTAACGGCTTATTTATATACAATTCTAGCTGTCTTATTCCCGGCGTTTACGATGTTTTCCTAGGAATGACCTCAGGCAGGTGACAGTGGCGTTGATATATACGCAGTCCGGAAGTACTCTATGAAAGCAACTTGCGACTCAGAAATCGTCGTCCCGTTCGGGTACGTGAACGTGGTCACGGCATTGGCGAGGTACTGGTAAGTGATGATCATGCCACCTTTGCGTATCCAGTAGTAGTAAAGACGACCAAACGCGGTCACGTAAGAGTCAATTCTGCCCTTCGACATGCCCGCCCAGGAGTGCCATTTATACGGCACCAGCTGGTTTGACTTCGGGTCTAGCCAATGCGCTGTTTCTGCAAGCGATGTATTTGCGATTCCAGTGGTTGCCATTGTCTCGCCGTCGATGTTCACTAGGGACTGGGTCAATGGCCCAAAGTCGACGGAGAAGACCCAGCTGTCGATCTTTTCGCCCCAGGTATGGATGCAGGTGGCAGCATTGCCTAAGCAGTTCAAGATACGTGAAGGCACGGCACCCGCTTGCAAGATACGCTCGTGTACACCATATGCCGTGCCGATCGTGACTGTACTGTCGTTATAGCTGAGCGTCCCGGTGACATCGTTGATGTGCACAATACCACCAAAGTTTCCGGTGCAGTTGTAGTTGGTGGCAGTTTCGTTGGGGCTGCAATTTGAGAGACCTTCGAAGGCACCGGCATGGTAGACCTCGTCGCCATGTTGTTGCATGGTCAAGCTGACTGTACCCCCGCCGCGGGATTCGTTGGCATTCCAGGTCTTTACATGAGAAGGTATGCTATCCTGTGACCCGAGTGTGAAATCTTCGAAGGTATATTCCACGTTGGAATTGTTGTAAGTCGACGTCAACGTCCCAATAGGCGCGTAATCCTCGAGATCCTGTCCAACATTTACGAATGGAGTATCCATCATGCTTTCTTCTGTGCGTCGGTGAAGTTCCCATGGATGAAAGAAAGCTGGAACAGGTCCTCATTGGTAATGAACTCCTGCAGCCCAATTTGGCGGTACATGAACAGCCAGAGGACAAATTCCTCGCCATTGGTCAGGTTACCTCTGACGACGAAACCAAAGTCATTAAAAAGATCTCTCGAAAAGTCTTGTGGCACCAGGGGTCCTTCCCATCCGATTATTGTTTCACCAACGCCATCCGGACCAGAGCCAACTGGACCTCCCTGAGAACAAGCGAATAATTGCTGGCCAAACGCACTAGTCAAAAGCACGGCAGTATAAAAAGATAAAGTAAAATATACCATGTTTCTTGCTATTCCGAACATTTGTGGACACTCGTGACAATGTGGGGGATGCTTCCAGTCAAGGGTGCGACGTCTTATGTATATACAAGAGATATGAAAGGGGCAGGACGTTTGAAAATCTGCTCCACAGGAATCCAGAGGCTTCCGATGAGAGAGCATCGGAAAAAAAGATAGTTCGCTGTGTTTGCATCCTGGGGTAATATGCAAGGTGTCGTCGCGCGGGGAACACGCTGAAATGTGTATATCAGCTTCACCTAGACAATCCCTTTCGTGAACCTCCACCACCTCCTACTGGCGAGCATTGTAATTTGCAACCACTGTGGACGACTAATGATGCTATGTTTATCATCGGCAAGAAGCGAGTGTTGCATTCGATTGGCTGCAAAACTGGACCCCAAGGTACACCACGTGATGAGAAAAGGAGATGATTGGAAGGGGCTGCACTTGTGATTGGTCGAGAAAAAGTGCAGATCACGTGATAAGCGTATACGTGATGCACAATACCGGCAACATTTGCAACACCACAATATGCCAGCAACAACGCCATCGTGCATTCTCTCCGGGTCTATGTCAAAGCTTTCTTATTGATCTCTTAGATACTCGAAAGTTTATGTTTAGTTATCTTCGTTGTGTCATGGATAATGCCGCCGGAGATACCCAATTCCGTGACAGTTCCGGTCAAACCAACCTACGAAAACCGCTTCACAGACTATGACCTGCTACGTACTTAGTAAAGCTGGAAGGCGGGGTCCATCTACACTATTTCTGACGACGGGTCTGTGCAACAGAACCGTGCTCCGGAACCTGTCGTGGAACTTCTTCAAGACCTGAACCGAACAAGAGCTATATAGCCTTTACATCTTTCACGGTGTTTCGAGTTTCTCTTGCTGATTTCTTCGTTACGAGCCCGGATGATTTCATCTAAATCTCTGCAGCAACACTGCACTCATCTCCCGACGATATCCCCATGGCTCCATCTCTAGAAGTCGAAGATCTTGGCGCTCCTGCAACCAAGCCCACGTCGGCGGTGAAGGCTCTAGACGACAAGTATCGTGAGGAGCGCGACAAACGTTTGAACAACAGCGGAAGCAGTCAATTCCGTGAGGCCAAAGGAGAGCTTGCAAGGTTTGCCATAGATCCGTGGACAGAGGAAATCGTTCGAGACTCCGTGAATGAAGATGTTGAAGTTTTGATTGTTGGGGGTGGCTTCGGTGGCCTGTTAGCTGCTACGAGATTGATTGAAGTTGGGGTGGATGACATCCGGATCGTAGATAAGGCAGGAGATTTTGGAGGTGTTTGGTATTGGAACAGGTAAGCTATTCAATGACGATTATTCTCATTTTAGACGATCTCGGATGAAAGTTAAGATCGACAGCTAACGTTGCCTTAGGTACCCAGGGGTTGAGTGTGATACAGAAGCGTACGCGTAACAGCATCGTTGTGGATTGGTCATTATTCAAAGTCCTAACATCTACAGCTACATTTATCTACCGCTGCTTGAAGAAACGAAGTATGTGCCGGCGGCCAAATTTGCCCCAGGGGCCGAAATCCACGCTCACGCTCTCAATATTGCCAAGATGAACAACCTTCAATCTAAAGCTCATTTTCGAACGGAGGCCTTGACACTCACATGGTCGGACTCCCTAGCGCGCTGGGTCGCCACCACTTCACGAGGAGACACGATCCGAGCACGGTTCGTTATTTCCGCCATAGGAATTCTACATAAACTCCATCTCCCTGGAATCCAAGGTATCGAAAAATTCGCCGGCCACAGCTTCCACTCATCGCGCTGGGACTTTGCTTACACAGGCGGCGACCGGTTTAACTCACCTTTAGACAAGATTCGCGGGAAGCGGATCGGGATCGTTGGAACAGGAGCTTCTTCCATTCAAGCACTTCCACACCTCGCGAGATCTGGAGCTGAGGTCTACGTATTTCAACGTACGCCCTCCTCCGTAGATGCGAAGCCAAACCCTCCAACTGATCGCACATGGTTTGAATCCCTTAAACCTGGCTGGCAAGACCACCGCGCCGATAACTTCGAACGCATTCTTTCAGGCCAGCCACAAGATATAGACCTTGTCAACGACGGTTGGACTCATTTCATGCTCTCAATGGAAGCTCTTGGCAAGGACTCCTCCACGCCCAAGGACGACATCCTCAAAAAGGTCGACATAAAAGCAATGGAGTCGCTGCGCTCTCGCGTCGAGGAGATCGTGAAAGACAAAGAAACTGCTGAAGCCCTCAAGCCATGGTACGGCCGCCTATGCAAGCGGCCTTGCTTCCACAATGAATACCTGGATTGCTTTAACTATCCTAACGTCCATCTTATTCACACAGATGGGAAAGGTGTAGACAGGATTTCCGAAAAGGGTGTCGTGTCGAACGGGAAAGAGTACGAGCTGGACTGCATCATATACGCCACTGGTTTTGACTGGGGCACCGACTACTCGCAGCGAGCGAACATGACCATCAAGGGGAGGAATGGGCTCACTTTGACTGAGAAATGGGAAGACGGCCCGAGCACCCTTCATGGCATCATCGGACGAGACTTCCCTAACCTCTTAACCTTTACTCATTTACAGAGCTCGACGTCGCCCAACTATACACATCTGTTGAGTGAGCGTTCCAAGCATGCTGCATACCTCATTTCGGAGGCGAAGAAGAGGGGGATTAGGACCATTGAGCCGACAAAGGATGCTGAAGCTACGTGGGTGAAGAAGATGGAGGACGTTGCGCTAGCGAGGCTAGGTTACTTCAAGGAGTGCACGCCCGGTTAGTCGTACTCCCCCCTTACAAAATTGCCACCTACTTCTCTTGCACTTTTGCTGACATCTTTCGAATATTAGGTTATCTTAATGCGGAAGGTACACTATCACCTTCTACAGCTCGTGGTGCATCTCTTGGGCTTGATTCTCCAGTGTACAACGAGATGCTTGATAAGTGGCGAAAGGCGGGGACTATGGAAGGTATTGAAATTGATCGGGTATGATTAGATATAGACCTAGATAAGCTCCGTGCCCTATATGTGGGTCCCATTATGGGACTACACGGGTTCGAAAGTCACGTGCTGACACGTAATCCTGTGTAGAATATTATTCCAACTTTTGGTTACTGCCTGTGTTGAAAATAATCTAGAAACCCAATAGCAACTATCATATATGTCACAATTAGACTTCCCTCTTTGTGTCTGGTGTCACATTCAGCCGGTCTACTTTGAGACTAGCTTACGAAGCGCGTTCCCCTCGTGCTAACGCGTTTCCCTAGTCTCTTTTCAATTGACTTCCAGCTTGCCTACCACTGATGGCACTTCTTCAGCATCGCTCGTGTCTTCCAATGCCTTCTCTGCGGCCTCTTCACGTTTAGCGAAATACCGGATGATGAAAATACTGCTAAACTCTAGAATACTCAATCCGCTCATCACGCTGAAGCCCAGGTGGAACTTAGGGGCATATTTGCCAACATCGAGGATGAGAACTGTCACGGTTAGCTGAAACCCTCCAAAGTACCGCAGAGAAATCCTTACGAGGCACCCAAGCGATGAAGGCTTGACCAAATGTCTGCGCCACACCAATAACGATCGCTCGCTCTTCCATGTCGTTGTGCATGATCTCAATCGCCCAAGCCTGTGCAGACATTAGCAATGACAGACTCTCGGCCCTCTCGGGACTTCTTCGACTTGGAACGGCCTTGCTACTTACGTATAGGACTGGCCAGAAACCCCAAGAAGCAGCGTTAATGAGATATCCGAAAAAGGTCGCGCCATAACCTGGTTGTGATGCAACAGTCACCATACCGACAAAGTTCAAGACCTAATGGCAGCGTCAGTGTGCTAGGAAGCATTTTCACCCTTCAAACTTACAGCTGGTACAACCAAGACCTGCCATCTTTTTCCAATGCCGTCAGATATCCACGCGTACCCTAAGGTGAAGACGAGACCAACGGCTTGTCCTGCCGTTGGGAAGAGATTTATCTGATACACGCTAAAACGATCGAGGGATTTTAGCCAAACCGAGAAGTAGTTGAGAGGCTGAGTAACCACGCAGTGATTTCTGGCGCATCGGTCAATAGCCTACTCACCAAAGCGAAACTCTTTGACTTACATGAGAGTGAATGTGAAGACATAGATCGGCCAATGGGTCAGGATCTTCTTTACTTTCGCCCACGACAGCGGCACCGGTTTCCTCCGTTCAATCTTCGACATTCGAGCAACGTGTAGCTCACGCTCCTCGGGACGCATCCATTTTGCCCGAGTAGAGTAAGGATTGTCCGGTATAGCGAAAAATCCCCATATCGGATCCCAGATGGAGATAATGCCACAGAAAATGAACAACCATCGCCATCCCGCTAGCCCAGCTGTCCCGTTCATTCCTCGATATATTCCGGCTTGGAGGTAACCGCTGAACATGCTGGCCGCATAACTGGCGGAATAAAATATGGCGATGCGCTTGCTAAGCTCTATGGGTTTAATCTCAATTTTTCGTCTCTTCCGAGGATATCTTTAGAATACTCACCTCTAGGCGTATACCAGCTTCCCATCAGGGTCAATACACCAACTGCGAACGGACTTTCTAGCATTCCCAAAAGGAACCTGAGGGCGAATACCGTCTTTACATTTGGTACGGCCGCGAAACAGAATGTCAAGATAGACCACAGAAGCTCAACGATTGGCAGATAGAGAGAAGGCCGAACTGCGCGAAAATGGTCAGTTTATCAATCAATTGCGGCACTCTAAGCTCGAACGCGGAATTCACCTCTTGTGAGTAAGAACTGAGACGGGATCTGGCCAACGAGGTACCCGCAAGTGAAGTAAGTCGAGAGAAGATTGTATTCCCTGCCATGAAAATGCAGGTCCTCCTTCATACCGCTAACATAGGCATTGGCTGCAGTTTACAAAGTCAGCATTGAATTGTCCATGTCCGTGCGCAAAGATCGATCCGAAGAGGGTACTGACTGATGTTGGACGAATCCAATAATCGGACAAAGTATCCAAACGTCGCCCAGCTCCTGTAAGCCGTTAGTACAAAGCTTCTACTAACAGCAGCGTCGATGTGACGATAAATGCCACAACAAATGGATGTGTGCATACATGATATACCAATCGAGCTTCTGGATCAACTTTCTCTCTTCTTTGGTCCTATGACCTCCGTCCCAGATCACTTCCTGGACCTTCTCCCATCTCGTGCGTGGAGTATTATCATTCGTTGGAACCTTGGAGATGGCAGCCTCCTGCACGGCATCAACAGCCGCAGATTTAGGGTCTAACGCCATTGTTGTATCACTATTTTCTTGCGGAATGAAAGTCACCAGATGCAGAACATGCAAAGAATGCAAGCCACTGTGTTGGTCGAACCGGATACCTGGGACCAGGACACCACTTTTATACCAGTTGCGCCTTCGGTGGGCCTTTGTAGATACCTCTTCTGGTAATCCCCGAGCGATCACGGTCTTTGAAAACCTGGACGTACCGCTCAATATAGTACGAAATGGCGACATTTGTTGGAACTGCCTGGGAGTAGACCAAACCCACGTGTCGAACCCACTTTTACCTGCAGAAAGTGGTCCCGGGACTTTGTTACGTCGCGTGGATAAGAAATCCGAGTCAGATTGCCGTATTTTCCGGGTTGGCAGTGTCAGGAGAACAGGTGGTACTGATTGACTCCAATTTTGGGAGCTTCTTGGTCTATTGGGACGTAATGTCGAAGCGTTTAACTACCAAATCACGGTCAGAAGACGACACTCGCGGATTTTCTTGACGCGTCATTTCGAAGAGCCATTGAAATAGGCTCTTCATCACGATACAGATTTCCTCGTTCCATTTGCTCTAATCTTCTACGTAAACCTCATATTTATATCGACTTCCGACATGGTCATCCCTCAATCGAGCCTGGCCAGCGCCATAGAATCTTTCGCGGACCGTTCCTGACTCTCCCTTCTCGGCATACCTCCCCCTCTGTCTAAGAACAGGTACTAGAAGGTCGACCAAATCCTCGAAGCTACCAGGAGACGTAACGTGCCCGACGTTGAAACCGTCCAAATCCGCGACATCCATCCACTCCTCCAAAACATCTGCCACGCGCTCAGCCGAGCCCACAGGAACAGGTCCATTACCGCCGATAGAGACTGCTTTGCCGATATTCCGCGGTGTCCAAGCCGGTATGTCATTGCCATGGTACTTGAGACTGTCCACGAGCGAATGGACGCGACTGTCCACTTGGACGTCGCCTGGCGTGATCTCAACATCAAGATCCGTTTTGCTCAAATCTATACCAACGTTTCCTGAATAGAACGCGAGACCACCTTCAACGCTTGCATATTTCAACGCTTCCTCATACTTGGCTTTAGCTTCTTCATCAGTGCGCCCTATGACGGGAGTAATGACCGCGAATACTTTTACGCTTTTAGGATCGCGACCAAGTGCAGCCGCTCTAGCCCTGATGTTTGCGACTCGGGGCGCCAAGATGTGCGGAGAAGGGGCCGCTACGAAGACCCCTTCTGCGTGTGTTGAAGCGAACTCCATTCCTGCGCTAGATGTTCCTGCTTGGAACAGAAAAGGAGTTCTTTGAGGGGACGGATCCAAAATATGAGGCGCGTCGAGTTTGAAAGTTGCGGACCTGTGATGGATGAATCGGATGCGGTCGAAATCGGCATAAACCTCGCTTTCCGCATCTTCTTTCAGCGCGTCTTCCGCCCAAGAACCTTCCCAGATTCTGAATCTTCGTGAGTTCTTTGGTGCTTCATTGCTCAATTTCGTTTTCTCAGAAGCGCTTACTTATAAAGAAGGCGCAAGTATTCGTCCGCAATTTCATATCTCTTATCATGCTCGACAAAAGGCAAACCAACCTATCACCGGTCAGGTTATTGATCAAAGGGATGGTTGAAGAGGCTTACAGCATCTGCCGCCGACTGTTTGAAGGATGTCACTATATTCCATCCAAATCGTCCCTTCGTAAGATGGTCCAGCGTCGAGAATCGCTTCGCAACCACAAATGGGGCCTCATAGCTGGTACTTGTCGTGATGGCAAACCCCAGATTCTTGGTTACCGCAGCCATCGCAGTGATAGGCTACTTCGCATGAATAATCAGTATTGAACATGCTGATTATGATTTTGGAAAAAAACACTGACAGCAGCTGGGTCACCCATTGGATACTGGCAGGCCGTCCGCACAGTCGGCTCAGCACTCCCCTTGTACACGTCATGTTGGCCATACGTGTCGGCAAGGAATAGAGTGTTGATATCTCCCCGTTCGAGGAGCTGCGCCAGGTCCGTCCAGTATGTGAGATCGCGCCGCTTGTCCTTATTCCGGTCGCCTTTTCGTCGCCACTGCCCGAAGCTCAGATGGCTCGGTGTAAACATGTCGAAGGCATTGATGAAGATTCTCTTCTTGAGCAATTCTTGGTCCCGAGGACATGGAGCCGCAGCATGCTGATCAGCCATGATAGGACTCCGGTGGTGTTTGAAGCAGTCGAAACTTTTTTGGACTGAAATCCAAGACTGGAACGCTGCCCAGGCCCCCACGAGTCAAGACCAGGCAGATTGGACGGAACTCGGCACCTGTCGCAGGTTAGTTGTCGATGATGTTGCTCTTGAGCTCCACGGTGGTTGACGATATATATACCCGGCGTCGCGTGCTCAAAGCTACATGAGTCGTGCAGCTCCACCCCAGCAACAACACCAAGTGCGGGAGCCCCTCACCAACAAACCGTCCACGAACGTTGCGATGTCGCTTTATCCAACGCCCGCTTATCGGTTCCGCGACGCGCATCCTGACAGCTAACAGGCCCCACTTGGACCAGAGAATTGGAGTCTCCGCGTTTCGTTTCGGACCATTCCATCAAGCTGCATGATCGCGAGCTTCACACAATCGTGATCCACAATGGCATGAGATGTACGCCATGCAGCGAAAGTGGGGGGAAGGTTTTGTAAGCTTGCTTTTGAGGACTTCAGAATAAAATCATATTGCCGGCATAGCACCTCCAGTGTTTACGGTCGTCTCCGGGGACTCCAAAAATCAAGACACCATCACCATGTCTCAGTCTCAATCTCGTCTTGGGGGCATCCTGCAGCACCTTTCACCTAGCTCTGGCACACCCCACATTGTGATTGAAGACAAAGCAGAGATATCAGCACCCAGCGATGCTCCGGAGCCGCCACCTCTCAGGACTGTCTGGCCGCCTCTAGAACTAGAAGACCATCCCATCGATGAAGTGCGCCCGTTGCGAGTCGTGGTTGTGGGTGGAGGGATTACCGGGATCATGGCGAGCATATTTCTCCCCGCAAAAGTCCCCAAAATCGATCTTGTCATCTACGAACGACAATCAGATATCGTATGCGCTTACCGCCCCGATTCAAATGACGTGCACTGAATCTGAATCTAGGGCGGAGTGTGGAACGCGAATATCTATCCCGGAGTGCGCTGCGATGTGCCCGCACATGCATATCAAGCTACCTTCGACGCCAATACGGACTGGAGTGAAGCGTATGCACAAGGCGCCGAAATCAAACAGTACTGGAAAAATATCGTCGCAAAGTACGACGTCGCGAAGTATATCCACCTTAACACACGCGTGACCGGCGCCGAGTGGTCTGAAGAAAAGGGGAAGTGGCGGGTCGGCGTGCAATCCAGCAGCGGAGACTCCATTGATGAAGCTGATTTTTTGATCACGGCCACCGGCCACTTCAGCGACCCCATATTACCCACATATCCAGGAATGAACGAGTATAAAGGCCACTTACGACATAGTTCGAATTGGGATCCAAATTTTGATCCTAAGGGAAAGAGGATCGCGGTGATAGGGTGAGTTTTCCGCTTGAATCTTTATATTCTATCATGATCCTAAAGATGCGATTGCAGCAACGGTGCATCTGGCATACAAGTCCTCCCACCGCTCCAAAAGGTTGCAGCACACATTGACCACTATGCTCGGAGCAAGACCTGGGTAGCCGCTCCAATCGGAGGCGAAGATCTCGAACAGTTCGTCCGTGACAACATCGATCAAGCTAAGCAAAGCCCGGAAGAGTATCTCGCATTCCGCAAGGCATTAGAGTCGCGGCTATTCAGTCGATACGGAGGCTTTTTTGAGAAGAGCGAAAAGAGTGCCATTGCAAGGGCCGCGATCACCAAGTTGATGGCGAACCGCTTGGGCGACCGCAATGATCTCTTAGACGCCATCATCCCCAACTTCTCGCCCAATTGCCGTAGATTGACTCCTGGTCCTGGGTATCTTGAGGCTGTTGCCGCAGAAAATGTGGAGTATGTTCCAACTCCGATCGAAAGGTTTACTGCCACAGGTATCGTGACCACCGACGGTAAAATCCCATAATATCACCCTAAACTCCGACAAACCGTGCTAATTCCCCACCAGGCATTCAGAGAAACGTCGACGCAGTCATCTGCAGCACTGGCCACGATATCAGCTTCAGCGTTGCATTCCCCATCCACGCTCACGGCACCGATCTCCAAGCGGCCTGGCGACCTGGCGGCAACCCAGGCTTCCCAGATTCATATCTCAGTTTCGCTGCTCCAAACTTCCCAAATTTGCTCTTCATCCTTGGTCCAAACTCCACCGGCCCCGCCGGCACGCTCTGCCACTCCGTGGAAAACCAACTAACCTACACAGCTAAAGTCTTGCGGAAGATAAGTAGTCAAGGCATTCGCAGCATGGCACCCTCACAGGCCGCAACAACAGACTTCAGAGCGTATTGTGAGAGTTTCTTCCCGCAGACGGTGATGAGTCAGCACTGCTCCAGCTGGTACAACGGCGGGATTAAGGGGGGAAGAATTCACGGGGTATGGCCAGGGAGCGCAACGCACGTGAATCAAGTGAGGCGAGAGCCGAGATGGGAAGATTGGGAGTATACGTATATAAACAAGCAAGGGAATCGATTCGGATGGTTAGGAAATGGATGGAGTGAGAAGGACGTTCTAGCCCAGAATGGGGTCGACGCATTGACAACGGATCTGACACCATGGCTGCAGAAGGAGGCGGTTGAGGGAAAGGTGGACGTCAAAGGGTATCATGAGAATTGGTGGGATGCGTAGAGTCCTAAATACAGAGAAGGGCGCCTCGTCTACTCGTTTCTTTCTATGGACGCTAAAGGCTATTCTCGACTTGAATCTGCCATAACGAAACGCGAGAAGCTACCTGATGCGAAAATTCCAGAACACGGACTGCATCGCCGTGAGACTGGATAACAGTATTGGCGTCCAATAACTCTTTGGTGACTTGAAGATCGTACGGAGCATGCAGGTGCGCCACGGCCTTCCAGGATCGAGTCACCTTAGGCTCCAGCGGTAAGTCCCAGTTGCCTCTCCAGGTTATTCTAGCAGGTCTGCAATTTTTAGACGCCTGGTATCGGAAAACACAGGCTAATGCTCTCCCGCCATTCCATAGTTCCATGTTCTCCAACTTAGGCATTTTCTTGGCAGCCTCCGCTGCTATTTGAAGCAGATCGTTGATGTTCGCTAAATCCCCATCGGGTGTCAGCTGGCGAGAGGTAAGAGTGAGTGACACGAGCTCTTTCCACGCCTAGTTTGATTGACGTGTGTCTAAGAAGAACATGGCGTCCATGATAAATGCCGCTGAAAGATGTTCAAGAGTAAGACTAGCTTCTGCCAGGGCTCTAGTGACCCCAGAGTCTGCTGTCCGAACAGGCTCTGCAGGATCGCGCGATCCCTGGCCAATAGCAGTGTACTTGTCATTGAAATCTTCAAACACGACCATCTTCTTTAGGGCGTTCGGAACAAGGTATTCAAATAGCCACCGAAACCCTGTTAGATTTCAAGGGTTAGTAATGGTCTAAGGACTAAGGTTAACTTCTTCACAACTCACTCTGGTCAGATATTTACTGATCCAATCCATCCCATTCTCTCCAAGGTTCATAATGCATCTCTAAATTTGGAAAAAAGTTGATAAGTTCTTGAATAGTTCCCGGCTCCCATCCATGGCGGGTCTGGCGGCGCAGAAGAAGACTTGTTACGGCCGTGACTTTGGATAATTCTTGCCAGAAATCTGATGGAAACTCAATATCCTCAAACAATCTTTCGACGGAACACAAGGGCGGAAGGTAGACCTGAGTGCCATTGACCCAGCCATGAGGCGGATCATGAAAGCTGGAAAGCGGTTGCTCGCTCTCGAAGCTGTGTGCAATATCGGGTCCGAAATGTGCATTCTTGAAATGATGTTTCGAATCGCTGGGAGACTGCACGCTGATATCTAGGGTCAAACGGCCTTGGGGATTCCATTTGCCAAGAATGCGAAAGACACTTTTTATAGACCTTGAATGATTTCTGTGTTCTTTTCATTCCATTCATCCGTCTCTGTGTTCTCGCATTCCGAGCAATCGTACTCTTGAAGCTCTATGTAGAGCCAAATGTATTTCATATGACTTCTTTTTCGAGTTGCTATGTCGCTAAAGTCTGCGAGGCGTGGGACCGTAAGTTTGAGGCGACTAAAATTTGGCTTTTCGATGACGGCCTGCGATTCTCGACAAACTGAGGCAAACTTAGCCACGTTGCCTCCCCCTTTTATCAGCGCGATGACGATCATCTCTCGGAGCTCAACAGCATGTGATGTCTAGAACATTTTGAAAGTCTGAGAAATTCCTGATGGCAATGGTGAAAGAAGAAGTAAAAACGGAGGAAGGATCGAGGATCGAAGAATTCGGCCAGCTTATATGCGCTCGCACCTCGCTACCAAACTTGACTTTTACGTCGACTCATCGACCCAAACTTAGCCTTGAAGCCGCAACCCAGCTAGGATTGTTCGTAAAAGTATACATAGACTCTACTTTGACGTAGGCGTCTTTCAGTTTGTCGTCTTCGCATCGAGTTTTGTGTAGATGCCGCAGTTCACGTCGAGTTACGAACCTAGTTATGACGCGCCGGAAAGGAGGATACATGTTGTGCCCCAAGGCGAGTGCAGCAGCAATACCTCGATGATTTTCACATCTGCCACGCTTCTAGGGATTGATTTCGCGTCCGGGAAAATGAAGATAGGGGGAAGAGGATTGATTTGATCGCATCCATTCTCCTCTCGCCCTGACATCCAAACTTCGACCTCACAACGCTACCACAATCTTCTTTGTATGCACAGCCCCTTCCTGCGTCCGGCGACCTAACTAGCGCGGAAAACAAGCCACAGACTCAGGCGTAATAGAGCAGTGATCATCGAACATAACAGCTGAGAGTACGGAGTTTTAGCAGATCCCGCCGAATGCCGCCGAATGCCGCCGAATGCCGCCGAATGCCGGTAAGACTTGGTCTATAAAATGGCTTCCCCCGTGCCCCGCTCTAATTCTTCCTACCACCTATTTCGCTTGTGGTGTCGATTCCGCGCTAGGTCATCAGACGCAGGAAGGGGCTGGGGATGTATGGGTGGTACGGACCCAAAACAACGCGTAAAGACGCGTTTTTAATCCGGTAATCCGATTGAGGCAATGGGATTGGGATGGAGAAGGGATGGAGACGGGATGGAGAAACTGAAATTAAATTGAACTGGCACATGCACATGATGCTTAAAACGACACTACATGCCTATGTAGATACAGATGACTCGTACGTAGGAGTGTATAGAGTGAGATGACGTCACGGAGCTTTGGTAGTTCACCTTCTGCGAAGGAATGACTGCGCCCTAAAACCTGGATCGGAGTACCATCCGTAGCTCCCCACCAGAAGATAGTTCCCGCAATCCGCCCAGCTCAATCTTTACGCACAAATTTCTCTTATGTATGGTGTGGAGGGTAAAAATCTGAAGAGACAAGAAAGAGGAGAGAGCGTTGGGGTGCGTACGACCTTGACTTAGCGGAGTCGTATGTAGCACGTGATTCAGAGGATTCATGCTTTATTGGATGGCAAAATTCGCCTTCGCTATCTATCTAATCATGTTCGCTCACCCGACTGCGTTGCAGTCATCAGGACCATTCTAATATTTACAACCGTGTAGAAAATGTTACACGGATATATACACACCTCATCTGACGTCCTCCGGCCTACCCACTCACGGCAGATCACTCAAGGCAGGTATGATGACTTGCTTCACCAATGGCACGTCGGTGTCTCCAGATGGCGTCTCAGACAGTACGTAGCTTGTTTTGAAAGACCCAGCGGCCCAGGTGGTCCATCCGAGATAGACGTCGCTGTTGTCGCTATATACTCGTCAGTATATCGTCGCCAGATGCCACTTGAGCGGGACATTGCTTACTTCAGATAACTCAGCGTCTGCTTAAGATACGAGATACAGGTCGAATCCTGTGGTCCACCACCAGTCTCCGACAAGAACACCTGGCGGTTCTGATCGCGAGCCCAGGTCGCAAGTGGAGCAAACGAGCCCTTGGTCGCGTTCGTGACGCATCCTGCATGCGTGCCTGTGGAGTCGGAGTCGAGGTATTGATGGACGTCAAAAACCAGATTCGTTTTGCTACCATCCACATTCTTGACAGCGGCGAGACCCCCTGAGTTCTCCGCGAAGCCGCCGGCAGCTTGGTGATTAGTACCCGGGAGTAAGATAATGTTGTCAGTGGCGCCAGCGTTGCGGATGGCGGTCACGGCGGCCTGGACGGTTGTGACCCACGTCTCCATGCTTAGGTTATGAGGCTCGTTCATGGTGCCGAAGGCCACTTTCGATTGGGCTTTGTACTTCTTGGCAATCTGGCTCCAGAGATCTGCGAATTGGTCATCTGTTGGTCCGCTGGGCGCACTCTGGCCGATGATCTTGCCGTCCCAGCGAGCGTAGTTGTGGAGATCGACGATGCACATTTTCGCACCAGCGTCGACGCAGCCTTGAACCAGCTTGTCGTAGGTGGCGATTCTACTCGCGTTGATAGTATTTCCCAAGTCGGTGACCAAGTACTGCCAGCTGACGGGAAGACGGAAGGCATTCAGGCCCTTGGAGACGAAGTGGGTCATCTGGTCGATACCAGTCTGGCCAGGAGGCGTTGCAGCAGAGGGGTCACAGTTTCCCTCGCCATCACAACCAAACTCGAAACCGGCAATGTTGATGCCACCATAGGTGACTGCTGTGCCTGTGAGTTGAGGGAGTGTCAGTTCTGTGGTATCTTTGTGGGTGTGCGCATGTATGCCAGTGCTTGGGGTGTCTCGATGTAATCTCGGAGAGATTGATAAGACTAAAGCTCTTCACTTTGGGCTATGTGGAAACTTGTTGAAGCACTTCACCTAGCGGCAGATAGGCGTACAGACAAGACAGTGCGTGCGATGAGTGTGTCATTTTTCACGCCCAGCATGCTAGCACGGCTGCTTACTTGACGTTGATAGCGGCAGCAAAACGGTCGCCACGAGAGCACTAACTTTGAGGGTGAACCTCATGACGAGAGTCGATGGCAGGGAGCGTGAACTGAGTGATGGTTTGTAGCGGACAAAGGTGCGGGTGTTGGGGATACAAGAATGACTTCAAATTGGTGAATTCGAATAGCTTTTAGCGCATGGCGAAAAGCCGCGACGTTGTATTGGTGAACTCCATACACCCCTCTATCCTAAGCCGAGCAAAATGACTAGGGTCGTGGTCCGGTCGCGGTCCGTATGCTCCACCATGTCGTCGGCGCCTCCGCAATGTCACGTAAACAATGCAATTAAAGTGGTTAACTTGAGACATTGAAGGATTATTGACGTTAAGAATTTGCGATCTGGGTCTCGTGAATGGAAGCGTAGCTTTGTGTGCCGCAATGTGAGTCGTGTTCATGAATCACCGTCCCGGTCATGGAGGATTCTCAACCTTGGAACATACGATGCGGTTAGAGAGAAGAACTCGAGATGTTGAAGGATTGAAGAATTATTGACGGTAAGATTTTGCGATGCGGGTCTCGTAATCTAAAGCTTTGTGCCGCAATGTGAGTCGTGTTCATGAATCACCCGTCCCGGTCATGGAGGAGGATGCTGAATCCTAGAACATACGATGCAATATACTGCAACCATGGTGTGTCTGGTGTGGACAGTCTATACGCGGTTGCTTTTCCATTTTCTACTGCAGTAATCGCGAGCCGTCGAGGTGGAGATTAATACCTCGACTTCCCGCTGTTCTGAAACCACCGAACCGCTCGGACCCCCCCGCAACATACCCTTTTCCGCTACTATGGCTGTATCCAAGACTTCACGTTCCCTAATAGAGAGCCCACCCGAGATGGACCGCCTTACAGCATATACTCACGTCCGGTGACCCAGCGCTAAAGCCAAGCCACAAAATTCCTGTATAAGGTAGCCATTTCCGGACGCCTTTAATGGGGAATAGCAGCCTCCTAGCCCATCAATCTTCAAGCTAGCTCAGCATTAGCCCGGAAAAGGCAGTTTACCGGGGTCGACTCAGTTTCCGCGCCAGGTCACTGAACGTGATGATATGCTGTAGTTCGAATCACCGTTGCCACAAAGCCCTTGTGTCTATGTAGGTTTGGTTTCCGAGCGTCTTAGTCCCGAAAGAGCCCATTCGGCGGAGAAAAGTTTTGAGGAGTTACCTCATCCGTGACCTTGACGATACCACCAAGCTTTTCCTCAATTTCAACATGAGCTTCCAGCTGGCTGAGGTGGGCGAGAGCTTCTGGTGATTGGAACAGGCTCATTCCAACAAAGTGGAGTTTCTTCAACTTCGGGAAACTCCTGTCCGAAAACACAGGAAGAAGGATTTGCCAGCACCTCTCATTAGATCTCCTGCCGTAATGTGCCGGATGCTGTGCGGAGCCTGGATCGATTTCGTCCGTAAAGTCGAAGACTTGGGTGCTGACATGGTAGCGGTTTTCCAAGGTAAGCTCTTTGAGCGTAGCAGAGACATGGCGTAGGAAGTCAGCCCACTCTTCGAGCAAGTCAATCTCTGCGGCAGGGTCGAACTCCCATCGGGCTCCCGTGATGTTAGTGTCTTCGGTCAATTCCGCCAACTTGCTCATATGGAGAGTTTTCAGGTTTGTGAATCGCTTCTGAATCGAACGGAGGAACAGCACCGGATTTGGGCCGTTGTCCTGACCTGGCGAATGGATCAAGTTGATCAAAGAGAGGTGCTGGATATTTTCCGGTCTTGACAGCAGTGCCAGCATCATATCTTGATTGATTTGACCTCCAACCTTTAAGTTGGTCAACTTTTCGAGATTGTGGGCCACGGCCTTCTCGCTCTCTCCGATCGACGAGAATTCCCACCAGTCTTTCACGAACAAGTAGAGGGTGTGCAGGTTTTTGAACTCGGCAATAACGTCGTAGATATTGCGTCTGTCCCGGGGCCAGATTTCAATGAAAATGTAGTCATTGGAATCGTTCAACTCGGCTTTGCTCTTGTAAGAGATAGCAATTCCTGGCATACGCGTAAGTTTCAGTGATTGAACGCGAGCAGCCAGCGCCGCCCAGAAATCTGGTCGTTCGTCCATCCTGGTGCTGCATGTAGCAAAGAATTGCCGTTGCTGGTCGATCAGGCCGTCGTCGTAAGCGCCATCTCCACTCAACTCGACGAAATCAATGTCGCTCCATATGATCGGGGAGGCTTTAGCGTACCATTCCTTGTTGGTCCGACATATGGCGGCTAGAGTGGTCATGTCGCATAATTCCAGGATCTGGAGCTGTAGCTCGTCTGGTATCGAGAGTAGGGACGCGGCCGACATAGTGCACACCTACGGCGCGAACGATGCTCTAATGTGCCTAAAGGCTGATAGGGAAGTGGATCGTGGTGTACTTCCGAGTTGTTGCGTGATGGTGTTGCAGAGAGGGAGGTGACGTGTAATCTTGGAAGTCGTTTATAATACACCGCCAGTCCGCTTTAGGATTAGATACGGCCGCGGAGAGCCATCCTCCTACAAAAGTAGGCTCACCCTCTCGTTCGTCTTCAACATGCATCTTATCTATCGACGATGTTCCCAGATCAGCCCAGGAAAGCGCTTCTATTTGATCTTATGGGCACATGTTGTGACTGGCTCTCATCTCTTTTGCCTCTCCTTTCTTCGCTTCCCTCTCATCCGTGTCTTTTACCAGCGACCACTGCACTTCCGCAACTAGCAGCTGCATGGCGCGCTGGCTTCTTTACCGAAATCCACCATCGCTTTGAGAATAAACTACCAGCAGAGCATATCGATGTGACCCATCGACGCGTCCTTGACCAGCTATTAGCTGAAAGAGGCGTGGGGCTGGACGTATGGGACGAGGAGGTCCGTCAACGATTAGTAAAAGGATGGCATGAGCAGAAGGGATGGCCAGATGCGCTACCAGCTCTGGAAAAGTTGAGGAAGAAGTTTTTCGTGTAAGTCTTCAGCCTTCGTGAAGAAGCCACGGGTATCTTCTATAAACACGTGATGCAAAGACCGCTCTTAACAGGCAGGCCGCAGGGTCGTGCTAGCCAACGGTACGACGAGATTACAGCTTGATATCGCGAAGTCATCCGGATTGCCTTTTCATATGCTTTTCTCGTCGGAGCTGTTAGGACTTACGAAGGTGCGCTCCGGATGATAGACTTGCGTGGTAAGGAACCTGCTCAGATCTATGTAGCCTGACCCAGAGATATACTGGAAAGCGCTTCGGCTCATGGGTGTCGAACCACATAACGCTATGATGGTTGCTGCGCACGCATATGACTTGCGTGCCGCAAAGACTATGTATGAAGCACCTTTTCCGTCCGATGGGCTTATACTTATCCGCTCGCTATATACAGTGGTCTCGAGACCGCGTACATCTACAGATCGACTGAAGATCTGGATGAGGACATGCAGGCAGTGAAAAGGGATGTAGATATATTTCTAGACGGCAGAAACGGGACTCTCGATTGTGGCCTCGGCGCCCTCGCCGACCACTTAGATGCTTAGGGGAATGGTCTACCACCGAGACGGCAGTATTTGGAAGCCTCTTCGCCTTAGAAATGCAACTGGGCTCTGTGTGGGCAAGCTGCGATCAAAGGTATCAGATACGAAACCACATTTTATTCGCGACCGAGGGCGCAAAAAAAAGCAAGGGCGCAAGTGTTGATGACGGACATCACAGTGAATTACCAGCTTATTGGGACAAGAAAGAGGTTTCATTTGCTAGCACATAACGTCGAACTATAGAAAGCGGGGGCAGCGGATTTCCTATCTGCGTACACCGTGTTGACGCCGTCTAAGGTGCCCTAGCAAGGGCTAATATGGCATACAAACCGTCTTATTCAACTTTTTTCAAAAGGTGTTAAGGCAAGTTATGTAGCGGTAAACCACTTTAAAAAAGAGCACATCATAGTAAAAGCACAAGCTTATTAGGGCTAGGAAGAGGTTTTGTTGGCTAGTACTATGTAGGGTAAGGGGTAAGAGCTATGGGGCAAGGGGCGAGAGTATAGGAATTCGAACGGGAGCTAACACTTCATGCCTCCTAGACCTCTTAATCCTGCACACCGGCTCCATCCTTTTCCGCCGCGAGGGTGATAAGAAGCAGAACAACGAATGTTGCAAACTGAATCAGGTATGCCAGAACGATAGAAAGGATGATCCAGTCGTAAAAGGCCTTAACAACCAGTTAGCGGCGAGGACAATAAGGAGGTATGTTTTCGCGGTCCCTTTCCTTCCGGGCGCCGCGTGATGAGGCTGTAGAAAGAAAGTCCAAAAGCTAGGCAAAATAGCTTTCTTCCTGGAAGCAATGATGATGGCCGCCGCAATCGCAATCAAGTAGGCGATGATAAAAGGGCGTGGCAGGCGACAAGTGCCTGGCTTTCTACACCCGAACTCGGAAGAGAATCCCATAGTGGATAGCGATGAGTCGAATGCTTGGTGGAAGAGTGTCGTGGGGGTGAGAATCGAATGGATGTTTGACTAAAGAGTGAGAGTCGAGTGGGTGACTGAGAGTATGTTTGGAGGAAGAGGAGAAGGCGGCCGGACAGGCAGACTCTTAAAAGATTGCGGTAACGAGCCCTTGGATGATTATGCCCCAGATAGGGAGCCGCCGGAGGTAGTGAGGAAGTAGCAGCATCATGAGGAGCAAGTCTCCAATGACGGTCAAGACGAGTACGGCGATTCTGTTAGGACCTGCGGGTGATAATAGCTTGTGAGCGTAACTACATACAAGTAGCTGGCAGTTGGGAATCAAGATCGATTCTCAATTCACACTCTTTTTTGGCGCTGTTGGTAAAGCCAGCTGCCCCCCCTCACAGATCCATAGCTGGGAGTACCTGGCGGTCGTCGGAGCATTGTGCGTGACACGAATCACTAGCGTCGATCAATATTCTAAGCGATGAGCGGCAGCCAGAAAAAACAAGACAAGGTGTGTACCGAAAAGCTGTTGTATTGATGAAGGCGTATTGAGCGGAAGGACCTTATCCAGTACTTTGCCCGTGTGTACACCTGTCTGCAACTGCTCGACGTGCTTCAACAAGTTTCCACATGGCCCAAGGGGAAGAGTTTCTATCTCGTTCATATCTCTGAATATGCATTGAAGCAACCCAAGCAGTGGCAGACAGGTGTACACACGTTCTACGGTTAGAGTGCCATTGTCCTGTATAGCCGCTTACTCGGCAGCTTCCTGTGTAACTGTATCTTTCATCTTTCTGCTCAATAGCTAGCTTCCTCGCCTTCATCAATACAACAGCTTTTGGCTACACAACTTGTCTTGACTCGCTTCCCCTGACTGTCGCTCATCACCTTTTCCATGGCGCAAAGGCTGAAACCTTCATCGCAATGTCTGCGGTCACGGTCGTCACGCTTGATCTCACCTTTGTTCTCGAGAGATGGCTGCGGCACACTGGTCGCTTGACCCACAACACTTCGTGGTTCCAGAAAATACTGTCTACAAGACCTCTTTACGTCCGGTGGCCAGCGTGGTTAGTAAACCGGCCAATCCTCAATCGGATTGACGGCCGGTTTATTAGTATAGACTCTAGATAATCCAATCAATCAATCCTCTAGCCAATCAAACCTCAAGCGGAGATTGATCTGATTGATCCGATTGGTGTATATAAATCGGAAAGGATATATACAAATCGGAAAGGATGCTTACGGACGTGATTTTTATAGATTTTTATGGGTATAACTTCGTTATATAAGCTCACTACGCCTATAGATTAGACTACGGAGTGCCCCAGAGTAGAGGGCAACGTGAGATTACCATGGTGGTCAGGTTCTAGGTGAGGGGGGGGGGCTCAGGATGTCCCTTGGGAACGTCGCGCGGAGTACCAAAGGGGGGCGCATTTTTGAGGCCTAGAAGACCTAATGATTTGCTTTAAACGTAATTCGACCCGTAGAAATCGACTCCCGTTGTTCGTTTAAGCTCATCTCGTCATGGTGGAGTGCTAGAGGGGGGGCTAGGGCCGTGGCTGATGAGGCTAGCAATACGTGTTCTCCCGCCTCCGCCGGCGGAACCTCGGGGCGGCAGAACGCCGTGATTCTATTGGCTTGTTAAGACACGGTGAGGGCCTTAACGTTAGCGCACAGATCTCTTAGCGCGATTGTTATTCACTTATTTGCCAATCCGGATTAAACCGTTCAAACCAAAATTCTAATCAATCCAATCAATCAAGCTTCATTCTATATATAACAACCCAATCAATCTGCTCTCTAGTTGAGCCGGCCGCCGGTTTAGTAGCCACGGTGCCGGTGGCCACCCTCTAATATCAAGTCACAAACTTGCTGTATAAGGGAACAACTCCGGCCACCTTTAGGGGGGAATAGCAACCTTCTAGCCAATAAATTCTCAAGTCGGTCAAGTACTAACTAGCCCAGAAAAGAGATAGACAAAAATCGACTCAGTTTAGCGCTAGACCACCGGATGCAAAGAGGTGCTCTATCCTCTCGATAATGAAAAGGGAACCTCGGACAGTCCCAAGTAGGTGTGCATATGTTCAGAGAGAATATGTAACTATCTTAAAACAGAGCTTCGTATGGATTGATGCAGTGCTGCTTAATATTTAAGGGAGGCCCCTACCTGCTGTGTAGCTATCACTGCGGCGTTACATTTCGGCAACCATCTCAGAGAGGAATATAATCATTCATTCCACTATGAACGATACAGGGTGAAATGTGCACAGAACTTAGAGCTTGTCTTCAGTATCGTCGCCCCACCATGCCTCCGGCAACTCCTCACAGATGCAAATGCAAGTCCTATTCGCTTCGCTAGATGTCTAATCAAGCTTACCAGCCTCAATCTCAGCCAACGAAACATCAAGATCAATCGGCGCTCTCCGGGCCATGGACGCCACCGGGCCATTAACGCGGAACTTGTTGAACATGTTGTATGCGCGGGTAACCTGGTTGGGGGTGAACTCCTCGTAGCAGGCACTATTCCTTACATTAGCGAATCGACTTCAGAAGGCACTCGTTCGCGAGGAAAAGAGAACACTTACTCATAAGAGTAATCCATGTAATTGTGGATCGGATCAGGACCCGCAACACCAGGGCACGAATCACGGCCAACGGGGCAGCCGCGGGTAGCGTTGAGCTGCTGGGGGGTGTCCGCGATTGAGTCACCATCGCCAGAGCAGCTGTTGCCCTGGAAAGTGTGGAAGAGGCCCTTTAGCGTACATTAGTCGCGAAGATTTAGAGCATGATCGAGAGGGTGCGCATACAAACCAATGACCGACCTCGTGGGTCACGGTCTTGCCCTCGTTGTAATTGGTAGCACTACCACCGGGGAGGGAGGTAAACAAAATGCTGCATCCGTCGTAGTAGAAGTCGTCTGAGCCAGTCGAGACACTGTCTGGGAAGTAGCAGTACTGGAACGGGTTAGCTGAAAGTCGTCACGTGGCAGTTGGGAATATGAAGGTCACCCCTAAATTGCCACCAATTTCTTTCTGGAAGTAGACATTCAAGGCCTTGTAGTCGCCTTTGCGGAGCTTCTTCTTCATTGCTAGTTCGGCCCCATCAACCGCCCAGCTAGCGTCGACAGTTTTGTCGGTTCCAGCCAGGCTGAAGGAGATGCCGTAGGGAGCGTAGTTGCTGTTCATGACCGTGAGTTGGTCCGCTAGCATGGTGTCGGTGACATATCCATCTTCCAGAGCCTCGCTAGCGGCGACGACGTGGAAGTACGTCTGGACCTTAATGGTTGCGTTGGCAGCGGAAAGCCTGCCGAACCCGCGCTCCTGGCGACTCATCTCCTTGGCCACTGCCAGGAAAGCGTCCGAGGGCTCGGTGCTACATCCGAAGTCGTGTTGATGGGTGGCACGCTGGACCGTGTGTGCTGGGAAGGCAGAAGCTAGAGCAGCGAGCCCGACGAGGGTAGAGACGATCCAACGCATTCTGAACGAGAGAATGACAGAACGGTAAATCTACAAAGCGAATGGCACCAGTTGCGAGAGCGGGAGATCGTACCCTAAGGAGGGCAAAGCCTCTTAAGTACCTCTGGTCCTACCCTAGCCACTCATTCTTATGGTTGACTTGCTCAGAAGGTGTGCAACTTCAGTTACTGGTAGCTTGGCGGTCAACGCGAACTGCCTAATCCGGCTTGCTTAGCCGTTGTTGAGATTAAAACATGATGCTGCACCCGGGTCCATTGGAGAAGGTTATGTGGGTGATGTCCTTGGTGTAGGCCATTCGAGAAGGTGTCGCACAGCCTTTCACAAACAATAGGCCTGTGGAGACGCCCTGCTTGCTGGCGGAGCCGGGGCAGAGTCTTGGTGTTTTCTTGGCTCGCACCGTTGATGTTCAGATCTGCAGATCTTACCAGGGACGGGGCGAGCGATGGGACCGTAATTTGCTTGATGTCAAGATTAAGGGCAACGCTAGCCTAGACGGGTAGGTTTCAAGAGTTGCACTATGGATGTTTAAACCTTCGATAGGGGCTACCTATACTGGCTTATCTCTACGAGGCTGTAATTTCTGCGCTGTGCCGGTTACATGCATAGATGCGACCCAAGGCCATCTTGGGTCCTCGGACTGTGGCGGTGAGAGTTTGCACAGAAATCCCTCGTAATGCTCCACGGCGACTGAGTGCATACCGATACCGTGGTATACCTGGATCACGTTCAGATTTCACACCCTAAGACTTGTCTAGTGCGGCTTGAATCTGATCGTAGTGTGGGTAGTCTAGTTCCACGACATGTGCGAGATGTCAAAATGATACAAGATCAGATGTTTGCGTCGCGGACTTGAAGTTGGATTTCGTCGACACGCTGGACCATCTCAGTTGCCCGCCCCGCAAGTGCTTCGCCCGACAACCGAGTTGCTTCATCGAGAGAGGTCCTTTCGCTACGTTTTTGGCCACCGTGTTGCTCGGTCGGAGCTGCGAAGTTCGGTATGAACGATCTCTCTGCCGCCTTCCTGGAAAGCTCGCCAAGAACATCTCAGATGCCCTTTTGAAGCTGCCCGGCGAGCGTAGATATAAGCATCAGGTGCAAATGCGTCGCGATAGAGGACGAGGGAGCAAAGTCTCCCATCATGATTTTTGGGAAGCTGACCTACATTCTCGCAGACGCCGTAGCCATCGTGGCAAGCGCAACACAGTGCCCCATGTGCTGGAGACCACGTCCCACATCTCAAGGAGCCGGAGATGGCACGAGATGAGCAGAAATAAAGACGAGTGGCTTGTTTTTGCTTGTGTTGTACAAAGGCCCTGGTGGCTCGTGCGGTTGAGAGACGAGACGAAAGATTGATAGGCACCGACCAAGGTCTGAGTAAGGCTGAACGTCTCCTCAATGGCAAAGCCGGTATCTCCTTGAGAGCCGTCTGGGTGCGGGTAGGTTTCAGGGGTCGATCGCGAGTTGTTTGTGCCGCTGCTGGAAGAGGACGCGGACGGCCACATGGAAAGCGGTGGTATCGTGAGAATGTGCTCACTGATGTTTTGCAACAGCGTCGTCAGCATTTTTTCCACCTCGGGTATGCTGGGCCCAGTGGCACTGCGGGATACCCCTTGGTGTGCTGAGAACGCCGACAAGGTACCTTGGCATGGGGTTGAGCACGACATGGCCGCGGGAAAGTGCAGCGCCTCCATAGCACGGTCGAATTGGTCCTCGGGCAGCAGACCCGCAGGTACATCTTCTTCCCAGGAGAACATGTTGGGGTCGAAAAATCCATCTTCGCGTGTCGCTGCTAACGCATCTTGGGCGCCGTTGTGGCTCGACGGTTGCTGAGAAGGATGCTGTCGCCGGCCTTTGGTGTCGTTGGGTCGGAAGCCTCTCATCGAGACACTGAAATGACAAGGTGTACCCGCGGAGAGACAGCGATTACAATACTGCCTGCCGTCGGGTTTTGTGCATCGGAGCTTGTGCGTATGACAGCGGTCGCACACCAGTCGTGGTCTCATGGCTGTTGGTGCTCGTTGAGCTATGCTGAAAGAGAGGTTGAAAGAGGGTGGGAAAGACACACTTCGCGTGGTTTATTGCAGTTGCAGGCTTGTTGAAGGTCTTGCCCATTCTTCTCTGGTCATTATTTCATGGATCGATGTCTAAAAAAGAATTCAAGGATGAAATGGCGATGGAAGCGCGGCACGTAGTTCTTCCTCCCACTTTGTGTTGGGAAAATGGCATTCTAGACTAGAAAATTCCTGGATGCCACCTTTCGGTGTTCTCTAGCTACTACGCACCAGACATCAACCTCTCTCAACAACAAGCCCATAGTTTACCGAATCCAAATAGAAGCCTAGACCATATAGAGTAATATGTTTGTAGTTTTTCAATCTCCTCTTCATCCGTCCTTTGTCCTAGGATCCCTCAACTCGAGAACACCGAAGCAATTCGGCTTTCGGCCATCTCCAAGGTCGCCGATAATGTTCTCCATATGCATCAGTGATCAAGCCTTCTACTAGCTCACCAGCCTCTATATCCGTCTCCTTCTATTCCCTCTTTCACAAAAGTTTATAGTCACTCATTTGCCAATTTTTAATCATTCATCTTCTTAAATGTCCACAATTACTTCATCCTTCCACTCAACAGCTGCCACTCTCCCTCCAAAGAGGACTGAGACCTCGACGTCCCTCACCAGCCTACCCAAGCCCCCAGAGGCCCCCTCGCCCGATCCCGTAACCTCGCTCGATGCCGTATCCTCGCCGCCTCAACAGCGGGGCCTGAAATTCTACACCTTCCTCCTCTCCATCGCCCTAACCGGCCTCCTCGTCTCCCTCGAGGCCACCGTCGTCTCCACCGCCCTTCCCTCCATCATTGCCGATCTAGGCGGCACCTCAAACTATGTCTGGATCAGCCTGGCCTACTTTCTCACTGTGTATTGATCTCCATCCACCTCTTGCCTCCATTTCTAATAGTTTCCAGAACCGCGCCCCAACCCCTCGTCGGATCCCTCTCAACCATCTACGGCCGCCGCAACCCCCTCCTTGCCTCCGTCCTCGTCTTCGTCCTCGGCTCCGGCCTCTGCGGCGGCGCCTCCAGCATCACCATGCTGATCGCTGGGCGCGCGGTCCAAGGCCTAGGCGCCGGCGGCGTCAACGTGCTGATCGAGACCGTCATCTGCGACATCATCCTTCTACGCGAGCGCGGCAAATTCATGGCCCTCGTCTTCAGCATGATCACCATCGGGACGGCGCTGGGGCCCGTGTTCGCAGGGCTGATCGTGCAATACAGCACATGGCGGTGGGTGTTCTACCTGAACCTGCCCGTGGGCGGGGTGGCGTTTGTGCTGCTCGCGCTGTTTCTGAAAGTCAAGTCTGGGGAGGGCCAGGCTGGGAAGAGCTTTGGGGAGAAGATGGCGCGGCTGGATATACTAGGGAATGTGATCTTCATCGCTTCCTGCGTCTCGGCGCTGCTAGCGCTAGGATGGGCGGATGCGGTGTACCCTTGGTCCTCCTTTCGCATCATCCTTCCGTTGATCCTCGGCTTCGCGGGCTTTGGGGTGTTTCTGCGGTATGAGGGCTCTGGATATGCCGCCGATCCAACGATGCCGCTTCACTTGTTTGCGAACCGGACGAGCTTAGTCGCTTTTCTCTTGACGTTTTTCCATGGGCTGCTGACGGTTTACGTGTTGTATTTCCTCCCAGTCTACTTCCAGGGCGTGCTAATGTCCAGCCCGGGGCAGTCGGGTGTGCAGTTGCTGCCCACGGTGTTGGTTATGATCCCGTTCGCAGCCGCCGGAGGTGGGATGTTGACTAAGGTCGGGAAGTATAAGCCGGTGCATATGATCGGGTATGGTGTTATGGTACTAGGCTTCGGATTGTACACGTTGCTGGACGAAAACTCGTCAACTGCGGAGTGGGTGGTATATCAGGCTGTGGAATCGGTGGGTGCTGGGCTTGTGGTCGGTGTGCTGTTGCCGGCTATACAGGCAAAGCTCACCGATGCAGATACTGCGAAGTCGACGGCAACTTTCGGATTTGTGCGTTCTTTTGGCCTAGTTTGGGGGAGTTGCAGAGTTAGCCGGCAAGATTCAAGATTCTGGTGTGAGGGCAATGTTGGCAGATGGACATGCTTATGAGCATGCAACAGGGGATTTTGTCAAGTCACTAGATGCCGCAAGTGGGGCGCGGCACCAGGTTGTTGGAGTTTTCGTGGAGAGCTTGAAGAGAACTTGGCAAGTGGGGATCGTATTTACTGGTGTCGCATTTCTGCTCACCTTTTTGGAGGAGAGCGTGGAGTTAAGAAAAGACTTGGATACTAAGTATGGGATGGAAAACTTGAAGGAGGAGACTGCAAAGGAAAATGTTTGATGGAGATTCAGGAAAACATGGTACCACACTATATCTAATGCGCACGAGGGAGAAGATGGCAAAAAGCTGTATCTGATAGATGTCCTAATTAATAGATCCGCTTTGACGCCAAACAATCCAAAGAGTTCCTGGAAAGTAGCCAATTTCATCATGGTATCGTAATGTAATGATCAAACTTGCCCATCCTCATACGATGTGATCATCGTCCTCCTTGACCAGCCAAGAATTTAGCCACCTCCTTCTGGAGCAGTCGACCGCCCTCCTTCTTGATCACGGGTAAGCCGTGCTTCATGAACATAGTCTTGGCTTGCTTCTGCCAATCAGCTGCTTCCTTCTTACTCCGCGGAGCGTCTCTGTCTCTATATCTGTCGTCCCTGGGATCCCGATCATAGCGGTCTCTGGGATCTCGGTCATAGCGGTCTCGTCGGTCTCGTTCGTCTGCGTATCGGTCCCGACCTCCCCGCCTGGCACCTCGATCATCGCGATGGTCCGAGTAGTAGTCGTCGTATCGGGGTTTCGGAGGAGGTGCATCGCGGCGGGCACGATCAGAGCGGTATCCGTCGTCTCGTCGTCGCGGAGGGTAGCGGTCATCTTCGTACTCATCCTCGTCATAGCGGCTGCGACGCCGGCGAGGATCAGGGCCGTCTGATTTGTAGCCGGACCTCTCGCGGTCTCGGCGGCGTGGAGGCTCGCGGTCATCCTCATCGTCGTAACGGCGTGCGGGCGGTCGGCGGTCTCGTGGGGCGCCCCGGGAGTCGTACGGATCGGGTGGCGCGTAGCTTTGCGGCCGTCTCCGAGGCCGATCATCCCTGGGAGGAGAGATATCGCGAGTCTTGCTCCGCACGGGCAATGCCATGCCCGCAGGTTCACGATCTAGGTCGTCGTCACCGCGCCTTTGGCGTCGGGGGGCTGCATCGCGATCATCCGCGTCCCCTCTAGGAGCGCCACCTGCTGCCGCCGCCTTCCCGCTTCTTGGTATCTTCCGTATTTCTCCTTCATCCACCCCGTAAGGGTCGCGAGTCTCTCGAGGTGGCCTGCCATCGTCGTGCGGGGGGCTTTTCGGCCGCCGGGATCTGGGTTGTTGCCGAGGAGGACGCTCGTCGTCGTCGTCTTCAGAAGGATCGACAACTGGAGGCTTTTGGCGGGGTGGATTTGGGGTCACCGGAGGAGGAGGTATGCGATCGTCGACTTCATAGGGATACCGGTCGCCCCTCGAGCGTCGGCCGGGCTTTCGGGGCTCGTTCTCGGGGCGGTACTTTCTGGGCGGAGGCGCGTAGCCGTCGTCGTCGCTCTCGTCGTCGTCGTAGTATTTTCGGGGTCGTGGCATCGTGGGGGCGGAAACGTGTGCTGATGTTTGCCAGTCTGCGAGATTGTTGTAGAGTGCGTGTTGCACCCGCAGTTTTATTTGAGAGACAAGGGCACGTGATGAGGGCGTGATGGGGCGTGATGGCGTGCGGTGGAGGGCCGTGTGGTGGTGTTTATGAGCCAGCTGCTGTGCTGGCGGTCAGGTGAGAGACGTCATGCTGCATTCCCCGGCGACGTCCAAGGTCTCTCATGTCATTGAGACTACAGCTCAACTGACCTCCCCCATGTACCTCGGCTGACTTGCCTTGGCAACCTATCTTTAGCGCCCTCACCTCACCCGACCTCCATCCTTCCTACACCACACTTTATCTGACCTCCCTCATCGGCCTCTCCACCGCCCACCCCGCGACCTCTCACGCCTCTTGTCCAGCACGAATCGTGCTTCAAGCTCCAAGGCTCCTCGAGCCCGCCCTGCGCCTCCCGCGGGCTCAGCGTCTCGCCAAGATGCCTGAGGAGATCAAGGCCCTGGCACCTGGCATCTGGCACCTGGCACCTGGCACCTGCATGGTCCGGACTGTTTGGTCCCGTGACAAGGCTAGTGGCTTGCTTGTTCTGCTGTTAATCACACCCCTGAGTAGGTTGCATGAAAGACACAGCCACGAAAGCAAATATTAATCACTATGTAGAGTATTCTATTAGAGGGGGTTTACGGCTTCCAAATACTCCACCACTTATGGCATAGGGGCCTCCTAGGCAAAAAGCCGTGAGACTGAACGGCAACCGAAGTACGAGCCATCACGCTGCTTTAGCTCCCCTGCTGAATCTTTGAACAACCTCTTCATCCCCCTTTGCTTGCAATTTTGAGTCTTTCGGCAGTGCTTCCAGAAATCGTGTTTGTCCGAATATCCCACTGCTTGGATGAATTCATCACTGTCCTCTTCATCCAGATTGTCGCCGTCGTCGGCGGGGTCAATCTCGCCGGTCCTGCAGGGGAAGTTCTGGTATTTGCTCGTGTCGCCCCACCCGTCGGTGATGTACCAGCCGTCTCCCTTCGATGAATGGACAAGGAGTGCGCCGTTCGGCGACCTCGCGATGGGAAGATTGAACTGGAAGCCAGCCGAGAGCCCAACACCGTATTTTTCTGTTGCGCTCAGCATACCCTCGTACGCTTGATCGGCCCAACCATTGGTCTGATTCTTCGTACCCTCCATGGTGACGTCTTCGAATCCCATTTTCCTGTAATGCCACCAAGACTCTCGCACGATAGCCTGCATCATTCACTGTTAGCCACAAATACAAGGAGATGCGAGCGCATAGCCTCACTTCTGGCGTAATGCCATTGCCAGCAATGCCGTCGTCCCACTCCGGATGGGTTAGTAGTTCCATACCCGGCGGGCTGCGCACCATAGTCGTAGCCATCTTTTGCCATCTGATCCTTTTAAACCAGATTAGCAAGGGCTTGTAGCGCTAAGCAAGGAGAAGTTACCAGTAGATATGGAATAGTAGGTTTGGCCACTCCTCTAAGCACACTTTCGTGCGTTTCCTACCCTGGTCGTGATGGCTCGGGACACCTCTGTTATCGTCTGTACAGTTTCCCTCTGCGTCAGCTACGACAATGTAAGCTCCCTCCAACCGCCAGGCCCAGTTTACGGACAGCCCACGGAAGAATCGGTCCGTGCTCGCCTTAATTCTGCTGGCCGCCTCTGGTATAATGCCGAAGTAGAGCCTATAGAACACGCGTTAGTAGCTGCCACCCAATAGAATTCAGATTAGCAATCGTACCCCGTCTCTATCTCATCCACAAGACCTGCGCCACTCCTCATCATAGCTTCTCCAGAAGTCCTTATTGCAGCGGCAAGTCCCTCTCCTGTATTGCTGACAAAGGATTCCCAATCTGCCTCCGTATCGTGAACCATATTACTGTCCAACTTTAGCTAAGAGGTCAGCGCCAAAAACCTTTGCCCGCACATACCTGACTCCTGCCATCAAGATGGATTTGACGCCCGTGCCTGCCGCGATCACCGAACCCATCCCACCGAGGATATTTCTAGTCATATCGACCGGAACTGTCAGGGCTTTTTCCAATTTTTGTGCGGTTTTCAGGGCTTCTCCTCCGACTTTCGCCGCCTGCGTCGCCCCCGACATCGACCCAGCTAATCCCGCTCCCCCCGCAGAAACTGGTGAAAGCGCGGAAGAACCCCAAGCAGCGACCGACGCTGCAACAGCAATGACCGAGAAGATAATTTGCATCAGCATTTTCTGGCGGCTTTGGTCGTCGACGAGACCTTCCATCTGTCTTTCGACCGACGTAAACTTGTTGATGAAATTCTTGCTGTTGGCCGTCCAGTAAGCCCAGGCCGTCTCGACCTGTTCGATGAAAAACTCCTGCCGTCCCGTCATGATAGAAAACGTCGTAAAGAAGTACCACGCCTTTCGGCGATCGTCGTCGTCCGAATTAGGATTCATCACATCGTTACACCGGAAAGCCTACTTCGAGTTAGATCGCGTGCTAGAATGCTCTAGGCCGGGAGAGAAACAAACCCTGCATTCTTTGGTCATGTCGCATCCCCAGTCATCGATGGAAAAATCGGGATAGTAAGATTTTCTGATCCAATATATGAAACCGTCCGAGGTCGCGTTCCACATTGCGTTCACGGTCGCCTTCGAGGTTGCGTTCAAGGTCGTGTCCGGGATTTCGTTCGAGGTCGCGGTCATATTGTTGAAAATAGCGACCTTATTTTCCAACCACTCGCTGCCGTTGACTTTGCGCCACATCTCTCTACTCAATGGTTCCCACCCACAGCCTGAACCATCCAAGTGGCTTGCAGTGGCAACAATGTATTTCGCAACAAGTGAGTTTGCGAGGGTGTCCCAGAAGCCTTGCTGGTACGACCCAGACGTCTGTGCAATAGCCAAGGCGTTGGTATAATTTCGCGGATCCGGAAAAATCTCAATATTTCCCCGATAAGTAACGTTGGCTTCGCCGGCACCTTTAAGATAGCTGGAACTGCGGCCTTCGGCGCTATGCACCACAAGTTGGGCAAGGTCCTCGGATCCTAACTGAAAGCCAAGCAGGTAGTCTGAAGATTTATTGTCACCTGCTAGAGGATTATAGTTGTGTTTTTGAACTGCCCACCATATTTTGTCGTAATGTCCTCGGGAGCAATCAGGTCCAACATCCGAACATTTGTACTTGTATTCGGATTCTTTTACTGTTCTTAAAGTGGCCGAGGGAGACGATGCGGACTCGGCGGTAGTAGAAGTAGACGATGCGGCCTTGGAAGGCTTAGAGGAAGACGTGGATGACGAAGAGGACAATGCGGCCTTGGCAGGCTTAGAGGAAGACGCGGACGACGGAGAGGCTACAAATGATTTAGTTTCTGTCCCTACACGTTAAATAGGGACGATATCTAACGTTGTAGTGGCCGAGGGGAGTCGGGCATAAGTTGTCGTGGCAAGAAGTCCGCTATAGCAGTTTCGAAAACAAGAAACGACACAAGAAGTGTCCTAAAACTCCAGGGGCTCCGATGATATGGGCAGGCCCGCATCTTAACCATGGCCTTTCATTCAGCCACCTTGTGATCGAGAGTGAGAGGAAGGGTTGAAGGCAAGGACACTGGATGAGATAGGTTCAAGTTTAACAAATCGAGGAGATGCCGTTTAATTAATGTTGGGGGATTCATGTCGTATGATCTAGAATACAAAATACGGATAGATGATGGAGGACCGTAGACGCAAATAGAGCTATCTTAGTTGTCCGTATCAAGGCCGATTCTAGACTGAGCAGTGATGTTATTAGACTGGACCAATCTGGAGGTGGACTGGAGGGAGGCACCAAAAAAAACATCGGACTAGACGAAGATTCTATTCAGACCGCATGGATTTCATGCTACGGATGGTCCACGGAGCTCCAATGGCTTGAAAGTCCGCAATTCTTAGTCTCTAATTAGTCCGCTTAACTTATCACGTGACGCTCATTTGCTATCACTAACAAATCTCGCTGGAGTAGCTACTCTACAACCTGACACAGCCTTTCTATTAGCATAAAGATCTGGCGCAGAAGCCGTAGTCCTAGCCAAGGACGAGATGGAAACGGCAGTTTAGAATATCTCCAGGGCTGTACTTATTATCTTTACACAGTAAGATTTCCTACGCGAAACTATTCTAGGTAGCTTACTCCCGTCGTGCCAGGAGCTCCACAGCGATTTCTAGTGAATCATGTGCATTTGAGGCTTCGTCCAGTCCATTAACATCACCAAAAATAAATCTGACTGAGAGGTCCCGTGACAAAATCTCTTCCTGCTGAGGCTAAGTTTAGTCTAGTAGTCAAATTCCATCTCGTATATGTACATATAATTAGTGTTTAATTAGTGTTTAGACGTCGTTTCTTGACGTGACGAACCATGGATGGCAAAATTCACGACTAAACATAGCCAGGTGATTAAAATTTTAACATGGGACGCAGTCCTATGTTATGGTGACTCTGGAGCGTTCTAGCTGATACGAAGATAGACGAGCCACAATGTCTCGGTTACCCTCGCAACCTCGCATGAATGAAACGTATTTTTCTCATCAAATCTCTCGCACATTTACTCTTCGAACCAGCAGTATTGTCTATTGAAGACTTTTTTGCTTTTCATCACGACTCAGTATCATATATCATTCTCCGAGAACACACCTTTCTTCCAGCTTCCCAGACCGCCGAGCTCCCCCAATGCCAACTCCTACACCAAACCCATTCTTCTTCACGGAATCCCGATTGAGTCGGTGTTTATTTTCCATTGGCGACGCTATCACCAGTGCCGTCATCGGCGCCATGTGCGTCGGCTTCGTAAAGCGGTTTTTGAACACCAAAGTGGAGACGGAGAAATCGCAACCTTATAAACCAATTATTCCAGGCAAAAGCACCAAAAGACCAACACCTGGTGTCACAGAGCTTCCAGCTCAGGATCCTGATCCATCGGCACTGCCAGCCAGAAGCACAAAACGAAGACCAGTTCTTCCGGCATTGGATATCCTAGAGATCAACGCAGAGTTCATTAAGGATATACAAATATAGACGTTGCAGGCTTATGACACGTCGGAAATGGATGACTATCACCGAATCTGCTCCTTGGTGTTAGGCTCTATACATCGTTCATATTGAAGACAGCTATAAATCCAGCTTGCGACACATTTTTGCCTCTATGATATTGAGAGTGGCGGATGTGTGAAGCTATGGCGAAGGAGGCTGGGCTCTGAAGCACCCAGCACCCAGCATCGCTTCAGCGAGGATTTTGAGGTGCGATCGAAGCAGTATTCAAGCACCCTACCTTTGTAGATTTCTGACGTTCGAGAAGCAGGTCAGGTCGACGGTCCTCGAATTTGGAAGTGTTCAAATTTGATCCTTTCCGCTGCCCACAATATTTCAGGAACCGCTTGCTGGACTGTACTCGAAATTTCAAGAAGACTGAAAGGATTGGCGAATCTGCGTTCCTTGGGGATGCTGTAATCTATGCAACACCTTGCTGTTGCGTTCTCACTCGCCACCAAAAGAGCCCTCCGAGGGCTTAAGCATCTTCGCCATCTTGCGCTTGGGCACATCGATCTCGGATATGGTACCTTCTGCAGCCCGATTCGGAGCTCTTGCACGAATCTGCTATGGTGTCTCGAAGCAGAACGCGAACGCGAGAGTCTGTGGGTTCTAGAACTGAGCACACCACAGGAGGATTTGGATGGATAGTAGGGCTAAATGCTTTGGCCCTCTTCTAACCTATGCTTCGACTTGTTTGAGATATACATACGGACGACGTTGTTGCATGCGTTTACTTTCTTTTATTTGGGATAGCTTGAAACTTTCATATGTTAGTTTTGCGAGAAGCCTCTCAGAAAAGTAGCTTAGCCAACCCTCGCTCGTCTGCCTTATACAGACAGCGTGCCTGAAAGGTCTCATAATGGAACGATCACCATTTCCATTATATATCCGTGAACTACCCAACATTGAATACATGACTCAGGCTGTTTTGTGATGGACGGAGACCTACCTTTGTACGATGCTTGATTACTTACAACCGTGACTTTCATAGCATCTTGTCGAATTCTTACCTACAACGCAAGGAATCATCACTAAAATCACACACTAGCATTTCGCCTTACTGTATCTGTCACCTCTAATCCCACCCATATTTTTTATCAAAACACATCAAATCAGGCTAGCGCGCTTCTGTCGCGTCGCGTCCAGACATCGTTATCAACAATGTCGCTCCCCTGCGGCCTCCCCTCCTTCATCACCACTCCGGCAATAAACTTGAATATATCATCCCAGAACTTACAGCCATCCACTCACCAAACCCTTCGACCTACCACTCGCATTTCCTCACGCGCAAACTCCTCAATCCATACACCCAACCTCTACCAAACCCACCCGCCAACCACGATCGCAATGGCTGTCAGCTCCGCCGCCAAAGCCGCAATGCAGAAGGGTCGCATCGAAAAGGCGAGAGCCAAGGCGGACAAGAAGGCCGCTGCGCAGAGGCGGGCGGCGGTTGCGCGGGAGGCGAGGTTCGGCAAGACGACGAGGACGGGCTCGAAGAAGGCTGCGGCTAAGGAGTAGGAGGCGCGATACGTATAGAGGGATGTGGGCAAGCGATGCGAGAAGGGAATGAAGAGCGTCATCGTTGTAGTCGACAATCACGAAGCATGAGGTGGAGGACTGGGATGCGAAATGGTGGTCGTTGAGGCGCTTTGACGAGGGCGATACCCGTGCGTGTCCGGGGTTGTTTTGGGTAGTTCCTTTTCTGGGAGGAGGGAAAGGGCTACAGTGCGTTCAGGTTCACCGTTTTCAATTCCGTATGGTCAGTCTTCCTATTCAGTCAGTCATTGTCGATACCAGTGGTTATTCGGAGTAATCTCTATTTGTCGAAGTCAGTCAGAACCTCTGCCTGCTTTATGGAAAACGAAAGATTTACCTGGCGTCGAGGAAACAAGGCGCAGGGAACAAGAATGAGATGCAAAACGATGGACTTGGGATCCGAAATGTGCTATAAGACATGTTGAAGTCTTGTGATACTCACGTGAAAGATTCTGAGGCTTACCCATAGCGCATGTTCGTTACTTATACGAGCCTACGAGTACTACTCCACCAGAATTTAGGTTGACCTCTGCTATTTCATTTGATTTCATCTGGTCATGGGATGATGTGTACGCTACAGCTTCTTTCGATGCGCATACGATATGGCACTCAGTTGATGCTTCCCAGCCTAGGTTCAGTATTCAATGTCGATCTATTCCGGGCGATGTCATTATCCTTCCTTTTTTGCTGTGGCAGCTGCTCACGGTTCCTCCTTTCCACTAATGGAGCGAATATGTAACCAAAGCTGTCGCATAATTCTAGTTCAGAATTGACAGTGCTTGACAACCACCACCGCAAGGTACATTTCCTCCGCCGAGAATCTCTTGCGGGTGAGCCATTTCTCTCTCCGCAAGGCGTTTTCAAAATATGGTAAGAATTGTACGATCTATTTACAGGTCACCCTCTGTTGCTATCTCTTTCATATATGTAATGTCGGTCTCATTGAATCACCTCCCCCACCACTTCAAACTATCCTTCCTTCATCCTCGGCGTAAAACAAAGAAACATATCCCCCAATTCTGTCGTGAAAATGTCCTTGGACTCCTCTAGCAAAGTCGTCCCATCTTCACCCGGTGCAAAACTAACGTCGAATTTGGTGATCAACTTTGCCGTCACCGTGCGGACTTCTTGCAGTGCAAGTTGTTTGCCGATGCATGAGTATGCGCCTGTGCGAATCCATAAGCACGAAACAGCTTCGTGGGAACACGAATGGTACTGACCTGACGAGAACGGAATAAACGCGTCTTTCCTCTTGACCATCTCCGACTTTGAGTACCACCTCTCCGGGATAAACTCGTGCGGCCGTTTGTAACACTCCTCGGCTACGCGCTCATTAGCTTCCTATACAAATTTCAGATCTCGAATCAGACACTCACATCTCCCCATAACGTAGCTAGGCACAAACACGGTCACCAAACCCGGCACTTTCTTCCCTCCCACATCCATCCCCTCCGGCGGCGTCATCCTCTGCAGCCCCGACGGCACCGGCGGATTCAACCTTAACGCCTCATTGATCGCCCCATTCAAATGCGGCAGATCCCTCAATGCCGCCTGCAAACTCTCATTCTCATCCACATCCACCTCCTCCAGCTCCTTTCTCAACTTCCCAATCTCCTGCGGATACTTCGCAAGATAATGAAACAAAAACGTCAGCGTCGCCGCCGTCGTATCACTGCCCCCGACGATAATCAGCCTCGAATCCCCCGCCGCCCACATCCGGTTCACAAATGGATCGCTCGACATGGGCGGGCTGTTGATCAGCCAGTGCGCAATGTCCGGCTTCTCGACTTTCATCTTCGTCCGCTCGATCATCTGGTTCTCGCACCAGGCGACAAATGCCTTGTAGTCGGCGCTGATGATCGGCATGCGGGTTAGGATTCGGAACACCCAGACTGCAGGCGATAGCAGCCCGAATGCGCCTTGGGCTTTGTTGAGGAGGTCGATGGCGAAGTGCGATTTCCCATTCTTGAGCATGTCGAAGGACTTGCCGAAGGCGAGGTCGCCCATGACGTCGAAGCTGTAGTAGTTCATCCAGCGCGACGCGTTGAGGGGCTTGCCGGAGAAGGCGGCAATTTGGGAGACGAGAAGGTCGGCGTAGTTGACGACGCGAGGCTCGTAATCGCGGAGGGCTAGGGGTAGAGAGTGGATTAGTTGGACGATGCGAGAAGGGAGCATGAAGAGGAGAGTTACCTTTGGCGCCGAAGCCCTTGTCCCAGGCGGATCTGCGGCGGCGGTCGTGCTCGGCCTTGTTGCGGTTCTGGTGCATGGAGACGAGCGGCATCGAAATATCGTACCACGGGGCTTTGGTGCATTTGGTTCGCGGGCCGTAGATGAGTTCGACGGCATCCGGGTCTGCGATCGAGAGTTCGGTTGGACCTTTGATTTAAAGTCAACTCTCTAGTCATGAGACTAGCTGGAAGCCCTTACCAGTGCGCACGTATTTGCCGTATTTGGCATGCCAGGTCTGCAATTGCTTGTGGTTGTCCTTATTGGAGAGTTTCGAGACGTGCCATAACTTGGAAAGCTTGGCTGAAAATGGTCCTGGATACCTACGCAGTCGATGGAAGAATACGCGATATAGGAGCATACTCGTGAAGAGAGGCGTCAAATAGGCAGCAAGCAAAAGAGCGACTATCTCAGACGCCTCTAACACCGTGCTATCATTCAAATAGACCAGACCAGCAGTCATCGTCGGTGGAAGCAGCAACGCCGCTTGGAAAAGCGCCATCGCTTCCATATGGTGTTCGCCATTGATGAAATAGGCCAGGTGAGAAACAAGACCAAGAAAGGCCGCAGCTGGCACAAGAGCAGGAAGATTGAGAGTCATGTTGCAATGAGAGAATAGTACAAAGTTTCAGAAGACGATAGACCGAGCACCTCCTGGGCATTAAGAATAATGAAATACCGTGGTGCTAACCTGATCGGGTAGAATCCGGAGTAAAAAGCTCGCGTTTTCCCCGCAACCTGGTGATTGCCCCGGACCCCATGTTCAACACGCCACGAACTTTGCCCTGGGTGGAGATTGGGCCGAGAATTGAGCCATGGACCACGGTAGTCGGGCAGCACGAGATCTGTGGGCGTCAAGGATAGCGGAATGTGCCGAGTAGCATAGAAGGGCTTAGCATTACCTTAGTCAATGGTAATGAATATCAATATGGTCGCCTTGGCCGTTGTCTTGTATATTGATATGAATAAAATAAGTCCTTCGCTCAAGGTGGTAAAACCTCTCTTTAAGCATCGTATAAATTTACTTCTGAGGTATCAGTGAGTCTCGAAACTATTCACGTAGGTCGAATTATTGATATGTATAGATATTTGTGTTTGTTTGGTTGTTGAAGAGTGGGCACTGGTGTATGGTATTGCGAATGCTGTTTACGAACGACGATGGTTGAGGAATACGGTCTGCGTATTGCAGTAGCCTCGTAACCCATCAAGGCCCCATTCGCGACCAATCCCGCTTTGCTTCTGACCTCCAAACGTTGCTGTAGGTTTGATGCCCAAATGCTCGTTGATCCATACACTGCCCACCTCTAAGGATTCACCAATGCGAAGTGCCCTGTCGATATCTTTGGACCAAACCGAAGCACCCAGCCCCATGTCAGTGTCATTGGCTCTTGCGAGAACTTCGTCTTCCTCTGACCATTGCAAAAGAGGGACTACCGGCCCAAACGGCTCTTCCACAACAATCTTACTGTCATCGGAGGGGTTGTCGATAACGGTTGGCTGGATGAAAAGACCAGATGTATCCGTGTCAATGACCTGCCCACCGGTTGCAATTTTCTGGCCGGAAGAGTTGACGTCGTCGAGGAAGGTTTTGACGCGGTCGTATTGCAATTTATTTTGGACGGGACCCAGAAAGACATCCTTCTCAAAGCCATTTCCGACCTTGAAGGCCTTGACGCATTCGACGAAGGCGTCACGGAATGGGATATAGATGTCTTTGTGGACATAGATGCGCTTGATCGCGATGCAAATTTGGCCCGAGTTCATAAAAGCCATTGCCGCGATCTGAGGGGCCACGGTCGCAATATCAATGTCTGAGCAGATGATGGCAGGGTCGTTTCCTCCCCTATTGAAGTATCAGCACCGGTATTACCTACATAGCATTCGAGACGACTCACAGCTCCAACGTAACTCGAGTAAGGGTCTTGCTGGCGCTCTCCATTACCCTCTTGCCTGTTGCCGTAGAGCCTGTGAAGCTGATCTTGTCGATACCGGCGTGGGCAGTAAGCCAGGGACCAAGACTGTCATCACCGCTGAGGACCTGAATCACACCGGGAGGGAAGAACTTCTGCGCAAGCTCAACGAGCTTGATTCCACAGTAGGGTGTAAACGGCGAAGGTTTGACGATGATGCAATTTCCTGTCATGACGGCAGGGGCGATTTTACCGCAAAGCAGCATGATGGGGACTAGTAATGTCAGTGATTACGCTTCTTAGTGCAATAGAGAAAGGTTTCTTACAGTTCCAGGGAACGATGCCGACTGCAACTCCGAGCGGGGTGTAACGAGTCTTGACCAGCTTGTCAGGCGTATCATCAACGACCTCAAACGGCATCTCGAGCGCGCAAGTTCCAGCAAGCCAATATGCCCCAAAATCGACCTCTTGTTCGGCAAAGAAAGTCTGTAAAATATCAGTCTCCTACCAGACATCGACGCCTAGGACTCCGTACCGCTTTGCCTTGCTCCTTCGTCAGCAATTCGCCAAATTCCGATTTCAAAGCTGTGAACGCGGCAGAAAGGGCCATCAACTGCGCTTTTCTATGCTCCAGAGGGGTTTTACTCCAGCTTTTGAAAGCCGTGCGGGCTGCTTGGATGGCTGCGTCCACATCCTGCGGTGTTGAGACGGGGCAGGGCCAGAGCTGTTCATTCGTGGCTGGGTTGATGGCACGCCTCGTGGATTTTGTATCGGTCAGTTTGCCGTCGATAACGTTACGAAAGCTCGAGAAGTCGAGGTCTTTGACGATACCATTGGTAGCCATAATGATGGGAACTTTTCACGGTCGCGCTTTTGGTGACGTATGATGATCGCAAAAAGTGTTCATATCGCCTTGGGACTACATGGCCGTCTTGTAGCTCACGCTGGCGTGCCGTATCATGCTTCAAGCTCCGCGAAGGAACCTAATTGAACCGTGAACCGAGGGTCAAGAATGCAAGGGTAGATTACGAATCTACATTGTGTGGAAGGCAATAATTGGCCACTTGAAGTGCACCATATTCAGTATTCCAGGCCATTGAAACACTCAGGCGAAAATAAAGAGCGAGATGCGATGAGGTGAGATGCGACGAGAAGCTGATGCAGGTACACTTGAGACGAGAGGAGAGGATGATGCGGAGATGGGGCGTAATGTACTCCGTAATCTATCCTTACGCTAGCCTACCTAGGTAATCTAGTGCCCGGTCGTTCCATTCCCCTTGCGGTTCCTCCAACGATTCATGACTGTCCCACTCTCCCCGCATTTCCCCACGGCACCACCTTCTCTCCCCACGACAGCTGCCCCTCGCCTCTTCCGAACCGCTTTGCTAGCCTTACCGCGGCTGAAATGATGGTTCCTGGGCTCGATAATGCCGCTATGGAGCATCATCTGATGTGCAACGAGTGTGTGGCTGAGTCCAAGCCCACGAATGCCTTCAGACTGCTCTTATATCCCCACTTCTTGAGTTGGTCCTCCTAGCCTCACTCGCAGTTTTCTGGTGCCTCCGTCCATTGATCAAGCCCCACCATCCCCGAAGCTATAGCCATGAACGGAACCAAGAACACCTCTATCTCTGCTCGCGCTATCGTAGCGCATGAGCCAATCAATGGCCAACCAAACTGGAAGCTGGAGAATGTGACGTTGCGCGACCTGAAGCCCACCGAGCTGGTCGTGCGCATGGTTTCTACTGGTCTCTGTCATACGGACATCGTCTTCTCGACGTGGCCAAAGGAGGCTATTCCTTATCCAAAGGTGCTGGGCCACGAGGGTCAGCAGTCCACTCCGAATCACTCTATGCATATACTAAGCGTACTAAAGGGGCCGGCATTGTGCAGCAGATCGGCTCCGATGTGAAGAATGCCAAAGTTGGGGACTCGGTACTGCTTTCATTCCAATCCTGTGCAGATTGTAAAGATTGCAACGACGGGCATCCGTCTTACTGCCAACAATTTTCTCCGCTCAACTATGGCGGCGAGCAAGAAGTTTTTGAGATTACAAATGGTCCTAAGTCTGCCGGAACTTTCTTTGGACAGTCATCCTTCGCAAGCCACACCATCGTGAAGGAGTCTTCCATCACGAATGTCTCTTCAGTTGCGAAAGACGAAAAAGAACTCAAGCTCTTTGCCCCATTTGGATGCGGGTTTCAGACGGGCGTAGGCACAGTAGACAAGTTAACCGGTGCGGGAAAGAACGATTCAATAGTCATCTTGGGACTCGGTGGTGTAGGACTCGCAGCAATTATGGTGAGATTTCTTAACCTCACGTCATACCATGATGGTGTTGACCTTCACAGGCTGCAAAGTTGAAGGGGTGCAAGACTATCATCGGAGTGGACCGCTCCCAAGAAAGACTGGACATGGCGAGCAATTTCGGCGCGACGCACATTATCAACACGACTAATCCGGCACTCAGCCTCGTGGATGAAGTCAAATCTCGAACGGGTGGCAATGGTTCAAGTATCACGATAGATACAACGGGAAACATGGGTGTGATTGGGAATGGGATGGACTTTACAGCAAACCGAGGCCAGATGATCATACTCGGAGTCCCACCCGTCGAAGCTTCGCTAGGTGTCCATCTCATATCTTTTATGCAGGTAAGAAGAACGTCTGCCCTGATGCCATCGCAAATCTAATCTCAGCCAGACTGGAAAGTCGCTGCGTGGCAGCATTGAAGGCGATGTCACACCATCTGAGGTTTGTGAAAGCCTCGGTTCTACGTTTTGCCTCTACTCAACAGCATCTAGTATATCCCGAAGATGATCCAGTGGTACCGAGATGACAAGCTTCCGATTGATAAGCTTGTCAAATTCTATCCGGTAAGCCGAAGTTGGAAGATTCTTACCATCGTGAAGCTATACCGTGAGGCTGATATGTTCTTGCAGGTTGAGGAATTTGAGTCAGCGCTAGCTGATATGAAAAGTGCAGCAACTGTGAAGCCGGTTCTGGTATGGTAAGGGCTTTGTATTTGTAACAACTTGAAACTTTCAAGTCACTTGACCACCTGCAACCTTGGGCTAAAGTGTCTAACGAATGCCAATCTACTTGGTGTATATTTTACAAATTTCCACGTGCCTTTATGTACAGAAAGTCTCTCACAAAATGCGATTGGACTAAAGAGGCGACCAATAGTTCCTAGCAAGTTTATTCAACGTGCTATTGAACATCTTTCAACTCGTTATAACATAGACTTCGGGAACCTTTTCATGGCTTTTCGAACAGCCATGTCACCTGCGGAACACATCAGTACTTTGGGTTGCCTATAGACGTATTTTCAAGGGCCTCACTTACCAATGATATCTTCCGATCCGCCCAAAATTGCGTCGAATTCCGTTGTACGATGGAACATCTCGATGACGCTGCCCATCCCCGTCTGGGTCAACGACCTCCCTCCAAATACGTGGACTGCAAGCTCGGCAATCTCGTGAGCACAGCGAGAGCAGTACATTTTCAGCAGTCCGATGGGTCCAGCGAGGTGCTCGTTTTGCGATGCATGAGACATTCGTGTCATTTGGAACGTGGTATGCTCGAGCCACGCTTGCATTGCTTCGACGAGGGAGATCATTTTTGCGAGTCTATGAAGATTAGCATGATGCATTCTATAGGCTCCAAAGCTCTGGATTTTACTCACTTTGCCCTGATCACAGGTTGCTCCGCCAGCCTTTTACCAAAGACAAGCCTCTGGTTACTCCATTTCATACACTCCTCCACCACGATCCTCGACATCCGCACTCCCGCACATGTCACCATCCATCTCTCGTGATTGAAGTTGCTCAAAATGACCTTCAATCCCTTTCCTTCTTCGCCAAGAAGATTTCGGACTGGTACCTTCACATCGTCAAATGTGACGAATGCTGTGCCCGCTGCTGGCGAATACGACGTCTTTATGGCTTTCGTTGCTAGCCCCTCACTTCTATGGATCAGAAGTACCGAGAGACCATTGCCAGTGTTGACCGCCGTGACGAAATAATCGCACCATGTCCCGTTCGTAATCCATTTCTTCGTACCGTTGACTACGTAGAATTGACCATCTCGCGTCTTCTCCGCCGCGGTGCGGATGTTTGCAACGTCACTCCCTGCAAATGCTTCAGAGACTGCTAAGCAAATAGTCTTCTTCCCACTCAGGCAATCTCGCTGGACTTCTTCTTTCAAATCGGGACTCGCGTGCTGTAGTACCGCGGTCAACGAAATCGTCATGCCGACCATATTTCCATCCCAAAAGCCACGTGCTGTGGCTCGGACAAGCTCCTGCGACACGATGAGATCATGAAAGTAGTCAACGTCTTCTCCACAAAGTACGCCATTGAGGATTGACCGCCCGTGAAGATGAGGTCCGGGTCCGACGCGCATTCCAAGGATATTTGCGTCCCTATAGTATGATCTAAGCAAAGCTCGAAATCCTCCATTTCCTTGGGACTTACGCCATCCGTTGAATCAACCCCAGACTAATCCTCTCCCCACTGATCTCCTTCTCCTGCGCTTCCGGTGTAACCCAAGTATCTGTGAAGACCCGCATCGCCTTCTGCAACCGCCGATGCGACTCGTTATAATATGGACTCTCAAATTGCGGCGTTAACCATGCTGGCTCTGCGTAGGGGACTATGCTTAAATCGCCTGGGTGGGGCCTGATAACTTGCGCTTCTTCGTTCTCGACGGCCCCGATGCATAGCGATCCGTATTTTTCAAGTACAGCTTGGCGATGCAGGCTGTAGAAATCGGTAGTAGCGTCCTTCCCGCCGACTTGAAGCAGCACAAATTCCCCGCCAGGGTGGGATTCGAAAAAGTCGGTCAGGTCATAGACGCGGGAGTCTATGATGCACCAAAGCGACTCGCTGGTGTTGTGGGGTGCAACATCTGCGAGGGAGAAAGTCTGATTGAGAGTCATATCGCGATGATGGAATAGTACAAACGGAATCCATGGAAACAATGAGCTGTAACTTGAGCCCTTAAGGGCGTATTCTATCGCACCATGAGAAATCACCAACACTCTCACGACTCCCAGAGAAGGGTTATGCCGTGCCGCGGAAATAAGTGGGTTGAATTTTCAAGCTCGGTATCGGCACGAATCTCTTGCCTTGATTACTCGGCTGCTTAGCGGGTCATAACAAATCGTGATGATCAACAGTGCCGGATCGTTAGGTCATCTCTTTACGGCTACAGGCTGGGAATATCAAGCCTGGCTCTGCTGCTGATGTCGTGAAGGCAAGTCTTCAACATGGTCATCTCTTCCAGGTACACTATTGAGATTCCTCCTGTGGATATTCTATCTTATATATTTGGTAAGCGCAAGAATATGTCCTTATACTTCGATAGATGACTGATGTTGGGTTCTCGATCCAGATCCCTCTACCAATTCGACTGGTCTTCCCTCGTTCGTCAACGCTGGAAACCCCAGCCAGAATTTCACGAAGCCAGAGCTTGAGATTGTGGTTAAGAAAATTGGGAGTGGACTGAGGAAGGCATGCGGGGTGCAACCTGAAGATGTCGTTCTCATATGTGCGGAGAACTCGGTGAGATCAGAGAACCGCCTTTTAGTTGCAGACTTGAAGCTCATTATTCCTTCGGATTTGGTACCCGGCCATAATTCTAGGAACGCTATGCGCAGGAGCTGTCTTTACCGGCGCGAATCCTTCCTATACGGTCTCAGAATTGACCCATCAACTCAATATCTGCTCAGCGAAGGTCATCTTCACCGATCGAGAAAGACTCCCCGCTGTGCTTGAAGCAGCAAAGGCCGCGCGAACCCCGTGCGAGAAGATCTTCTTGATTGATGGCGGAGAAGTCAGTTCTTCGAGAGCGGGCGTACCTGTTCTTTCGGAGCTACTAAACCATGGCGAGCTTCAGTGGGAGAGAGTAAATGATCTTGAGACGGTATCGCAAAGGTTTTGACTCCCCGAATGCCATCTTCGAGCATACTCTGACAATGCGGGTAGAACGGCAGTTTTGAACTTCAGCAGCGGAACTACAGGACCTCCGAAAGCTTGTATGGTCACTCATCATAACTTGGTTGCGAATGCCGAGCAGTCAATGCATCTAGATGAATTGGCAAGAGTAAGAAACTCTGACCCGACCTATGCGACGCGAGATGTTCATTGCGCATATGTGCCATTGTATCATGCGAGTGAGTAAATCTAGAAACAGTCTGTGCTCGACGAAAGGTGGCGCAACGGCTGACCAGAGTCGTAGTGGGTTTATTCCAATTCTGCGTCTTGAATGTCCGACGCGACTGTACCACAGTGATTATGTCGAAATTCAGTCTACCGTCACTGCTCGAGGCAATACAGCAATGCCGCGTCACATACCTCCTAGTAGTCCCACCGGTAGCCGTTCTGCTGATCAAAAGCCCTCTACTATCTGGGTACGATCTCTCCAGTGTCAAGTTCCTTCTTTGCGGTGCAGCACCTCTCGGCAAAGAGACCTCAACTCAGCTCGAGAATGTCTTCTCGGCGAATGGCGCGCGGACAAGGCAAGGTTGGGGCATGACCGAAGCGACCTGCTCGGTGACTCTTTTCGCACCTGATGAGTATGATCCTACGCACGCCGGAGTTGGCTATCTGGTCCCGAACATGCAAGCAAAGATTGTTACGGACGATGGGAACGAGGTCGGGTATGGCGAGGAAGGAGAGGCGCTGATTCGAGGGCCGAACGTATTTCGGGGCTATCATCGTAATGAAGTGGCTACGAAGGAGGCGTGGACTGAAGATGGTTGGTTAAAGACGGGTGATTATGTTGTTGTGCAGCCAAACGGACTTTTCAGTGTGGTTGATCGCAAGAAGGTATGTTGCTTGAAAGCAAATAGGAGGTGCTCGCTAATGCTTTTAAGGAATTGATTAAAGTCAAAGGATTCCAAGTCGCCCCCTCAGAACTTGAGGCGCACCTCCTTGAATGCGATGAAGTGAAGGACTGCGCGGTAATCCGTGTTGAAAGGTAACTTCACGTTATCTAGTGTTGGAAAAATTGATATGCTAATGACATGTAGGGATGGACAAGAACATCCCCAAGCTCACATAGTCCCAACCGTAGAGAAACCAACCGCCACATCCATACTCAGATTCATGGAAGGGAGGCTTTCGGCCCATAAGCGGCTGACTGGCGGAGTTGTGTTCACAGAGGCGATTCCAAAGTCTCCATCTGGCAAGATTCTAAGGCGCATGATTAGGGACCCCTACAGCTCCACAAAGATCAAGGAAAGGTCTCATCTGTAGCATGTGATCACACCGTTCTCATCTGGTTTCGATTGCGATCCAAAGGATGTTGGTGTCGAGAATTTCAGCCGAGGGAGAATTTTCTACCGAGTATTGCAGGGATCGGCGGAACCTAGTATGCCCCTAGAACGGTGGCGTTGGAGCTGTGCGAACTATGGGGCGCAGGACAGTAGAGGTTGTAGATAATTTCGACTAGATACATGCAAAGATTTCATAGTAGAGACGTCTGCGTTTGCGTGGAAGTTGATATTGGACGCTTGAACGCTTCCAAGACATGATGCTACGCCACAGAGAGCCATCTCCTGACTCGTGCATAGCTCCGGAGAGATTTCACATGACTCTCCACATTCAACCTCCGCACTCCACCTCCGCACCACCTCCCCGCAAAAGCCGCCACAAGGGCTAGATCCATTTCCTATCCGCTGGATCCCTTCCTCCCATCTTATTGTTCTTCAGCTCCTGCAGCAGTCATGAGAGCGCTGACCTTTGAGAAGCATCCCCGGAAGCCATATTGAATACCGCATGCCCCCTATACTATAGCTCTATCCATCCACCTTCCCGACATCAATCATCATGGCAGACGATCAACCAAGGTCTACCCTTCCCCCTCGCTCTCGAAAACGAGCCTCGAAAGCCTGTCTCGCGTGTCGTGCTCGAAAAGTACGCTGCGACATATCGCAACGGGAGGGGACTTGTACCAACTGCTCTCTCGACCAGCAAGTCTGTGTCGTCAAACCGAGACCTACAAGATAGTGAGTTGAAGAATCTGGACGGTGACCTTTATGCTTGACAGCTACTGATTCATGATTTGCGTTGTCTAGCCGTATCACTAAGAGCCGTAATTCAGCACAGTCGAACCCATCCCTACGGGCAACACTGCCTACCACCATCCCATCCAACGTGCCGCAGCCTTCATCCCAAATACCACCTCCCGAATTGCTCGATCAGGAGCCTCCGTACCAACCAACGAACGTTGAGGAAATACTCCCTGACCTGGATGCTTCCATTGGGTTGAACACGGCAAACCATCCCGACGACCCTTCCGATCAGTCAATACGGGATCTCAATTGGGACTCGCCAGCTCAGTCCGATACCAGAGAGGGGCTTCAAGCCGTAAGCTTCTTTGATGAAGGTCAGTGAAGAGAGTACAAAGAGTTTTGCAGGATTCTGACGCCGCATGATGGAAACAGCACCCAATAACGCAACCTTCATACACGCGCGTAATTCAGCTCCAAGCTATCCAGAGACTCCCAAATCGACTGACCCACATGTCATGTCTTCCTATTACCCTTTCCTCAAACTCAACAACCTCACGCAAATGGCTCCCGATGATATCAATTTTCTCGAGAGGCAGAGTTGCTTCCGCATTCCAACTCAGCCGGCCCTAGATGAGCTCATGCGAGAGTACTTTCTGCATGTGCATCCGAGTCTTCCGATCATAAACGAGGGAGATTTCTGGGACATGTACACGAATCGCGATGTTGTTCTTGGAGATCATTCTAGGATGTCGTTATTTGTTTTCCAAGCAATGCTTTTCGCGGCGTGCAGTGTATGTCTTTGGCACTTCTTCTCTTAGGTAACCATACTAATACAGGCATTTAGTTTGTGCCCCAAGCCACCATTCGGAAACTCGGTTTCACCAGCACGCGATCTGCTCGAGCTGCGTACTTTCGCCGAGCAAAGGTCAGATAGCCTCTCAAAATCCCGGTCCAAAATGACGCTCATTCAACTTATAGCTTCTCTTCGATTTCAATGGAGAGCGAGACTCGGTCTCAGTCGCACAGGGTGCGCTTTTGTTGACGTACAACGCGTCAACGCGTAATCACAAGATCCTGAATACGTTCTGGCTAAGCACGGCCATACAATTTGCGAAAGATGCAGATGCGCATCGATATCACTCTAACAAGAGCCTGAAACCGGAGAGGAAGAGTGCTCTAAAACGACTATGGTGGTGCTGCATACTCCGTGATCGGATATTACCGCTCGGTGTTCGAAGGCCTCTAAGTATCAGCTCCGCAGATTTCGACTTCAGCCTGGAACTTCTGACAAAAGAAGACTTCGATAGCGAGATTTTTAGATCAAGGGTTTACGATGCGTCGACGAAGGCTTCACTCGTTCAGCTGTTGCTGACCCTTTGCGACCTTGCGGTATCCCTCACCGAAGTCATTATGTTGATCTATCCCGTGAACGATGCTGTCTGTGGCTCGTCAACGGAGCAGAAGGCTAGACTATCCCTCAATCGGATTGAATCCTGCAAAGGTCGATTGCATTCCTGGTTCGAGAACGCCACGATCGCCTTCCCCTCGCCTGCCGGAATCAGCGACAGTCATGAATCCGTTGTTCTGTATACTAACCTCATGTACATGTACTATTAGTAAGCTCGATATTTACCCTTTCCAGCTCAGTATTAGGTTACTGATCCAGATGCGCAGCTCGGCACTCTTGGCTATTCATCATTACGAGGTTCTTGTCATAATTACGAGCTCAAATTTATTAAAATCACATTTCAATCACATGTGCCAGAGCAAATCGAGGGTTGAAGCGGCTGCAGCTGGCATAACGGACAATTTGAAAGAGCTTGTCCAGCTCAAATTAGCAAAGCACCTTCCCATAAGCGTGTAAGTGGTTAAGCGCAATGTTCGAGCAGAAACTCCAGATCTAATGATACATCTAGAGTCGCGTACGCCGCGCTTCCTCTAGTTTTGCATGTCCTAGACGTGAAGCTTTCTGCTACAGAGTCGCAATCAGCAAGGAAAAGACGACGCCTGGATATCTACACTATGACGATGAAGGGCTTACAAGCCCAATACGATGGTACGGATGAGGTGTTTGAGATCATTGGAAAAGTAGTCGACTACATGTCGCTCGAGAAGTCAACGCAAAGACGTCGCTCTAGCAACGAGCACAAATACGTTTTCCAGGACAGCGATAGCCCGAGACTATCTTCGCTTGAACCAAAGAATCCTCGAAGGGCAGTCAATGATTGGGGCGATGTTCTTTTGCGACAACCAAGTCTCTATCTTCGGATCGCTCTGACGATGGATTTATCTTTGTCCAAGGGACAGTTTCCGGATGACACCGACTTCCCGGCCGCTCTCCAGTCGCAAAACCATATTCAAACCCACTTTCCACTTTACCGCATTACTATGGGCGAGTTTGAAAATGCTTCGCGGCCTACCACAGACGCAAGCGAAACCCATCAAGACACTCAATACCACAACTCCGCAGCAGATTATATGGTTCGTGGCAGAGGTAATGGCAGTAGCTTTACTCCAGCATTCAGTTCGGCGATGTCTATGACAGATCGGTTTGTGGATGCCATGAGCTGCCCAACAACACGAATGATTGGTCAATCACCGCTTGAAGATCTTGGGTCACCGATGTGCTCTGGATTTGTGGGAGATAGAATGCAGGAAAACGTCGATGCGCTATTTGATCACTCGACAAATTGGGTTGACACGATGTTTCTCGGCGACGAGTGGTTGATCTCACCAGAAACGACCCGTACATAATTTACAGCTTTCGCTTCTCAGCATTGCGCTGATCTATAATGCGACACCGATAGTAACTAGTGAGGTCTACAGTTTACTCCCTGGCTTCGAAAGCTGATTCAACTTCGCGATCGTCTCAAGGGCCTCCCGTTCAATGCGTTTCAAGAGAATTTCGCAAGTCGGGATATCTTGAACAACGCCTAGCACTGGGCCAACCGTCCATACCTGAAGGAATAAACACATTAGCATCTTTCCACTATCGCCAGCCTCCCAACTGCTTTCGCGCAAGAACAAATGACTCACCCCAGCATTAACATCTCCATCAATAAAAACCCTCTTCCCCCTCGCCCCAGCAACAAGATGCTGCACATCCTTGAACTCACTTCCCGCTTGCTCCGTCTCAATCTTCTTCGCCTCAATCGCCACCCCATTCTTGTACAGCCGACTCGTATTCTTCCACTTTCGCAGCAATAACTCTGTATCTTCCTCCTTCCCCTCCACAATCGCTCTCTTGACGTTGATATGAATCGGACTCTCTACCGTACTCATAAACCGGGTTCCCATATTAATTCCACATGCACCCAATCCCAACGCGGCGACCAGGCCCTGGCCATCGGCAAAGCCACCGGAGGCGATGAAGGGAATGTGGAGGGACTGTGCAGCGCGTCGGAGTAATACCATATTTGGGATATCGGTGTCGCCAATGTGGCCCGCGGCTTCGAAGCCGTCGATGGAGATGAAGTCGACGCCGAGTTTCTCCGCGGAGAGGGCGTGCCGAACTGTGGTGCATTTGTGCAGGATCTTGATATTGGCAGTTTTGAGGAGCTTGATTATGGCGCCGGGGCTGTAGCCTGCGGTTTCGACTGTGGGGACGCGTTAGTGAGCCTAGGGGATTGCGAAAGAATGGAAGGGGAGGGCGTTTGGGACGGGCTATACCGATTTTGACGCCTTCTTCGATGATGACGCGGGCGTAAGCGGCGTAATCTGGGGGATTGATGGCAGGAAGGAGGGTGAGGTTCACCCCGAACTGGTGGTTTCAGTAATGCTCTCGAGTTCATGGTGTGTAAGAACACACTGGCTTGCTCGTCATGGAGCGGCATTTGCGGATTTCTTTCCGAAGGTCCTCTAGAAATATATGCATTAGAACCTCCGCTTTATTTCTTTTCAGCTTGGGGTTTTTACCAGGCGTCGGTTGGGTCAATCCGGTCAACTATATGAAATATTGACGTCAATATCCTTCTCGGACTTGCTTTACGGAGTGCTTTTGCCTTCGACGTACGATTCCGAGCCCGCCGGCGTTAGAGACGGCGGAGGAGAGCTCTGCATAGCCAACCCATTGCATGCCAGCTTGGATCACCGGGACTACCATTGGTGATTAGCTCTTGAAAGCTCTTTTTGCGCCCCATGTCGAAGAACATACTCTCAATCCCCAAGCCTTCCGTGAGAGCTGTAACAAATGCCATTGTCTTGGATACTTTTACAGAGAAAACAAATCGGGGATCAGTCCGTTTCGGAAACGGTGCAATGCTCTGCCCAGAGCGGAGGACTAAGAAGATATGAGCGGTCGCGAGTGCACGTGATATGCGGTGAAGATCTAGCGCCGGGAGTTTTTGCCGAGGGGCGGGCCCCTCTTTCACCCATTCTACCGAATTACCGCAACTTGAGAGGCTGGACAGAGGTCGAAAGGTACCGGCAACAATGACATGGTATGTGACTTGATTTGGGCCGATCTGAAATATCAGCTTTGACTCAGGTATGCTATCCCAGATGCCTCTCGCGCGGCTCAATTTCTCATCGCTATATTCCTTACCTTCCATGGATCAAGCTCCAAAAATCTCTACATCTTCCGGACTATTCTCTTCAACTTCCTTCGAGTATTCTACGTCTACTGAACTCGATGTTTGTGTTCTTGTTGGATGAACCCCCCGAGGAAATGATGTGACATGTTGGGATTTGTAGAATGTCCGCAGTTGAAATAGTTTTCACATCATTGCGCAGCATGAGAACCTGATCAAAGAAACGCTCACGGTATTATGGTAAGAAAGCAAGGCAGTATATCGAAACATCAATCCCATGGCACATACCCCGCTCTTCTTTCTTGTAGTGTATCAATGCTTCTACAGTCACATAGTTAAAGCACGAATTTATCATAAGATTGCAAGCCAAAGAAACAAAGACAATGTAGCTCTGTCACGGGCTCGCACGAGCTCAGCCCGAGACATTCACTGAGACAATGCCTCAGGCAACAGATATGATCCACCCGTAAGTAATATAGCTACAACCCGGGGCCACGCTTTCTGTAGCTCTTCGTAGTATATCAATTCATTCATTTCGACCACACACTTTGCCCTCGAGCCTATGCCCGTGGTAAGCTCACAATATCTTTGTCAATGTTAACCTTCCCGCACTAAAAGTACCCTCCATCATATCTTTAATAACATGGTTCATTGTTCGTCAATGTTATCTTGACCTTTTTCTACTTATATTTCCTTGAATCACTTAAGAAAATATACCTCGCCCTTAACTTTCACATAAATCCCCCACATAACCTGTACTCACAGAATGTCCTCTTATGTAATGGATGAAGGCGCTCCCTTCGTTTCCCTTGCGACTCTTCTGTCCGAATTCAGGGCCTACCAAATGAATTGGCGCTCCTCAAGCTTCTCAACCCAGCTTCGCTCTCTCCTGCTATCCCGTCTCGAGGGCTGGGACATCGACCAAGCGATTGTTTTTGGCCTCGGCTGCGTTCGCATGATTCCCGGGTACCTTAAGGGCACGGATGAGGAATACAAGGAGTGGCGGAAGCAGACCCTCTGCTAGGTGATGATATTCCTTGAAGTTGTTCAAATTCTATCTAACGCGCAGAAGGGTCGTCCGATTAAGATGCTCGCAAGTGACCCAGCGTTCGAAGATCTCGACGAATTCTATCTTGCGCGGCGAAATATCGCAGTTGTTGATAAGGCAGAGGAGCATGTTACCTCCACCACATTCGTGTTCAGCCCTTTTGCGCCATGGCTAGTAGCCCTCGACGCCCTTCGCCGCTCGCCAGAGCTGTATCTAGGTACCAGCTGGACTCATGTTTTGGAACAGAGGCCTCCGCGATCACGCCGGCGCAGGAAGAGACGACACCGGCCTGAATTCATGAATGAGGAGCAGCGTGCTAATTGTAAGACGTACTTAGAGAGCCGTATAGAGAATAGCTTCCCCGGCCTCGAAATCTACAGACGCACTTGGATACCTAACTCGCGCTTCAAAGAGCTATCGGAGACGAATTCCGAGTTCGCAGATCTGACTGGAGACGGACTTATCGGGTCTTTCCAGTTTCTTTGGCCCAAGCCCATGCCTTTGCGGGAGGGACCTAAGGAGGAACCTAAGGAGGAACCGAAGGAGAAAGAGGAACCTAATTCCCAAGCCTAGTAACGTATTCCACAAGCGAGCCGTCCACCCAAGCGAGCCGTCCACTTCATCATGAAAACCGGCCTCAAACGTTAATTGCTCCACAACGCCAATAGATATCAACTATATACAACTTGTAGCCTAATCTGCAGCAACCTCTGCATCATTTTTGCACGTACGAATGTTGTGCCCTAGCTCGCCGCAGCGTCCACAGCGCCGCGCGCTCCCGCCAGAATCTGCCCCGCCTTGCTGCCTTTTGCTTTGGGCGTCCTTATCAAGCCTTTGAGCAGCTATTTGAGAGCCTGCTTCCATTGTTAGAGTTCCTTCTCTCTGGATCCGCTTCTTTTTGCGCGCCTTGCGCTTTGTGGCGGCTTCATTTGCCTTTTGAAGGCTGGCAACTGTATCGCGCAGTAGCGTGGCTT